TGGTCTAGCGGATGAGCTCTCTCGCGGTACCGAAGTTATCCAACATGCAGAACATTCTCCATCATCCAATGCAGAATCCGGGACGGACCCGTCTGACGCTTCCGCCACGAGTTCCATTTTCATTGATTCACCCCCAACGCAGTCATCATCTCCCGAATTTTCTGCTATGAAGTTTCCTTCGCCCCTAACACCACAGCTGCCCCAAGGTCATGGATCTAATAGTCGGGTGATAACTCGCCGAGAAAAGCATCTTCGCAAGGCAGCTTTCTATGCTGCTGACTCTCTATCCATGTCTGATAAGCTAGGTGTCAATTATGCCGACTTCACTAGCCGCGAACTTCCAGTACAGTCAGCGATGTGTTCCTTCGACTGTGCACAAGTTCTTGCTGAGTGGGTTGCTACGCTCCAGGATCGCGTCGGGAGGTATCTTGGTGTGCTTGGGAAAGATGAAGTCGACATGGGAGGTGTTCCGGCCATCATGCTTCTCGAGGATGAAGACGTTAAGCTTATCCACAAAATCCAGGAGCTTCTCTCCAGCGCTGAAATGAGGATGAATATGGATATTGTGAGCGGCGCTGTCAACGGCAGCATTGATTCTCGCCTCCAGATGGACAGCTATGGCGGGTACGCGGCAAAGATCCTCAGAGTCACAGCATATATGCTTGACAAGTCCGCTATATGGCCTGGTAAGCAATCATTTTTTAATGGGCTGACATGAAGGTTTAATATACTAACTCGTTTTCAGTACTTCATCTGATGGCGAATTGTCTCGAAAGTCATGCTAACTTCATGGCGTCGCGTGCTGACAAATCGGTTATTGCCAGTGAGTAAGAATCAACCCTGGATTTAATATAGGCCACCAGCGTCATCCTTTCAATCGGATATTTCAGACCTCAATTATCCAAGGACGTCTATCCCCGAAAACAATCGATCCGGATTATATTCCTGTGTAATTCGCACTGTTATGTGGTGAAGGCGAGTGGTCGATCCATGCTCCTGATAGGTGGCTTTTATTGCGAACTACCATAGTGCCCAGAAGTTCAGATTACTCGGTTTAGCATTTTCGCAGCAGACAAGCAACGAATAAGCCAGCCCTATGTGGATTTCTCGCGAATCTGGTTTGCCTCGCAAGAGCTACGCTGAGGGGTCGATACGATACATCTGGAACTAAAACACACAACGACGAAAAGAAGAATCCAATGATGGAAATAGCAATGAGGCGTATGGTTGCTTTTCTGCAAGGCCTCGTTTAGGTTTGAAAATCTGTTATGGTAACGATACTCTGTCCCTCGAAGTATTAATAGATTCGATTCGGAGGAATCATGGTATTATGGCATGAGATGGCATGAGGCACGACCAATACGCTTGAGATGATTTTATACCCCATCGATGGTTCAGGGCTACGTTAGGGAAAGGTCACCGAAGCAGACGCGCTTAATGAGGTACGGGCATAAAAAGCAAATATAGATGGATCACTTTAGACCGTAGCCCCTAAGGGCGTTTGTAGTTGGGCCACGCTCGGTTGATCATCAAAAGCGTTAAGAGCTTACGCAAAGCTTACAGATTCTCTCCGAATCCATTCAAAACATAGAAGAGATTCAGAGTACAATTACTCGCCAGGCGACGATGGCCGTGAATTCTCAAGCGGGTGGGATGTTCATGAAAACAGACATGTGTATATGGATTATGTGGGCTCCGCCCAATCGGTGCAGCTTAAAAATTATTGGTGTATTGTCAGCGGCGGTGTTGATGGGTTACGGAGTTGTAGGAGTAGTAAATTACCTAGGTTAGGTATGTTTTTGTGCTAAAATTTGCATACATCGTCGGTTCTAAAATGTGATGTGGCATCTGTCAATCTCTGGCTTAAGCTCCAATTTAGAGAGTAAAGGGCCATTACCTACCTGCGTGCTGCACATTACGATCCTTCGGCTCTGTCGAAAATGTATATAGATGAAATAAAATGCGTTAGGTATGCAACATTTGACTAGTATTGAACTTATTTCATTAACTATGCAATCTCCATATGAAGTTTCAGATAGAGGCGTATGGTGCATGCCCATAATCACATCATTAATATATCAGTATATTATGATCTTATTTCTTATTCATTCATCTGTGAAGTCAATAAAATTCCTAGTTGTCAATATCGTTGACACAATATCCTCTTCCACCTAGGATAGGGGTTCATCTTTCTTGGATCCTACCCCTGAATTTGAGTCTAGTAGTTAAATCTGTCTTAAAAGTTGCCCCCCTTCTTCCCTCTCGGGATATTATTTATAGAAAAGGCTAGAGATAGTTGAGCGCATTAGAGCATATTGAACGACTTGCGATACTCATATTAAGGGGGAGGCCTTGAGGTTTATTCAATATAACATGTTAATAGTTCTATGCACTTATGATTACATTTCCCAGTAGCAAATCAGTAATATGATACCAACTGTTATCTTGCATTCAACACTCTAACGACATTAGAAGCTATTTGTAATCTTTCATTCTTTAACTTGTCCATTTTCAAGCTTGAGCATGATATACATAGAGAAATAGACCTTGTGCGTGATCGGAGTGAAGTTGATTGAGTTAAGATTGTTTGACACGCCCGTAGTGGTCTTAGTGACTTAGGTAACTAGAGTTTAAGCTTAACTACCTCGCGTAGCGCATCTGTGAAATTCATCACATTAGGTACCTCTGTTGTATTGTGTACGTTTTAGTGTAGGTACAGGGTGTATTTACACATGTGATATATGACAATTTGTCCTGACTCTTGCTTATCCACACCCCTTTGCCATCATATCTTTGATGACTGCGATTTGTCAAGAGTTTATCGGCAAGCCTGTAGTATGGCTACCTCTTTGCTCTTGGTGCAAGCGACCTCAATGATTGGCCCCCCAGCCTTTGGAAGGAGAGGCTGGTAGGGGTATCCTTGTACGTGAATATTTGTGTAGAGTCTGGCGAGACAAACATGTCTGGATGGTAATAGTGCAGTTGCATAGGTCGTAGGGCATGTGTAGCATGTGGGTAATTCTTAACGAAATGAGAGTCGCCCTCCTCTTCCAAGTTGGTGACGGTCTTGTGTTTTATCGGTTCCCAACGTGTGATCAAAGTTGATTGTGCTGTTCAAGACTATTTTGTTGTTGGAATTGCCATTTTTTACTTTTGGGCATATTAATGTAACCCGCGCCATCCTATGGCTTATGGGATCCCATGATAGTTTGTGTTAGGTAGTGAAAAAAGGCGTTATTAACTTTATGTTTGTACATGTTGAGATTATGTAGCTCTGTTGGCGTAGCCAGAGACATGTTAAAGACTCTTCCGTGGCTAGTAACAAAGTAGTACTATGTTACGTTAGGTATAGGTGGGTTAAAGGTTAGGTTCCTATGCTATTGGTTAGACGAGATGTAGGAAATATTTTAGGGATACAAACATTTAAGCGACCATTCGCGCGTCTAGTCCATGGATTGCATCAGCCTTGTCGGCCTCGTTATCCTTGTCGGCCTGGTAAGCCTCATCGGCCTCGTGAGCCTCAGGAGCCTGGTCAGGCTGGTCAGGCTGGTGGGCTCATTCTGATAATAACGCCATAATGTGTAGTGGATTTTGATTATCTCTTCGAACTGGCATTTCATTTGTTGCTTGGATCGGTCTTCGCCGCGGCATCATCCACGTTAGTGTTCAATACGAAGATCAACCTTGTCGTGTTTAAAGAGGTAAAGATAATTAAATAGCCAAGATGCTAGCATAGCTTTAGTTGCTATCTCATAGGATGATTTTGGCTTTTGGCTTGAGGGTATTGTAAATATTTAGGGTTGAAATTAATTTTGTTAAGTAGATTAGGTAGTTAGGATATAGTTAAGTGTGTTAGGTTAAGTGTTAAGTTAAGTGTTAAGTTAGAAATGATTTCGCCGACTCTTGGAATTAATGAAGGCGAAGGCAATAATTATGCCGGGCGGTCAAGGACACGAAAAGAAAACATTTTCACGGTAGGAAGGTACGTCTAACGCTTTGACCTTAGGTACGAAGTGATTTCTGGTCACCGGGATACCTACGTAGATGCCTAATACAAGTAGTAAAACCTCAGAAAGAATCTTTCTTTACCTAGGTAAGGTAAGTGCGCAACGAGACATCAGGTATATCGTACCGAAATACCCCGCGACTTCCGTAGGTGCCTAGTAGTTGGGTACATTCTCTACAGTTATCTGTCACTACATACCTTAGGTACCTAGGTAGGTACATTACAAGTTTCGCTGATGATCTATGTGATTCTGTGTTAGAGATGGCAGGATCGTTCATGCTACCTTTTGTCATCTTACCATGTTAATTAACAACTAGCTCCATTATTGTTGCTAGAAATAAACAATCTAAATTTACATATTGAATTTACCTTTTCTTCTATATTGGATTTGTAGGTAAATATTAGGTAGTTATGTTAAGGTAGGGGTAAGGATTAACAGAGTGACGGGAATACCCCTATCAAATCTGAATATTTAATGGTCTTCAAGAATACTTAAATTAATAATGGATAATAATAATAATAAAACTAATAGGTTTATACAAGCAATGATTGGTGACATCGTATATGGGAAATAACAGGTAGTGATGTATCATACTAGAAGCTATCCACAATATGCCACGTAGGAAATAGACACTCATATGTCAGCAATCAAGAACAAAAGCGGAATGTGATGGAGTTCGACTTGACACTTTTGCCCAATCAATTCCACCTAGTCGACAGGATATATGAATGTTTATCTGTTGTCAGCATCACGTAGAGACAGGGAGCTTATTTCCAGACTACACCCATCCATCGAATAAAATAGCAAATAATGCTGATTTTATGATAAGCAGTGCAAAAATTCGAGTGTCTTTCGAATATCTATCCAGTAATCCCTACTAGGTTTTTATAATTACATGGGATCATATACGACTTTCCTAGCCTAGTACCTCGATATGAAAATCCCTGGTTGATATATTAGGGTTGCCATACCACATTATCAGTTAATCAAGCAATGCATAACACTACGCGTAATGAGAGGATGGAGCCCATGTCAGTTAACACCCAGATCGGGGTCGTGTTTGTCGTCTTTACTACGCTCGTTTTTCTCCGAGTATATACGATCGGTAGTCGGGGTAAAGAGCTCCCACCTGGCCCCAAGACAATACCTATTCTAGGAAACGCACTGAACTTCCCTACCTACTTTCCTCATATCAAGTAAGCTATTTTAATAACTATATGTTACTCATGCTTAAATTTTCAGATTCTCGGAATGGGCTCGTGAGTATGGGGAGATTTACTCGCTTAAAGTTTTAAACGGGACGATGATCGTTCTCTCTTCTGCGACGGCTATCAAAAGTGTTCTTGACATCAATGGGTTGAATACAGGCAATCGACCTGAGTCTACTATAATACGGCGGGTAACCAATGGCAATGTCCAAGCATTAGAGGATATGGACAGGCCAGCTTGGAGGCGTAGTCGAAAAGCTATGCATATTTTTATCACGGAATATATTTTAGGGTCACACACTCAGGCTCAAGATGCCGAGTACTCGCAGCTTATGAACGACATTCTTGAAGATCCGAAGAATACTTTTGAGCATATCAGTCGAATGGCTGTAGGTGTACTAATCACAACTCTCTATGGATCTAGGGTTCCGAAATACCGGGGCTCAGAAGCAGAAACATATTTCCGCGGGGTCAAACTGATGAATAAAGTCACTGACCCCGGGGCTCATCCGCCAGTCGACATCTTGTGGCCGTTGAGATATGTTCCGAAACGTTGGGCGTACTGGAAAAGACTCGCCGACATGACGCGAGAGACCTGTGCTCAAGTCTTTGATCCGCTTTATAAGCAATGTGAACGTGCGATAGAGCTAAATAAGAAAACTGGATGCTTCGTCGAGTATTTAATTATGAATCAGCAACAGCTAGGCATGTCACACCCAGAGATCACCGGCTTAGCCGAGGGCTTGATGGATGCTGGCGCAGAAGCTACCGCTTCATTTCTTCAAAGCATCATATTGGTTCTGATTAATTACCCTCATGTACAAGAGAAAGGCCAAAAAGAGATTGACAGCATTATTGGCGGCGATCGGTGGCCGGCCTTAGACGACTACGACAGGTGTCTATACATTCGCGCAATTGTTGAAGAATTATTTCGATTTAGGCCAGTTTTCCCTGTAGGTATTCCTCATAGAAGTGCGAAGGAAACTTACTATAAGGAATACCGTATCCCGGAGAACTCAGTCATCTTCATGAACATATATGGGCTTTTCCACGACCCAGACTTGTACGATGACCCGGAGACATTTGATCCCGAGCGATTCCTAAAGTCTCCTTTTGGGACGAAAAAAGGAGTGGATACAGGGGCATATAGGAATAACCTTGCGTTTGGGGCTGGGCGGCGGATTTGTGCCGGAGAGGAATTGGCTCGTCGGTTGATCGCACAGAATGTGATGAACTTGCTTTGGGCGTTCAGCTTTAAAAAGGACGGTTCTGGGACAGGGGGTATGGATATTGATTCTTATTCTAGGGTAAGCCATTCTTCCCGATTTTATAACTCGTATTGACGATCATCTAGCCAGGTATCGAACTTGCGCCGAAGCATTTTACGTGTGATATTACACCACGATCTAAGGATAAAGCATGTGCAATTAAGAACCGGTTTGAGAAAGCATTTCCCATTGACGCCAACAGCTCTATAGGAGTTAAAGAATAACCCCCAGTCAGTTTGTGATGGAATGAAGGATAGTATAGATCATACCTAGCTGAAAACAGTGGTGGGAGCTATATTATCCAGAGGCTATCCGTTCAATAGGGGTAATACAACTAAAGTCTTGAGGAGCCATTAGATCAATATTAGGAATTCCATCTACGATCTATAATAGAAGTTTATAGCAATACGTATTGTAATAGCAGCGATATATATTTGGTATATTGCTTCTATCATTTATTTATTATCAATTCTTGCGCTTCCTTGGACATTAGCTTGCAGAGATTGGTGGAGGCGTCCCTACACTGGAGTTACGGACAATAGGTGGCTGTCTAATCAATCATCCGCTACTTGGATCCTACGGAAGATAGGTACTTGCTGTAGATATTTTAGGATCTGTTGTATACTCGGATCATATGAAAGGGGGCGTGGAGGGTGAAGGCGAAAAAAAGGAGCACAAAAAAGGAGAAATACATGTAACACCGGGGATTCGCTGGTCGTCGCTGATCCAACTACTAATCTGGCGTAAGATCAGATTGTTTTAGTACGTGGGGTTGACAGCGCCTGGGAGGTAGTCATTCGTGAAGTTTAGTTCGGCTCTTAATAGAATGTATAGCTTCGGATTTATGAACTTTTAAAGGATAACAAACTGTTTGCATTGTGGGGCTACGTTGGTAATTGGTAATTGACAGCGTAAGAAACTATCATCTTACACATATAATGAAAAGATGATGCAATTCATGATTACCAGCGGCTTCACGTTGCAATTGTAGACTATCTACTTGGTACCGGAGGTATTCATTTCATTTTGGGGGTTAAGGGTTAGGGTTGAGGGTTAGATCCTCATATATCTAACCCTGTAACTACAATCTGATATAACTAGCTATATTCCTACAACTCTTCTCAATTACGATCCATATCTATTTCAACAGCAACAACAATAGCAGTAGTAGTAGTCGTCGTCGTCATTTTTGTGTTGGTTATATTGCTACAAGCGTACCAATTACTCTTCAGCCACACCATCTATTTCTTATGAAAAAAGATAAAGGAAGTAAGACAGCTTTAGCAAGAGGTAGCCAAGTGGTACCTTTACCCGTGCCGTAGAGCGGCTAGCTTGTATATGTACTACTTCAGCTATTGCGTACCAATACCAGGTAGTCACAGAATAGCCTATGAATTGAAGTAGAAATTAATCCTAGCCAAAGGGAAGATACCTATAAGACCACATAGTCTTAAGCTTCAATTACCCTTATTATAGAATCCGACTGAGAAAATCAATAGACGTGATAAAGAAATATCTCAATTTTCCTTTGACCCAGATCCACGTCGATAATAAAATTGGCTAGATTCGAGTTCAGTCGTGGAAATGGTTCCAACGAAATGACGGAGATCAAAGGGGTTCTACTCCTTTTTTTAAACCCGCATACTCTTTATGAAAAGCTATTGTATACCTACGTTAGCTCTACTAGCATAAAAAGCATAACTTCAAAAAAAGGGGAAAAAAAGACTATTGGATAGTGAAGGCTCACCACCAGGAATTAACGCCGCAGCGTACATGACCAAATTGATCGGCCGCAAGTCTTCATCCGCCGCGTTCAGGACCTTGCCTTCCCAGGCATCTAGCACTGCCTCAGCAGCCATATGTAACGGTTGAGCCGGGTCATCAACGTAGCATTTGATCCCAAGACAGCCGCCAAATTCGCGAAACGCAAGCCGATACGAATGCTTCTTGTCGGCGCTGACGGGGCTCTGGGCTGCGGGCAGGAAGCGGTTACGCGCGATGGTGAGGCCCTGCTTGGATAGCTCGCTTGACCATGCTGCTTCTTTGTCAAAGTGGCTGATCCATAGGCTCATCCCTAGATCAAGCGGGTCCCCTGATAGAGATTTGGGATGGTCGGCCATGATACGACGGTAGTGTTCAATCTCTGTATCCAGCGTCGATGAGCTTAGGCTATCGGTAGTATTACTTTTATTGAAGTGCTCGGCTGTCTCTTGTAGTAACTGGTACACTACAAGTCCGTCTACATCGTCGAGGTTCCCTTTACTGTTGACCAGCACGCGGAGCATATCCGTCGATATCTTCCACACCATGCTCTCCTGACCACCTCTCTCGGTCATGAAATAAGGATGGATGGCCTTAGCTAGTTGTACCGCGAGATCATTCCAATGTGGTTCTTCTGTTGCCAGGGCTAGCCGGTTCAGTGCGAACATCCACAAGGTCAGATAGTGATGATATTGGCCGTCGCCATCGGGACCCTCAGCGTTAAGCTTCCCGATCCGCAAACCGCCCTTCAAAGGTTGCTCGTCGGTCGCTCCGCGGAGGCGCGAAGTCCCATCCCGTGTGCGACCGAGAACAGAATGGACTTTGTCTGCCAGTCGTCTGGCTAATTCTAAGTAGAGTTTCTGTGAGTGGATACCGCCTTTCTCATGGGATAGGGTGATAAAGTTAATGACCCCGAAGGCGTCGGTCCAGAGGTATCTCCCATGGTGTCCCCCAGCTCCGGGTTTTGCAGGAGGCTTCCATGATGTAGGGTTATGCGTATCTGTAGGATAAGGCCCGTAGACCTTGCGCATAGCACCTTCGAAGAGGGCTAATTTCTTGGCTTTAGAGTCAATTTCGTTAGATGCATTATACAGCGCCATTGAGGATGCTCCACGAAATGCTAAGGAGAAGAATGAACGTAATCTGGGTGGCTTTGAGAGACGCCGTACACGGCTGTAACCAACTCCCTGAGGGGGAAGCATAAATGTTGAAGATTAAAACATAGAGGCAGCAATATTGTCTGTAGTAAAATCTAACTCCCGGTCCCCAAGATGCTTAAGTCGCTCTTTGTTTGGTTACTCGAGTAAAAGGGGTGGAGAAAAGTCTTGTTGCCGCAAGTGACGCAACGATTACGATCTGGTAGGCAATAACCGTATAATCCTACCTTACACCATTAATTTCATATAGTGACGCTACTTATAGATTGCTATGACAACCCTTCCAAACCTACCGAACATTTTCAACACTAAAATAACAGGGCCGCTCTATGCTTGACAGTATTTGCAGGAGTATCGCCTATTGCACGACTATAACCCCAAATTATAGTTAAAGGGGGATGAATTCATTCAGCTTCGAATCAGCTTCCTTCAGATCGGTGATAAGACATTTTATTCTATTACAAGGAAACAATGTTAAGAGATACTTGTCGTGCCTTCACAGAATACGTTTCGTTAGTGGTTCAACGTTTTTGTTTGTCACCATTAGTGACAAGATTAATGAATTAGGAGTAACTATAGTATGATAAAAATATGTTGTCTATCATTTTGCTACGGAACTATGTCGTTATTCGTAGTAGCTATCGGGTATACATCGTAATTGGTCAAAGTTCAAGTCTTTGTTTATAACAGCAGCCTTGTTCTGTAAATAATATCTTTGTCGCTTTTCGTCTAGTTAGTTAAGTAAACTATTATAACATACTGATATAATATCATATATAATCGAGCAAATTCCCCAGTGCTTCTGATAATTAATCCAGAAAAAAACAACATCATCTACTCATTTATCACGATCAATATCAAATTCGCCTACGATGACTTTTCCCGACGAACATAACTGTGGCTTCCCTAACTGGTCAACTGAGATCATCCAAAAGGTAGCAAGCCATTTCACGACACCATCTCAATTGCTTAACTACGCCTGCATATGCAAGCGTGTGAACTCTGCAATCGGCCTCAGGGAATATTTAATTAATGATATTCAATGCTTTCAGGCCAACAGGAGTCAGTATGGTTTATTTTGTTGGACTTGCGTCGTCAATTCGAACCATCAAATTCGAGATCAAATTCGAGTTCCCGACAGGGCAGGGAAACAAGATGTATTTAAACGTCCGTATCTTCAAATGAGGTCCCCAGGGTCATATATACCCGTTCTTAACTGGGCAATTGAGACAGGCGTGGATATTAACTTGATTAAAGAGATCATCAACACTTACTCGAGGATTTGCCCTGGTGCGCTCAACGGCCTGTGGCATCCTCTTATTAGGAATCGCACGGAGGGAGACGTTTCCCAAAATCTGTCAAATAGACTTTTCCCTTCGCCCATGCTTGTAGCCGCTAGATCAGGACGACTTGACGTAATAAAGACACTCGTCGAATCCGGCGTTGAAATTAGAAAACAGAACACCGTCGAGAGTATTTATCGATATGATACAAGTCCACAGTACACCGTTGGGAGTATTTATCGATATGATATAAGTAGATATACTAAAGAATATTACTTTAGTGCATCTGCAGAGATGAATGCATTTGCCCTTGCTTGTGAAGCCGGCGAGGAGGTCGCACAATTCATGATTCTAAATGGGTTAGATCTAAGATATGAAGATCTATGGTGGCCCGTCGAATTTGGACGTACGCAGGTTCTTGAGACTCTTCTCCAAAATCCACTTTTCAAAACCGGCGAGGGCCAGCAAGCCATCAATAAAGCGCTTTGTTGTCTTGTTTACGCATCTACAATATATCCTATTAGGGATTTTAGCGTTATCAAAACACTTCTTGATACTATAACTGAACCGACCTTCGATAAGATAGAGTGGTTTGAAAGCTCGACTGCTCACGTCTTGCGGAATGAAAGAAGTCATTACAATGATGCTCTGAGCATGTATCTATTTAACCATTTCAAAAACTCGGGAACCCAGTCAATTGTTAGCTTCCGAATTGCTCGACAGGCTGCTCGCAGCGATGACTTCCTGGAAATCACGAAAGCTATACTGTTGGAGGCCGAGCGGTCAAGAAAAGCTAGAAACGGCAAGGGATTATCCTGGATAGATTGTATAATGAAAAAGGCCATAACGGGCCTTTGCCTTCGTACTGCAATGTGTATCGTCAGCTCTGGGTATAGGTTTCCTAGTGTCCGTCTCTGGGAAGTTATTGGAAGATACACTTCGCTTCCTTCCGCTGTTCCTTGCGAAAGCATAAAATATACCAAGCAACTTGATTTGATTGACGTTCTTGTCAACTCTGGTACTTCCGTTAACGAGCATCTTGGAGGATATAGGTTGACCCTGTTAGAGCATGCACTATGTTCGGCAACTAGAAAATCAACAACTAGAGACGGCCGACAAGGGCTAGACTGTCGCGTGGCACTTAGACTAATGCACTACGGCGCTGACACTACAAAAGTCAGAGAACATTTAGTAAAATCCTGGCTTGAAAAGCTTTATTATGATAAGGACCTAACGGATTATTTCTTCCATAAGATATCTCGTCAGAATGATCTCACGACCCCAGGGCGTGAGATATTTTCTCAAAAAATCTCAAGTGTAGATTCTCCTCTGTATGTTGACCAGGTTTATGCCATGGCGGTGATGATGAGGGGCAGGCGCTATCTTAAGCGTTGTTTAAAAAAGGTACTATTGCCACTTTTGGGGCAAGATAATGAATAAGAAAAGACTTACCCATTAAAGCTATCTTGAATAGGCTAAATTAATCCGTCGGAGACATATTTTACGCTCAAACTTTTGGAAATTATTATAGGAAATTGATAAGTAAATGATAAATAATTGATAAGTAATTGATAAGTAATTGATAAGAAATTGATAAATAATTGATAAATAATTCTTCCATAAATGATAAGAAATTGATAAGCTGATAAAAGATTGGATGTTTCCGATAGATTTTACCGTGCGAGCCTGCGAGCACGTGAAAACGCTTGCGCGAGCTTGCGAGTGCATGCGTTTTCCTAAATTTTATAGGTTTATTTTATTAAAACTTATCTCAACTAATTTAAACTAGAAATTTGAAAATGGTTCGGGGGGAAGTATTTTTTTTAACCACATAATTTTTTAATTAATTATACCTCGGTACATTTTTTAAACCATTTTTTAATTTTTAATTTAAAATAATTTTAAACATTTTTTTTTATTTAATATAATAATAATTAAATTAAAAATATTAATTTTAAATAAATATTAATTTAATCATTTAAATAAATTATTATATATAAAACGTATGCGTTTTAAGTTAAAATTAATTATAACATTATAATATAATATTATATAAACATATAAAAAAAATAAAAAAATAATAAAAATAAAAAATTAATTTTAAATAATTAAAATATAAAATATTTTAAACGTAATTATAAATAATTATAAATATAAACGCGTAAATATAAACGTATAAATATAACGTTTTAAAATTATTATATATTTAAACGTTAAAATTTATAATATTATAACATAATATCGTATAAATATATAAAAAAAAACAAAAAATTAATAAAAATAAAAAATTAATTTTAAATAATTAAAATAAAAAATATTTTAAACATTATTATTATTTATTATATTATTATTAATATAATTTTATTAAAAATTTAATTAAAATTTTAAAACGTATATTAATTTATTTTATATTATACAAAATTAATTAAAGTTTAAAAAACGTTTTTTTTATAATTTATAAATATAAACATATAAATTAAAAGTTTTATAACGTTTATAACGTTAATAAAAAAAATAAATGTAAGTAAAATTTACTTTTTAAATTTTAATTTTAATATATTAAAATAAAAAATAAAATAAATAACATTAATTTTTATTATAAAAAATAATTTAATAATTTTTAAAAAATATAAATTATTAATATTTAATAAAAAATAATTAATATTTATTAAAAAAAAACGTTTTTAAAAATTATAATTTATTATTACTTTTAAAATAAAATAATAAAAAAAAATTTTATTTATTAAAATTATTTTAAATAAGTTAAATTAATATAGGTTTATTTTATTAAAATTTATTATTTTAATAAATGTATTTACCATTTATAAAACCGTGTAATAAATATAAATTAAACAAAAAAAAAAATTTTAAAAATAAACGTTTTATATTAAAATTAATAAGTTTTAAAGTTTTTTTATAAATTGTAAATGGTTTTTAATTAACGCGTAACGTAAAAATAAAAGTTAAAAAATCAAATAAATTATTTACATTTTATAAAACATTTAATGTAAAATAAAAAGTAATTACTTAAAATATAAAAGTTAAATATATACAAATATTTGGGTTAAAAATCCATGATATAAACTCCGACATTGATTTTGTGATATTTATATAAGGTAAGTGGTAAGTATTTTATGCCAAGTATCGACATATCGACATGTGCTCTTATACTTTCTATCTTATCCTTATGCTCCATCCGGCTTCCAATCAGGTGGTGCAAGTTCTACGCCATCTGGGACGAAACCTGGGGCCACTATCATACCGCAATTAGTTATGAAATTTATTGACAGGGGTAGTTAGTATATAAAGAGGGATAATATTCTTACCGGTAGTGCCGACTAAAGTCCACTTCCCACTTGAAAGGGCACTTTGCCATGTCCCTTTCGGAATGACCACCTGCGGCTGCTCGTTGTTGAAGATATCTGGTCCGAGCACCTTGTCTACTGGGGGCTTGCCATCGTTGTTTGATAGGGACAACGTTAGCGGTGCGCCTGCATAGTAGTGCCAAACTTCGACAGCGTCGACACGGTGCCAATAAGATGACCCTACCGCGCCTTCGAGTAAATAGTAAATGGCGGTGCTGGCAGACCGAGTGCTATTGCCTGGACTTCTTGTAACCGAGTCGACATCCTCAAAGGTCTGTACATAATAACCCTTCTCGTCATTAGGGATGAGTTTGAGTTGTGCAATCACCTCCTGAGCGCTGCGCTGATTTATTGGGATTGATGAATCGTATTGCACACTAGCAGCGCGAGACCCTATCGTGCTTAGGAGCAACAAGCCCAGTGGGCTGAGGAATGCCGAAGTAAGAAGCATTATCCAATGTTGCCGTGGCTAGAGACACGGGATGCGGAATAGAAGGCAAACAGGAGGTCAGTAGCAGAGATGGCGGGTGAGAAGAGTAAGATGATATAAGTTTTGGTTAACTAGTAATAATAACTATGGGTTATAATTAAGATGAAGACAACCTTAATGCTGACAACGACCGTGCGCTAAGGCTCTTATTGGATATATATACGGCGACTGCTTACGGGGATTCATTTAATAGTCTAACCTAGACTGTTATAGAAACTGGGGAATAAGTAGGTTACGTAGGTTAGAACCGCGGAACACAACATGAGTTTGACTATAAATACAGAAGAGCGCTTACAAGCAATTGACCATGCTGTTCATACAAGTTAAATGTGTACCACAATGAATTAAATTTGTCTCGTCTTTATTGCTCTCCATAACCGCCACGGAAGTTTCCAACTGCTGCTCACTGTAAAGGGATCGAAGTTCTGGGCTTCAAGCCTTGTCAGGTAATCGCTAGCTGGGATGCCTTCCAGCATGACGTTAAATCCTCGTTGGAGGTCTCGTTTAGTGTCATCGTCTCCATGAGTCGCTAACGGGTATTCATGTTGCTCTTCGCCATGGTGTTCGTATTCATGGCCAGGGCTTTGCCCCGCGCGGAGGTTTTTCAACATCTCTCTTGCAGTGATTAAGTGGTCATTAGCCCGGGTCGCGACTTTGAAGACAGCATCTTGGAAACCATCCGCACGAGGGCCATTTCGGTAGACATCTTCCTCTTTCAAACCCGTCTCCGCCATGACATCTAGCGGTAGTAATAGGACTGGGTTCCTACCATTCCCTACACTAGCTCCATAAGGTGATTTAACAGGCGGCGAGGGGGCTGCTAAAACCGGGACGCCTCGAAGGATAGCCACAATACCACATGCTTTTCCGATATGACTAGCTAAATGGTCCATATGCATGGAATTAATAGAAAGTGCTGCTAGATTCGAATACATCAGCGTTGAGTATGTGTTCTCTGCGTACTCCTCTAATGAAGCCAGACTAGTGAACGGCTTATTATCCATATACTGTTCCCGAGTATTAATCAGGCGCAGTAACCAGAACTTGATAGAGCTTGGAGTGCCACCCATCTCAGTAAGCTCCGAGATAACCTTATGCAATAAGATCATAATAGGTTCTTTTGGGGGTTTGCCGGCAAATGTGTTGTTAACAGCATCCCGCCAGAATTGCATCCTCATCAAACCAATGGTGGGGTTTGATACAAGCTCTGGAAGCCGAACCAGCTCAAGATTAAAAGCTCGTAACGCATCATAAGCATCCTGTCTCTGTTTAGGTAGAATATTCCGAATTAAATAAGAATCGTAGTCGGACTGTCTATTACAATTAGAGCGATTCATCTAAAGTATTCCTCCTGGGAGAGAGCGCCAAAAAATAAAAATAAAAAATAAAAATCCTACCTCAGCTGTGCAACACAATACTGCCTTGCCTTATCTACATCAACATCGGTTACATAAGATCTCTGTGAGAATCGTAACTGATGTCTAGGCCATCGAAGGCCTAAACGTGCTCGAGTCGCACGATACATAAGAAATCGATGTTATATCAAATAATCCATTGTATTTATAAGTTCGAATCGCGAAGTGAAAATCCTCGCTATGTTAATTTTTTTTCGGAGTTAGTAACTTTGGTTTGGCATAAAAATGATATCATGCTGCGGGATGTGGGGGACTTTCCCACTTTAAACTTTAAATTGAAACGCGGTCACATGATGATCGCGTTGAAAGAGTCGCGTCTTGATCTATTAATTACTAATTGGAAAGTTTTCAGCGGAGCGCGTTTCTATGCTTGCCGTGCTGCCGTAGTACGTAGTAAAAAAAAAGTTATAGTAAGAACCAAGATCGTCGCTACTTCCACTATTCGATCTTTTGTTACCAGTAACATCCTCTCATTCTCCATTATCCGTCGAATTTTCCCAATCACATCCCCTTTGTTAACCGACTACTTATACGCATAGTTCACTACGCACGACCTAATGGGCATTCCAATGAGCTTATCATGAGTATAGAAGATTCGGGAGAACCCCCCGCTAAAAAGAGGAGGTTTTTCGCAGATCCAGAGGACGAGAATAGTTCAAACCGACACTACCTACAGAACACGTCTTCCCTCGTAGAGAAGACTATCGACGATGTTACCAACCAGGTATCGACAACGAGCGCCTCTAGCGCGTGTTCGGTAGAGCCCACATCTGCAGCGGATCAAGGAATGAACTTTGACGAGAACACGTTCCAAAGTATTGTGGGAGACAATGTTGACCCGGAGGCCTTAAAAACTATTGGCGAAAACTGCGGGAATGACCTTGGACGGGCTGTTAATATGTATTTCGATGGAACATGGAAGAAATATCGCTCTCAACAATCCGTAAACAAGACTGCTGCGCTTTTCCTGCCGAGGAATTCTTCGGCCATTGTAAGCGATAATTCTAAGGAACCTGACCCCCCGCCGGCACGACCCGGACTGTCGCAATCAATACCTAATAGCCGGTATATTGGTGCATTTGGTGTTGAAGGATGGGCTACTCGAAGCGGAACAAACCTACTAAATCACGGAGATATCGTTAAGATCGAGCGCCAGAAGATTCAGCCGCCAGGCGCATCATTTAAAGCGAAGAACAAGGGGAACTCACCTCTACCGACCCGAGTAAATTCTGCTGCTGCTAGACGGGTCGACGTTATCGTGCGATTCACCGATTCTCGAGGGACGGAAATTGGACGGCTGGCCAAGGACACGGCAAACTGGATATCTTCGCTGATGGATCAGAAAGTATGTAGGTTTGAAGGCAGTTGTGTATATGCACCGGAGAGACTAAGGACAAACGATACCGTATTCCTCCAATTACGGTGCTTCTTAATGAGGTCTGCCTTCCAGAACACAGGATTACATATGTCAGACAACCGCTCAACAGGTCTTTTCGAGGAAAAGGAAACTCATGAGGAGCGGGACTTACGCTTACGACAAGTAGCACTCGTGCGGTTATTTCAGGAGATCAACCTCGCGCCGTCAAGAGTCAATGCAGCCGCAGCTAGAAGTACGCGACAAGATCTTCTTGGTGCTGCTGAGATGGCTGAAAAAATTAGTAACGATGTTTCCAAATCTGCAAACCCTGGTTCATCACCACCATCGGAGGATGCCGAAGATGGCCAGGAACTCGAGCAAGATCAGCTTGATGCTCTATACCGAAAGGCTCAGTCATTTGACTTCAACACACCTGAGGCCGAACCCGCTGAATCCTTCGATATGACACTTCGTCCATATCAGAAACAGTCATTGTATTGGATGTTAGCCAAAGAGAAAGACCGGAGGAATGAGGTTCGTGGGACATCAATGCACCCTCTCTGGGAAGAGTATTCTTGGCCTACTAAGGATGTCGACGATCAAGAAGTTACTCAGGTTGATGGCCAACCTAATTTTTACATGAACCCGTACTCGGGTGAGATGTCATTAGACTTTCCTGCCCAAGAGCAACACTGCTTGGGTGGTATCCTTGCTGATGAGATGGGTCTCGGTAAGACGATTCAAATGCTAAGTCTCATTCATTCGCACAAGTCCGAAGCAGTAATACAAAGTGCAGGCACATCCCTCAGTTCTGTTAATGGTTTACGGAAACTTTCTTCCAGGTCTGGTATCGTTTCAGCACCTAAAACTACCCTTGTTATTGCTCCGATGTCACTACTTGCACAATGGCAAAGTGAAGCAGAAAATGCATCCAAAGAGGGTACTCTAAAGTCCATTGTCTATTATGGCACTGAAAAGATTGATAATCTCCAAGCCCTCTGCTGCGATGCTAATATTTCCTCTGCCCCTGATATTGTAATTACGAGCTATGGTGTAGTTCTGTCCGAATTTACTCAAATCACTTCCAAGGCAGGCAATAGAGACTCGCACAATGGTCTATTCTCGTTGGACTTTTTCCGGATTATCCTCGACGAAGCTCATACTATCAAAAACCGCCAGTCGAAGACTTCAAAAGCATGTTATGAACTTTCAGCTACGCACCGCTGGGCTCTCACAGGAACTCCCATCGTAAATCGGTTGGAAGACCTGTTTAGTTTAGTCAGGTTTCTTAGGGTTGAGCCATGGAATAACTTTTCGTACTGGCGAACATTTATCACCGTCCCATTCGAGTCTAAGGATTTCGTGCGTGCCCTCGACGTGGTGCAGACGGTATTAGAACCCTTAGTGATGAGGAGAACGAAAGACATGAAAACGCCCGAGGGACAGCCGTGAGTTATGATATGCCCATTATATTCAAGTATTATGATACTAATTTTATCTAGTCTTGTCCCCTTGCCCCCGAAGTCAATGGAAATTGTTGAAGTTGAACTCTCGAAGGCTGAGCGGGATATTTACGATTACGTATTTACTAGAGCCCAACGTACATTCTCCGCCAACTTCGAAAAAGGTACGGTCATGAAAGCCTACACCACTATATTTGCTCAAATCCTCCGTCTGCGCCAAACATGCTGCCACCCAACCCTGGTTAGGAACCAGGATATCATCACCGAAGAGGAAGCTGCCGGAGCGGAAGCCGATGCAGCCGCAGGTCTCAGCGACGATATGGACCTCCAGTCCCTCATAGAGAGATTTACGGCGACTACGGGCGACGAGAAAGATGCAAATGCTTTTGGTGCTCATGTCCTTCAGCAAATTCGGGATGAGGCAGTAAACGAATGTCCTATCTGCTCAGAGGAGCCGATGATTGATCAGACGGTCACCGGCTGCTGGCATTCTGCTTGTAAGAAATGCCTGTTGGATTTCATAAAACATAATACGGATCGCCACCAAGTTCCAAAATGTTTCAACTGTCGCGAGCCTATCAACAGTCGTGATCTATTCGAAGTAGTTCGGCAGGATGACGACCCAGAAACGATACAGGCCTCGCCCAAGATTAGCTTACAGCGCTTAGGTTCGAATGAGTCCTCGTCAAAAGTTGTCTCATTAATGCAGCACCTACGTCAGTTACGCAAGGAGCACCCACGTATAAAATCAGTCGTCTTCAGCCAGTTTACATCCTTCATGTCACTCATCGAACCCGCACTCACGAAAGCTAATATGCGATTCCTTCGTCTCGACGGTTCTACCAACCAAAAGACCCGCTCCGCCATTCTAAATGAATTTAGGGAGTCTAGCAAGTTCACCATCCTACTGTTAAGCTTGCGGGCTGGTGGTGTGGGACTGAATCTGACCCAGGCGAAGCGTGTCTTCATGATGGATCCTTGGTGGAGCTTTGCCGTGGAAGCCCAAGCCATCGATCGTGTGCACAGGATGGGCCAAGACGACGAAGTTAAGGTCTATCGATTCATCGTCAAAGACAGCGTCGAGGAGCGGATGTTAAAGGTCCAAGACAGGAAGAAGTTTATGTGAGCACCCATGTTTTCCCCCTTTATTATCATTATCAGACGAACGCAATATAAGTTACTAACGTGTTGCTTTTCCAGTGCTACTTCCCTGGGCATGATGAGCGATGAAGAAAAGAGACTCCAGAGAGTCGAGGATATCAAGGAATTGTTAAGCTGATCTGGATACTGTGAGCTGTAAAGGATAGGTTAAGTCAATTTTTTCTTACCCTATATATAGAGTACCTAGGCATATTCAGCGTGCCCTTTGGTAAGAACGGATAAGCAATTAGTTCGGTGGCATCCTGGCTTTTAGATTACAGCTATAGACAGCATCAACTTAGGACCCTCCACCTATATGTTAAAGGACATTCAAGAGCTTGAGAACTCAAGTAGTATAGCACTTGGAATAATGATACGAATGTTAAAACTAACATGATAGTCGACTTGAAGCGTTATTCACTTTGCTTACCAAAGCACATATAGTTATATCTACACTCATGTCCCAAATCCGTCCTTGTCATTATTCCGTAGTTCTATGGACATTTAGAGGTTTCAAATCTAATCTTTGTCAGCTGATCAACTCTCTTCGAGGTCCAATAGGTTTTGATAAATCAGCGGTATTATAATTAGGTACATATACATAGCTCGTCACTATAACGAAGAGTAGCAGCTCATATATCGTAACTCATATCTTAGCTCATGTAGCAACTATAGGCTACCTAGGTACCTAGGTAGGTATATGTTTCGCTAGAAAATACCCGGGAGCGCATGTTGGATAGTGTCTATATAAATCACGACCCCGAGGACAGCTCCTCCACCGGACTACTAACATCGCTCAAGTCCTCGACGTTGCGATCGAGGGACAGCTTCTCGTACTCTCTTAACAGATAATCCAACGTGTTTTTGCTAGGGTTGGTGGCTTCGGTATCGCGCGTCATGATGGGAGCAACCCACTGGGCCTGGACGTACTGCATCATCAGGGGCATCTCGTCGTCGCCAGGCCCCTGGGCGGAGAAGAGATGCGTGCGCATGAGGTCGAGGTCGTTGACTTTCATGCGGTCGCGTAGGAGCCGGTACACGAGCACGGCGATGTGGTAGTTGTGTCCTTGGTCGTAGAGTCCCTTGGCGCAGAGGATCAGGGTCGACCGCAGGGACTCGAGGCTGACGGGGGGCGAGAGCGCGGCTATGGCTGGGGGTGCGACGATGCCGGATTTGTCTATCTTTTGCAGTGTTGTGTCACCTAGGAACATGAGCCAGTGCATTAGGAGAGGATCGTACGACTCGAAGCTGTGGCGTAGGTAGTATAAGCGCAGAAGTGTCTCCAGGCGTACTTCCGCGTGCGTGATGATGTTGTGCCAGGTTAGATCCAGTGTATAGCCGGATCCTGCCAGGAACCGGACAAGAGTGATGATCGTGCCGTAGTATTCCATACTGAAAATAATATAGTTAGAAAATCGTATAGTATATTCGTGCGATCGGCCCGTAGAAAGGTCATAATAGTATGAAGATGTAGGATCGAACTTACTGGATTTTGATATGATCCGGAAGCACTATCTTCGTAGGCGAGAGGACGTCTGGGAGATTGACGAACCAGTTATCCAGCCTAGACTTACACTCCAGCGCCTTCGCGACGTCAATGCGAGGCGGCTTGCCATTCTCAAACATTTCCAGAGCCATTTCATTCATCAAGTGCCGCAACTCGAAATTCGCCTTGACGACGTGGCCCATATTGACTGAATACAGCCTGTGGCTCATTGGATAGCGAATCCAGGTCTGGCCATAGAAATCGGGGTCGGCTTCGGGATCCGGTAACGGGTATTCGGGAGGTTTTTTTAGATGAGGCGTTGCGGCAAAGTAGAAGCGCTGCCAGCTATGTATTGTTAGTAAAGGATGGTATGTGGAAAGGGGGTTTTTTTTTTTCATTTACATACGCTTGCCAGGTATAGATCCCCCACGCCGTAAGAGCTCGTACTTTTCGTAGTGACTCGTCGTTTGTACCCGCGTGGGGACTAAACAGGTCCATTTCCTCCGACATAGCCATAGCTTGTAGTAAATATGAAGTGCCAACCTTATCCATGGCTGTGGTGAGAGCTACGATGCCTAGTATTATAGCGGCCTGGATCGTTGGTAGACTACCGGTATTCCTTTGGCTTTCGAGTTCCCAGAGCCTTTTTGCTTCGGCCAGGAACTGGTAACCGAGAGTTTGCGGAACCCAAAACTTGGTACGGTCGGGGACCTCGCGACACATATGCTGGATAGTGTCAGTTGGATGTATCAGCTATAGCCTATATACTAGACTTACACATGCAGCAGCGAGCACGGAGTTAACTAGCAAAGATGAACAGAAGCGAGCCCGTCCCGAAGCCATGTCTTTGATGAAGTAATCCATATGGAAAGCTGCCGTCCAAGGATGCTGGTAGTATAGGTAGGAACTAAGGAGTCTTCTTAAAAGGTGATTGTCCGATGTTACGTTAGTCCACTTGGAGATATTCACGTCGTCGAAATTAGGCTCGACGACTTGAGCTGCGTGGTAGGGCTTGAGGTACCGCTCATCTCCATACCCTTCACGTTGCGAGTCACTTTCAAAGCCATGGGAAGGAGGAGCACGAAACGTGGTTTCATAGACGAAGGAGCGTAGGTAGAGATTGTCCGATACCAAGATAGAAGGAGGCATGTCGTGTATATAGGGGAATTCGTATCGGCGGCGAGCCTCAGGGGCTAGCGAGAGCTGAATTAGGAGATCACCATCCCTTGCGTGACGTAGAATAGAACCGACATCATTACCAGACCGGATTCTCCGGAGGATCTCGTGAGATTCGGTTTCGGATTTTGTCTGGAGCAGACCGAATAATTCCTCGTACGGGGTTATCCGGTTCTGCAATTCACTGTGTTTTCGCTTTAGGGCCTGGGAGTGAGTCTCTGTAGGAGCTGTGGCGTATCGACATTCGGTGTCATGTCTCACGCAGAGGCTACACTTTGGGCGCTGAGCGTTACACTGCGTACAAGGGGTTGTCAGTCGTGATACATTACACCAGATTTGGGGAACACTTGTTTATAATAATGAGAGATATATTTCAAAGATCTTCAAGACAACTTTCTTACTTTTGACTTCCTCCTTCTACATGCTTCACACGCGGCTGTAACTTGTCTTCTCCCTTTAGAACCGGCGCCCGCAGCGGCACCTTGTCCCGAACCACCTGCCGGGGCCGGTGCAAGTGGAACAAGACGGCGTTTTTTAGGGCCAGAACCGTTTGGTCTTTCACGTTCCATGACTAGAGGGAATTCCCCGTTAGCTTGGTAGGAAAAAACGCCTACCAAGACCAAGGGCAGCAACTTGTTTGTGACGCGACTTATGAGTGTCACCAGCCCTCCACCAAAATGTTATCTGCGGAGTTTTTTCCGGCCATCTGTTCGCAGGGGATTCAACGATGACAACATGTACCTCTCCAGCAAGAATTACTCGACGAGATACATATTAAAGCAGGCTAGGGGGTCAGCCATAGCCCTGCATAGCTGAGTCCCCTAGGACCCTAGCCTAGCCACTTTAGGGATAGATTACTACCAAGTCTCCACAAACTACCGTTCTTTTCGAATTGGTTCGTTGTGTAACATAGAACTAGTTTGACATTATCGCCTACGTTTTTACGAGATTTCGAGATTTTCAAGACTGCTCGGAGTTGAAAGAGTTAAGAATTCAACGTTTTTGCTAGTCGAATTGATTATTAAAAGAAAGCTAAATTTAGATTTAATAGACTAAAGTTGTTTTTATTAAGCTTGTTTCAAGATTTTGACTCTTATCCAATCATTTTTAAGTAAACCGCTCAAAATGGTATAAAGTGGGTCAGGGTACCGGTTTGAATAGCCTCAATATATTTCGTAAATCTCTAGCAAACAAGTAAAAGGAAAGTTATGTTACAAAACAGCAACAATATAGAAAGACTCGAGTTTAGAATTAGTTTTCTATACAGCTCTATTAATATTATAGATACTATATTTTAACCAACAGTTAATTATTAAACACATAAACTAGATTACATTCGAGAAAAATTCTGCGAGCAACTTAATACTTAATAACACTACTATTATGCTTTCTTTGATCCAAGTCTTTCCGAGAAATATAACTTTATTAGGTCTTGCAACATATTCATGACTAAAATTGACTTAACTATTCGTTGTAGAAGCAGTGTCAGATTTCTACCTAGCGAGGTCATATAAGATAATACCATACTGATTATAATATTTTAAGAACTTAACATGAAGAGAAGTAGTGACAGAGACAAAGAGCGTAATCCTTCATTCATCAACGTCTTGGTTCTCATATAGTTTAGTTTAAGCTAAAATATTTCCTAGTATCGAATCATCTTCACTATTGAGAAGGGTGGATGTGTCTCTTAGGATTTATACCCGGTGATTGAAGTCATACACAGAGTGAATGTCTAGGATAAGTAGACCAAGTGGTAAGTTTATATTGAACTAGTAGCATCTACCCTTCTATCTTCTTATATAGTATATGGATCCCTGTTAGCTATCCCCACCCACTTATAGTCTTGTTACCATATATCCCTCGATTTGGACACGCTTTCAAACTTAAACTATAAATATAGCCGACGTATATTGAAAGGCGTTATACTTCTGTATTCTTCGTCCAAATCGAGCCCTCTTAAAATTAATTTAAAGAAAAGAATCAGAATGATACTTCCACTGCTAACTACGCATCTTTACTATCACGAAGTCATAGTAGCTTAGAAGGGAGAAATGCCCAATTTATTAGCTTACATTTCTAACTAGGGAATATAACAATATATAATTCTACGTAATACAGATGTAGATTAATTCATAAGCTGTTATTGTACACTTCCCATACAGCTGCACTCTTCAAATATAAAAATCACAAAGGGAGAAGCAGCCCCACGCGTCGAGCTCGATCATGATTAAGCTCAGAGACGTGTTCTTATTTCTATATGTCAGTATTTATCTTTAGGATGACCCATATACTGGACAGTATCTTCTTTTTACCAAGATGCATGATTAGTTCTTGTCTAGCCCAATTCCATCATATTCTAGGGCTTTGCCTAAACTCTCTGTTTACTTCCCGTCCCCATAAACCTAAAAAATATCGAAACTAAGAGCCAAATATACACTCCAACTAGTCCAATTCCGATTAGAATGATTTTTCTATGTAAACTACTGCCTCCCATGAGGTATATAGAGATTAGGACTTAGAAGAAACCGGCTTAAATAACTATAAATTCAAACTTAGGTGTTTTGCATCGAATAGCAGTTTGTAGATAATGATGCCGCCTCAAGTACCTAGGGTCATTAAGTATTCTTGCATCTTTGATGTTCTAATTATTGTAGTGAAACATGAGTATCGCAATAGGTAATATTAGCTTAGAGGGTAACGAGATGTTAACAAATAAAATGTATTGTAACGATAGAGCATTATTCTACAACTTTTATCAAATACCAGTGGAGCGAAACATTATTATATACACTAACAGTGTCATCAATTAACCTATTCTGTAAAAATACAACTGTTAATATATTGCAATGCATGTCAAGAAGCTAGAACCTATAAACAATTAATTTCTATTTGGTGTCTGTGTGTGTGCCTGAATATGTTAGCTGCGATTTGATACCACGCTACCCCTATATTTCATACGAGCCGTACCTATTAGTAATGCTAAGACTAGAAGCCCAGACTCTTATCTAACGTTACTCTTACGAGATTAGGAAGGCAACCCCAAAAGTCGCTTTAGTAACACGAGAATGAACCAGTAGGTGTCTTCTAGAACCTCTTAAAGTTTTCCCGCCAAGCAGGTTCGTTTGCTTTATAAACCCGATCTCCAAAAGCAGGCTTATACATTAAGATCTTGAGAGCTTCCTAGATAAGCTAGTCAATTGACCTGACAGAGTACGGACAGTTTCCTAAATCGGGATTCTAGATCCCGGAGGCGGAGAGGCGATTGGTTGGTGACACCCCCGGCTTTTTGACGCCGACGGAACCCGTATTCTACAAGATCGGCGTGGAATAGGCTAACTATAGTCTGGTGTTAAGGTGGCTGCATACCGAACATACCTATCTGTTGGGATTACTACCGCTACCTGACTAGTAAGGCACGTTGGGCTCTTTGCACGCCTCGTTCTGGAGGCTGAATGATCGTCGCCGATCGATATACCGATGGATAACATTTACATGTCAGCACTATTGGTGCACATTCAGATATTCCAAGAGGGGAATTCGGCCCTTTCTTATTATCTTATTCTTAAGAGTCTCTTGCATCATTGATAGCGACCACCTTGCTAACCACCAGATCGCGACCTAGGCCGTAAGACCTTATTAATACGAATGCACGTAAGGATGGCGTGCGTGCGCATACGACAATATAGTCGTTCGCATTCTCGGCTTTGTAGGTATCTCTCGTCTCCAACCCCCTTCTCTCTCATCCACATGTCCGGCTTCGATATCGATCTTGTCGACGAAGGGAAAATGGTCACGCAGCCATGAATCAAAGAGCCGCCAAGAGCCTCCATCGAGCGTGGGGACGTGCGGTAATCCTCCTGCCTCTCTCGGCAATTGATAGACATCGCGGCAGAGTGCCAACCTTATAAATCCTCGAGCATTCTATACTATATAACTAAAAGAAGGCTGCCGATTGGACGAGTTATGACATGGGTATAGGCTGGGCGAACAGGGACGCTTTCCCAGCAACCGTGATTCTTTTGACCGTCTATCAGATGGTGGCGTAATTGGGTGCCAAGGTCTAGGCGCAGACCAAAATGCCGGGGGATAGCCCAGAACTCGACTCATGCCGCGCTGCTCTACAAATTAAATCGTCCACCCACCTACCTCTTTAGGTAGATTGAGATACTACGACAGTATCTACGCTCATGATGCCATCTCCCCAAGGCTAACACCCTCGTCTATATGCGGTCGAGCGTATTGGCGACCGCGGCTTCTCGATCCGAGCTGCCCTTATCGCGGCAGCCTTTGTAGATATGAATACTTAAGGACCGCCAGGGCGGAGTCAGCTTTGAAGTTAGCCCCTCCCCTTCTTCTTCTTCTTCGTCTTCATCGCTCGGATACAAGTCGAGAGGATCTGTAACCGTAGTGCAAATCTGGGGAAACAGACGTCAAGCAGGATGAAGTACTCTCTGAACGCAGTCGCCCTTGCGGCGCTCTCTAGCTTCGCGGCGGCAAAGGAGCTACCGCCCGATGATAAGTTAGCGGCGGAGCTCTTCGACAGCGGTATTCGACATGAGCACATCATGTCGACTAAGATGGTACGGAAAACACAATTATGTCGATCATGTCGGTTATGCTAACTAAGAACTCATAGGCGTACTGGGATAGCCGAAGAGAGCAAGGTCTTTTCGACTCTTCCCAATACAAGAGCATGAACTCTGCCGTCGATGTGGTTCCCTGCGTGAACGGAATCGCTGCGCTCCAAGCCGGCGACCCGCTCTACACGTTCAAGTGCAGCAAGCTCGACCTGTACGACTTTCAGTCCCACGCCGACCTCGGCAGCAACGGCGGCGAGGGTGCCGGTTCGTGGGGTTGGACCAGCCCGGACGGCCGCGAATTCGTAGCTATCGCGCAGTCCGACGGTTCCGCATTCGCTGAGGTCAGCCCCGAAGGCAAGCTCATCTACCTCGGCCGACTCCCCCAGTACTCAGCCGCCCAGCCGTCGCTATGGCGTGAGATCAAGGGCTACAAGAGCTACATCGTCATTGGTAGCGAGGCCAACAACCACGGTATCCAAGTCTTCGACATGGCTAAGCTCCTCGACGTCGACCCTGCTAGCCCCGTCACCTTCAACAACGAGGATGACATTTCCCACTTCAACGGCCTTCCCTCCGGCCGTTCCCACACCGTCCAGACTAATGAAGAGGTCGGCTACGCTGTCGCCTCTGGCGCACAGCCGCGCACATCTGCTTGCGCTTCCGGTCTCATCTTCATCGACCTGTCCGACCTGTCCAACTTGACTTCCCCCGGATGCGCCGCCGCTGACGGCTACGTGCACGATGCTCAGTGCCTGATCTACCGCGGTCCGGACGAGAAGTACGTAGGCGAGGATATCTGCTACGGATACAACGAGGACACCTTGACCATCTACAACGTGACGAGCAAGGTGAACCCGACCATCATCTCGCGTACCTCGTACGAGGGCGCCAGCTACACTCACCAAGGTTGGGTTCTCGACACCCAGTGGCAGCAGTACCTCGTCCTAGATGACGAATACGACGAGTACGACGGCGCTGGTCTAGGCGAGCCCGGATACCCCATCACCTACATCTGGGATATCTCCTCACTAGAGGCACCTAAGCAGACCGGTTACTACAAGGCATCCCGCAAGGGAATCGACCACAACCAGTTCGTCAACGGTGACTTCGTATACCAGAGCAACTACGGCGGTGGTCTCCACATCCTCGACATCTCGTCCATCCCCTCCGACCCTACCGGCAAGGGCGTCACCGAGGTTGCCTACTTCGACATCTACCCCGAGGACGATGACGCAGAGGGCGGTGGCCAGGTCGAGTTCCAGGGCACTTGGTCTCACTACCCTTACTTCGCGAGCGGCTACATCCTGATCAACACGATCGAGCGTGGAGCCTACATCGTTAAGCTGTCCTCGTAAGGAAGCGATTGTGCTCATCTAATTTATGATGAAGTCGGGATATTTGGGTAATTGAGATGTCATAGTGATTGATATAGACATGAATTGATTAAAATACATAACAATGCTAATGGTTCAATCAACGTTCGTGATGATACAGTATCGTAGAATGTATGCGTCTCCTGGTTATACATTCGGCATATTAACAATTAAGAATCACGATTTGCTGGCTTCACAATTACATTTACACTTGCACGTCTTCTTCTTCACCTGCAGTAAGTAATCACCGCCGCGCCATGCTTTATACACACCATACAAGCCTTGGAACGGCCGGACATTGCGAAGAATCACGGGCATTCTTGAACCCTCCATGGCCTTCTTCTTCGCGTTCTCGTCAACTTTAACCTTATCATACACACTTGGCAAATGAGATGAATGATACTTCTCGCGCACACTATCGTAAGCAGGCCGATCGTAAGATTTCCAGAACTCCTCCTCGGTGTAGTAGGCTTGGGCATATAGCGTCTTGTTGCCACCTAGCTCGTAGACCTTTTTCTCGATTGCGCGGTTGAGACGCACCAGTTTCTTGTAGTCGCTAGGACCAGGACCCCAAATGCCAAAGTTGAGCATCATCTCCGGATAGTTCGGGTCGGCAAAGTTTGCATGCAGTCCATGTGCTGCATCGGGTGTATCGCGTCGCAGACGTAATGGACACAGCCAGATCGGGTAGATGTTGAATTTCTTGTCTACCCACTTGAAGAACCTATCAGCGTCATCGAAAGGCACGCCGACGTCTTGGATGATATAAGTATCCGACAGGCGGCTCTTGTGTAGAGCATGATACATCACACGGGCGTGCATGTAGTTGTCTAACAAGTAACGCGTTATTCGGTTGAAGGGCGTGAAGAAGTACTTGTAAGCATGTTTGGCCACCCAGAAGCCACCGCGATCCCATCGGAATAGGTAATCGGCTAGAAAAACGTAATCAACAACCGGTTTCTTCGTCTTCTCAACCCTCTTCTGGATATCTAGGTAGAACCATGGATCCTTGCGACGCAAGTACTGTCGGAGCTTGACGCCAATAGGTATAATATCGACTAGACGACCAGAACAAACCACAGCTGACTTTGGCGAAAAGACAATGGCATCGACGAACTCCACAGTAGGATTTGCAAGCTCCTCTTGTATCTTTTTGCGAGCATCAGGGAAGCTTGTTGTATGATAATGCGTCAGCTCTACAAAGGCCATTGCATTTCTTAGCTGGACCTCTAAGAGCGTAACAATCCCGACAGTTCCGAAACCAGATGCTGCACCCCAGAACAGGTCGGGATTCTCGGTCTTGGACGCGTGCACAACTTTTCCGTTAGGCAAGACTATCTCAATCCAGTTGATGGTTGAATCGAAAGGTCCGTAACGGCATGAGCTACTCTCGCCAGCCGAACCGCTGAATCCGCCGCCAACGGTAATACCTGGAAATTCCATAACCACTAGCGGGATCAAGTTGGCGGTTCTGGTTGCTTTGAGAAGACTGTTCATAGAGACGTTAGGTTCTACCAGTGCCGTTTTAGTGTTCTCATCGATACCCAGAACATGGACAAGTTTGCTAGTGTCTATTGTGTTGTCACTGTTCTTCTCCGAAGCACGAGTGCTGTTGGTAGAGCCATGATAGACTCGGAAGGGTTGGCGTCGCGCGTAGAACTCCTGCAACCTCTTGGATATGGCTGCTACTGCCTCCCTGTGGGCGACACATTTGGCGTCCATTATTATTGGTATCTGTATGTATAAAGCAGATATTGCTTTATATTATTCCAATAATGATCGCGTCGGAATGCGAAAACAATGATGAGTGAAGGAGGCTTGGACGGTTATCAGATGCGGACAGTTGGCGGGCAACCGTTAAGAATCCTTATCGCGTTGGCGGAATTAGGTACATATATACTTCAATTTAAGGCATCTACGTTAACGATACCGCTTGAGCAGGCCTATTGTAAGCTGTGAAAGATTGATACTTGTCTGAATATTTCATTTTAATTGATTCATAGTACTTTCACTTATTAACAATACTACAGGTAAAGACTATTCACCTACATCAACTTATTTTAACTACGGTTATGCTATATCATATCCTTGGAAAATTTAACGTGAACAGTGTCATGTCAAGTGTGATATTATGTACCTAAGACAGAGGACAATATTGGTTTTGGCTTCAATCCCATCATTATACCGTAATGCTTTGTATACCAGTGTCTACCTATATATTGCTTAACCCTTAATATTCCCCAAGTCTGTTCAAATAGCGTTATCATATTCGATCAGTTCCTTCATTTCAGTCATTCTGTTTCTACTTGTTTATCCTATAAATACAATTAAATCCATTGTGAAATCACTAGCAACAATAGCCAAGTAAAAAGCCACTATCGCCTCTTAACTCACCTAACCCTGCCGTCTGGGGTACGGTACGGGGTAACCCCACAGCTCCCCTCTTCGGTAAACAATTCCACGAACGCTATACCCTGTAGTCTTCCACCTTGCGGAGACTAGGTATCATTAACTTGCTTAAACAAGGTAAACCATGCAAGTCAAGCTGTCAAGCTCGGGTGATATTCTCCCTTCTGCTGTTAGTTGAAGATATGGATTCATAAGATCAGGAATAAGTTCTAGGTATATGGGGAATATTATTTATAAATAAGTAGTGTAGACTTATCTTTAGTAACTTCGTAAGGAGGGTTGCGATCATATATTTGTTCGAGGCCCGTATCGACCCCTGTTACAATATTGGGCGTTATCATGAGGGTTAACATACTAGCTCAATGGGCTTCGGTACTCGCCCTTCTCCCTTTGGCCAATAGCGAGCCTTCCATGACTATCATCAACGAGAATGTGACGCATATCTCCAATGGCGATACCTTCTCAATGGACGTTGAATCGTCCGGCTACGTCACCAAAATGTGGTGGAACGGCCGGGAAATCGTAGGTAACGCGACCGGAGGCTACACCGACACGGGCGGCAAGACGACGTTCAATTTTACGTCCGGCCCGACCCTAATCGAGAAGAAGGACTCCATGATCCATGTTAAATTCAACAACTCCTATTTCGGCGATGTCTATTACGTTCTTTTCAGCGGTCTAAATGGCCACTACCAATACGTCATCAACCGGAATCTAGGATACCAGGGCGAGGTTCGGAGCTTATACCGCCTTGATCCGCTTCAGTTTACTTGGGGTCGAACCAACATCAAGAATGCGCCGTTGCCCACGATCCAAGATATCAAGACTGGGTATAAGGTGCAAGATGAAACTTGGCAGAGGCCTAATGGTAGTTATATTACTAAATACGATTTCTCGTGCTATGTTAGAGACCTCGACTTCCACGGCTTATACGGAGATGGTGTTGGGGCTTATGTGATCGCCCCGGGGAAGGATTACTATATTGGCGATCACCTCAAGCAGGAACTTATGCTTCACAGGGAGAGCTCTACGGACGATGCAGTTCTGCTACACATGTATCACGGTGAGACCACAATTTGCTAGCGAATCCTTTTTAATAGGACTAACGTCTGGCCTAGGGTCACACTACAACTCTGAATTCAGCAACCTGATCCCGCCGAACAAAATGTGGGGACCATGGCTCTTCTACATCAACAACGGCGACTTAGACGACGCCGCGGCGCGGAGCAAAGAAGAAGACGCAGCGTGGCCGTACCCCTGGCTCCAGGACACCAAATACCGCCAGCGAGGCACCGTGCGCGGGCAGCTAGTCCTCAGCGACGGCCGACCCGCAGCCGGCGCGGCTATCTTCCTAGGCGATGAGGACGGCGCCGAAACTAATAATCAGGGCTCTAACTACCAGTACACCACGTATGCTGATATTAACGGTTCCTTTGTCCTGAGCCACGTTCGACGGGAAAAGGGGTATCGCCTCCTAGCGTGGGCTAACGGGGGTGCTCTTGCCGACGTAGAAGGCGTGCACAATGGTACGGCGGTGGAGTTCGCTGATACAGACCTTTCCGATGTCGACTTAGGTACCATTGTATGGGAAGTTCCAACCGGTAGGCATCCAGCATGGCAGATCGGAGACTTCGACCGCAAGACACTCGGGTTTAAATTAGGCGGAGTGCAGATGGAACACGGCCTAAGTGATGCGTGTCCGGCGAACCTTGTATACGCCATTGGCTCTAGCCAGGAAGATGACTGGTGTTTTTCACAGAGCGCACAAGGGAACTGGACCGTGGTTTTCCCCGAAGCAGACCCAGCAGCACGGGAGCGCGGCGCTATCCTCAGTCTCTCGTTCGCGGGGTACACGAGCCAGAACGGATATGGACTTGGCAGGGACTCGTACGCTTTTCCGGAGGTAGAGCCCACGGGTCTTAATGTCAGCATGAACCAACAGTTGGTCGGGACCATCGTGAGCGAAAATGCAACAGACGGGGCGCTGTATCGGAGCGCGACGACATCTGGTGGTTATTATGCTAGGCAGTTCACTATTCCCGGTGAAATGTTCCTCTCTGACAGGGCCAACAGGCTGGATTTGTAAGTTAACCCATCTCTAATTCGCTGCCTATCTTAAACTAGAGAGTCTCTTCCGATCTCCTCCATGGGCTAGTGTGTTCGTGCTAACTAAAACTTAGGACTCTGACGCAAAACCACAGGTGGAGGGGGATAATGTGGGATGCGCTCAAGCTTGAGTGGTTGTGATTATATCGTATACCCCTATCTGAAGAGGAAGTATTTCCTAAATATACTGGAGCACCCTAGGGATGCTACTATATAAAACAACTATTTCATACACATCAAGTTAGAACCGACATATTTACCAATGATTAAACCTGGCTATTGTGTATTATAATTTTTAGAGAGATTACAATTCAGAATCAACCACTGATGGCAATCCAGGAGGCAACATCTATAAGTTTGATAGAAACAATTATGTGTAAGGGTATCATTGGAATTACGCAACGCCTAAATAAGCAGACGCCCCCTATGCAAACTGAAACTTCCATATATCATGAATGCGAAACGTATGACCTTCATATGGTGTTCATTCGGCGTTCCTGTTTAATCACAATCTAGAATCGAGATTGTGCTCTTTTGATCATCATGGCACGTGTCCGCACCCTCTTAGCCTCCTGCTTCCTCCTGATAGTTCTAACATGTCTTCGCTGTCGGAACCTAACCGCCCAGGCAAATATCGTGTCTCGCATCAAGACTAGGATTGTTACTAACATAACGGGAACTGCAATCCACCAGCTGTTGTGTGTTAGCAAACATTTACATGGGTATTCATATCAGGGGTAGACTCACAAGTAGGAAACAGAGCCTTTGATCGGCTCAAAGTCACCAAAGTTCTGACCAAAGTATCCAGTTAAAAATGTTAACGGCAGGAATATGATGGTAACGGTGGTCAACTGTTTCATGTTCTCATTTTGGTTCGTTGTAACAGTATTAAAGGTGAGGTTAATCATGTGATTAGCCAACTCTTTGATCTGATTGAGACCTTCCGTGATGAGAACACAATGATCGTACTAGAACGTGTGAATTAGTGATTAAGTTGGAAGAGGGAAAATGGGTGCTGAAAAAAAGCGCCTTAAAGGCATAACACTTGAGAAAAAACTTACCACATCGCCCAAGTAGGTGCAAGTCAGCGGTGAGATGATAACCCCTCCGTTGGGATTCTGCAGTTCCCGCGCTGTGGCTTCCTGGCTCAACTTCGTCTTGTGGTCGCGGAGCGCACTGATAAGCGTTTGAATTGGGTTGATGAGACTGTACAATTTGCTGACTTCGGAGATCACGATGTAAAGATACTTGGTGTCGGTGACCTTGGGACTTATGAAAAAGTCAAGCTCCAGATCCTCGATAACATCCCGGTAACATGCGGTAACTGGTATAGCCATGTCGATTATTGCGTCAATAATGGCCTGCGAAACCATTGACGCGTCACAAGATTTCCTTAGGATTGTAGTTGGGCTTGCTAACCGAGCCAGTATAGGCTTCTCTACATCATCGGCCGACTGCTCAAAGAAGGCAATTACTGTGTTATCCGAGGTTATGAACATAGCAACTTGCTCAGCAGTGACCGCTACGCCTCTGGAGATCAAAGCCGAGTTCTTCTCCATGTATTCTGTTCTTGCAGAGTTTGGCGAAGCATGATATCTCTGTAATGTACGTAGAGTGTTTGGGTTGAAGACATTGGAGAGATTAGTCGGTTGATGTGCAAAGCTTTGAACTGGTGTGGACGTTGACTTTGTGCCACTCTCAAGCGCGGTATCGCCTTTCATGGAATTCTCAGATTTTCTGCGGAACCATTGCCTAGCCTTCTTGCCTCTCGTTTTCACACCCTTTTCGTCATCGCTGCTGTCGTCGTCACTGCTGTCATCCTCTACTATGCGGACCAGCTTCTGACACGTGAGAACAATGAAAGCATGATTAGTATACCTTTTGAAGGACAGTAATTAGTCACCTAGTTTATTTCTCCAGAATGGGATTTCCTTACCAATCAGCTTTGGTGCGATTCCTTGTGTTCATGATATCCTCAATTGCCAATCTATGTAGGTCTTTGTATTGACCTAAGGCTTGAATGACATCCCATGATAGACCATTGACGTTGATCCATCGACATTTTACCCAACTAGGTTGTGGCTTTTGGACAAAATCGATAAGTTGATGATTGTCCAGCTCATGTATCTCCAAATTGTCTTGAGAGAAGTCGACAACTGTTATTTGACACTCTGCGTGAAGAGTGGGTACCGTATCTTGACCACCATCGGGCTTTGAAGGGTCAACACCTGGTTCAGCACCCGGCTTCCAACCTGGCTGGCTTTCAAACTCTTCAAACTCTTCTACAGTCAGGAACGTATTCGATCTAGTCATACGTCGTCTGAATGCAGAAATCGGCGAAACTGGTGCAAGATTATGCTCAGCAGATTGTCGAGGAGTTGAAATCTTGACGTGTGAGCTACGGTGTGAACCACGGTGCGCCCTAGTTCTATCTTGTGGACTCTCCGAAGATGTAGCAAATGGTGCGCTTATACTGGGGGTAGACTTGGGAATTGGCGCCGATGTTGTAGGACTAATGTCAGGTAGATCGTCCGGTACATCGGGAAACTTCTCCAACGCCGTACTGTTTGAAGAAGATCGGTGCGACATTGTGCAAGATTGGGACTAATTGTCCTTTCGAGTCGCAAGATGAGGTTCAACTTGATCAACAACTCTAGGACAATGGCAGCGGGTAGAAGAAAGGATAACTTCTACTAATCTAACCTTCTCAAAGGATTAAGAAAGTCGCGCGCGCGTTCGCCATTTGTTGTCAAAGACAACCCTACCAGTCTGAAACGAGAAGCTGAGAAACTGGGTACAGTCACCAACGTTTTGGGTGCCGATAAGTAGAACCCCTAAGGAGCTGTGATGAAGGAATTGAAGAACCGAATAAGATATTCAATAAATATGTCCATTGATTGGCCACAGGTTGTAGGAATATCTAATGCTTGCATATAGATATTTTAAGAAAGTTGGAAGTGAATATGTCGAATGTTGAGGAGACAGAGTGACTGACTAAGGACCCAAGGTTACTAAGGTATTCCGTACTGTGAAAATAAAATAATTCCCCACCTGAAAGCTTGGAATAGGCTATCCCGCGCAGGGGTCAACACTTGGCAATTTGAAAAGAGATGACGCTATTGGATACCGATATTGAATTTTTAGATACGTACTAATCTTGTGTAACGGAATAAAAGATAGTCCAATGTGGCATGTTCTAGGCTTAGATTAAGCTTTTTGTGCATTAGGTAATCGTATATAAGGTTCTTCTAGTACCTGAGATGCGCAAGAATAGAATGCAAAATCCATGGAAATATGGAGTAGGTACATCTATACAATTGAGTGTGTACGTTATACTTACTTAGGGCAAAGCTAATTGGTATATGACGTATTGGCGTTCCTAAACAACAACATTTTATCTATAACTACATGCAAACCACGCAAACATGTTCAAGCTAGATACATAAACGTAGGTGAATCTATCCATTCATAAGACCTTACCCACTGGTATATCTCTGCGATCATGGCTGAATATGAAGCTCGCCGGCTTGAGAATATTAAGCGTAACGAGGCTCTTGTGAAAGATCTAGGTCTACATAATAGCATCATCTCTTCAAGCAAAAGAAATCAAAAAGTTAAAGATTACAACCCATCTCCTGTAAAACGCCGCAGACTCTACATTAATTCCCCTAGGCGCTCGTCAGCTCGCCTTGCAAATTCTCTAATAAAGCTACCCCTTCAGAAAGATGTCCAAGACGATTCAGACTCATCAAGTAATCGGCCTCATAAGGGTCGAGTAGCAAAACCCAGCCATGGTGATGAACTTGCCTCTAAGCTTTCCAGTCCAGAACCAGAATCTAGCCCAGATTTTGATGCTCTAATTACAAAATGGTCTTCGTGGACTCTTGCAGCACCTCCCCCAACACGCGACGATGAGGGGAACTATCACTTTGAGTCGCATCCTACATTTACCCCTAATAAGTCACCCGAGGCTATCATTCGTGAGGGTTCTTTTGGAGGAACATACTGGCGTCCCCTTTACTCCCAACATCTTCACACTACCATAACCGACGACTGGAAAGAATTACCAGCAGAATGGACCGAGGGTCTTGACGTAGGAAAGTACCTCACTAGCGAGACTGTCAATCCGGATATTAATAAGTACGGAGTCGCATGTGGGCAGACTATCGAGCAATGGGAAGCTTCCGGATGGATTATGCACGAATACGACGTCCGCGGCTGGTTTCAGTGGTATTGCAGATTCTGGCAAGGACGTCGCTGTCCGGACGATAACCGACAAGTAAGTAGGTGGAAGAAGTGCGTTGGGGAAAAGGGAAGATGGCGAAGGACTCTTCTTAAGAAGTACGTGCAAAACGGTATACGTAGCGTAATTGATGAGGGAGAAGATGATCAGAAGGAAGAAGTGAGTCCTGTTATACATCAGACGTGCCATCATTGGGCTTGGGAGGTCAGGCAGGAGGTATTAGATCGATTTTGGGAGGAGTGCAAATAGTTCTTCACCCTATTGCCCATGATATTTCGGCCATTGAATTCATAGCTATGAGAAATGATGCGGAATTTGGCAAATATGGAGATGTTGGATAGTAGTGTAAACGAGACTCTAGCGAAAAATGAGTGCTATTAGCACAATTCACATTTCTCAAATTTTCACTCCTCATAACCATACGTCAGGAAACTACTCGCCAGCCACCCATTCTCCACGCTATACTCATCAGCAAAGGTCGACCCGTGGAGAATCTTATAGTCCACCATTTCTCCGCAGCCCAGTGTCGAGTTTCCGTCGCATTCATGACTTTCACCCTGACCAAGCAGACCAGCAATACGCATCCCGACATCCCGGCCCTCAAACCAGGCCCCGTGTAAAAACCCATAGTATTGCGCCGAGGTGGCCTCACCGGCGAACCAGAGCCGGTCTACGTTGGCTCGAAGATTTTGGTGCTTCTCCAACGTCATGCCTACCGGCCAATTGCTGTAAGAACCATAGGCCCATCTTTGAAATAGGTATCAGTTATACGTCTTTTAGTCAGGGGCTCCCACTTACTCTTCCGTGCTCCATCGTGGATAGTGGAAATCGATAGGATCTGGGATCTCCTTGTCTGGGAACATGGTCCTAAGAACATCCATGACCTCTGCCTTCGTTTCCTCGTCGGATTGCTGCTCAACCCTGTATGACTGGCCATCAACCACCGTCACGAAGATGATGTTGGACTCTTCCATAAAGCCAGGGGCGGCAAGTGACTGCCAGACCGGATAATAACCTCGGGACTTGTCGTCAGCGTAAAGGAAGAATTCCGTATTCCGATCCCAGAAGGTTTCGTTGAACTGCAAGAAGATTTTGGTGTAGGTGCCCATCTGGAATTGCTCGATAGCTTCGCACTTCCATCGTGGTAGCGGAGGGTCGAATTCAACCACATTGTTCTGCAATACCCCTACCGAAAATGTCGCAATAGCATCTAGAGATTTTAAATTAGTAATGGATACACTAATAGAGGCATAATTCTCAATCAATGGGCTCTAGGTAATATAGGCAAATTGGAATGAGAAGTAGGGGGGTTGATCAACTGACATTCAGCTTCGATACACCCGCCATCTTGAAGCTGAACAATCACACCATCGGGACCGTATGAGATAGTTGTCACGGTGGTCTCCAGCAGAAGTCGCGGATCATTATCCTCAAGGAATTCGTACGCTTCCCCAACGACGAACGTGTTAAAGCCTCTCTGATCCCACACGAAGTTGTTCTCGTCGCTGAACTGGTAGAAGGTCAAGTTATACCCCGTGATACCGAAAAGAAGCCCGCTCTGTTCGGGCGCCCAAGCGGTTTCCCAATCCCACTCCCACCACTCGAGAGCTTGAGCGCGCATATCCTTCTTGGGTTTCCAGCCGGCAACGCTGAATCCTGCGCGCACGCTGGTGTCTTGTAGGTTATCAGTGAGGATATACCCGGCATCTTGCTCTACCGTTGTATATGCATTTTCAAACGTTTGGAATAAGCCACTAAAATCAGCAACGCCGGCCCCGTCGTACGTCAATATGGAGCTGTAATTCGAGTACGTGTTATTCAGCCCGTACTTTTTCGCCAGCGTCCATATGGGATTCTCAGGTCCGCCCTCAGAGCCCAGTCCTTGCACCCAATTTGCGCCAAGCTCAATAACATAGGGAGTCCCGTCAGGTTTCGATCCGAAATTAGTATGCGCCACTACATCCAAGCACCCTGGAATTAGCACGGAATCATCTTCATTTCTATTTCGGACATGCTAAAGTATTCAAACATCGCTCTTCTCTTCAAATGATCTTTCGAAATTATGAATAATATGAAATAATATGAAATAATATGAAAATCAGAATAAAACTAGGAGATATTATGCATACCGCGACCACCAATATAGTCGTTACGATCAACAATTAAAAAATCTGAGACCGAGGCATTCGACAACGCCTGAGCAGCTGTGATACCGGCAACTCCCGCTCCAAGTATCGCCACCGTCGTTTTGCGACACTCGATCTCACTGTTTACTCCCCGCGTTACCACCCTCCCAGCACATCCAAGAGGTGCTGCAAGGGCGTACAGGACAGTGAAAAGCCGCCGGTCGGTTAATTGCATCGTAATGCGCTACTTCCCTAGGTTTGGAAGGAGTTGCGTTAAGAGAACCGTGTCGGCAACTCACCTAGATAGAAGCTTTATATAGGTAGGTATCTAATGTTCCCTATCAATTGACAAATGGCAACGACAGCATTGATTATCACAACATCCCGCCCAAGGCCCCCCTGCGGCTGATAAGGCGTGCAGAGCCGAGGCAGCTGTAGCTGCATTAGGCCTGAAAGCTGATGTTCCCACCCGCAGGATCTGCATGCTGAGGTATGATAACGATCCTTGGCTTGCAGATATTAAGCGGCTTCCAGCAGCTCGAGGTTGTATTGCGACGCAAACGCAGCTCAGCTAATTTACCGGTATGAGGACAAAATGGTTACAGGTGTAGTCTGCATGAGCTGCGACGTTTAAAGATCAACTACATAGGACGAGACACGCGGAGTCCTTGATGTAAAATCTAGGTGTCACAATATCGGCATCTAGGTAATTAGGTACCTAGATTTGGCAGCGATAGATTGCTGTTAAAATTGACCGGGGTTGGGTGAATCGGGAAGGAAAAGAAAGTTCAGAGACCTGGTGGCGTCACAGTCGCATTACACCGGCAAGGGGAAACCGGTTTTACTATTGTGCGAGGTACTGCAAATTTATTTAGGATTAATCAATAATAAGGTATAGACCCTTCGTTTTAAAGTTTATTTGAATTGACGACGCTCAATTTCTTATGTCTGGAATCAGCCAGTAACGGGGGTAGATACATGTATGTCCCCGGTGCTAATATATATACATGTACCAAACTAATAGCAAGAACTAGGATATCTCATGTAAAACTTAAACCTAAATGTCATGGTATAAGAAGTAGCCACGCTACTAAACAGTTCAAGTTAAGTTTATCTCAATTTCCCGACCTCCTCATTATAATTCTTCATTCCTCACGTCGTATTTCTGACAAGGTTGCTCATTCATACAAAGCGGTGGTGGCCGTTGCTGCCAGTAATCGTGGCGGCCGATGACAGCAGAGTAGTTCAGACAGCTGGGGTTATAATGGTCTTCAACATTTCCAAAAGGCCACATCGCGACGAAGCATAACTCGTCTGCTTGGCAAGGGCCGCATTCCTTCCATTCCGACCAACGCAGTATTCCCATTAGGTCATGAATAATCTGCTTTGCCGTATCGACTGCTAATTGTTCATCAGCATCTGTATCCTCGACGATAACTTCTCGCGTCTTGAAAAGCGCAGTGCAGATCGTGGTGGTGGTTCTCTCAATAGCCGCGTATATGAGCTCATCTTCTTGTGTCCGTATATGCGCAGGTTGAAGATAGAACTGCACACAGCGGTGTCGCGCAGCCAAAAAGCCGTCGTCGGTTTCTGCGTAGTCAATGAAGATGTTTAGGAGGCCGTTTATTTCATTTCTTATGACGTCAATCGAATCCGTTTGAGCAATAAAGGGTAACCGTTTGGCGTATCGGGTCACAATCATATCCGTTACCCCTTGCCAATCTACAGGAGCTTTTCGGGATGATACCGACCGAAGCACCAGCTCGCCAACTTGTTCCCTCACGACACTCATCTCTGCATCGCTAGCCTGCGTTAATCGTGGTAGATCTGGTCTCTTCGGATCCGGGTTGGTCAAATTGATTGGATAGAAGAAAGCAGAGACCACGGAGGAATAATCAAGTATCACACGCGATGAACCGATACCTTGGTACCTCTGGGAAGCTGCTCTCGCCCATTCGAACATTGCAATTTGCATGTTATCCAGATCACCCGGCTCGTCTGTTGCCGGCCGCCGGTTGGTCGATAGGAGTCTTAAACCCTCTGTAAAATCACAATAGATGACCTCGAAACCAGGTTCCATACGTATAAAACCATCAATCTTCCACATCCGAGCCAGCGCACATAGGCCATCGGCCCTTTCCCAATCATTAAATGAGGACCGGCTTCTATTAGCTGATAGTAAGATATCCTGGGTATCGACCGTACCCATGACTGTCTTACCAGCCGCCATGCCATCGATGTAAAGGATATTCAGCGGTCGTGAAGCCTGATAGATGTGCAAGTGGCCTGCTGGGGAGTGTGGGGGACATCTGGGCCGCGAGTCCTTGTCGGGCGGCGGTGGAGGAAGATGCATAGCAAACTCCATGGAACCCGGGCTTTTATAGGCGTGCTTCCGGGGCGGTCCACGACAACGAGCAAAAGATTCCGCATGCTCTATTTCGAATGCAAGCCATTCCAACCCCTTGGGTATTTCTTTGGTGTCGGTTCCATGATACAAGAGCACACCCTCGGGTATCACTGCTGGAAATAGAGACATCCCATTATGATGTAAGGCCGACCCAAACTCGCGCATCGCATTGTGAAGGGCATTGAATATCTGGGGGCCGTTCTCGCGAGCGCTGTCGAGATTTGGACTGAATCCATCTGGTAAGTCGGCGTTGTTAAGGGCAATCGACGTTGTTGCAAATACCAGCGTCGCTAGCTGGAGCAATGTGATAGGCGGTGACATTATAATTTATTAACATAAATTGGACTACCTCCTACAAAATTAATTTTTTTTGCTCAAATCGAAAGAGCCTTAAGTTTAACATATTGTAAACAAACACCAAATGCTATCAAATATATCGCTTACTATCTCTAGATGACTACCAAATCGGCGTGCTATATTGAGATTAGCTCGTCCAGTATTACGCGTCACACGATACAAAGGTACTTTCTTATCAGGTCGTTGCAGAATGAAGACCCTTACTTTCATGACCTATAGGCCAGGTTAGGTAGTGGACATTTGATTTCAAGCGAGTTACGTAATTGTATTTGAAGGATATTTCTTTCAATTAACACTGTTCTACAACCCCTTTTCTAAGCTTTACTATGGGCTGATGGTTTCGTAACGATACATACGAATACCTCAATTCTAACTCCTTTTAATCCGTAGCCCACGCCCACAACTTTCCTAATGTCTTCTTAGATGTCCTTAGCATGAATTTCGCTAACTCACGATGTCCTTTCTTATCCTCCTCGGGAACTTCCATATCTTCTTCGTGGAATTTCTTGTTGGCTCGCTTTGCTATGTCCAGATATTCTTGCCGTTCGTCTTCGGTGCCACCAAACGTACTGACAAACCCAGCGTACTTTAAGAGGATCATGTTGAGCAAAATCCGACACATTCTACCGTTTCCATCTCCGAAAGGGTGGATGCAGACAAGACGATGGCAGTATCGGCTTGCCATATCAAAGGGGTCAATGGTTCCGTTTTCCTCCGCTGCGATCATGTCTTTGTGTAGATCGCCCACCAACTCCTTCATGTAGGTAGGAACGGTGGATGCACGTATGAAGATGGATTTTTTCTTCATATCCTGACCGTGTCTTGCGGCGATTTCCCAAGTCCTGTATTCCCCGGGTCGTCCTGCATCTTCTCCCAAGACCTTTCCAGCACCTAATATGCCATGTACTTCTCGAAGAAAGTCTTCCGTGACTGGTTCGCTATTGAGGATGATGTGATCGATAGCATAGTTCAAGGCTTTGGCGTGGTTAATAACCTCCTGTCGACTTCGCACGATTTCTTCGGGCGAGTTAGGTCGTTTCAATGCAATCAATGCAGCCCTTGCTTGCTCGTATTCTGGGCTGTTTGGTTCGACTTCGGCTTGAACTTCCTGACCTCGGAAAATAGCACGGCACAACTTCTCCGTCACATCAAAATCAGAGCCGGTGACTTCGATGAAGTTTGATGAGTAGACAAGTTCAATAAGACTATCCTCGATCGTTGTTCCAAGCTCCCCAGATTCTTCGGTAATGGTGGTAGATTTATCCCTGGTCAACTGGATGATCAATGCAGGATCAGCTGGGAACTTTCGCTTGGTTATTTCTTCTCTAAGGTAATGTGAGGTCCGAATAGTAAAGTCGATTATTTCCGAATTCCCCCTAATGCTCAGCCATCTTGGCCAGCCCTCGCTCGTTGATGCTATTAATTTTGAGATCATTTTGCAACCGAATTCGAGACGAAGGAGATCAAATATGATTGGTTATGTGAACTTTTAAATTGAAAGATAGCGTTTGTTTCGTTAAAACTCATAGTATATGGGTTAGAACGCGCAAAGTCCACTCTGGCTTCCTGGTATAAAGTAATTTGTATGGTATCGCTTTCTACCTTTGGTGGTCGTAGGTATTTATAGTAATTTGATTGATGCGGCAGGAAGGGTAAAACCCAAAGTTTAGATTAGTCGGTACCCAACGTATGAAAGTTTCAATACAGGAACCCATGATGAAGCTTTCTATTATGACCGTGCGAAGATTACGGAGGTAACCATCTGACGAACATTGGCCATATAGAGATGCTAAAGACCACGCACCTACCACGTAGAGGTATATACAGTTATCTTAAGTAGGTACGGTAGGTAAATGTCGCTTCAATAAACATATATCTATAGTAGGAGTATCTCATTAGGACGCAAGTCACAAAGTATTAGCACTTTTTCACTGATGTACACGTAGACTACTGCGGTAACCTACAGGAACTAGGGCCTTTTACTATGTTTAAATTATGCAATATAATAGCGTATACTTAATATGTCTATTATTTGTTAAGAATTCCCAATGCCATATAAACTAATCATCCTATCCTTGAGCTAGTTAAGTCGCGATATAACGATTCTAGGTCGCCCACAACACAGCTGAAGATGGCGTCCTGAAGTCCTGGATCCTCCAACTGCTCGGTGGCTAAGCCGAAGTCGCAGTCAATCAGTCTCTTGGTCGCATTCCTAAACCTCTTCCCAAGATAGGAAAGCCTCGCTGCTTTCCTGCGAACTTGTACATGATCTTCCCAGGCAATGCGCTCCCAAAGCCCAATTTGTAGAAGAGCTACCCCCAGAGCGTATAACGTTATATTTCTTATACCGTAGTTCTCCATAGCCTCTTGAACTGACTCTAAGGGTAAGGAGTTGGGTATGTGGTTCTGTTCGCCTTGAGGGGTAATATTTGCTCTGGTATCTTCTGCGGCGGACGGGATCGCTTTGAGCTCTGTAGAAAGGTGTACTGTATCAAGAGACGAGGACAGGTCTTCGGTTTCGTCACAGAAAACGTATACTTGATTAAGTGTCAACCCCTGAGGCCACCATAGCGTCGAGTGATATTTTAGCATTGACTTCACCAGCGTGATTCCGAGTTGAATGCGGTCTTTGTCTGATATAACTTGATAGGCAGGGGTACCAAGAAAGTCGAATAGGGGTTTCTGCGATTTGAGACAGCTAGGATCAGGTCGCAGCCTTCGTAGACCTCGGTAGAGAATAAGCCTCTGGTTACCCTCAATATTCAAGTACCCAAGAGAGCCCTGTAGTAATGATTGACAAGAGATGGGCCAATTTAGATGTAAGCTTTCGCACTTGATCCTTATTTGGGTCAAATCTTCGCCCTCACCGTCCGGTATACTGATAGATTCGGCGGTCGACTTTGTAACAATGGAATGCTGACCGTTATTTTTCTTGAAAACTCGTCTCTTTTTCAGAGTGATGCTCGCTATTGAGTTTGTAGTAGGCGGTGAAATAATGTCGCTTCCAACGTCCCTACAGATTACATGGATAGGTATCCTATTGTGGTGTCATTACCTAGAAGATAGTATCAAATCTTTGGGGTTTCTCACAAACCTTCGAGAAAAAATCTTTGTCCCTCCACTGTGCTCGAAGAATAGATCCACAATAGGCTCTTTCTCGTCTGTAGGGTTAAGCAAAAGTTTGGCACTATGGCAAGTGGTGATGCTCCCATCGCAGGACGACCAGCTTTGTAGTAGATGATAGAGATGCGAACACATGTTTCGAGTGTTCTCATACACGTATGGTATCGTAAGATGAGCCGTATTTGTGGAGTCTTGTATCTCGGCAGCTATTTTTCGGAGTCTTCTCAATTCTGCATTATAACCTTTCAAATCTCCAAGAAGTTCGTGGTACTCCTTTTTCCTGAACACAAGTCGAAAGGCATCCTGGACCTTCTTCGACGGAGTTGCCTAGAGAATTTTTAATTCTAATTTTAATTTAGCACAGCACGTAGCACTTACTGCTGCTCCAGGCTGAGCAAAGAGAGAGAGCTTTGCTTCGAGCTTGTCAACTATTCCCTCAACTTCTTCAACAGTTTCTCTGAAAGAATCGTATTTAGGGCCTAGATATGATTTAACTTTCCTCTCCAGATCTTCAGCCTTCCATTGAGGATGATCATGGTCGTTCATCATGGTAATAACGACCCGATGATCAAGTATATTGAGCAAGAGAAGGTGATTCTCATCTTGAAAGCAATCTGTTTGGATCTTCAACTTCTTTAGGACTCGTCCAACCTCTTCATTATGACGGCTAAATGCTTTAAGCTTAGAATATAAATGAATTAACCCTTCGATAGCAGCTATACAAAGGGGGGTAATGCCGAGAGCCAGCGATACCGGATCTGCCATATTTATTTCTATAAATCGATATTAAAGAAGGTAAATATGATATTTCCCTCTTTGAGGGAATATTTCAAAAGTAAAGGATATTAGGAAAGTCGGGGCTGTGATCATTCCATTCACAGCCTCGCCGACCTCGGGTTATACAACATATAGAGTCTGCTGACCATCATTGAATTCTAGCAGCGGGGTGAACGAAAGAGTGTGCGCCATTTTATCTTCAAAGTAAAATCGTTAAACACTATTTACTGTTCATAATAAGTATTCATTTCTATGTCAGATTCGAACCAACCGAGCAGAGAGGATCCAACTACCCGGCCAGTCTTTCGGGTGTACCAGTGGTTGTTGGATACCTCTCAAGAAGATGATGAGCTCCATGACGGAATCATAACTCGCCTTTTCAATGCAGGCCATGATCTATATACCGCTCTTATTAGGGATTTACCCACCGACAAACCTTTATCCGAGCCATTATATCATCAACTACAGAGTGGCTATTCACACTATATAATTTGGGCCCGTGATTACGGCGTTGAAGATGGGGCACTGGACAGCCTACTTCAGAATTCCCGACAGCTTTATACATTTACTATAGAGGTACTGGTCAGTACTTGCGCAGCGCTACACAGTGGTATGTCAACCTTGTATAGAAATGCCATATCTTTTTCTTTAGCTAATATCCTTTTTAATTCTAGTATGCAAAAACCCGATGCTAGATACCAAACTCGAAAATATAAACCTAGTTACTTCGATAGTGACTGAGCAGGCTTCGTGCATAATTCGTGATACCTCAGACCCTTCCGATGGCGAACTTGGTACGAGTAGCGACGAGAATCAAGAGGACGATAAAAATCTACAAGATGCCATCGAAACATTGCTATATGAGATCGAGTGTTTGTCAGACCTTGGTCCAAGATTGGAAGAGCCTGTATTCGACTATTCTATTGAGGAGCAAGCAGCGTCACTAAGACCTCCCATTACCTCAGGCCCTGCTAGGTATTTCGTTGATATTGTATTAACTAAATTTCCAAAGTGCGACTTTGACTTTGCTGTCGCAATAGGTCAAGCGAACTGGGATTCAACAATTAGACTACAAGAAAAACGGAGTATTACCTTGGAGTCGCCCTACGAAACTACTGCTGATAAGCCAATCACAATTTTTCATGATTCCGGCTTAGGGGGTAGCTTGCCTAGAGTCAGCCTCCGTACAACTACTATCCTCTCCTCTAATGGAGATGACGCCAATGGAGATAGCATTATGGGAACAAGGATCCCGTCGCTTCCAAGAGAAATAGAAGCAGGTCAATTATTCTCTTGCATGATATGTGGAGAATATATAGAGAAACAAGATATGAGAACGTGGAAGTAAGACTCAAAACTCATTTCCCTCTTCGTCTTGCGACTACTTACCTTAGGTACCTATGTACCTATATAGGAAACATCTATTCGCTGACCTTCAGCCTTGGATCTGTTGCCAGATCGCCTGTCCGTGTGGCCGTAAACCCTTCGAAACCAGGGAAGAGTGGGTTGAACACCTTTACAAGGGACATAAAAGCCATCCAGAGTGGGATGACAAAACGTGCCCGCTATGTCTTATGGTTATTAATGAGGGTGGTCTTACAACACTTTCCCATATCGCGCGACACCTAGAAGAAATATCTCTTGCAGCTTTACCTTGCTACCCTAAGTATGAGGATGAGGATGAGGACGAAAGCACCGTACTATCATCCGGTATTTTATCATTAAATCAGAGTGGTATTGCATTAGACAACGGGATTGCGTCTAGAGGGGTTCCAACGATAAATACTACTCATCCGGACAATGACGCAACTGAACCTCTCGATAGCACGACTATCAACACCACATCGATAGCTTCGCAGCCATTGCCGCGTTTTTGGTATTGTGTAGGTGCTCCCCTTCTTTAGTACAACACCTAAATATTTTACGGCTACTAATTTATACAGTGTTCGTGTGGATTCGGCCCGCTAGAACTTTCTGGTAAACCGTGTATTCATTGTGATTATCATCAACGGTGTGGGAGTTGTTCGGTCGATACTTAGGCGATCGCGTCTGTTGATCAACTTCTTAAGTGAAACGAGAACATTTTTTACATTAACTACGCAATTTATATGTTTCTTTCTAATCAATTTCCAAAATTTAAGAGACAAGAGAATTATTGAGACCATCATTTATTTAACTTTTTCATAAATCTATCATTGTTTTACGTATACTAGTTGCTAGGCGTGATATTTTACTTTCCTTAACATAACATTTCAAGCAGTCTTACCAGTTGACTCTACGGACGATCTTGCGAGGGGTTTCATCACGTCCCCACAAAGTCATGGTTTGCCCTTCAGCACACTTAACAGTAGGGGCCATTTGCATGACTGTAGACCACGAGCCAGAAGCACACTGCTGGTAGGCGGTTCCACCAATACAGTTGAACATTCCTTCCGAAGTACACGGTCCTGTAAGTCCTCCGGAAGGGGACCCAGTGCTGGGAGGGGCGCTACCTGCGGGACTCGCGGAGCTAACTGGAGCAGGAACTGCAGAACTGACCGCGGAACTGACTACGGATGTGGATAAGGTAGTGGCTGCGGAGCTGGCTGGAGAACTTACTACGGGCGCGGCCGAGGAGCTCTGAGGAGCAGCAGCACTGCTGCTGCCGCCAACAGGAGCAACTGTGATGAAGGAGCCGGGAGCGGCGCTAGTAACTGGAGCGGCGCTGCTACTTGGAGCGGCAGTGCTGGAGCCACCGTTTCCATTGCCACTATCATTACCTCCGCCATTCCCACCGTTATTGGGGGTATTCTGGCCAGCAGGGTCGGCACTTCCACTTGATCCACCAGACTTGGCACCCTTAGGAACACAGTTTTCACCTTGGACCTTGGCGAATTTGTTGTTCGAACCCGGGCGGATAACATTTGGGCCGGGGTCGGGGTACTGGGGGTCAGTGCTGGGTTCCGTCTTGCACGAGTTGATATCGGCGAGATTACCTACGAAGAGCTCGGGAAACTGGCCGTCGCGGGGGAAGAGTTCCATGGTCTCGTTATCTGACCGCTTGGACTTACCTCCTGTTACAGTGATAGGCGCACAGTTCATGTAATACTCCGGCTGGCCCGCGAGTTTACTGATCCAAGTCCAGGCAAAGACGTATTTGCCAGGTGCTACTCCGTCTGGAATCTTGAAGTCATATGTGTCAGGGCCTTGGCCGGACTTGCTTGGGCAGCCGCCTTCGATGGAGAGGATAACTTGCCAAGATGTAGATGCGCTAGGCTGAAGATCTTTGGTTATTGCCAACTGACAACTTCCACCTCCATGAACCGCCGAGCCCTTGAACGATAGGGATTGGCTCTCGCCTACCGCCATGGTATTGTCGAGGCCAGACGTCGAATAAAATGTAGCTGGGTCGCCCTTTAACTTGCAGGGGAAGTTACCTGCAGTCAAAGGAGAGTTGTCAAGATCTGGACCTCCGAAGGGTTTCGGGGTCTGCATGATCATGTGGCCATTAGATATGGCGAGGAGTTGGGCCAAAGCGGCCGCGATCGAGGAATATTTCATAAACATTGTGTTTTATGATTTCGTCGTTTGTGAAAAGAGTAGTTAAAAGTACCAGACTACTGTCGATGTATTTCGAGGCCAGCTCGCTTGAAGTTAATATGTGGTGATGGTAAATGTTGATAAGAGAATAATAGTATGCTCGGCTCTAAGGTAAGACATAGTCTTAGGGTTTTTATACATTTTAAGAGACAGCCATCGTTCCGGAACAAACATACATGATTATTGTTTTCGATAAAGCACAGGGCACAAAGATACTCCTAGAAATCCCTACGAAAAGAAATGAGGGACAACAAGTGACAATAGCAGACATATGTGGGCATTGTTTCTACTTCTAAGGATTAAACTGGGAGAAGCATGGAGAAATTACGAAAAGGTAGACAAAGACATTGTTCATGTATATGTGAACATGGCATTTCTTGAGTTACTTATTACAATCATTTCATTCAGTTCTTGTGTGTAAGGCCTGAGACCAACCCTCCCGATAATGACACAAGGAAGAGCTCAAATCCATTACTATAAGCTCTAAGAAAGACTCTGTGGTGGTATCTTCATTATCAACGATTAGAAGTCCTCAACGAAGGATTCTCACTAACATTTTGGAGACCCCAACTAAGGTTAAGCACCTTTATCCCGAGTGGAAGGGATTATAGTGGTTTTTGGCTAATAGTGTATACGTAGGGACTTAACAATAATCTACTCACAGGTTTGCATTAATGGATTTCTCACTATCTATCTATGTACTTGAAATTAAGCGATGACCGTCATCTCTGAATGAGGCATTGGTCGTTTATAAGTGACATCGTCTAGATGAATAATATGGGGCTGCATTGTCAGATAATGAATATGCTACTAAAGCATATATTATTTTACCAGGATATTAAATGCATTGGAGTAACAAATTGTTACGCATGATAACGTCATGGGAACAAGGTTACTGGGGGTTGATGCATGCAGCTAGTTCTCAGGGACCTCGAAGCTTAAACTTAAAGGGTTTCGGACTGCGTACCTAAGCTTCAACATACACGCTTACAACCATCTCTAATCACAACCTACTACATTCATCATCGCATTGTGAGCTTCAACTTCAAATGAATTACGACCGATATGGTAAGTATTTTTAATATTTCTATTTTAAATCCTAGCTATCGTCTTTAGGCCAAAATATGTATCGCATACCGTTGGGCTCTAGCATGCGACCGCCCTTTAGCTATGAACTAAGCTGACTGTAACCTTCATCGTCTAGGCTAACGCAACGACACCTCTCCTCGCCGGCGACCGTCGCGATCCCGATGCGAATTACGACGCGCTAAGCGACTCGGAAGAAGATATACTTCGTGGACGATCTAGGGCTACACAGTCTGGTCGGTCATGGCATACGAGGCTACGAGAAGCTCTGCTATTCGCATGGGCCCTTCTCGCGACCGCCGGCGTGCTAATTCTTGCTATTTGGGCATCGCATCAACAACAAACATCTGTCGAAAAACCTACTGGCAAGCGTAACTTAATCTTCATGGTCTCTGACGGTATGGGCCCTGCTTCGCTGTCTTTGACTCGCAGCTTTAGGCAATATACCGAAGGTCTCGAGTATGGTGACACCCTCACCCTTGATAAGCACTTCTGGGGTAGTAGCCGAACGCGAAGTAGCTCCTCCTTAGTCACAGACTCGGCCGCTGGAGCGACGGCATTCAGTTGCGGGATGAAGAGTTATAACGGCGCCATTTCGATGCTACCTGATTCAACCCCCTGTGGGACTGTACTCGAAGCTGCTAAGAAGGCCGGATACAAGACTGGCCTGGTCGTCACCACGGATATCACCGATGCAACACCTGCTTGCTTTGCTAGTCATGTTGATGTACGTCAGCAAAACGACGATATCGCTGTTCAAGAAGTAGGAAATGGGCCCCTTGGTCGTGTGGTAGATTTGATGTTTGGAGGCGGACGATGCCACTTCCTTCCGAACGGAACTGATGGTGCATGCCGTGCAGACAATGTCGACGTAGTAGAAATGGCAAAGAAAGACTACGGTTGGAACTATATCAACGACCGGGCAGCATTCGATGAATTCTGGGAGGGTAAGAAGGAAGTTCCCCTTCCGATGCTAGGACTTTTTGCCCCAACAGACATTCCATTTGAGCTAGACAGGCGAAACATGAATGACATCTACCCCAGCCTGAGCGAAATGGCTAAGACGGCTCTGAGAGCTCTCGAGAAGGCTACAGAGGATAGCGACAAGGGATTTTTCTTAATGATCGAGGGTAGTAGGATCGACCATGCTGGCCATGGAAACGATCCGGCTGCACAAGTGCGAGAGGTCCTTGAATATGACAAGACATTCAAAGCTGTATTAGACTTTCTAAAGGAGAGCAAGACCCCAGGAGTCCTAGTTGGAACCAGTGATCATGAGACAGGTGGATTATCGGTAGCACGACGTCAGTATATCTTTTCTTCAAGACTAATAGGGAACCTTGGCTAACTTTGCTTTCAGAGGTAAACGTTGACTACCCACAATACTTGTGGTATCCTGCTGTACTAGCCAACGCCTCGTCGTCTTCAGAATATCTCGCTCATCGCCTCCACGGACATCTCGCACAGTCCAACGATCACTCCGTCGACAAGCTTAAGGAGTATATTAATGAGGAACTTGTTAAGCCCGGCCTTGGTATTCATGATGCCTCCGATGAAGAGCTCACCGCTGTAGCTTTAAGCCCAGAACAAGCCCAGAATTCATTCGCCCAGATGATCAGCGTTCGCGCACAGATCGGATGGAGCACTCACGGTCACTCAGCCGTAGATGTTAATATCTACAGTTCTGGCGGTCCCGGCGCGGAAGCGATTCGAGGCAATGTAGAGAATACTGACGTAGGGAAATACTTACGGGATTATCTTAATGTCGACGTGGACGCCATTACGAAAGAATTAAACAAGAAAATGGATTCAAAGCGAACTTTTGGAATCAGCCATGATATTACTATAGATGGTACCGGCGAAGACCACTGGGCAACCCATGAGAAGACGGAAGCCCAACGCCATTGATAAGGGTAGACTATAGGATTTAAGCGCAGAGAAATGCTTTGGATCGGATTTTGGAGTTACAATTTGTCACCTGAATAAGGATTTATATCATATGAATGCATTTATAGAAATAGCAAACGAAGAATCGATACCCTCTCGCAAAGAATAGCGAAGAACATGGTCCGTATTGAGATTTCAACAACAGTAGTTGCCGGTACAATATTTATCATAGTTACAGTTGAACAAACTCCTCCAGGAACATGTGGGTAACTTGAAGCTCTCTGCCACGGTGTGTGCAACCGTGCAGATGTTTCGCCGTCCCGTGGGAATCATGTGGTAAACACATCGGGTATTAGCAGAAGGCTACGCGTGTGTTACTTTGCGTTACTAAATTTCAGACGAGCTTCTGGGAAGTAGTACAGCTACGTTGCTTGCTTAATTGTTGGAGTGAGGCTCGTTAGATATGAGTTTATCTATAATAATAACTGCATCAGATAAAGAGCAGGAGCTAAGTACCTATGTACAAGAAGTCGCCAATAGTACCGATCTTCTAGGTTATCTGGGCTGTTTCTCTAACGTAGAAGACACTTCACGGCTAAATAAGTAGGAGAGAGGACGGTTAACATGAGGTAAGGCCGTCGAAGCCACCACGATACCTGTATTACCACAGGGAAACTGTAGGTGTGTTGTACCCGTGAATCCTACGACGAGTTATAAGAACAGAGGGATGCGGATAGTGTTATGTGTTGGATGATAAAAATACCCACCCGGGTCGTTTAGTCTCTTGATTTAACCCTAGTGTGGTAGTGGTACTTACCTAGGTAGAAACAGATACGGCTCCTCATTCCTAGTCTTAGTCTCATCCTCAAGCGTAGACAAGTAGACGAGCTCTACGACCATGTTGAGGAAATAGCTAGGTACCTAAATTATAGCCGTGGATTGTTAAGCCCTACTAGAAGTTATCTCTTTAATAGAACGCGAGCTAAAAGTGTAAAGCAGTCTGAAGTCTTAAGGAGAGATGTCATAGGTATCGTTGAGTACCTAAACTAGATGGAAGAATACAAGGCGTTTGCCTGTTTGAATCGGAAGTTGCCTGTGTTTTTGATGCAGTCTTTACGATGCCCCTCTGTTTGGTCCAATATAAGTACCTACAAATCTGCTCATGGCAAGCACGGATAACCACGATTGCCTCTTGTAGATAGATTCAAAGGCTTTATCCTAAATTACGTGTCTTTTAACACTTTGAACAACCAAGTACAAATTCTACGCGACAGCCCGACGAGATGAGCGAAGAAATACGATTCGCCCACCACCGTCTTGTATATTCTAGTTCATTAGTCGTGGTGTACAAAAGCCCATACCTTCACTAGTAGATACCATCATACTTATTCATGTGTCGTCAAGACACGCTCCTTCATTTTAGCCACTTAATCAACTTGTTCATCCGAACGAGAACCACACATCATACATATAAATACATTACAGCACCGTTACGAACACTTAAACCCTAGCAAGGCAGCAACAAAGCTCGCCTGTGATACCCGTCCTTGGTCAGAACCCGCTAGATCATTGAGACAAAATCTAGCAGCTCCTAACCCTGACCACGCAGACGAATCCCTTTTCCGTTGTCGATATAACACACCAAGATTCTCAGCTCTTCTTGAAGCCCCTACTAATCCACCAGAATCATTAATAAGCGCCACGCCCCCGCAATCCAAAGAAGCCATCAACAGCAATAATGTGCCAGTACATGTGGGTCACCTACCGCTGCGCGCACACCGAGCTCCTAGCCGGGCCTAACTGCAACTTCGTGCTTACGCAACTATCCCGCATCCACCAGCCCGAAGCCTGGACGCCCGAGGGCCAACAAATCCTCCCTTTCGACTGGCCAAACGCATGCTTGCCTGGAGACCACAACACGATCCCCATACCTTGCGACAAGTGGTGCGGCTGGGAGTGCCAGAACACATTTGCTCCGACGCAGCGTACGGGCGACAGGATCACCTCCTTCGGTGGCCAAGTGTCCCCCGCAACCGACAGCGTGGTCGTGGCAACGCAGGCTGATTGGCAAGGAAATAGGTTCCAGAGCTCGTATCCTGAGTACAAGTCTCCTAGCTACCACGGCAATGACGACTACCATATGAACCAGTATGATGGCGCGAACTATGTTCCGGGTTCTCATGCTTTTGGTGCCTATCCGGCTGTTGGAGCCATGGATAATTCTGGCACGGCGTCTATGGGATCAGGACTCGCTCATATGACCACAAACGAAGCAGTGACAGACATGGATCCTAGCTTGTCAAGTATGGACACAGGAACGAACATGATAGGGACAACGGGAACATTAGGGATGCAGGGAGCGCAGTATGGAGTACCCCGAATAGGAGTAGGTTGGAGAGAGGAGAAGGATGAAGTGGGGATTATTGGAGATTGGTGGAAGGATGGTGATGTCTTTAACTAAGGATTTGACACTTTGTGTCAAGTATGAGTATAATGTCCAAATGGACTAGCAGGCCCTGCCTTGCTCATTAATTAGTAATTAGTCGAAGGAGATATTCCTTCGTGTGTATAATATATAGAGATCGGAAATTTCCCCGTGCTTATGAACGAAGACCCTTCCCTTGAATGGAATTATTTATTATAACTTCTCGAGAAACTTGGCTCTAAAGATATAATTGTGACATTAGTCTTATAAGCTAGTTACTAAACCTCGCATTGTAGATATAACTAGTCGGAAACATCAGAAAAGTCTGTCTCGTGGAGCTCATCCGGATCCATGAAATAGGCAATCTCAAGTCGACCCATAAAATGTTTTATGAAATGCTTTTGTAGTAGAGCATATTCAGACGTCGTGAGTTTACACTCGCCTAACTGATTCAAGATATCTATCTTGATTTCTGTTCGATCTGGGGAGATAAGCCTAGAGATAAACTTATGTAGACCTTGGAAAGTGAAAGAAGAGAGAGAACTGATGCAGAGCAATTTGAGCTTGGGAATGGCGCTTAGAGGAATTAATATGGAGTTATCCAAGGGGTTGCCGCTGAAGCTAAATTCAGATAAATTTGGCAACGACGCCGCGATCCGTTCGACTGCACCCTTAGCGAGATGCACTTGCATTAAGTTTAGGGACACCAGATTTTTAAGCTGGCAAATTGAGTCTACTAGCGGTGGTTTTGCGTCGGCTATGTGACCGTAGCCAGACTCGTGTAGACCAAGAGTCAGAGACTGAAGATGATGTTGAAGGCCAAGCGCAGTCCAGGTTGTGGTATCCTCTGCCTCGGTTTCCCAGTGCATATATATTAAGGATAAAGACGTGAGGCGGATGTTGGGCGAATTTAAAATATCCTTAACTAGCAGGTTGGAACCAATAAAATGCGAGAAACTGAGATCTCGAAGAGATTTGCATTTGCAGATCCATGTTGAGACCTCTTTTAGTGTTTCCTCGGGGTAATCCCCCGGGTCCACCAAGTTGTACCTGTCGTTCTCGATCAAAAGTGTTTCTAGGAATGTACAGTCGGGTAACAAGTTAAGGGCCTTCATAGCCTGCGGTGTAAGATTTCGAAGTACAAGCCTTCGGAGAGATGCTGCATGGTAATTGAATGCCGTCAAGGCGGTTTCCCCAATTAAATTCAGGCTTATTACTTCAAAATTGCGTAGACTGTTAGGACGTAGTGTTTGCAAAAATGCAGACAAATCTTCGTCTGCAGTAGAGCTTGAATCTACTATTTGTTAGCATCATAAACGCAAACTAGCAGACTTAGCTTCTACTATAGTACTTGAACGAGAAAAAATAATAAGGACGGGAGTTGATAACATACTATACCTAGACAGGTTAGCATTACGGACACCAGAAATGAAACGGGCTGATAACATTTAAACATACCAATGATAACATGTTAAATCAACAAACTGTGGACAGCATTTGCGAATAGCACTAGCTGCTTCAACGCCGAGTACTGATCCGTCTCGGATACGCAAGGACGTCAGGGTTCCAAGTCGTGCTATCCAGACTGGTAGTTTATCATGTGGAATATGTGTGCCCTCCAGATGCGCCAAAGATACAGCGGTTCCCGTGTCGTCTGCTAGTCCCTTGATATACTGGGTAATGGAATCCGCGCACTTGACTATCGTATCTAGGATTTTTATGCTATGGCCTATTCCTAGTACAAGAAACTGCCTCATCGCGCCTCCAAAGAATATATCCCGGAAATCTTTGTCTCGGCTGATATCTTGGAGTAGTTCTTCGAGGTTACCGAGCGACAGAGAGCGGACGTAGGCGCAATAAGGGAATGCGGTTTTCTTAATACTTGAAAGGATAATAGACCGCCATAATTGCAACCAATCTAGCCTGTAGGTGGCATCAGTGCTTGCGGGGGAATATTCCTGAATACTTTACACAAAGAAACTGTTAGTTCCTAATTAAAATTATTTAGAAGCGCAAGACTCACCTATATATCTGTTCTAATGCGATGCTAGCAATTCGTCGGCTAACAAGCGAGCAGTTAAATAAGGTTCCAAAGTCGCGACGAGCAGCCAGCTCTTCGCATAACAATAGGAAAATCTCTTGAGGGAGAGCCGAGGATTCCATGCTTGAATAATTTGAATTGGTATGATTGCCACTTGTATTGGAAACCAAAGTGAATATCACGATGGCCGACGTCAACGCTTGATATATGATAAGGCCTAAAAAATAGAGATGGATAAAATGTGGTTTTGTAGGAGGTAGTGATTTATGTCATGGAGCTGCAGCTTGTATTTTATGTACAAGCTATCACTGTTATCTTGTTCTTAAGACTGTTATCCACAATGTATTACTATGGCTATTTTTACTGTCTAGTACTTATCGCTACACTATAAATTAGCGGAAGAAGTTTGTAGAGATATGAGATATAAGCTTGGGGTAATTATTAACGACACTGTGAAAACGGAAACAGCTTAACTTAGGTATGTACTTAATACAGGCAGGTACCCCGCGACGCGTCTTAATAAACTTAACGCGATCGAGTCCAACTTCCTTAATTTGGGAGCGAAATCAAGACCAGGGAGAGCCTAGAAAGTAGAAGCTACTAACTTAGAATTTCTAGTGCTTCGTCAAGAACATTAACAACCACTCATTTCCTCTTTTTTATTAAGGTCTATTCAAAAAGCCCAAGACCCAAAAATGACATCATAACTCTTAAAAACCGTCGTCTACATCAACAGTCACCTTTCCAAGGTATCCAATCTATACACAACAGTATAGTGGCTCTCCTTCAGACTTTCAGGCCTTCGGATGACTATGGCTGTATTAAATTTCACTTTAAGTGAAGAAGGGGTCAGTAGACTAAGAGACGCATTAACTTGTCTCGGTAAATTCAGTGAAGAAGTTTCTCTTGAGGCAAGGAAGGACAAAGTAAGCTTCATTGTTATCCTAGTCCAGTTAGTACTTTACTAAAATCAGGCGCATAGTTTGTCTTTACCACCCTAAATCCCTCCAGGACGGCGTATCTGTCTTTCTCCTTCGTAGCTCATCGATTCTTCTCAAAATACCATTTTGAAGGTGTACCTCAAAACCGAGAAAGATTCTTTTGCAAGCTTCATAATCGAGTATGTTACCTACTTGAGAGTTGTTGCTTCTTTTTCCTCACATGAATCTTCCTAGGCATTGCTATCTATTTTTAGAGCTAGAAGTGGCGACCCTTTGCATGATAGGGAAAAAGATACCACCATTGAACATTGCGATGTGGCAATTGTAGACGAACCTGGCAAGAAAAGTAGATTTATTGCTAAGATCGTGTTCCGTAATGGTAAGTAGTAATATGTTGCCCATATCCAAGTAATTAGCTAACAAAAGCGTAGGCATAACTACTAAATATCGACTACCTTTTGAACCTACTGTGCCAATCCACGGCAAGTTTGATAGGGACCAAGTATCAAATCGTTGGTCTATACCATCTCGGACCCTGCGTCACATTATGGATTATTTTGGTCCCGGCATAGAATACCTTGATTTCCATTCCGAGGACGATGAGACTGTCAACTTTACTTGCTTCACCGAAAAGATCAAGAATGGGGAAGAAGTTTTGAAGAAGCCTCTTCACACATCCATTGCCGTTGAACGGGATGAATTTGAAGACTTTGAGGTTCAGGAGGATAAGCTGCATATCGTAATCAGCGTAAAAGATTTCAGGGCAATTATCCAGCACGCAAATTTCCTCGGCAGTCAGATCTCGGCATACTACTCAGTGCCGACCAAACCGCTGCAGCTAAAGTATGAAGGCGATGGGATCAAATGTGAATTCCTTCTGATGACGGTCGGAGAAAGGGGAGCACCCGGCCAGAAGACCAAGAAAACTCGCGGTGGCGCCAAAGGACCAAAACCGCCGCAACTTGAAGCTGCTACTAGTAGTAGGGCTACATCGCATGCGCCGACGCCAGCTTCAAGGATGCCTCCTCAGCCACAAGCACCACGGCCTGAACCCGTACCTTCTCTCAGACCATCGATTGTTCGTCCATCCCAGCGGCCACCTCCAGCGACATTTGAGTCCGAGTCACTCTTCGTCCCCCAGGACGACGAGCATCAATGGGATCCTGTGAATGTTGGTGGAGATGAGGACGAGGAAGAGAATGCCCGATTAGAATGGGATGTTAGGGGTGACTTCGTAAGTATTCCTTTTACCCAAGGTGGTTTCGTTAACATGGCTAATATGACCTTAGCATGCACCAGCGACGAACGCGAGGTCCATGATGACAAATCGGAATACTCAGGAGTCGAGGTTCAATGATACTACTGAAGATACCCCCTCGCACTTTGAACCAACTCAACGCCTTTCGCAAGTTCGGAGGTTCGGCCTCTTTGACGATTAAGGAGCTATATGAGAGCATCCCTATTCATATTCGTCGTGGCTAGATATCTAATGTTTGAGCTCTGGCTATAATAGGTACGGAGGTGTACCAGAAGCTTGACCACGGATGTTAGTAGCCTAAAGAAACATTCCATCTATTTTGATATTGATCCAACTTGTAGCACACCCAGCTCCGATCGTCGTAATTTGAGATCCCTCCGATAAGTGCTTCAATGACGCAAGCACATTCCATCGACCCTTAACATCTCCGAATTTCTCGGTTTGCGGTCCACAATTTCCATGTTCTCCCCACCCCCATGATAATACATCACCGCCCTCAGTCACAGCTAGAATATGCTCACTTCCAGCAACGATGCTCTCCAATTTTGGGAGTCCCGGAGGTGGCAGTTGTCCGTGATCATTTCGACCCCATGCGACCATTGTGCCATCTCGTTGTAAAACATAAATGCCTCCCCAGCTTGCAGTAATCGTACTCCAATTGGGTATCTCAGCAGGGGCGGTGCTTTTCAATTCCCATTTATCTGCTCCCAGGACAAGTAATCGACCATCCCCAGGCTCGCTAATAAGACAAGTTGTGTATTGACAACAGACGGCCTTAGCCACCTTAAAAGAAATTCCGTTAAGTTTCCGCGGATGGTATATTACACCCTTTGAATCGGCTTCGTTATACAGCTCCCCTAACTGGCCCTTGCGCCCATTACCCCAACCGTAGACATCTCCGTTATCTAATACAGCAACCACATGCCTGAAGCCGGCAGCTAGGCTTTGAATCTCTGTCCCGGAGGGAGGGAAGTTCTTGAGTAGAATTGGACTTAAAGCAGATCCCAAACTTATATTAGCAGTCCCTACGTCAGGGACCCCGCATACATACACGCGTGTAGCTTTGCCACTATCATCCCTAAGCACGAATATAGATGAGTCCCATGTACAGGCAACATGAACGACGGGGCCGTGACTTTCAGGAGTCGAGAGGACCAGCTCATGAAACTTGGATGCTTTCACATCCTTGGCATTTTCCACGATCCCGCAGGCACCACTCGAAGGGTTGCCGGCCCAGAAAGCCTTCCCTAGTTCCGTAACTATAATTGTGTGGTTTCCCCCTGCTGCAATCGTTACAACGGGGTCCTCAGGAGCTTCACACGCGAACTCGACTTGCTTCGGGACTGATACGTCCTCTTGGTGACCTATACCGAGCTGACCGGATCCGTTGGAGCCGAGCGCGAAGAGACCTTCCATGATAGCTAATGTGCGGCATAAAACTTCTCCTATATGCGCGCTTCTTGAAATATTAGGGCAAATATCAGGTCATTCTCCGTAGCTTGGAGCAGCTCTGACTCTTCCTATTTTATCTAATTCGATGAATGCGGCGTGGCTGAAGAGAGCAAATCGCCAGGTGCCCAGGTCCATGATTGACATACTTTCCAAGTACCTAAGTACCGCACAAGCCACACTCACCTCGGACCATATATACAGTTCCGAGAATAATCCGGGATCCATATAATCAGGTCCAAGCTCAAGCTCCACCTAAATTTTCTGCTTCTATTAAAGCGTCAGTAAAAACTTTTTTTCTACCCTCCTTCATATTTTCCATCGCCAGTTTCCAAACCTAACGTTTCATTGCCCGCTCTGACCTACCAGATTGAGAGTTCGAGTTGCTTGTGCTAAGTGTCCAGCATGTAATCACTCTGCTCTTGAATCCTTCATTCAGGTCATCAATTCTGGTAGGAGAGATTGGGACGATATCATGGCGACCGACAACAGCTCTGGCGTGCCACCCGGCATGGAGAAGTTCATCGTTGGCATCATTGGCATGGGCGACATGGGGAAGATGTACGCGCGGAGGCTTAGCGATGCTGGTTGGAGGTAAGAACTCGCTAGTATGACTGCAATTTGCTGTTGCGCTTCAGCCTCCGTGAATTTATTTTGGTAAGTCACATTCTTATTTCCATACAAGTTTCCTCGCAAATGATGACTTGAGTGCATTTGGCTCGAGCATTGCCCTCGGCTTCCAGGCGGTCATTCTGATTCCTGGCGGTCGTTGGCTTTCCATGATGAAAATTCTCAGCTACCTTATAATTTTTTGTCTGAAGCGCTTTTACAATCTCCTATTTTACATGACACGTTTTATTATGTCAGAAGCTAATATGGGACGCATAGGTTTTACTAAGTGCCAGTTCGAAATGTAATCTCAGCAGTACTAATTATCGGTGTTGATAGAGTAATGGCTTGCGACAAGGAGGATCAATATGAGAATTTACGTGAAGAGTTTACAAGTCGGGTACATATATATAGTCATCCATTCTCAGGGGGAATCCATGCTGAGAGGTTTCCAGAGCAATATACAAATTCTCCGAAATGGCCATCTTGTATCTCGCGCGTGTGACTATATTATTTACAGCGTAGAGGCTGCGGCGATTAACCATGTCGTTGCCGAATATGGCCCATGTACGGTGTCTTGATGTATCTGAACTTTTGAAACATAACTTACGAAGTTTACACAGCAACAAAGCTTGGTGCCATCGTAGGTGGGCAAACATCGTGTAAAGACCCTGAGATCAAGGCATTCGAAGACCACCTCCCGGCGGACGTGGACATAGTTTCTTGCCATTCTCTTCATGGCCCTAAGGTCGACACGACAGGCCAGCCATTAGTACTACCCCTACTACATCTATCTACTTAACACCGCTCACCATAAATCAGGTTATTATCAGGCACCGGGCTTCCGATGATTCCTTTAAGAAGGTCGAGACCGTCCTCCAATGCTTACATTCAACGCACGTGTATCTATCAGCACACGAGCATGATCGCATCACAGCAGACACACAAGCTGTAACGCACGCAGCGTTCTTGAGCATGGGCAAGGCGTGGCACTCAACGCGTCAGTTCCCTTGGGAGGGCGCGCGCTACGTCGGCGGCATCGAGAACGTCAAGATCAACCTAACGCTACGCATCTACAGCCAGAAGTGGCACGTATACGCCGGTCTCGCGATCCTAAACCCAGAAGCCCGTAAGCAGATCGACCAGTACGCGAAGAGCGTGACGGAACTGTACAAACTCATGCTCGGCGGACATCTCGACGAGCTGCGCGCGCGCGTCCTAGCCGCTAAGGAGAAGGTATTCGGCAAAGAGCACGAGCCAAAGTGGGCTGATAAGCCACTGCTAAAAGACGAAGTCCTGGACCAATTCATCCTCGGGGGCGCGCGAGCAGAGCGCCAACAACCACTTCCTAATAACCACCTCAGCCTACTAGCAATGGTGGACTGCTGGAGCGCCCTAGGCATCGTGCCGTACGACCACATGATCTGCAGCACGCCGCTGTTCCGGCTCTGGCTCGGAGTCACGGAGCACCTGTTCCGGGACGCGGGGCGGCTAGACGAGGCGCTGCGGATCGCGGTCGAGGATAACACGTTCCGCAGCGACGACCTCGAGTTCACGTTTGCGGCGCGCGGCTGGGCGGAGTGTGTTAGTCTTGGACACTTCGAGACGTGGAAGGAGCGGTTCGTTGTTACGCAGAAGTTCTTCGAGCCGAGGTTCCCCGGCGCTATTGAGGTTGGGAATGCGATGGTGAAGGCGGTGCTGGAGAGTACTAAGGATTAGGGACTGGAACGCTTAGGGAAGGGGTGGGTTGTGTGTGTGTGTTCTGGCGTTGGTTTTTACTGGGAGGTTTTGTGTATGGATTCGTGAGAATATATTGAGCATTGCGGTTGTGTTGTTGCATTGTTACGACGAGTACTCGTTGATGATGCGGTTTGATTAATGAAATATATGTTTCTCAATATATTTTCAGCATATATGTCACTGGCATAAAATATTTCCGCACATCATATGCAACCTTGAAGGCAAAGACTTAGGCTGAGTAAGTATCTTCGATTCTGTTTTTAGTTATTGGTTAGGTAAATTAAATGAAGCCTTTCAGACTTATACATCTAAGTGGTACACTTCTCTCTTAATGTTTTACTATATAATGCCCTATGGATCATTTTATTAAAATAGTTTAAAATCAGAGGTTCACTTCTACTAGGCTTTCGGGTATTTGCTATACATATCTGTACCTAGGCAGTTATGGTATCTCTCTAAGGACTCCTGTGATGTCCTATAGTCTTCTTCAATAGGATGAAAGGGGAGGTGGAGGTGGGGTATGCCAGCTCTTACTCTCCAGGGGCTCCTAATTCTATATTATGTAGTATGACAAGTTTACTTACCAATGATATCTACGTAGATATCTACGTAGTATAGAAACGCCGAGGTTGAATTTCCTAGGATTTAAATACGTAGCCTTTTAATATGTCAGATGCAACCCTTAAGAGCACTCCTCCACGTGCCTTGCAGTACCTGCATTGAAACTGTACGTCAACGAAGGGAATCGTTTTTAAAGCCTTCCTGATTGGTGATGAGATATCTACGAGTTAAAATAACCCGTCGGTATAGCTCGGACAATCATGCCTCCCTCTTATCACGCTACCGCGAATTACCCAAAAAGGTAGCTCATTGCATGATCAACATAGATATAGCTACTTCTATACCCATTGCTACCCTAGTCTTCCTGATAAAGCGGGTCAACTGTTAACGTTGCAGGTCATTTGTCGTGAGCTTGATTTAACATTCTAATCTCCCCCCTTATGCAAAAACCATTTATCTTCTGTTTCGCTTGACTATTCCAACACCAACAACTATTTGTTCGTTCGTTTAAACCCGTTTTGCTGTAACGTAGTGATAGAGATTATGAGACCCCCGTTGTGTTACGTCCTCCTTGATCGGGCAAACTTGCCAAGACCGGGATCATCGGCCGATGCACGACTCCACATCTCCGGACCCCTGAGGTCAGATGTAGGAGAGGCAAGGCTCCTTGCCCGTTATCACGCCGACTTCCTCTTTTACATGTGCACTATGCCTTTACGCGGCTCTTTACTAAGTCCGGAATTAACTGCTACTGCAACTTATACCCTGTCTGAAATTTTGGTCATAGGCAAGCTTCATGTATCCCCTATCCCATCGTTGACAGAAGACACTACTACCCTATGTAGTTTTTTATAGTACGTGACACTTACCGAATCCCCTTTGGAATTGCTTCTTAACCAATCATATTGTTTCTAAGCTTTAATTATAAAGGCAGCATTCCCGAGCACTTTCCAAGTATGTTAATGAGCGACAGTGAAAGCAGCATGTTACTAGTAAACTGCAAGGGGATTTGGTCTACTGCCATTCAAGGCTATAGGTACTGTGACTGTCTTTTCGCGTGATACATGTAACGTCTCCTGACATAGCGAAGACGTCGGCTTAATGTCAACTTACTAACACAATGGCATATATATCTACTCGACTCTCGAGAGGACTTCAGTATACCATAATGATGATACCACCAAGTCTCTCCTTTATCCTTCATTCCAAACACTCCTTCGGAACACACTATCCACTACCTTAAACAGGTTATCCATTTCTTGTATATACTTATTTTCTGTACATACCTTTTATCTTTAACTTATCAATATGCGTTCCGCCACTGTATATAACTATCTTAGCCTTATGCTCGGTGCAGCCACGGCTCTTCCTCATGCTCTTAAATCCCGACAGGCCTCAGGATCTCAGAGCGTTGTCTATTGGGGCCAGAATGGCGGTGGTACGATTGAGAACAACGACCTCTCAACTTATTGTACCGCTGATTCCGGCATTGACATAATCGTTCTGGCTTTCTTGTACTCGTGGGGCAGCGGGAGCGACATCCCTTCTGGCACGGTCGGCCAGTCGTGCTTCATTAGTAACTCGGGTGAAGGACAAAACTGTGATGCCTTGTCCGCAGCTATCAAAACATGTCAAGGGGCCGGGATAAAGGTCATCCTATCATTGGGCGGTGCTACTGCCTCCTATTCTCTGTCTTCACAAGACCAAGCCGAGTCTATTGGAGATTACCTTTGGCAGGCTTACGGCAACTCTGGAAACTCAAGTGTACAACGACCTTTTGGCGACGTTGTAATTGACGGTTTCGACTTCGATCTAGAAGTCAACAGGGGAAGCGAATACTACCAGCACATGATATCCAAACTTCGCTCCAACTTCGAGTCTGACTCTTCACACACATACTACATCACCGGTGCACCTCAATGCCCCATCCCCGAGCCGAACATGGGTGTGATCATCGGTAACTCCACGTTCGACTACCTATGGCCACAGTTCTACAATAATAACAACTACACTTACCCATGTGCTCTTCCCGTCAACGGCAATGCACCATTCAACTACGACCAATGGGTAGAGTGGACGGCCGACACCCCTTCGGCCGATGCTAAGATCTTTATTGGCGTGCCTGCCGCTCCGCTAGCTGCTAACGGCGCACCGACTGGAGAGACATACTACGCAACGCCTGAACAGCTCGCAGATATCGTCAACGACTACAAGAGCAACTCCAGATTTGGCGGTGTGATGATGTGGAGTGCTGGGTTCTCAGACTCCAATGTGAACAATGGCTGCACTTACGCTCAGGAGGTCCACAGTATCTTGGAATCTGGTTCTCCTTGTTAAAGACCATGCTCTTGAGTACTTCTCTCTCTCTATATATTCCTGTTTATAATGGAAATTAGTGACGGGGCCTCCCGTGCTTGATTATATTGATGTATATTACTATCACGACTGAATATGAAACATACAAGTTATAAATATAACCCAGAGAGCGATTTTTCAATTAGATCATCTTAGCCAAATAACGCTCGCATCTGCTCCCCTTCCCATTCATTCTCTTCCAAGTATTCAAGTATAATTTCTAAATTATCCTTACTTTGCAATGTGTCTTCATGGCTTGATCCAAGTAGTTTTTCCCGTCCTTCGGTTGCCCGTTGGTACATTTCCTTTGCTTGCACATACTTTTCTTGCTTCTCGAAGGCCTTTCCCAACCCGTATATAGTGTTAAGAGTAATCATGTGTTCTAAACCAAATCCCTTTTCTATTCCTTTAAATATATGTCTAAATATTTCCTCTGCTTGTGAAAACCTCCCAGTTGCGTAGAAAACTACCCCCAAATTATGTAGGGATACTAGAGTGTCCGGATGTTCTAGGCCGAGTTTCCTTTTTTGTACTTCTACTACCCGCTGAAATGTTTGTTGTGCTTCTGCAACTTTCCCTTGGTCTAAATAGGCGTTTCCTAGCATGTCCATGCTGGCTAAAGTATGTACATGTTCTAGGCCGAGTGTTTTTTGTCGTCCTTGTACTGCCTGTTGGAATGTTTCTTCAGCATTTACATATTTATTTTGAATGAAAAAAGTGTTTCCCAGTCGTTGTATGCTGATTAACGTGTCCGGGTGGGATTGACCAAGTATCTTTCTCCGTCCTTCTACTACCCGCTGATACGTCTTCTCTGCCTCCTGATATTGACCAAGATCGTAATTAATGAAACCAATTTGGCTCCATATCGCGTACTTCATTGGCACTTCATGATTTCCAAATTTCATTATTGCATTGTGATAAACTTGCAAGGCTTTCTCAGGTTGATTCACTCTTTTGTAGAAACCACCAATTATCATTAATGCGTAAATAGGAACGTTGCTGGCATTTTGTAAAATGAGACGGAATAGAAGTTCGAGAGGACCCGTCAAAGCTTTTGCTCGCCGAATATGGTATTGCAATCTTATTAATAAATCGAGTTGTTTCGAAGCCGTTAGCACGCTGTTCTGGTTGAACATTTCCGTCATCACGGGCACTGTTCGGTGAATGTCATTTGAATCTTTATGTATTGCGAGGCTAGGAGTGAAAGTGTGATGACCGAACATACTGCTATTGGATTCATCGTTGACAATATCTGAAATCATGTCAAAGACCATCCTGTAAAGGTCTGCCCGCCGGTCGTTTTCACCAAAACTCTCCTCTAGATTCTCAATCTGCCGACGTAAGTGAGTATAAACACGTACTAAGAACTTTCCCTCGGCCCCATTTAGGAGCCATGTCGTGAACTCTTCTGCCTCAACGCCGGAAGACCCATCTTCCACTAAATGAACTGCGAAGTATTCAACCCAAGAGAAGCTTGCCTCAGACATGAGATATTGGTGAAACTTGTTGACAACGTCAAAAGAAAAATTTCCGGCCCTATTAACGTGGTAAACTAAATTTTTAGACGCGTACTCCAGGAATGGATGGACATCGTAGGGCATTGACGATTCATCCTGATCCCGGAGAGGGAAGCCGTAGTTTCCAATTTCTAGGTAGTCGATGCAGGTCGAGACGAGCAAATAGTGCGATTCTTCTGGATTAATCCGTAGGTCGATAATTTTATGATCACCGTCCCTTGACCATTCGCTCTCTGGTCTAGTCAAAAATTCTTTGACGGATATATGAACCAGTGAAACCACTCCATCAGTTATCTGTAAGAAAATTCCGCAGATACGAAGAACCTTTTTAGCTATGTCCTTTGGCATGCAATCTTCGAGTGAGCATTCGTGCGATGTCTTCGAATCTGACCTAGATACCAATGCATGGGCATACTGTAGTTCCTTAACGTTTAACGGCCGACGGGCTGCTATAACGAATGCTAGAAGGCGTTTAGTAAATCTGAGATCGATATTATCTAGTTCTTCCACGAGTTGTAAAAACAAGTGCCGGTAAGTCTTTTGAAGACCATGCGGCAGATTGTGCAATCTTTCAATAACTTCCGTCCTAGAGAAAGACTTGCAAAGGTCTCGAACCATCAATTTCACCCAAAGGAACATGCCTTGGGAGCCGTCGCGAAGGGTCTTGAATGCGAGGTCGCGAACTTCAGATGATTGAAGGATTATGGACTTGGCCATCTCAGTATTGATGAATGCGTCGATGTCAGCCTTGATTAAGCTGGGAGTAATCTCGATTACGTGGTTTGATTGGTTGATTGGTTGAAGAATGTGCGTTCTCCCTAAGAGGACGGCGTGAGCATCTTTATTGGCAGTGAGCAGGTCAATGACCTGATTAAAGAGCTCTTCACCAGATTCCTTGCATTCATCAACTCCATCAATCACCCAGTACATGGGCCCTGACATAGACGTTGTGATATCCTTAAAGGTAGTCCATAGCTCGGAGGTTAAGGGTTGGCCATGCGACATGAGGTCTCGCATGATTTCGAAGCTCTCGTCCGAGACTGGTTCTTGTAATAGTTGCCACAACAATGACCGGGCTAAGTTATCCAAGGTTTGGCGACTAGTATCCGAGCCAGAGAAAGAGAAAAATAATACCTGGTTTCCCTTACGTCTCAATGACTCTACGATTGAGGATGCCAGGACAGTTTTCCCACAACCGTGGGTGCCGTAGATATGGAGCAGACGATGGTCTGCGTCTGTCGGATTCGTTGATGTACTGCTCCATTTCGAGAATATAGGATGTGACCATATCCAGTCACATGTTCCGCTCAACCTTTCTCGAATATGGTTGTTGTAAATCTCCCTCATATTGGACGGCCTGAGCCATATATCGCATCTGTACTTTAGATCTAACCTGTCCGCCCGAGCCTTCTCTAACACTATGCAGCATTTAGCACTATTAGACCCAGGACAATAACATTGACATACTGTCTATAGAATGAGAAGGTATCGCTCCTACGGCAAGTATACGTGATATGTCCGTTGTCGAAACATCTATAGAATGTCAACTAGAGAACGAAAACTTCATGCATAGGTAACTTTCGATTCACACACTTTTCTTCAATTTCAAATTTCGAATACAGTCTCGTACCCGGAATCCCTGTGTTTGATGATCGAGATAACCATCTGTTGCCGCCTCTATAGCGCCTTGCTCTTGGTATTCTGTCAATTTGATATGTTGTAGTCCTTGGTCGACACTGAAGCGGAAGTATCGCTTTTCGTCAAAGTGCTGACGCCACTTAGCTATGAATCTCTTTTCCGTATTATCAGTCTCTGTCGCAATTTCGACTATCGTCTCAGAAAGGAACTTGAACATCTTAAGCTTGATCGGCTTCTTCCCAGGATTCCCAGTCCCAACCGAAACGAAGCATTTGACAAGAGGTTTCAAATCTGCTGTGTCAGGACACCAGATATTTGAAGCTTCCCCTTCCACCTCTTCTACCGGATTATTTGCGCCTAACGCGCCATCAGCGAACTTACGTTCCCCAATATCAACAGGATCGAAGAAAGTCGTTGCGGCAGATGTCGCGAGTGCAGCTTCGGAAATAGTGGCAGGAATCTGCAGTTTATCAGGCAAATTGTAGCTTCTTAGGCGAACGATGTCCTTGGTCTCGTGCGCAATAGTGCAAACGAAACTAATATCATTAGAGCTTCCTTGATAATATTTAGGAGAGACTTACACTCTACATTTACGATCGACCCCGTCATTGAAGAGGTCAGTCTCTTTAGAACCATGCTTAATAATCGCCTTCTTGATTGCGCTCTCGAGTTTCTCGGACTTGAATCGTGACCTGCTTTTCCCCGTCAAGCTAATCGGGAACGAGTTCCATTTCTTTTTGAAAACGGATTTCATAAGCTCGCTATATACTATGATGCATTCATCGACATCCATTTCGAGCCGACCCAGCATAATAGCGATAAGTCTATCCTATTAGTTAGGTAGTTATACTATCAAAAGAATAGAAGTACACTCACCCGCCTGTGCTCGTACCACCGATGAGATCGAACACATCGCATGGCTTCACGGGTGGGAGATTGTCTAACCCACGCTCGTGGTTCAGTCGCGCCATAATACCCTTGAGGATATACAGGGACGACAGCCCTCGGACCCCACCACCATCGAGGGATAATAGGCAGAGCCCATTATCGTCGAGTGGATCTAACTCTCCGCCGCGCTGCATTCCTGTTGCTCATGCCATCGCCGATTTTGCGGTCTAGATAAAGGCTCATTTTCTAAAGGGAAAATGTGAGAAAGGTATTGTGGAAGAAACTGGTATTATCTATGTGAGGCTGAGGCCTCGAGGGAGCTGGGGGCAGTGTGCTAGCTTGGCGTATTGCGGCTGAGAGCGAGGTGTGCTGGCTTGATGCGAGTAGGAGATCAAGAATTATTATTGGGTAATCGTATTCACGAAATAAACCAATTGAGCAGGACCACATATCACGCAATATTATCAAGCCTTATTTCGCGCAAGGCTATTATGTCGAAATCTGCCCAACATGACCTGCGACGATGGCAGTTGGTTTGGTTCTGTGCATTGGCTACTGGCACAGTGGTGATAGCATCGGCCGGAGCCAATTCAGTCATTATCATATAGTGGTTATGGTATCGTAAGAGTAAGGCTTACGTGCTTAGGTAATTAATCTGAGAGTTATGAAATATCCGACGAGTCCGGTCTGAGAAGGTTAAAATTCACCGGATCCGCTGTTACTCGGAACGGACCCGGTGATCCGGGCCGGGTTGTATGGAGCTTCCACAGTACGCCCTAGTTAGGTCCTATAATATTGGTTGTTATTCTTGGATTGAAGGTATACGAAAATTGGCCTTCTCAGGAGTAATATACATCTAGTCAGATCTACCTGAAAGTGGGCAAGGGACTGCTTTCAGGTACAATAAATCGTGTCTTAGCATTGGATGCATACCATATAAATATGACCTCTTTCTTCACTCATACAGTTAATAGACTAATAAAAGGTAGCTACAGTATACAATATCTTCCAGTATAGTCAATGTATAATATTATTATATATGAAATATGCCCATGCGACTCTTATAGCTATTAACATGTATCACCCACTACTTAAAACATTTAAATAATGAATTGAAAATGAATTGAATAGAAAGTAACTAACTAATATTCACCACGTTCACGGAACTCTTTCCCTAAAGCGGATTTTCATACTACCATCAGGCAACTATAGCGCATGATGTGTACGTCGTAAAAGGGAATACCACGGGAAATAATGATAGTCATGCGATGGAAAAGGCAATTGTAGTGAAGCCTCGGCAGCAGGTGGGAGGGGAGGGGAACCACGCGATGGTTAGGTACCGCAGTAGCAGGACGAACCCCGCCGTGCGATTTACGGCTTAACTAACAGGGTTCACATTCCCTTATTCGTATTTTATAACATACACGTACGCAAGAACGCCAGACGTAATTTACAAAAGTTCGTTCTATTTAATTCTGGTTTCCCCAAAAATGAATCCATCCCCATCTTGGTTCTTACTTCTTTAAACGTAATTAACTAAAAAATTGGAAAGGCAATAAAGCACAATGGCGAGCATAGATGATGCCGGCAAGCAGACAGCCCCGGTTATCATCGTGGGCGGCGGTTTGGCGGGGTTGGTAGCTGCTTTTGAGTTATCACAGCGCGGCGTGCGGACGTTAATTGTGGACCAAGAAGGAGAGCAGAACCTCGGTGGCCAGGCATTTTGGTCATTGGGCGGAATCTTCTGCGTCGATTCGACGGAACAAAGACGGCTTGGTATTAAAGATAGCCGGAAGCTCGCCATGCGCGATTGGCTTGGATCAGCACGCTTTGATCGCCTTGAGGATGAGGATATCTGGCCGCGCCGCTGGGCCGAAGCTTTTGTCGACTTTGCTACGGATGGGATGGAGAAGTACCTTAAGGACCGTGGTGCTGGCTTCCTCTCTGCGGTGAGTTGGGCCGAGCGCGGTGACGGTTCGGCAGATGGTCATGGAAACTCGGTCCCGCGGTTCCACATTACCTGGGGCGCCGGACCCGAAGTTGTGCGCGTGTTTGCCGAACCCGTCCAAGAAGCAGCGAAAAAAGGTATTGTGGAGTTTAAGTTCAGGCATAGGGTAGATGAACTACTTGTCGATGAAAACGGCAGAGCGTCCGGGGTCCGAGGACGTATTCTTGAGCAAGACCCGTCGCCTCGAGGAGTCAAGACGTCAAGGGAAGAGGTGGGAGATTTTGAGCTCCATGGCGCAGCAGTAATTGTTTCTTCCGGAGGTATTGGAGGCAACGTGGAGGCGGTAAAGAAAGCGTGGCCCCTGGATCGTCTTGGTCCGAAGGTACCGGAGAATTTCGTCATTGGTGTTCCTGCGCACGTTGATGGCCGGATGGTGGGAATTGCGGAGTCGGCGGGCGCCAATTTCATCAACCGCGACAGGATGTGGGTGAGTAGTATTTGGAGTTTATCTCTTCCATGACTCTCAAAACACTTATGTTTCTTTCTTATATAATCACTAACTCACCGATGCAGCATTACACCGAGGGCCTGCAGAATTGGAATCCGATCTGGCCAGATCACGGAATCCGTGTTCTGCCAGCACCATCGTCACTCTGGCTGGATGCAACCGGAAAAAGACTTCCGCCATTCCTATACCCCGGATGTGACACATTAGCAACGCTCAAGTACATATGCAGCACCGGTTACGATTACACCTGGTTCATTCTCGACCAATCCATAATCGCGCGCGAATTTGCGCTATCAGGCTCAGAACAGAACCCCGACCTGACAGAGAAGAGCTTCTGGCAACTTCTCAAGAACCGAGTCTTTAGCTCCAAGGGCACGGTGCCCGTACAAAACTTCCAGAAGTTTGGGAAAGACTTTGTCGTGCGCGATAACCTCGAGGACCTGGTCGCTGGCATGAACGAGATAGCTAAATCTGCCGGCGGGCCTATACTCGACCCCGCGGCTATTAGGGAAGTCGTCGAGACGCGCGACGACCAATTCGTGAATAGTTACTGCAAGGATGCCCAGGTGATGGCTATCCGCAACGGCCGCAACTACTGGCCTGATACCCGCCGTGTAGCGGCACCCCACCAGATCTTAGACCCGAAGCATGGTCCTCTGATCGCAGTTCACATGAACCTCCTAACGCGCAAGACACTCGGCGGGCTTGAGACGAATCTAGAAAGCAATGTTATGAAGGCAAATGGCGAGAAGTTCCCCGGTCTATATGCCGCGGGTGAGGCAGCCGGGTTCGGCGGTGGTGGAGTTCACGGGTACAACTCGCTCGAGGGCACGTTCCTCGGCGGCTGCATCTTCTCGGGCAGGGCAGCGGGAAGGGCGATCGCTGATGAGCTTCTTGGACCTGCTTGAGGGTAGTAGGCCTGGTTTTCGAAGTGTAAATTGCGATGTATACTATTTACGGGACGTTCGTGACGTAACATGGGATGGTTCTTCTTACTGGCGAATGAATGAAACAAAAGTTTATACAATCAAAATTGGACCTCATGAATAATAGTAATGTGATTGAGTGTTGACAATCGATCGTTATGACCGGGAGACTCGAATATATCTTATTTGAAGAAGTGTTGTTTATAAGCAGTGTTGTTTATAAGCAGTGAATAGGGAGGGTGTAGATCCTGGCATATATAAAAGGAATGATACAGGATAAAGATAAATATGCAAAATATGCAATTGATACAACCGATGACTTTGACTTTTCAATTTCCCCTAATTTCCTTTTTTCCTTCACCAACGGACAGACCGGAAGTATATCCTCCACCCCAAATCCCAGTCAAGCACCGAGTCTAATAGCCCCTCTTTTTGCTCACCCGGTTCATAAACTCCTTGCCCTCGCTCAAGTTGCGCAGATTAATCTCTAGGATATCCAGCAGGCGACGGTTGTAGCTCGTCGAGTTGCCGCTGACGTGGGGCGTGATGATGACGTTTTTCGCGTCCCAGAGCGGGTGGCCCTTCGGCAGGGGTTCCGGGTCCGTGACGTCGAGGGCGGCGCCGCGGATCCATTCTTCGTTGAGCGCGATGACTAGGTCGTCCGTGTTGACGACGGGGCCTCGGCCGATGTTGCTGACGAAGGTGTGCTTCTTCTGGAGGATCTTGAGCTGTGGTGCTGAGATTAATCCCTGTGTTTGAGGGGTTAGAGGCACGGCTAGCACTAGGAGATCCAAGTCTGCGGAGAGGAACTCGTTGATTTCTTCTGGTTTCGTGCCTGAAAACCATTTTGATGGTAGAGAACCCTCTGGGTCGCCCAGGCCGGGCACGATGTATGAGTGGTCGCGACGAGACTCGGGCGTGGGCCTGGGTCTGTTCGTGTATGCATACACTTCCATGCCAATAGCCTTAGCTATCCGTGCTACCTGTCTTCCGATACTTCCGTATCCCAATATACCGCTACGTAGCACTATCAGCATTGATATCTGAGAGTTGATTCTTAGAATAACAAGGCTTACACTCGTTGGTTGACAGCATCTTGGGTGTCTGAGTCATCATAACTATGTTCCCACCTGTGCGCCTTCTGATGCTCGAGGAAACGTGGGACTATGAGTGGCAGAGTTAGTATTTTTTAAGTAGAATCACGTTTAGAGTACTCACTGTTATGCTGAAAAGCGAGGTACGTGCTTATGACCCATTCTGCGATTTGTGGTCTAGTGTTATGAGAGGTTTGAAGTCAGTTTTAATGGATTCGGACATAGTTAAAATCATATATAACGTCGACCAATAAAACTTACGGATGAACGCCATTCGCCGTGCAAAAAGCAACATCAGTGTCGGTGAATAGAGGATTGTTCAATATATAATTCGCCCCCGCGCTCTGAAGCTGTACCAGCTGTAGCGTAGGAGCCTGTTCTCTAGTAGGGAATTGAGGGCCAATGAGAAGGATAGTAACTGTTTTCCAATCCTCAGGCGTAATATTGGGTGGGAGGTCTGGTTTGCTCCATGTATCCCAACGAATATGAAATACCTTGAGGCCGGGATAGGTCTTGCGCAAGCCATCGACGTATCCCTCAGGAGGGTCCCAGGGCACGATTAGCAGGATCTTGTGTCCCGCTAAACCACTATTCGTAACCATCTCTGCCGCGGGGGTACCTGAGGGGTTTTCAATCAGGACGTTTCTCATGATTGGAGCGGTCTTAATGACTTAGTCTAAGTAAAGTGTTTTTGTTTGTATGTATGTTATGGTGTTTGAGCCGTTTGAGTATTGAAATTTTGATACCGTGTCAATGCAATTCCCCCGCCTTAGACGCTGCCGACTTTGGTCGGATCAATGGCGCAATCGGACTTATTCGGACTGTACGAAAAGAGTAATTGAAGCACAAATCTCCTTTCCGGCTAATATTGGATCAATTGAACACGATGCTCGATTACATAAATTATTAGAAATTTTGACTTCACTTATAATATCGCGGGGGTGAAATGTTAAGATGGTTTAAAGGTTCTTTGCTTTTAGACTCTGCAACACGTTGGAAGTAATGTGTACCTAAACTAACTAAATACCTCTCAATAAGACATATAAATCCCTTCCTACATATTTAGTTAATTAGGTACAGAGTAGTTTTAAACTGGCAAACAAAATAGTTACTCTATAGGTATTCTTTATCTTGAAAGGTTGACAAATAGAAGATAACTAGTAGATAAAGCTAATACCTTAACGGACATAAACGCAAATATATAAAGATATCCTCCGTATAATGGGACGTTACATTAAATTAGGTATTTTTTTGATGCCTGAATTCGCCTAATGTCCAATTGTGGCGCAGCAACTAAACATGAATATTCTTGCATCATAAGGCTACGGTGAGATTCACTCTCGACACCCCTCGCCTTGAGGGGTCTCAAACCGAGAGCTCTGGCAATAAGTTTGCTTAGGTATCTGTTATATTATAATTAGTATAACTATTATATAATATAGCAACCCTCCCCGCGCGAGCTCCTATATTCATAATGCTTCTCGTGGATTTCCCCCCGGAGATTCTCCACCAGGTCATCCAGGAGTCGATGCCCGAGGGGTTCGAGAGGCTTATGTTGACCTGTCACTATGTTTACGAATGCGGGAAATCTTTAATCGATACTCATGCTTCTTATATTCGAGAAAATCGATATCTCAATTTCGAAGGCATTTTGGACTACGTACCTATGGTCACTTGGATTTATAGCGTCGCAAATAACCCCGTTGTGGCAAGATATGTTTGGCATGTCGATTTTTGCCAGCGGCGGAGGGGGCCGGACGTGGTCTACCCGCGCAAACGTCTTACCGGGGATGCGCTGGCAATGAAGCGCTTAAGAGCATTTATCACGGAATCGCCATATTTGCGCCGTGCCGGAGTAGACGTGGAAGAATGGGCAAGTTCTATCCTTTCTAGAGTTGAGGTTCTCGATGCCGAAGGTCGCGACAAATATTTGGTATTTATGGGTACATTTGTCCTCACGCTTTTCCCTAACCTCAAATCCTTGATGTTGTCCCCGCCACTAAGCTACCGACACGCTATGGAATCGCCAGTTACATCTCCGTGGAATCACGAATACTATTCACAAGCGCGGAGTGTGATGGAGACGATCAGTCGGAAGATCGAGGAGAATCCCGAGGGGGCGTCCCTGGGACAGTTGGCCCAGGTGTGGATTCGAGACCTTGAAAACAACAATGAGAAGATGGATCTACGCGCCTTATTGTCCTTTTTTACTACACCAGACCCTAAATCGTTATCCCTTACTAACTGTGAGGATTATGGTGGCGGGCCGCTCATATTAGGATATCACCGTCACTCCCTGGATATGAGTTTGGGCTTGCGCAAACTTGTATTGGAGCATACTTATGTGGATAGCGACAGTATATCTCTCTTACTTTCCCGCACGCCTTGTCTAGAGCCGTTCAGGTTTAGCTACGTGTCTAAGAATAATAGCAGACCTTCGCTGGATCGTTGGGATGCAGCCGCCTTTATTGCCGCCATTGGAAAGAATGTGGGCCATCACCTGGAAGAACTTATCGTAACGTTGGAGTATCTCGATGGTCATGTAATCAACGGGGTAACTTCTATGAAGGAGTTCACAAGTCTCAAAAGGCTTGACCTTGATGTCCGGGTTTTCCACACCCCCGCGTTTGAAATTGAGGAGAGAGGGGGGTTAATCCGCGAGGATATCTTACGAAAAATCCCTCCCGAGGCATTCGAAGCTATTCCACGATTGGTTAGGATCCTGCCACCTTCTTTAGAAGAAGTGAATCTATTTGCAGACAACGATAAGTATAGGTTCAACCCCGAGATCGTGAAGAGATTATTGGTTGACTTCGCAGTCGACCGGTGGAACTTTCTCCCAAACTTGGAAATATTCGGGTTATGGTGTAAGTTCTCAGGTCTAAAGAGGGCAGACAAAGTCGACCTATGGCATTACGCCAGATCCAAACGCATCACTTGCAATTTTAATTTCAATGACGAACCAGCTTGGAAGTCTTTTCTCGCGAGTCGTTGTACTACTCATCATTATCTGTCGCCGTCACCTTATCCAATAATCAACGTTCTTGAAAATCTAACAGACTGATCTTGAATTGATATGAGTTGGACACCCGAGCAGTCTCGGTTTTACGAACTATGTAAATATTAATTCTCTAATTTTTAAAACTTATTATACTTATATTACATACAACTTCAGTTTAAAATTTTATACCAAATTTGAAACTGCCTCTTGTCAATTATAGGCTCCCTCCGCAACAAGCCTATTAAGTCTCGTCCATCCTGGCCACTAATACATGGTATGCTTATTACCTATAGTCTTAACCATTTGGTGGAATATGAATAGGTACCTACGAATTCGGAACCATTTATTATAACCAATCTGAGCATCAAGATTAACCAATGAATTAATCGTTACGATTACTTAAATTAAGGTAAATTTCGAAAATTATCTTTCATTATATTGATTATCATGCTGCCTTTTGCGGCATCATGTTGGGTATGTCTAACTGCCGTCTTAGACTGCGGCTCTCAAACTCCATGCCAGTACCATGCGCTGTGGGCTGTGGGTGGTAGAATTCCACCTTTCTATCTATCCTCGTCCAATGCAAAAAAAAAAGCTGACAATCCGTTGAAGCATCGCTTATGGGGTATAATATTTCTTGCAAGACAAATGAAACCCGTACTACTTTTTCCGCAACTTATTCAACAACGAACATCGTCTAAACATGCCATGCCGGCGGTCGGACGGATCCTAACGTGCGGCCTCATCGGCTCCCGCGCTTGACGGTGCTCGCTCCTCATATGCTGGACTCTGGGCCCTGCTCCCAACCTCCTGACTTCGTCGACTTAGTGTTAAATCCTCGACACTCTCGATGCTAGAGTAGGGTATGTCGCACGAGTAGGAAGGGGGTGAAGGCGGAACATCTTGGTAGATTGGAGGTGCCTCGTTGTCCCAGCTGACACCCAACCCTGCCCTCTCTGTTATCACGACACCGAAGTGCATTCGTAATATACGTGCCACTCCAGTAGGCGTGATGTGTTTAGGGTGGGCAGTAGGTGCGTATTCTTGGACAACAACCATCTCCACAACTAATTGGTGTGTAATTTGGGTGCCATCTTCGCTCTTCATATCACACACAGTCTTTGTACCAGGTGCAATCTGATACTGGACTTCCATCTCAATACACCCAGATGGAGAGTAGTCCGACTTCCAGCCGCTATGCATATCTGCATGCGCTATTATACGTGCGTCGCTGCGCTTTGAGCCCTTCTTTGTCGGCAAGCCGGTTTCTGGATCTTTTGGCGCATGCTTCTCACATGCCGGCGCTACGGTCTCCATATTTTCTTCGAGCTTCCATGAGAGCCGTTTTAGCTTCCAATACTCCACAGTCTTAACATCAGGGTTATGCTTGACGATACCGTCAAGGCGCATGGTAAATGTATTAGTGCTAATGGGATGTACAACTTGCGTGAAGTGTACGCTAGCTGCAATGTTGGTTGGGGGGAATATGCGAATGCTGTGGTGGGGCAGTTCTGGTACTTGGAGTGATCGCTTTACGTCGATATTCTTCGTGAGCTTGATAGTAGGCCCAGTTCGGGGCGTAGCCTCCGCGAAGAACTCGTATCGAATAGCAACAATCGCGTTGTCCGTTGTCGCAGGTAGATGTCCATCTAATAAAACAGAGAAAGGAAATTCGTGAACGCCTGCATATAGTGTAAGTCATGTATTAAGAAAAGTACCCGGAAAAGGTAAGGTTGGACTTACGCTTAGAAAGAATCGTTGGCTCGCTCAAGAATGTCCAAGACTTGAGCTCTGTCGTTCGATTCGAACATTGCTGGCAATGCCCTGCAAATGGTCTTTTCTGTGTGACATGAATATTTAACCTGGCACTGAAATTCTCGACTTCAAAGCCATCCTCCTTGACGTCAAGTAATAATTGACCGGAAATCAAGGCTCCTGTGCTGTTCTCCGGCTCGCCGTGCATGACAACTGGTGGCGACTCAATTTTCCAGTCTAATGACGCATTGGGATTGGGTGATGACTCCCTGAAAGATTTAGATCCACCAAGATGCAAGCTTGGAAAACTGAGGCGATGGTGACTATGAGAGTCCTTATGTTTTTCCTTAGGAGGTTCGGCCATCTTTACGGGAGGTGCGGCGGAAATCAAAGATTGAGTATGATCGGCGGCACTTTCGAGTACCGTAGTTACAGTGGGTCGTTCTCTGGAGGCGGATCGAGAGTTGGGATTGCTCCTCCGTTGTACGGACGCCTTAATATTGTGAATGCTGTCGTTAGAAGACCTAAAAAAGTCTACTACTCGATGTGGCATTTTGATCAATAGTTTTAGGTCGCTTAGACCTGTGGATCCTCTTACGTCGTGTGACTTCCTTGCGTCTTAATAGCGCTAGAGTACCCAAGCGGCCAAGGTAGAAATAATGAAGTAGGTGCGATTGCGATTCGCTTGCTGTATGCTGCTTGCTGCTTGCTGCTCGATGCCGATGCCGATGGATCTAGGTAAAACCTGAACCTGAACTAATGCATCCGGGTGGCGGTCACCTCTTTGTTGCGCTGGACCAATGCTGAACTTGAATGCCGTGGAATCTGGGGAATAATGGCTAATTTTAGGGCAATGGCGAAATACGACCACACTTTCTTGTTCTTCTTTCCCACGTCCCACGATTTCTGGTACCAGCGCTTTGTGTCCCTTTTGGGAATATTCAAGATTCGTTGTAGGCTTTTGATTGGCTGCAACGATGTCCTTAAGTGCACACCACAAAAGAGTCTCGATGGAACGGTGACGAGGTAAGAAGTTGAATAATGGCTAATGACGGTCTTGGAACTCGACTGTTTCTTCCTGTATAGTTACGTGTTTCTAAAAAAACAACACGTTGTGAACTTGCGCAGCGTTGTTATGTATATAGTTGGGTAGATCGTGTAGTTAAGTGGTGTAAGTGGTGTGTAAGTGATGTAGGGCTGATAGGCGAAAGTGATATTAAAGAGTAATCGAATTTCGGTATACTTCGCTTCGTCGACACTTACGTCTTCTTTTGAAGTTATATTTTAATACTAGTAATAAAGTTTCCATCATGGCATAATACGGCGGGTGACCAAGACGTTATGTAGCTGGCGCAATAAAATGCTTGCTTCACATCATGCTTTTGACCAGAGCTTTCCATCAAGTAATTATGTGTCATGGATTGAGACGGACTGGGTCCGGCCCCTTGTAGTTACAGCGCAAACTCTACAAGTTACAGGCGGGCATGGCCCTCAAGCTCCTCCACTAAGTCGCAGCGGTCACAGGGGATCCTCAGCACGTATTCAAGCGCCTGTAAATGATTTGTTGCTCCTTGTCTGACGCCTTTTTCTCGGCCTTAATGCTTAAGTTTTTCTTGTACACGTTTGACTCCATAAGGTACAAACGACTTTGGCGACACTAGATTTACGTAAGCGGCGACTTTGAAAACTTAGCCAAATTCAAGGGGGATCCCGACTAATAAATTTTCATACCTCCAGTCTTTTTAGAAACACCGTTATGTATTAGGTACCTATTTTGTGGGCAAGGGGCCAAAGAAGACGCGTTTTAATTTTCCAAATGGCGAAAGTCTTATAAGATTTTTTTGTAAACCATACTACACACCTTACACACCTAACTTCCGCAACATCAACGCCGTAAATTGCCCCACAATCAGCCCTGCACACATTACGGGGTCGGAGCATATGAACATTGAAAACCCGTATAAGGTTAGCGAAGGAAGACGGAGCAGCTGATGCAATACTTACCATGCAAACAGCAATTACGCACCAAGTAATCCTATTTCAACTACTGACAATGACGCCTTCATCAGACGTTGTGATATAATGGAGACAACCACACCGCTGCATTAACTCATGAGCTCGGTTCACCTATTTTGGCTAATTTGGGAAATAGACAAAGCTCTTATTCGTGGCGGACTCCTTACCATGATCTGGTAAGAGATTTTATAGACCCACTTGATCGAAGCCATCGTGAAGGACGGAGAACGTACGATGGTTACTAGAACCACTAGAGAACCATAGGAGAACCACGAGCCGATGGCTAGTGGGCCGCGTTACTCGATCGTTACCCTATAAGATCCACAACGGTGCGACCGTATACCGAATCGGGGGCCGGCGGAGGTGGGCGAAGGACCTGGAAGAGGTCCGAACCAAGTTCTAGAAGAGAACAAGGAATAACTATGCCAAATGGAAAACAATGGTAAAAAGATCAAATTTTGAAATCTGAATATTCCCCTGACTATCCAATCTTGGACTAGATCTGTGGGACTTTACTTTACTACTTAGGTAGAGATCATAGCTGCTATGCAATAATTTGAGATTTTGAACTTGATAGATCCTTTAAAAATTGATCTTGCCTTATACCTCTAGAGATCTACAGTTGTCACATGAATTGTATTTTTGTACTTCTGTAAATTTGTGACCTAGATACATAGTACATAGTGTAACCATCGGCTGTTGAGGTCGTTTCCTGGTGACAGGAAAATTATTTTTTCCCCATACAATTCATAACCTTGGCAATTTAAGTAACCCGGCGGGGCTCGCCGAATTTTGAAAGCCCCACCTGGTCACAACTCCTGAAATATTTTCACCCAAGTTTTCTCTTAGTTGTCTCAACTCTCCACCTTTATCCACACTCGCGAACTAGATTTTTTGTCTATGTGGATATTTTAATCCACTCTTTTTGTGAGCCGCAACTTGCCGCCGATCCATCGGTGGAAAAAAGATTTTTCCCTAGACGAGGGCAAACAGGGAATGCAATTTTCTGTTCGCCATACCTCATATCGGCTATTCGATCCTCATTCTATTCGGCATAGTTGCTATGGAGACCTCGCTTTTCATAGGCTCACAGTTCTTGAAGTATCATCGTCAATATCAATTTTAGATCGTCGATTCTACAACACGGGAAGGTGATACTAAGTGTGACACATCCCATTTATGGACCTAACTGTGTCTTGTTACCAATAATTAATTAATAACTACTATTAGGCGCCTCAAGATACGTTACATCATATGTCAAAGTTTTTATAAGTGGCGTAGGATGTAGTGCGTATACGAAGTGCAAATTATTTTTGGTGGAAAACGTTGATGAGAAACCTTCATTTGAATACTTTTACTTCTATCTCTTAACTATCCCATATATACAAACTGATTGTTGTAAGAATCATGACAGCGAAGTGAACGGATCCTTCATGTCTAGAACACGACCACCTTTGCGGGGAGCGGGGAACACGCTTTAACTTAAAGGTTGTAAGTCGATCCGATGGGTCCGAACTTGAAGTTGCTGTAAGTGACCTTGGCGTTCTTGAATTTTTCACGGACTTGTTCGGGCTTGCTGCCGTTAACGTCGCATTCACCGCGGGGAACGCCCGGCTCGGACGCGGCGCGGTCAAGGGGATACTTCTGGCCATCCAGCCAAAGCATGTTGGCGTAAGCCTGTCGAAATGTCAGATTACACTATTTGCTAAGGGCAGGTGATATATTCCACTTACATCATCCCAGACGGATAAAACCAGCACCATAGGCTTGCCGGTGGCCTGACCCATCGCCTTCAAACCGCCCATCTGCTGGAACTGCTTGTTGTCCTTGAAGATATCCTTAGCAGCATCTATTTGCAGGATTAAGCGTTAGCGGTATTAATATCAGTGTGGATGTTTGAACAAAAACGTACCACAGAAGCCAGCATCGATCGTGCTACCACCAGAAATGTACTTGGACTTGGGAACTTCAAACTTCTTGCCGTTCTGGATGAAATACTGAGAGAGACTTGTAAGAGATGTGCCGGAGCCGTGAAACTGGGTCACGACGGTAAACTTCTTGCTAGTATCGATCGTCTTTCCCTTGCCGTAGAAGTCGGTATTGCCGTGACGGAACGGGTTCAAGTCACAGCCATCAGGGTCACAGCTACCCGAGTAGCGATCCTCAGAGTATGTACCGCCGCAGTCCTTCGTGTTGCAGACGAAGTATCCGTCTTTTTCGCATGGGTGAGGGGTCAATGCGAATGACATACTGTTGGCCTCCCATAAGTCCATTTCAGCACAGCAGGCTCCCGAGTTACCGATACCAGAAGACTTGTCCGTCTTTGATGGTTCCCAGCCCTCAACATTGGCCTAGAAGAAGAAGCGCAAAGTTAGTTAACGTCCTATTTAGATATATTGGAACTGCTTGAGCCTGGCCTACCTTGCCACCAACCCACTTCAGATCTCGAGCACACTGCGAATCGCAGTATCCGGTACCATACTTGGCACCGGCCTTGTTAGACGGATAACGCGTCTTTCCACCATCTTCGTCCATGGACACGAAGTACACTGCACCGTTCAGACCACAGCCAAGGTCAGCGTTCTCAACATCGAAGGCGATTTCGTTGCCATTGGCTGTGAACATCTGGTACTTATCGGCGCCGTTCATGAGATAAAGGCGGGACCCTATATTCACACCATATTGGTGTTGATTTTGGAATTTCATAGTCACGGCGTTGCCGGAGGTGCTCACACCATATGTGCCCGAATAATCGGCACCCTCGATGGCACAGTTCTTCGTACAAGTGTCGGCATCTGGGCATGCAGTCTTGTTCCAATCATTGCCATCGTAGCAGTTCTGGTAGCCATCCACCACGTGAGTCCATCGCCAGTTGGAGTCGATGACGAGCTCGCCGTTGACGTTGGAGCACTTATTGGGTCCAGTACAGCGCTGCCAGGTGATCTTAGGGTGCGTCTCGGTATCCTCCTTGCCGACTTGCTGGGCATGGCCGAGGGCCAGCAGAGTCGCCAAAGCGACAGTGGTAGCTTTATTATACATCTTAAGAGAAAGAATCTAGCAAGTAGTAGGTGCTATTCTAAGATGGTGTGGTGAGTGAGAAGTCTGAAGCTAGGGGCTTGCTTGAACCTTAAGCTCAGAAAATGACATGATCAAGCCGCCTTTTTATTTTCATCGTGAACGCAAGTCTACTCGAACGGGAAAGTCATTTGCGGAGGCGAATACAGGATTGGATCGTGAACCACATCGTACGAGAGAGGAAAGACGGTCCTCTTTCGTTCCATAGCCCAGAATCTTGGGTGAAGAGAGCAAATCAGATTCACGATCCGGTTAAATGAGGAAATGATTTACGGTTCCCCTAGGTTTGCAGACCCGTGAACAGGGGTCATATGCAGCTTGCACGAGCGTTGCTTGTTGCTTGGCCACAGACTGAAATCAATTGAAGATGGAAGTGACTTAGCAGGAATCCACATCTTCCAAGTAGTGTATAGTCGCTCTCCGGCTTAGACGGGCCGGACCCACGAGAGCTATACTGCCATAACTGATGTCACGATATCAAACAGGAGGAATAGCTGAGAGCAGCTACTCTTAAGTGAGGGTCTCTAGAAACTTTCCGACTTTACCAGCTTGAAATCGCCATAGCGCTTAACCATCCGCTTGAATAAACCGAAGGCGGCTACAAAGATATCATAGATCAATATCTTGCTCAGTTGATTAAATTACTTTGCCTCTCAATTGATTAAAATTGATTGAAGATCGGGCTAGAACAAGGTCAGGTTCTAAACTCTCACTTCACGCCGTAGCCTCTTATGCACCTTATACGTCGAACCTCATGCACTCATTCACATCATATATTCTTCCAACAGTTCATTTTATGACGTAAATCTACCATCATGAAATTGTATCACTGGGCTTCCTTTTACATAGTAACTTGGAAATCTTGATACTTTCGACTGTTGATTCCTACGATGAATGAACGTTCGTTGTGAGATAAGCAGTAACCGATCCCTACTAGAATCGGTGAAGATCAGCGTACCCGACAACCTGGGTCTCATAATCGTCCAATATTGAGATGTAGATATGTAGATTCAAAATCAAGTGACACAACAGGGCAAGCCGCGACGCAGGATGCAGATCGGGTGTCGTTTCCGATCATATTCATTAACCTTATCTCTCTAAGGCTAGTCCCCCAAATTTCTCCACATGTCTTTTCCCCAAATGCTCATCTATTAAAGAATTCCCCGCTTCGTGCCTTCTGATTCTGCTTAACTACCCCAATTCCCCAGACGCCTCTTGACCTCTTGAAGACTAGCTTCTGAACTGCCGGACCCTTCATCTCCGTGATGAGAAACCTAATGAAGTTAATGACGTTCAGGACAAGACATAAATAACGTCGAGGTCTAGGCGCCAAATCGGCCATTATCCAGATTGAGTGGATACGGCGTCATAATAGGAGATGCTATCTGGGCAGAGTCTAGGCCAAGACGGCCCCGGGGAAGCTGGCAGGAAACGATACTACCTCCACCATAGTATAGGGAATTCCTCATTGGTGACCGATGCTTCTCTCTTCACATACGTGCAAGCGGAAGACAGTCCCGGCGCTTACCTATCACCGGTACCAGAAATCTATCTAGTCTCTCCAGTCCGAATCCCCAGCTAGGTGATTCCGCAGCATGACAAAGGCACTAGTAAGTATTTAAAGAATATGGACACGACCTTGCATTCGGAATCCGGACCAGAGACGGCTTGGAATTAATTTATGGGGTCGTACCAGTACGGTACATGGTCTTGTTACACCCCTCGAAAGACTAACAAAGTTGGTCATGTGAAACTATCTTCGGCTCCCACCGCCGTCGCGGTATAATAGAACAATTCTATAATACGAGAAATACTCTAGATTATACACCAATGTGCGCCTAGAAGTGCTCGAGCAGAAGACCCTTGTTTAAAGGGTAAGCGGTCTGGGGAATATCAGATGTCTTCTGGAGTTGAATCTCAGCTCGTGTGTATCTACCCAACTATATAATATCCGGGGATAGTCGCCAATGGGTAATCCGCATATATTTTCTTCTTGTTTTCCGTTAAGTATGGTTCGATGAGTACAAGCCTCCCTTAAAGTACTTGTGTCATATAGGTAAGCTGCACGTGGCTATCGAAATGGTTATATAATCTAGGATAGGCACGTGTTTGGCAGGCATATTTAATTTATCGTTGAAAGTGTCTAGGCCCTCGGGGTGTTTCTTTTATATAATAGTTTAGCCGCACGTATATACGAGTCCACCTATACTTTGAGTATTTTCCTATATAGGTAATTTAGTATTCTAGTTAAATTATACTCTTATTTCAAAAAACCCTATCTTATATAATATTTCGGCTCACTATACTTCTAGAATAACGAATTATAAGAACTCGCGATTTTCGTTTCAAGGCAACGGTATTTCAAATAGAATCATATCTCTCATATGATATTAAGGTAGGCCCATGTAAGTATAGGTACTAATTAGTTAAATAAGCTACTTGAAAGGTTTAGAGGCTTATTTTACTACCGCTTTTGTCAACAATGCTAGTGAGTAGGTGTCATGAGGCAGATCCAAACAACATGGAAACAACTTCAATGTCTCGAGAGGAACTCTAAGCCAACTACGGAAGCCAGTGGCTTTACATATCAATCACATCCTTTTATCTGAATGCCTCATCTAGAATCTTGGCAGTCAATTTTATCCCTATTTATAGCGTACTCCCGAGTGTGTGGACTGTAGAACTTATGAGAATGTCTAAATTATCAGTTATCATTTCTTATCGCACTCTTACATTAGTTAAAGGCGATTGGCTGTATACCTCCTAGGTAGCAGCCCTGTTCTCAATTAGCCTTACTGGGCTGTTATCGATAAACTGTTGGGAATCTTTAGCGTCGCGGGGTGGAGCGGGGATCTTTCGGAAACGTGGTAGGTCTATGTGGCTTGACTTATGATTGCGTGAGGTATGACGGTGTGCCCTGCGCCTTCCCCCGAGCTCGCCCGAGTTACTCATTGACCGACTGACTTTATGACTCGATTTCGAGGAACTTTCAAAAATATTCAATTCTTTGCAAGTTTTCACTTAATTTGATCTTTTGCTCATACCTAATACCTAATCTATTATTGATATAATAGTTACCTATAATGAACGTCGAACGTCGAACATCGAACCTAACCTACATATTCAAATACTCTCTTATTCTATTAATGATCACTCGAATATACTAACAAACATGACGAGCAAAGGCGCGAAACAGCTGCCGCATGAACGGCGAAAAGGAGAAGCGGCCCTAAGCGAATTTGCCGAATTTGTTGAAAAGCAACAAGCATTGCGATACCCGAGTACCAAAGCCACCGACCGTATTGAGCACCACGAAGAACTCGATATTCTCGACTCATTAAACCTGGGCGATTCCGAACCTCATGTACCACTGCGCGATCTCCTACTCTCACCTTCCGACAATGCAACAGCCCAACAGAAACTGTCCGAATATATCGACGAGCGACTCTTGGAGGGCCACGGCGAGGCAGTTTTTGACCTAGGATTTGAGAATAATGGTGAATCGATGCGCCTCACCAGCGATGAGTGGAAAATCGCATTAGATCGCTTAAAAGAAACTGCTAAGAAGGCACACGCCGACTGTGATATACTACTCACTAAGAATGTCGGGGGCGACGTCGAAGCTGAGTCAACAATTGCAGGGAACCAGAGTAAAGACAAAGACTGTACCGGAAAAATTCTGATACGGCAAAACCCCATTACAATCGAGCAGGTCATCGAAACAAGAATAGCCGTTGTTGGCAATGGTGAGTTCGGTCCGCGTGTAGAATGATATAAATAGCTGTGCTAACACTTATATATAGTTGATGCCGGAAAAAGCTCTATGCTTGGGGTCTTAGTTAAGGGAGACCTTGATGATGGACGAGGAAAGGCTCGCGTCAATCTCTTCCGTCATAAGCATGAGATAGAAACGGGTCGCACCAGTTCCGTCGGGATGGAAATAATGGGTTTCGACACCATGGGAAAAGTTGTCACATCCGACACCCCGGGGAGTAAGTTATTCAAAATCCCAGCTATACTTTCTTACCGCTTACTGTGATATAGGGAAACTGTCGTGGGAAGAAATTGGCAAACGTAGCGCCAAAGTGATCACCTTCACCGACTTAGCCGGTCACGAACGCTACCTACGAACTACAGTCTTTGGTCTATTATCTAGCAGCCCTAATTATTGTTTACTGATGGTTGCCGCAAATAATGGGCTAATTGGTATGAGTAAAGAACATCTTGGTATCGCTCTGGCCTTAAATGTCCCAATCATGGTAGTAGTTACCAAAATTGACATATGTCCTCCAAATATTTTGGAACAAACCATCCAGCAGATTACTAAAATCCTAAAATCTCCAGCGGCACGAAAAATGCCTATATTTATTAACAATCGCGAAGAGTGTATCAACACCGCTACCCAGTTTGTGAGTCAACGAATATGTCCTATATTCCAAGTCTCCAACGTTACCGGCGAGAATCTTAACCTTGTTCGCACATTCTTGAATATTCTTCCGCATCATGGACGTTATGACTCAGATGCTCCCTTTGAATTTCATGTCAATGACACCTTCTCTGTCCCTTTCGTTGGTACGGTAGTTAGTGGTATCGTCAAGTCAGGGGTAGTACACACTGGCGATAGCGTTTTAATCGGACCGGACTCGCTGGGTCAGTTCACTCAAACTAGCATTCGGTCCATCGAGAGAAAAAGAATCAGTGTACCCGCAGCGTCTGCAGGCCAATCCGCCAGTTTCGCATTGAAAAAAATGCGTCGAAAAGACGTGAGGAAAGGAATGGTAGTCTTACCAAAAATCGAGGGACAACCGGCTCCTAAAGTTTACCGTGAATTTGTCGCCGAGGTCTTGATTCTCTCGCATGCAACCACCATCAAAACCAAATATCAGGCAATGCTTCATGTCGGGCCAGTCTCCCAGACATGTGCAATAATCGATGTAGATCGCCCCTTCATACGAACCGGCGATCGGGCAACTGTAGCATTCCGATTTGTTCAGCGACCAGAATACTTGGCCCCTGGGGACAGGCTTCTATTTCGTGAAGGCCGAACTAAGGGTCTGGGCATTGTCAAATCGGTTGGGTATGATCCAAAGAAACCCTTGATGGCTGATCAGTCGGATGGAGGTGCCGCGCAAGAGCCTGATGAGAACCACGGTTCTACTGGAAAGGGTATTCCGTCCTCTACGGGTGTGAGGGCTGGCGCCTAGTAGCACAAGACCCGTTAACTCTCGCTGTGGAATTATGCGCAGCCTGGGGTCGTATTATGGCGTAAGGGTTGGGGTTATCTCCCGGGATACTTTCGGGTTGAAGATAATTATGTCTCATCCCGTCATCATTTTGAATCACATTAAATCAAGTTTGAAGAAGGAATGCATCATAGTTGCTAGCGGAGTTGGGCGTTTCGTGCTCCAGGGGTTTGGGGCGGTGTAATACCTCATCCTACATACCCTGAGGCATTTGTCTCATTGTACTTGACTTATTTCTAGTATGGAATATATCCAGTCGTTTACATAGGGGCTCACTACCCCTTCTCTATTCCTTTCTCCGATGCCGCTTGATAGTAGAAGCTAAACTGCATATGACACTTCGTTATTAATTAACTACATGTAATCCACGGCTTCTAAGTATCCGTCAACTCTTGTATTAAAACGCCTATGTTGATCTTAGATGTCATTGATTTATACCCGGCTTTATCAGTGGGGTATCAGGTGAGAGGTCGGGACTTTTACATGACCCTTACTGGGTAAGTTGTGATAGGATTTAAATGCCCATGAGTCACTTTACCTTAGGATATTGTGTCAAGTGCGAGTAAAAGCTTCCTGGGCATTTGGGATATATGCCTTGTTATCTTATGCATGACTTTACTGTTTTACACAATTATGGTTTTCTATTATTATTTTTTTTTTTTAAAAAAAATTTAGATTTAGATTTAGTTTTTAGTTTTACGTGTATATTTGTTTGTATGTATGTGTTTATGTATGTGTATGTGAGTTCTCCGGTAACTTAAACGACTTCTTTTAGTTATTGTAACTACGTTGAATAATTGACAAAGTTATCATATAAGAAAGACCCGGGGGGTGGACATTTACTTACTAAATTTCAACCCTGTTGGATTACGCAGTCAAAGACTATAATTAGCACTGCCTCGCTTTAGATAAGAAATATGTATAAATCTGATTCGGAGAGTTTTCTTTTATGCGGCTGAACGATGGTCCGGTACTGCTACGTTGCGGATTTCATGGGGGACTTCGGCTTTTTCTAAGCGAGCAAAAGTTCGGGTTCCTCGAAGACCCCGTCGAGTCCGTCAACTTGACGATGCCGTGACTCTCCTGCGCAATTCGGAAGGGCTGCCGTTTCGACGCTTTGCCCATTGAGGCGAAGACGTTGCGATCGATAATCGACGCGACGAATCATATTATGTACATGATACGGCAAGGTAGGCAATCGTTTTGAACCAATAGTTATGGGCCTGTTCTAGATTAACAACCTGGTCTTGGACTGCCGATGTACACCTTGTGCACCGGGACTGTGCGGGCCGGGATCATCTGTGGGGGGGAGAGGGAGGGAGATTATACAAAACAACATAAATCCCCTAGTGTCAACGGGTGATCTACAGCAAGGATCGTGATGTAGTCTAGCCTCTCTACGTAGATCAGTTCGGAAACTCTGCTCTGCTATTGGTTGGGAAGTTCTTCATCTAATTCGTTATTATCAAATCGTAAGGTATGCGTAAACGATTACGGGACGGCACGGGCCTGTCGGAGAATGGCTAGACATGGTTGCCTCATAGCAGGGGTCTATTGTCCACTACGAAGAAGTCAAGGCTTGTATCAATCTTCTTCGGGGTTATCGATGCTGTATACCGTACTGTCATGGAATATCCTTTTGTGAGGACTTATCAGTATGGAGAGCCCAAATTCCCGGTATATAAACCAGAGGGTTTTCCCGTTACTGGTAGTGTAAAGAAGTCTGATTAAGACAAAGCAAAGATATGAATGAACTAGAAGCTCCAGCATCGAACTTCACTATGGCGCCTGTTTTCGAGTTTGGTGATCCTGTTAATATTCCTTTGATAGGAGCAGCATGTGTAAGTCACAGATCGTCCAGCTCTTAAAGATCTAAGAGTTACTAGTTTGCCTATTTAATACTTACACTATAATTAGTTAGCAATCTACGTCGTAGGGAATATATTCTACAGACTCTTTTTGGATCCTTTACGCTCCATCCCCGGACCATTCCTCTGGCGCTTCACTAATCTACCGCGAGTTTATCATATATTAAAAGGCGATATACACGCTAAAGTCCTAGAGTTGCATGTCAAATACGGACCAGTTCTCCGACTCACACCTTACGAAGTTGTCTTCAGTGACCCCCAAGCATGGAAAGATATCTATGGTCACCGCGTTGGCGATGCCCTAGAGAACCCCAAATGGCCGCGTAAGTCACATCCAGACCTGTGTTTCCATATTATGACTCTAGAGCGGATTTTTCTAGCATACGTAACATTTCATAGATACTAAACAGAACGCTATGGTCTTATCCTTTCCTACTACAGCCCTATTTGAAATCTATTTTGACACGTGCTGTGCTAACTTGAGGCCTATAGAATTCTACAAAGCAAATACCGATCTCGCTGAAAGCTTTTTCACCGCCGAACGTAAGGAACACGCAATCCAACGCCGGCAGCTTTCACACGGGTTTTCCGATAAGTCGATGCGAGAGCAGGAATCTTTGATCAAGGGATATGTGGAATTATTGATACAACGGCTACACGAAAACGCTCAGAATGGCGCGGCTCGGCTTAACATGCGAGACTGGTACAACTGGACAACATTCGATGTCATCGGCGACCTAGGGTTCGGGAGGTCATTCGGTTGCTTGGCGGACACAGGTGTATGCGATACCAGACCTCCATGGAGTTGCAAAATAAATTACTAACTCATCATAGTATCATCCTTGGGTGAAGCTCATTACGCAGACTTTTAGGGAGTCAGCCGCATTCCAGAGCTTGGCACACTTGGGCTTACGGCCGGTAGTAAAGTATGCTTACCGATTAGGATTAATGGTCAAGAACAAGGAGAACCTCAACCTCGTCGCGGAAACACTCCAAGAGAGAATCAAGCTTGGTAAAGAGAGGCCTGACTTGATCGACGGGTTCGTTAAGAAGAAGGACGAGTTGGGCATGTCCTTCGAATCTCTCGTTAGTAGTGCAAATCTGTTGATCGTCGCTGGCTCGGAAACTACAGCCACACTTTTGAGCGGAGCTACTTTTCTCTTGACTACGAACCCGGATAAGCTTGCGAAAGTCACTGAAGAGGTCCGTTCTTGTTTTGAGAGCGACCAGGAGATCACCCTTACATCTGTTAGCCGACTACCTTAGTAAGTGCCATTCCGCACATTCGTCTATGAACCGTACCATTAGCTAACAAGAGCTTTAGCATGCTTGCATGCCTTAACGAGGCTTTGAGACAGTATCCCCCAGCTACTAGCGACTTACCAAGAGTTACACCCAAAGGAGGTGCTACAATCTTGGGGAGATCTCTACCCGAAGGCGTAAGTGGCTGATTTGCTATCCTTTCTTCCGTTATATATAGTAATGCTTACTCGATTTATGGCAACAGACCGTCGTATCAGTCTTCCAATACGCCGTAAACTACGATCCGCGATTCTGGAAGAACCCTTTCAAATTCGCCCCCGAGAGGTGGCTGGATGATCCGGAATACAAGGACGACCAGCAGGACGCCATGCAACCGTTTAGCACCGGACCGCGAAACTGCATCGGTAGAAAGTAAGTCCTAGTATAAAATCCTAAATAGTAGGAGATATGAATTGCTAACACATGCTGCTATAGTCTCGCATACGCTGAAATGCGTCTCATCCTGGCCAAGATTCTTTTCAACTTTGACATGTCCATCGATGACGAGAGCCTAAACTGGTTCTCAAACCAGAGGGCATTCAGCGTGTGGGAAAAGCCGCCTTTGTATATCCACTTGACACCCGTTACCAAGAAATCTGAGTAAACGGACACATGACTAAGTCGAGGGGCATTTAGGTAGGATAGGATGGCTAAATTGCATATTTTGATTTTGGGATACTGGTGCTCTGATAGAGTATCAAGCATAGTTGCTGACACGAGCTAGTTCTCGTACTTTTATGTATTTATTTTGTTAGTACGGTTGGGTGGATTGGGTACACAGGTATAAAACTTAGGAACTTCACTCAATATATTAGACCTGAATATTCTATAAAACATGCCTAGGTATTCATATGGTAACGAGAGTTAGGCACATGAGTTTTGAATGGTGAACTTTATCTAACGGATGCCTTCGTTTCTAGGTCTATTTGATTTGTAAAATGATGTAGCCTATTGCACTCTTAACGGGATTAGATCTTGGAACTATTGCTGACATAATTCTCACGTATGTCTCTAAGCGGAGTTGAGAGTATGACAGGTACATGTTTATAAGTGAGCAGTGTGTATAAGATCTCTACTCACGATCGTTGTATAAAATGACTAGTCACAATATAAATCTTGTAGTGAGACACATTAGATTTCTTTTTTCCAATTTCTTTCAGGATATGCATATATTTTTAAACCATGATATATATGCTTCCGATGCCTATTATCCAGCTCCGGGCTAGCCTGATATTTTCCTGAAAGATGTTGACCAAAGTGAGGAACCTCACAGTGTCGTCTGAAGTAGTAAACTAAGCTTCTTGACATGGCACTGTAAGCTTAGTCATATGCTTGAACAAAAGGGCTGTCTAGTTTCGGAAATAGGACTCCTAATAAGTGGTCAACGGTTTAGCTGAGGTTCATTATCTCCTTCGAACTATGTAATATCACTTAGCTAATATCAAGATGGCGAACGATGGTATTGGATCAAGTAAGCAGCTCCCCTGATGTTAACTAGTGAATTACCAGTTTTGAGAATTGCTCACAATCTGATTGGATGGCTCGTACATACCTTATACATTAGCTGGATATGTAAGCTTATGATAGTGAGCTCAGCTCTCACTAGATCGTACTATATAAGATATTAAGACTTCGTACTTCTAACGCAAAAGACGTCGAGCTGCAAAACCTTGACTTTACAGGGATAATAAATCTTCTTACCCTTCTTCCTAGCCAAGATGGTTCGCATTAATCCATTAAGCGTGCTCTTCGCCCTCGGCTTAACAGCCGTTCAAGCTACACAGTTCTGGCACAACACCGGAACGAAGGCCGGATGGGATACCTTTACACACGAACACAAAGGCACCGTCGATGAAGTGACGGATCGGGTCTACAAGGGCCCTACGGCTCTTAGAATGACCCAAATCCATGATGCGGGCTATAATGGCCGGTATCACTCTGAAGCTGTCAAGTACAATGTCTACCGCAAAGGCGACACCGGATTTTACGGATTTGCCTTTCTACTCCAGGATGGCTGGCAGTTCAACCCGGCCCAAGGTTACAACCTCGCTCAATTCATTGCCGATTTCTCGGATCTTAAATGCGGCGAGGATTATATGCCTAGCACTAGTATGTATTATTCTTTACCACATATTCTTCGGAGTGACTATCTAGGACGTTGGAATTTATTAGTCCAGATGATAAGAAAGCGCTTCAATTGAGACCATACAACCGCCCTAGGCTTTATTTTTATAGATGCAATTGCTAACAATCATCATTTTAGTGGTTTGGATCGACGGCGACCAACTCAGCACCAGGGTAAAATACGGCAACGTATGTCCCACAAACCAGCAAAAGATCAAGGAATTCAAAAAGCTCAAGACGGTAACCGCCGGCGTATGGCACCGCGTCGAGATCCAAGCGAGCTGGAAGAGCGACAGCACCGGGTTTTTCAAGCTGTGGTACGACGGGGAGAAAGTCGTCGAAGCATACAATCTCCCGACGACGGTGGGCGACGGACGGTATTTCCAGTTCAGAGTCGGGCTGTACGCCAATGCTTGGCACGACCACGGCTACGAGGGTACTCAGGCGACTAGGCAGGTCTGGTACGATCAGATTGCTGCGGGCTCTGCGTTTAAGGACGCGGACCCGGGGGCATGGGTTGCGAGCGCTAGTGGCATGCGGTTTCAGCCATCTTCCGAAGATCTATAGATTTGGACGGGGGTGTGTGTGCATTGTGCATGACGAAAATAGGTTTGCTGTGTCAAGGGATGAGCATGTTTGTTTAAAGTCTTGCAATATACCGTGTAACCCCTGATTTTAGAGACGTGTCTGATGTATGTATATCTTCTATTGAAGATATATGAATATTATTTATAATAAAGTCTTCTTAGAATTCCATAGGGGTTCTTTATGTTCGCATAACCTCGGATGGTATAGTTAAAGACATGAAAGACGCTACATGTAAGAATTGACACTGTCACAGCAATTAAGAAATTGTTAAGATATAAGATTTCAATTGATAGGTACATTTGTACACTCATTCATCTCGTCTAGCCGTTGTCGCATCATCCAACCCGCCTGTATGAACTTTATATACAACATAAGAAGAAGAAGAAAAAAAAAGCATTATTGTACCCCTTTAAACTCCATTGACCCCGTCTATTTGCTTGTGTCGACGACATACCGACCGGCGATCTTGCCAGCCTTTAGTAAGTCGAATACCTCTTGCAGCTGGCTAAGGCCGACTACCTTGTAAGGCGAGGAGACGAGCCCTCTCCTGAAGAAGTCGATGGCTTCGGCGGTGTCTTGGCGGTTACCGACGTAGCTGCCCTTGATGGTGATCATGCGGACCACGGTGTCGAATACTGGTGCCTTTAAGTATGCACCTGCGGGTAGACCGACGGCAACGATGGTTCCGCGGCTACGTACGTACTCGCTAGCTTGTTGGAAGGGACCTTCGCTGACAGCGAGTAGGAGGACGGCTTGAGGGCCGAAGCCATCGGGTGTTGCTGCCTTGACGTCTTGGACTACGTTCTTGCTCTTGGTGAAGTCGATGTAGTCTGTAGCACCGAGATCCTTGCAGAGCTTGCCTTTCTCTTCACCACCGTCAATGGCGATTGTGTGTAAGCCCATTGCCTTGGCGTACTGGATAGCCAAGCTACCAAGACCACCTCCGGCACCGACGATGGCGACTTGCTGACCGGGCCTCGCGCCGGACTCCTTCAGTGCCTTGTACACTGTTAGACCAGCGCATAGAATGGGCGAGACTGCTTCTAGGCTGACGTCCTTCGGGATCCTGGCAACGTGAGCTGCCTTGCCGATAGCATACTGTTGGAAGCTACCGTCTACTGTGTAGCCTGATAATAAGGCATCGGGGCAAAGTGATTCGTCAGACTGTCGGCAGAATGTGCATGTCAGGCATGATCCGTTCAGCCATTTGATACCGGCGTGGTCTCCGATTTCAATGTCCTTGACAAGCTCGCCACGTGCGACGACAACACCTGCACCTTCGTGACCACCAATGAAGGGCATCTTGGTGGCAAGTGGCCAATCGCCATTTAAGGCGTGTAGGTCTGTGTGACAGACACCAGAATACTTGATGTTGATGAGTACCTCATCAGGTCCTGGCTTAGGAACTGGAACCTTCTTATATTCGACGGCTATTTGATGTTAGAAACTGGATGAGATATGCCTATCTATAAATAGATTAGGTATTGGGTAGTAGTATAGGGTTTTACTTACGTCCACCGGTCTTTTCGACGACCTGCGCCCACTGTTCGCTCGGAATTTCAAAGGAACTCATGTTTCTTTTTTGAGGAATTGTTAATATGGTTGATCGAGGTTGAGATGAGATGAATGTTAGTCTAGGATTCGGAAGTCTATTTAACTTATATCGAAGTTGTTTGATGATGATGGTGGACTTAAGAATGTTTGACGCGATAATCATGATGTATAAATAAGATGCTTCTTGTAACATACACAAAGACCCCGTTAATAGTGAATCAAATTAAGTCGTATTGGCCAATGGAGCTCGCGCCCGCCCGGAAGCGTCTCGTTGAAGTCTCCTTTCAATGGCATGCTTAAACGTCACCTTACCCCTCTCACCACCGCAAACTACAATGGGGCTCCTAATGCTCCTAAGGCTCCTAAGGCTCCTAAGAGCTCCGTACTAGTAATTTTCAACAGGAAGATCCATGTTGCCGGACGATCTAGAGTTTTAGCTAGACCGTAGCTAATCGTATGCAAGTACGGAGTAGGCCGGGCGAAAGACTTGGTTGGTACGGCGTAAGGGACGATCGCCGCGATAGACCAGTTTGAGATGTTAAAATGTCAGGCGCTTCTTTGGCTTATGTGCAGACTGTACAAACTATGCAGACCAGTGGTACCGGGCGGAGCAGACATAATAGACCGCACCACTAAACGTTAGGAATAGTTATTCGGTTATTGGTAGCGCTGCAGATATGAGAATAGCGTCGAGCCTTCGGCCGCGCGGAACTCCTCCAGCCCCGTCTCCATTCCGGTCAAACTTGGAGTACATACATTACATTAGAATTCATGCATACCTACCTGTTATTGGACTTCTTAGACTTCTTTGATGTAACTTAGCGTCTTAACTTGCAGACTTCAAACGCGGGGAAGTTGGGGAAATACGCCGCGTGGACGATCCCTTTGTTCCCATTTCCATTGTATTATTTCCTATCTTTACCCGCATGACGCAAATCTCGCATAGTTCATGTAAGTTTGTTAGTTTGTTAGACGAGCTTCTGCAGAAAGTCGAGGTTTGATTGTTAGTTCTAGACTCGGTGTTATTTTTTTTTTTATGATCATATGATTTTGACCAAATGGGGTGACGGAATTGACAAGGATTTCTTTAGTGTACAGTAGCACAGTATTATTATAAACTGTAATGACAACACAATGCTGTCAATGCTGTCAATGCTGTCAATGTCAGCCCACATCCTTTTAAGCGGGGGCGGGTCCCCCCTTTATTGTTCAATTCCCATAACTCTCAGCTCACCTTTTGGTATCCGGTGGAATGGAAGTGGAAGCTGTATCATGTGGCTTTTTCTCTTCTTGCAGCTGAGGTCATTCTACATAGTTGGGCCTAGTATCTCAAGAAAATCGAACTATTGCTAGTTATACGACGAATATTGATACCTACCTAGGTATCTTTGTTTAAGGTAATTCCCTCATACATGGTAGGTAGGTATGTATTCTGGATTTATTATTTCATGTAGGTAGGCACTTATTCATACATGTGCATATACATTTGCATATACATGTGCATACTTGAAGCCATTGTGTGTGATACAAAGATTTAATATATACTGTGATAGATATGTGGTTAAGATAGCTACATGGCAATGTTTGTACGGGATTCCATATCTAAGGCAATATGTGCTCCGTAAAGTAGTTAATACCTAACATTTAATAAAAAGATATATTATTAAAAACGGTTATCCATATGAGATGTGCATCTTTTAGATCGTTTAGGTTTGATCTCGTGTAAGTCGGCTGTTTCGATGAAAATTTAATATGTACAATTCTAAGTTTCATGTCGTACAGATAAACGTCGAGACCGCCATTTCAATTCAGCTCCTATTTGTTTGCTCTAATGTTAGCCTCACTTTAATTATGTCTCATCTCATTCCACTGTACTGGTAAGCTCGGAGATGCGAATTGTATTCCGAGATCTCCGTCCTCCGATATCCACATTTTTAATCTTCATACTCGTGTTTGTGGTTACACTTTCATCTCATAACATCTCACAAGAGCAATACTCTTAAGATACAAGAATAACAAACTGGTTATTAAAAAGTAATATATACAAATTCTATTCTATAATTATTCAAAAATCTATAAACATTTCATATTATATTATATAATTGACGTCTCATTATGCGCTCATATCCGAGAGTGTATTACCTAAATATAGATCCCGAGATGACCCTCAACTTTTTTCACCCATCCAATGTTTGGTGCAGAACATTTACGCGATAGCTCTCGCTACGAGTCAACAACTCTTCGTGTGTACCCCTTTCGACACATTGACCATCTTCGATCATGAAGATTACGTCTGCGCGTCGGATAGTATGCAACCGATGCGCGATGGCCACCACCGTTATGCCCCGCGTCGCCTTCTCTAATCCGTCCTGAAGTAGCCTTTCCGACTCTGCATCCAAAGCACTAGTCGATTCATCTAGGAGTAGCAGCCGTGGCTTACGCACTAATGCTCTAGCGATGGAAAGACGTTGTTTCTGGCCACCTGAAAGTTGACCCCCACTATGTCCGCATTGTGTGTTGTAACCGTCTGGTAGAGCTACGATAGTATCATGGATATTCGCCAACTTGCATGCATCCTCAATGTCCGCATCTGATGGTTCTTCGTCTGGGCGAGCACCGAGGGCGACGTTAAACCGAATGCTGCCGTCGAATAAGACGCTGTCCTGTGGCACTAGACCGATGTCATCTCGAAAGATGGGTTCTTTTCTGCCCGAGATATCTATGCCATCGACTTCAATCGCGCCCGATTCCGGGCTATACATGCGTTCTAGTAATGATATGACTGTTGATTTTCCGGCACCACTAGGACCAACAAGAGCGCAGAACTGGCCTGGGCGAATGTCGATATTCAGACCTTTCAAGACTTGTCGATTTGGTCGCGCGGGATATGAGAATTTCACTTGCTTGAAGCTTACCGCAAGGCCCTTAGCATTTGATGTTGATACTCTCTTTGACTCAACAGCCGCCTCTGGGTCACGGCGATTTACCCCCTTTGCCAACATGGTTTTAGATGAGCTTAGGTCTATGAGGTCGAAAATCTGACCCACTGCCCTTCCCGCTCTTGTTATTTCAGGGGCGAGGGTAAAGAGTTGACCCCAAAGCTGGGCACTTACTAGAAGCGCCATCAGTACGATGAAGAATTCGACTTGCGTATAATGGCTTTCGATAATCTGTTTGGCTCCCCACCAGTATATGAACGCATAGATGAGATTTGACATGCTGAATGCAATCGCGAGGAATAGGTTGGCCCACAGGCTAGAGCGTGTCATCTCATTACGCGGCGCCGAGAGAGAGCGATGGTATGTCCCGAGTACCTCTTGCTCGAGGGATAGTGCTGCAACAGTCTTGATTGAATTTACAGCCTCGACAGTAATGCTCACAGATTTGGCGAATGCTTTTTCGTGGCGTTCTGCGAAACGAGTGAGGATACGCATTTGCATTATTCCTGAGCCAAGCATAAGCGGTACTGTTGCGAGACAGACAATTGCTATTTTCCAGGCAATGATGAGTGTCATAATGACCGCAGCAATAAAGTTAACACCAATAGAGAAGATAGTTCCTATTATCGAACCCGTTAAACCTTCGACGGCAGCCGAGTCGCTTGTAATATACGACAGTAACATTGAAGGGGTGCGATTCTCGGACTGGTGCCACTGCAGGTCTTGCTCAAATAACGAGCGGAAAGAGAGTACCCTGATTGTATAGAGAAGCTTTTGCGCGATCCAGCCAAACGCCGACCAACTCACTGCATTGGCGAATAATTCGATAATGGCAAGCGCGAAGAACATAAGGCCAAAAAAGCTACCCGCTGCTCGAATAGCATCCTCAGAGTTGCAAGGGCTTAAAGCACCGATCGTGTTACCGAATATCAACGCCGATCCGGAATATGTCCCGCCAACAATGAGAGCTGCAAAGAGGGCAACAAATACCCACAGCAGATAAGGTCGAGTTATTGTCGCTAGACTTTTAATTGTGGCCCATGTCGGCCTCGACTGATCGGATATCTTCGCCTCCTTTTCCACATCTATTTCAGTTTCGGTGGTGACAGCTTCACCAACATTTTCGTTCTCCTTAGTGAGCGACCGGGATACCTTTTCCATGTCTATGTCTGAATGGGCCAGGTCCTTCGTAGTACTTTCCTTTGCAGTGCTTACGCTTGAAGTCTCCGATCCCATATTCTGCAACCGAACAAGGGCCGCATAATCGGTATTTCTAGCAATGAGGTCGAGGTGACTGCCCTGTTCTATGACTTTACCATTGCGCATGACGACGATATTGTCAGCATTTTTGACAGTCGCTAGACGATGCGCAATTGATATTACTGTCCTGCCCGTAGAAACTTTGTCGATAGCGCTTTGTATACGCCGTTCGCTAGCCGAATCGAGAGATGAAGTCGCCTCGTCTAGAACTAAAATCTTGGGGTCTTTGACCAGAGCTCTTGCAAGTGCCACGCGCTGTTTTTGTCCACCGCTTAGCAGGTCACCATTAGGACCGACGGTCGTACCGAATCCATATTCCAAGTTCTCCAGGAAGGCATCAGCATCAGCAAGATTTGCCGCTCGCTGGACCATTTTCACAATTTCAACAGTCAGATCACCATACGGCTCCGCAGCAGTAACAATGTCTTGTCCGCCTCGTACCGCCTCTGCTATTTGGGATAGCTGGGTACTAAGAAGAATAGACTGCAGGGGGCCATGCTCCGGGCGAGGAGAGTTCACCAATCCAAGAGCTATGTTTTCAAAGACTGATCGATCTAAAAGTAAGGGGTCCTGTTGAACAAGGCCAATAAAGCTTCGTAGTTGGCGCACATTCACATCACGGATATTTCGGCCATCCACATACACGGTACCTTGGTCGGGATCGTATAATCGTGTCAGTAAGCCGGCAATTGTCGATTTTCCACTACCAGATAAACCAACGATTGCGGTCTGTTTGCCTGCTGGAAAGTGAAGCGTTACACCCTGAATTACGGGAACGTCGGGACGAGACGGGTAGGTGAAGTCGACATTTTCAAGTGTAACGTCACCCGAAAATGACTCGAATTCGTCTCCTTGCGAGGGAAGCGTTCCGTCGATTTTCGAATGGCGATCGATATCCTTCTCAAGCTTTTCTAACGCAGCCGTGGCAGATCCAAAGATCTGTAAGTATGGCGATATTTGACTAATCACAAGGGAGGCTAGAAATTTGGCATCAGAAAGCAGTTATAATAGCTCCGTACAGGGGTCTTACCGTCAACTAGAAGGAATATGATAGTGTATGTTGTGCCAACAGTCACTCCCTCCTCACGACCAGCAACGACATCAGCTATGGTTTTACTGCCCTGCCAGTATGCCAATCCGCTTGCCGAGAAAGCTATGAAATATAGCAGCCCAGACTGCACAGCGGTTGCGATAGCTTTCTTGACCCCGTTCTTTTTTGCCACGAGGAGCTCATCGGCGAATTTTTCTTCGAGGCGGTTATTAGCTCTGAACGCATGTACAACCATAACGTTTGACAAGCTCTCTAAAGCGATGGATGATGCGGACGCAACATGTTGTGATGCCTGGCCCGAGTATTTGCCAATAAAGTGACCGCCGACAAGGGACATCAACATGAATGCAGGAACCAATGACACTAGAATGCCAGCTAGTTTAGCGTTCTTGATAAAGGCCACGACATATGAGGTGATGAACATCGCAAGTGAGCCCATATACACGCCAACCTTTTCAGATGTACCACTTTTGATGACGTTAATGTCGGCACTCAAACGCGAGGAGACCTCTCCGGCTGGTAATTTATCGAAAAATGATACCTCCTGACGTAGCAAGGAGCGGAAGTAACGCTCTCGTAACCGGTGAGCAAGCCGATCGCCAAACAGGTTCCAGCATACGGAGAATATGTAAACAAGTGCAAGCTGGGCTAAGGCACAAGCCATAACTAGCAATACCTTTTCATTCACATCGGATTGGTACGTTTCCGGGGAGGTTGTTTGTTCACCCGCACATGTTTCCGAATTAAGGTCGTCTAATAGCTGGCCAAAAAGGATACCGAGAAGCGGAAATGGTATTCCAGCAGCAATTGAAGCAATGGTACCGATTACCAGCAACGAAATGTCTGTTTTGCTCGGTTCGGCGTAAGTCAGGAGTCGGAAGTATCGAAAAAGACCTCGTGATCCCTTCATAATCGATTAGTTTATTAAACGTAGTGAGAAGAGTACGTCGGCAACCTTACATTGGATACCATTGACGTTGCTCTATGGAAAACGGAATCCTTTGCACCTCCACTGGCATTCGAATCATGGTTCTGAGGCGTGTCACCCATCGTGACGAAATCCCTTTTTACTTTGACGCCTATGATGTTTGTTGCCTGAATCAAGAAACTTCCAACATATTCAACATGTCAAGAAATTTTTCCTATCCCCCCCCAAACGAACAGGCCCCATGGATCCATCTTTTTTTTCTACTCCTCGCCGGCATCCGGAAGCACGATGCGCCGTAGTAAATTCCAATACAACCTCGTCCATGACGATACGGGGCTAGATGGAGCCAAGGAACGGACTCCATAAACCAATCTTGATGAGATGCCTTCTCATTTCGGCGACTCTGGATCGGTATATAGTTTTTATGATGTAACACTAACTCCAATGTACAGAAAATACAAAGCTGTACTTGGAAAAGAAAGGTTGGGATTCCCTTGTCTCCGAGGACGGGGTCTAAGAGAGATGAGGGGATATGATTCGCAGCGACTAAACCTTGAGTGGTAGGACAATGCTGTTTCGGGGTCTTGGCATGCAGCATCTGATAAGATCATTCTTAGCCAAGCTAAGATTAGTGGTGGATCATGCTTTTGTTTAAATTATGAATGAGTTATCTGATGGCGCTAGAAGGTAAGGCCGGTCCACAGGGACAACACATCATTATTCGGGCAGTAGGTGGGTGGCAATTATCACTCACACTTACTCTAACTGTTCTAACTCACTGTACCGGGTAGACAAACAGGTAGGCAGGTAGGTAACCCAGAAGGTAGGTAACCGTACCTACCTATAGGCAGTATGTCGCGGAACTATACTGGGATTAGAGTTTAACCCGACCCAATATTCGGATCGCCCTGTACGACTTGATATACGACGGAGACTTGATGTACGACTTGACTCAGTCAGCTGGAGTCTCTAAAGGGTTTATTTTGTATCACCTCAAGTTTTTTCAACTTGTTTATTTTTCCTTATTTTCTGTATTGTACGCGCAATACTTCAAGCCTTCAAGCCCCCATGGCTAAGCCACTCTGAGTCAAAGTTGCGCGAATATATCCCCTAAAACCCCCCCACGCCTTTGCCCTGTCTCAGGAGCTGAGAGGTTCCATCAGCTGACAGGGTGGCCTGATGACCAAACAAACATCCACTACCCAGAATCCTGGATGAATATTATTATATTGTAACGGTAAAAATTAACGTGCACTGCCAATTATTTTAACTTTTCATTTTTTCATCCTGGAGTCGATATCTATGTCAAGACTTCATCGACGTCTTCCTCCGTCAACAAACATGGAAGAAGACACGATAACAAGTAGCCAGGAGCCACTGCTGGGTCGGGGTTCAAGTAGCGACGATGATGGTAATATTCGAAGAGATTCGTATGGATCTACTACTTCCAGCAAAGATGATGTGGTAGTCACCATCGACCCGACGGATGATAGAGCAAGTATCGATACCCAGGATGGCATCAAGCAGGCCGATGCTATCAATCAAGTTTGGTCAAGAGCTGTGCTCATTCTGGCATATTTCTTGTGAGTCGTGATCGTGACAGCAATAATAGTTACGCATCCAGCGGTCGATATCGCGGTTTTAGCTGATCGTTTGTCGTATCTCTAGCATTTTCCTGTGCTCGTTTGCGAATACTCTTCAGTACCAAGTTATGTCGAACTTGCAGCCCTTTGTCGTCAGCGAATTCAGTGCACACTCTTTAATCCCCACCATCGGCATAATAGCGTCTATCATGAGCGGCGTTTTAAAACTGCCCATAGCTAAGCTAATCGACTCCTGGGGCCGCCCACAGGGTCTCGCGTGCGTAATCGCGCTTGCGACCTTGGGACTTATTCTTATGGCCGCGAGCCAGAATGTCCGGACGTACGCAGCAGCCGAGGTAATCTACCAAGTCGGTATCAGCGGTTTTACCTACGTCCTCGACATCATCATCGCCGATACTTCTTCGCTTAAGGATCGAACACTTGCGTTTGCATTCAACTCATCACCTACATTGATCACCACATTCCTCGGGCCAGTGGTAGCTAACGCATTCCTCAAAGGAAGCGGTTGGAGATGGGCATTTGGTCTCTCTGCCGTGTTGTTTGTTGTTCTTTCTCTGCCTATTCTGTCCATTTTGATCATCAACGCGCGAAAGGCGAGAAAGTTGGGTCTACTTGGGGAACGCACTAGGAGTGGCCCGTGGACTATATCGAGATTACGCCAAGGTTTGATTGATATTGATGGTATGTCGACTTACATAACGATATCCATAAGCTGGAGTCTAACTTTTAGTAGCTTTAGGAATGTTCCTTGCCGCCGCCGGCTTAACTTTAATCTTGGTCCCATTTTCGCTCCACGGTTCTGCGGTAAACAGCTTAGTCGCCATTACGCCTATATTCGGTGTCCCGTTTCTTGTTGCATTTGCTATTCACGAGCGTAAAACGAAGCGGCCGTTCGTACGATTCTCGCTCCTATGCTCCCGTAACGTGGCGGGATCTTTCCTACTATCTATCATAATATTTATTGCATATTTCGCATGGGATGGCTATTATACATCGTATTTACAGGTTGTGCATAACTTAACCGTCGAAGAGGCCGGCTACATAGGCCATATTTACGGCCTTGGTTCATGCATTTGGGCCGTGGTTGTGGGGTATTTAATCAGACGGACGGACAGGTTCAAGTGGCTAGCTTTATCTGCTTTACCGGTGCATCTTTTAGGCGGCGCATTAATGATTATCTTCCGTCAGCCGGACACGAATATCGCATGGGTTATCATGTGTCAAATTCTTATTACGATCGGGGGTAGTACGCTGGTTATGTGCGAACAAATAGCAGTGATGGCGGTTGCAGACCACTCTGACCTAGCCTCCATCATGGCTATTCTGGGTCTTGCATACTACACGGGCTCGGCAATAGGGAGCTCGCTCAGCGGTGCCATCTGGAACACAACACTTCCAACAGAGCTTGCTAGGCTCTTACCCGAGGTCCCTTCTGACGAACTAACCCTAATCGGGTCAGATTTAAAGAGACAACTAAGCTATCCTATGGGGAGCGCGATGCGAAGCGCTATTATTACTGCATACGGCATAGCCCAGTCCCGGATGTGTATTACGGGGACCCTCATATCACTTTTCGAAATCCTCGCGGTGGGGATTTGGAAAGATGCTAGAGTTAGCCAGTCCAAGCAAGTCAAAGGAACTGTGCTATGATGATAGGTAGTAAATATGGGCTGTATATGATACCCAGGTTAGAGTTCATCTTGGTGGAGGTGGTGGTGGTGCATTAGAACTTGGTATATCTGGCAACTTTGGCGTGTTACAGGCGTTGGAGCGAGTTTGCATAAGCATGATCTTTAGGGATAACATATGAATTTAGACCAGCATTAAGAGCCCTTTTTTACATAGAATACCTAACCAGCTAACATTAAGACACGTGTAAAAAAAAAATAAAAAAATAGGAGACTACATAAACAGGTACTCACATGTAAAGAGATACATGTAACTTTGTAAAAACATTGCCCAACAGGTAATTGTCGTTAAAGTACCTCGAGGTACTAGACATGTATACTATCATGTATTCATGTATATGTGTGTGTAGTATTCCTTGCAAGGCATTTGACGGGTTAGCGTTTCACTACTTGAACGGTAGCTTTTGTGCACTCCGATGTCGCACGACATGCACGATGAAATATGTATGTAACTACGTACAAGACAGGTACAGCTACCTAATTGCCATACTATAGAAAAAAAGAAAAAATTTTGATCTTATCAGATCCGCTGATTAGATGTCTAGTTCCCCGTCCGACCCACCCCGTGGAAGCCGGACCCAAATTACATGTACAGGGATGAGGATGGTTTTTTTTTTTTTCCCTTGGTTCGTCGCGTATGTATTCCAAGGAATTGGGATCTATGGATTCTCATATGGGGTTCTATGTATCGGCGGTCTTGTAACTAGATGTTTTAATAACATGCGCTTTTATTCGGCTTTCTTACGTACAAGTACTACCCTGGAGCCCGGCGCGCTGGATGCGGACTGGTAGAACTTCGAGGGAACGTGGGTGGTTCTTGGGAGCATATGCCAAAATGGGAGAGATACCCGGGCTCTGGGCTATAACTATACTCGGCTAGCTACACTCAGCTATTTAGTACTTGGGATAAGTACTATTTACGAGCTACTAGGAATAATTCGTTTTTTTATGTCAGTATGTCCCATATTCTCGCTGTCGAGCGACTTATCTAACCTGCTTCTACGTCAGTATAATACTCAATACAGTATGTCAAATACATTCAAGGCAAAGTTGTAGTTAGAAAGGTCGCGTATATGCAAAGATTAATCATCGTATGTTTAGTCTAAAGCGTCTTCCATTATAGATAATATCTTGCGTCAACACGCAGAATCGGCACAAAATAGTATCAAGTAATAGGTACTAGGAGAGAGGACTATTTAGCAATCATGGCTACACAATCGAATATTTCAACATCGCCAAATCCTCAGTTTCAGAGGCAACCAATGTCCTATTTAGAGGGTCCGGTAGATCCTCCGTTAGTAGATCTTACTCTCGGCGAACTTTTAGATCTCCAATGTCAGCATCACGGCAGCCGGGAATGCATCGTCACGCCTTGGACAGGTGCTCGGTGGACATACAATGAGCTCAACCAGCAAAGCTCTCAGTTGGCGAGGACGCTGCTTTCCCTTGGGATCAGTGTTGGTGATCGCGTTGGCATTATGGCCGGTAATTGCGAGCAATACGCCGCCGTCTTCTTCGCTGTCGCACGGATCGGAGCTATACTGGTTATATTGAACAACACATACACACCAACAGAAGCGTTACACGCACTCAAGTTCTCAGGTAAGCAGTAATGTGTCCATACCCAAGACGTTACTGTCTTCTAAACAATACTTAGACTCGAAAATATTCTTCACAACGAAGAAAATTGGAAGGCTGCAAAACACAAAATTATTAGCAGAACTAGCCAAGGAGAAGGAGGGCCCCAACGTTGTCATCTTGAGAGGCGAGTCGGGATCTTATCCAACATATGCGGACCTAATTAAGCAAGGAAGATCGGTAAGTGACAGTGATCTTCATCGTCTCGGGAAGAAGGTCCTCGCGCATAATGTGTGTAATCTGCAATTCACCAGCGGCACCACAGGTCTTCCCAAGGCGGCTATGTTGACGCACCACAACATCGTCAACAACGCTCGCTTCATTGGCGACCGTATGCGACTTACCCCAGATGATGTTCTCTGTTGTCCACCACCATTGTTCCACTGCTTCGGTCTCGTGCTCGGTATGATGGCCGTCATTACCCACGGCGCCAAGATCGTGTACCCGGAGGAGACCTTCGATCCAGCCGCTGTCCTCCGCGCCATCTCCGACGAACGGTGCACGGCAGTACATGGCGTCCCCGCCATGTTCGACACCCTCTTCAGCCTTCCCTTCCCTCCTAACTTCGACTGCACCAACCTGCGCACGGGAATCATTGCTGGTGCCCCTGTGCCCCGCTACCTCATGGAGCTGCTCGTGGAGCGTTTTGGCATGACTGAGTTCACTAGCAGTTACGGACTGACAGAGGCCAGCCCGACCTGCTTCAACGCATTCACCGACGACGCTATTGAAAAGCGACTGACTACCGTGGGTACATTGATGCCTCACGCGCGCGCCAAGATCGTCGACCACGATGGTCAAATCCTACCGCTGGGCGCACGCGGTGAGCTGTGCATCGCGGGGTACCAGCTACAAGCCGGATACTGGAACAACTCGGAGAAAACAGCAGAGGTGATGCAACGCGACGCTGAAGGCGTCCTATGGCTACGAACAGGCGACGAAGCCGTATTTGACGAGCAAGGATACTGTTCCATCACCGGACGATTCAAGGACATCATTATTCGCGGCGGCGAAAACATATACCCGCTCGAGATCGAAGAACGGCTACTAGCACATCCGGCCATAACCCGAGCGATAGTCACGGGGCTCAAGGACGCGCACTATGGAGAGGTGGTCGGCGCGTTCTTGCAGCTAGCGGATGAAGCCGTAAAGGAGGGGCAAAAACTTGGTGATCAGGAAGTTCGTGATTGGGTGCAGCAGAAGCTGGGACGTCATAAGGCACCGACACACGTATTCTGGCTAGGCGAGGATGGCGTACCGGCTGATGTGCCGTTGACGGGAAGTGGTAAGGTTAAGAAGTTCGAGATGGCGCGGTTTGGCGAAGAGATATTGAGGAAGAGGCGTCTAGAGAAGTTGTAAATACCTACCAGGTAGATACCTAAGTGGGTTGGCTGAGTATTTCATTTGGCCTAGAGGTAGACTTTAAACTGTTGGAAAGTTATAGATTTATATAAGAGCTTAATAGAGATAGATTAGTAGTTTGAACCTTAGGATAGTGGAAATCTACCTAGGTACCTAATGCACTTATGCATCATACCTTCCTACACGCGATCAAACTCATATAAACGTCTTAGTAATTTCTATCTCTAGAGTCTTAATCTCATTTACTTCCACTACATAACTCCATACCAAGGCATGCCGACACATTTCCCATCATCACACTATACCTCCCATCTCTCCAAATACTTGCAACATCACCTAGGAAGTATAGCGAAAGTGAGATGCTTACCATGTATAAAACGCGCTAATAACTCCCACAGCAAGCAGGTCATCGCTATAAGCCCCTACTCACTACCTATCATGAGGTGGAACCAAATGGCATGAAGACAACTTCGTTGCCCTGCGAGAAACTCTAACATAAATATGGGAGTCCAAGTCTATACATACTGAACATGTATTTTGTTATAGATGTATCATCTAGAATTCTAACGCCATCATCCTAAATCCCGTCAATCTAGTGTATATGGTTGTTGGGCTAGGGTGTCGACACGCTATGGGGTTATTGGACGACTAAACTCGTTAAGTTTGACGCTCGGTTTGTTGTCATCGGTGTGCTATGATCTGTTTGCAACTGAGGAAAGATTCTTAAAGGTTTTAATATGGTATGCTAGTGAAGTATCGAAGTAGACCAAAGGTATTCTAATCATTATTCATTTAGAATATACCAAATCTGCTTCTATTACTAGGTAAAAGTGGGATATAAGAATCTTTACAATACAACATTCTTTTATTATACATTTTGCAACACATAAATTCAATTTTATTCATCCCAGCAAGTTCAGTAAAATTCGTTCGTTTCGTTGTACCTTTCTAGCTACCTCATTTTTCAACCAATCATATCTTTACTTTTACTTCCCCACGAATCTCGTAACCTAGAATTCGTTAACCTTCGCACCCATAACCCACAGATACAATGACACGGGCCATCCGTTATGTAGTACTTGTGGCGCCAATTCAACGAATCCGAGTCTGAGAAACTGAGATCATAGCTGTTGTCGGTACACGATGTGCCGAACCGTCGGGTCGCCTAAACGGATTGCGCAATGGGGGATCCTTGCAATGGAATAATAGTGGCCGTACTGGCGGACCTGTTGGATTTATTCCGTTCGTCATTACGACGTTGGGGTTACTCTCTCATTGTGGAGAGATGTTACCTTTACACCGTACGAGCCTCCTCACCGATGGGCCTTCTTCTTACGAGTTTGCTCTTGTATGCTGTGCCGCTCAGCTCTCTTTAGCCCGTGCCCGTGAGCAAACTTACTTGTTTCCTCGCTCGTCCACCCGCAATGTGCGCTGATCTTACCCCACATACATACCCCAACATGGCCTACATCATAAGGTCCAGGGGTTTCTTTGTGTATAGGTAACGGACGAGGTCAGCCTAGGCGCATCGTCCTCAATGTAACTTAAACTGCATAAATACCTAGACTACCTAGGTAGTTAGTTCGATTCTTTTAATATTTAAAAGAAATATCCCATGTCCTTCCTCCCACTTGCCAACTTTCCTTTGGGACTACGCGAGGTACTGGACTGGCAATGAGATCGTCACTGTTTCTAGTCGCGGCGCAAGCTCTGCTGAGCTATGCTCTCAGCAGCGGCGGACGTCCTGATACGCTAATACGGGATTTTTCTGAGAAACGACAAGCCGCGCAAGATATCGTCACCTGGGATAAGCACTCGCTCTTTGTCCATGGCGAAAGAGTGTTGATCTTTAGTGGGGAGTTCCATCCGTTCAGACTCCCAGTGCCATCTCTGTGGATCGATGTCCTACAGAAAGTTAAAGCGCTTGGTTTTAATTGCATCTCGTTCTACATCGACTGGGCTCTCTTGGAAGGGAAGCCCGGGGATTTCTCTGCAGAGGGTGTCTTTGACTTGCAGCCGTTCTTTGATGCTGCTCAAAAGGTCGGGATTTATCTCATCGCTAGGCCTGGCCCTTACATCAATGCCGAGGTTAGTGGCGGTGGGTTCCCAGGATGGATCCAACGGGTTCATGGTCTTTTGAGGAGTGCCGCACCAGATTTCCTTAATGCGACGGATAATTATATGTCAAACATCGGCAAAATAATTGCAGATGCTCAAATTACAAATGGCGGCCCGGTAATTCTATTCCAACCTGAGAATGAGTATTCGGGAGCTGGCGCTTATACCCCTTTCCCGGACGGGTCATACATGGAATACGTTCTTCAACAGGCCCGGGATGCTGGGATAGTTGTTCCTTTCATCAGTAACGATGCGAGCCCCCTCGGCCACAACGCCCCAGGAACCGGCGAAGGTGAAGTTGATATCTATGGGCACGATGGTTATCCATTGGGATTTGATTGCGCACATCCCACGGTTTGGCCTAAAGGAAATTTACCCACGAATTATCGAAGCGACCATCTCGAGCAGAGTCCAACGACGCCTTACTCCATAGTATGTATAACAAATAACTTGCTATTATACTAGGTCCCCTTTCTCAAACTATCATGTGTATTCTTTGGTTCAAATTTGCTAATACCAGTGAAGGTTGAATTTCAAGCCGGCTCATTTGATCCTTGGGGAGGTTGGGGGTTTGAACAGGTAAGTTCCCGCACATCATCACTAGCAAACGCGCTTATTTCTTCTCGGAGTATAAGACTTCGTTAAATTCCTATTTTCAAACACGCGGCTAACAGTTATAAAGTGCAGTTCGCTTGTGAATCACGAGTTTCAACGAGTCTTCTACAAGAATAACTATGCTGCGGTAAGCACAGAAAACCTCGAGACATATAGTCATGTTAAGCGTATAACGTTGCTAACGCGTACAGGGTGTGACGATAAACAATCTCTACATGATCTTCGGCGGGACTAACTGGGGTAACCTCGGACATCCTGGCGGATACACTTCGTACGATTACGGAAGTGTCATCAAGGAGGATCGAACTGTTACACGGGAGAAGTACTCGGAACTAAAGTTACAGGCGACGTTCCTACAGTCTAGCCCCGGTTACCTTACTGCAACCCCGGGTAGCAGTTCGAATAACGTCTACAGTGATAACCCTGACATCACCATTACACCGATACTAGCAAACAGCACAGATGATGCTTCGTTCTTCGTAGTAAGGCATACCAACTACTCGAGTTTTGAGTCGACACAATACAAGGTCAAACTACCGACGTCCCAAGGGACACTTACCATTCCTCAGACAAACCAGTCTCTCAGCCTCAATGGCCGAGACTCAAAGATAATAGTTACCGACTACGATGTTCAAGGCACTCGACTACTTTACTCCACTGCCGATGTTTTTACACATCTGAAGCAAGGAGACCAGACGATTCTTATTCTTTATGCTGGATCTAATGAGCACAATGAATTCGCAATTGAAGCGCCATCAAACAGTCAAGTTAAGAAGATCGATGGTGACCAATCATACAGCGTAACAAGAAGCAACTCTAGCTTTTTGACCGTAGATTGGGCGACCCCTGATGAGCGATCTATCCTTCATATCGGTGATAGCCTCTTGGTTTATCTACTCAGTTAGTTTACCCCGTCGCAACTATTTTCCATTGCTAACTAGCTATCCTTAGATCGCAACGCAGCATATAACTATTGGCTTACTGATATCGAGGGCACAGACGATAAAGTGCTCATCAACGGGCCATACCTCGTGCGTTCCGCTTCCCTAGAGAACAATGAGCTACACATCAAAGCCGACTTCAACACGTCCACGGCGGTTGAAATTGTAGGAACCTCAGGGGCGAAGCTTTTCGTCAATGACGTAGAAACTTCGATCGAGTCGTCAGATTTTTCGGCGACTGCCAATGTTTCCGTAAACAGCCCTTCGTTTAGCATCCCGAATCTGGCAGATCTCGAGTGGAAGTACATCGACTCGCTCCCAGAGATCCAGGAGGGATACGACGATTCGCTATGGACGAAGGCAGACCATAAATTTACCGACAACACTTACCAACCCCTCTTCACCCCCGTTTCAACCTACTCTTCCGATTATGGATTCCATACCGGAGTACTCCTGTACCGGGGCCATTTCAACGCCACGGGCAACGAAGGGAATTTCTCCCTATGGACTCAAGGAGGGAGCGGGTTTGCCGTATCAGTATGGCTTGACGACCACCTTCTCTCGTCGTTTGGCGGAAACCCAGGAAACGCAAGCTACCAAGGCAAATACGACGTCACCGGTGCTGGCCTTGAAGCCGGGACGGAGCACGTTTTTACTGTCGTCGTAGAGAATATGGGCCTAAGCGAGAACTGGATCGTTGCCGACGAGATGAAGCAGCCTCGCGGAATCTTAGGGTGGAGGCTGGATACGTCCAAAGCGACTAATACGCCCATCAGCTGGAAACTGACGGGAAATCTTGGTGGTGAAGACTACCTAGACCGTGTGCGCGGCCCATTAAATGAAGGTGGCTTGTTCGTCGAACGCCAAGGATACCACCTCCCAGGCGCGCCGACAGAATCATGGGTCTCCCACTCCCCGCTGGAAGGTATCGGCTTGCCAGGCATTGCCTTCTACGCGACCTCTTTCGACCTTAACTTGCCTTCTGACGAATGGGACATCCCGCTATCATTCTCATTCTCCAACGACACTTCCGCTTCCGGCGTCTACCGGGCTCAACTGTACGTGAACGGTTGGCAATACGGCAAGCTGAGTAGCAACGTCGGTCCCCAGACAGTATTCCCTGTACCGGAAGGAATCCTAAACTATAACGGCACGAACTATGTCGGTATTTCTCTATGGGCTCTCGAACAAGGTGGTGCGAAGATCCCTGGGCTCGAACTCGTGGCTGGAACGCCAGTATGGACAGGAAGGGAGAAGGTCGAGCTCGTGGATAGCCCGGGCTGGGCGGAAAGAGAACGTGCTTACTGATCGGGAAAGATGGTAGAAAGGGGTTGCTAATACAGCAACTTGCAGGTAAATGCCTGAGGTAATTAATAAATCTGAATAATCATGAACTACAAACCTTTATTTTTTTTAAGTACATGATACGAGTATCTAGGCAGTCATATGTGAATGGCAAAGATCTAAGTGCGTGTAACTGTATTGATTAAGGTCTAAGTCCAACTTTCGCTGCATACAGTTGAGAGATCACCTTATATAGACACCTGGCTGATTACCTAGGTATGTAATGCAGTGAGTTGAGTCTATGAGGATAGATCTGCGACAGCTATTAAGTAGCCGAAACCCCAAAACGCTATCGCATAACCAAAACACCAACGATAGTAATGCCCTTGCCCGCCTTCTTCCTCTGTTTCTCCAGTGCTCCCACTTTTCTTAGCCCCGCCTTGTCCAGTTGTTCTTGGGCCGACGTCAGAGTTTTAGATATGACCTCGTCGGTTAAATCCATGTTATTGTTGGTAATTTTCATGAGTCTCTCCAACTGATATATGAATTGAGGAGTTTGACAATGTGATCCACGTATTCCTTCTTTCCCACCCCAGCGCTTATCGATTGGAAGACTCTGGAAATAAGTGAAGTTTCCCAGATCGTGACTTTGGACCTTCCGCTTCGACCCCCCACCCCCCCACCCCCCCTCGGCAAGGGGTTTCGTCCCTTCAGGACCTTCTTCTCAGGGGGACGGGCGTCATCCAATGCCGGAGGCTCTTAATGCGTCAGGCTGTGCCTTGCAATATTTGCTGTCTTCTGACTAGTGGCAGCAATCAGCGGGGAAATAATATAATGGAATGGAGCAAGAAGCGTGAAAATACCTTTGTTGTTCCGCGAGGGACTCTAAGCTGGCCATGGGACCCTATGGCTATGCATACTGAAGATATCATTTGGAATAGATGTCTCATCTAGAATCCTGACAGGATGGAAAGTTAATGAGAAGAGGAAGAAAAAGTCAAGTTGAGACGTGCTGAACTAAAACAAACAAGCCACGCAGATAGAGTTTAGAACCAACTTCATAGTTATGGAAAGATCTAACTTGAATTTTGTCAGCAGGTACTTATAGAGTTAGGAACCACCTAGAAGATTTAGTTAATGCGGCAAGTGCTGCTAACATATTTAAAATGAAACTGGAAAGAAACAATGTCGAGATAGATTCTACGGAAGTAGCTTCGATGACTTAGGTACCTTAGGTAGGTACATCCAAGTTTCGTACACTTTTCCAACCCTTAGAAATCCGTAGTTTCGGCTATTGCCCTAGATGCATCCACGTCGCTCTTTAACTTTGCAATTTTGGCGTCTACTCGGGACAAACAGTCCTTCCCTAACGGCAACCTTAGGATCTTTCCCTTCAGCGCACCTGCTTCTCCTTCACCCGTTACTACCTCAAAGACACGGTCGGCCAGCTTATCTGGGTCTCCCCTCTGAGTTCCCGCCATATCGTTGAAAATCTGCATAGTTTTTCCAACAGGCGTATCTTTTTCATGCTCGGGAAGGCCTTTTTCGTTCGCGACTAATGCCTGTAGGAAGTTTGTCCGGAATGCGCCAGGTTCTACTATTAGCACATTGATACCCCACTCTGCTACTTCGCACGCTAGAGACTCGCTAAGCCCTTCGAGAGCGAACTTGCTACCGGCATATAGTGAACATGTTGGAAGACCATCTAGGCCAGCTATGCTGCTGATATTGACGATAGTCCCGGATTTACGGTCTCTCATCCCGGGAAGAACGGCCTTTACACGGAATTAGTGATTGTTCACCTGTGCTTACCCCCCCTTTTTGCATGAATGTGGGTCTAAGTCTAGGAACGATTGTAACATCATCAATCCAAGACTAAGCCGACTATAGAATGATAACGTCGTATAGACTCTGAGGGTAAATCAAGTAATACTGACCTGAATAGCATAGATTGGACCGAAGAAGTTGGTTTGTATCTGGGTATTGACTTCTTTCTCGCTGAGAATGACAAGTAAGCACAATGCGTAGCATAATCAAGACTATTTATTAATGGCAGAATACATACGTAAATTCCGAAAGTGGCCCAAGGAGCGAGTAACCGGCATTATTTATTAGAATGTCGATTTTGCCGTAAATCTTCTCAGCTGCCTTCACTTTCTCGTGGATACTGGCTTGAGACTCCGTCATGTCTATTTGCACTACCTTCCCTCCCTTACTCTCGATGGCCTCGACGGCTTGAGCAGCCCGTGTTGGGTTGCGCATCGCACCGATGACCTTATGGCCAGCCTTCAGGGCACGAAGGCTGAACGAGAGGCCTAGGCCATTCGAGGCACCTGTGATAAGCCAAACTGGGGATGTCATTTTTGGAAAATAGAGAATAGGGGAACAGATTTTCAAGACTAAATTAACTAGTTGAACTTGAATGTGGCTTTTATAGATGTATTCTCCTGTAATACGGATATACAGTACGCCAATCACCTAAGTCCGATATATAGTGCCTGTGACTCAATGGGATGCATGTCATCTATCTAGCAATATGGGGTTCCGTATGTATCGTTAGTGTTGTTATAAGCATATGAAACCGATGTAACGACATATGGTTGATCAATCCAAGTGTTGGAACTGTGCCACCACTCAAGACTCCATAGCGCGAGCAACCTACCTATCCAGGTACCTAAATCATGCCAGTGATAATATTATTTTCTAATAGATAAGGACGGCTGGTAAGGAAACCATAGTGGTTTCCACTAAACTTCCCTTTTTTTTTGAGAGAGAGATACGGGCTCATAATCAGAGCGAGATATAAGTTATTAACATTGTTATTAACATTATTATTATAAGCACGACTATGAATATATCCAGGTCCCTATATAAGATTGTATTATTAATATCATTATCCTTAAACCCCTTTATTCTAGTTACCTTAGTGATCCTAGAGCGAAACTTCTGGTAACTATATTTGTAAAAGAAGACATGAGATAGGGTTTAAACGGCTCTGCCATCTATTAATAATACTACAAGCTTTAAGAGTCCTCAGCGCAATGGGAGATTGTTATTGCTAATTAATCATTCTACTTCCTTCTTTTTTTCATGTTAATCTATCACCGACGTTATTGTCGGTGTTAGGTATAAGGAGGACATTCGAGGCCAACCAACAACTTCTAGCTTACTCCATTTAATATGTGGATACCTAGGTAGGTATGCACCCTAGTATAATATTCAAAGAAATATACCTTGCATGTAGGTATCTATTAAAACCGATGCTATGGATACCCTCGTGGCGGTTGGGTAAAATACCGAAATTTAGATATGCACCCTGCAGTCAGATCTTGCGATGCACGGCTATTTAAATCTTATGCACTCCACTCCAACTCCGGGGACTGGCATAAATCCGAGCCTCATGCATCAAAAAATCGGATAGAATACTGTCCGGTAGATATTTATAATCCTGGTATTTCCGGAGTATGAAAAAGTATAGGTTAAATCCGTGGTGTTAATGATTGCCGGCATGCGACTCATATGGGAGGGGTACCTATCTTTAGAAGAATTAGGTACCTTGTAACAAAGAAATGTTGGCATTAATCATCGTCTGATAGGGTGTATGTAGTTTTTGACCGGACTTAACACTAGAGGGTCTAGTACTAAGTATAATTCAAGGTCAGCGAATAAAGTCTTATCAAATAGTCATCACAGAAATATCATACGTAGATAGGTAGACCTAATCGTAAGGTCGACTACCTGTGCCTTTACGCCCAGATCCGGACCTCGTATATTCTACACCGACCCCTCGACTTACGTGACATTGACGCACATCACCGAAAATATCGGCTTTTGGATTAATAATGTTCATTTTGATTATACTTATAAGGAAACAACATCTCCTAACTGTTCCTACGTAGATGATTAACATCCATAATTAAATTACTCCAAGCCCAGATCCCCCCTATCAATACCCGTACAACCATCGCTCATCGTTAAAAATCATAGAAAATGTCTATGAACGTAGCATTACCACCAGCACCTGAACCCCAATCCCCTCTAGCTCGCTACCGCTTGCTTTCCCCTACGGCATCGATCCGTGTCAGCCCGCTATGTCTAGGTGCTATGAACTTCGGGGATGCTTGGAAAGATTTCAGTAAGTTATGGCACTCTTATGAATCACGGGGGTGATATTTATTAACATCGTAATTCTTAGTGGGTGAATGTGACGAGAAAACCACCGAAGAAATCCTCGATTATTTCTATAATCAGGGGGGTAACTTCATCGATACGGCAAATAACTACCAGTTTGAGGAGTCGGAGAAACGCATTGGGGCATGGATGAAGAAACGCGGTAACCGGGACCAAATGGTCATCGCAACCAAATTTTCGATTAACTTCCAGGCCGGGCCGCGTAGTAAGGGGGGGATTATGATTAATTTTACTGGCAATGGTTCCAAGAGCCTCCACGTCTCGGTGAATGCTAGCTTGGAAAAACTACAGACCAGCTACATTGATTTGGTAAGTTTGTCACTACTTGTCTTGACTTTCTACTCTGTATAATTAACGTGGCATTTTTAGCTTTACGTACATTGGTGGGACTTTTCTACCAGCATCCCCGAGGTGATGCAATCGCTCAACCATCTCGTCGCAGCCGGCAAAGTGCTTCACCTGGGTATAAGTGACACGCCTGCTTGGGTTGTCAGCAAAGCCAATGAGTATGCCCGTCAAAACGGCCTCCGGCAGTTCAGCGTGTACCAGGGTAGATGGAGCGCGTCACAGCGGGATTTTGAACGCGAGATTATCCCCATGTGCCGTGCCGAGGGTATGGCTCTTGCTCCCTGGGGAGCTCTAGGGGGCGGGAAGTTCAAGTCCGAAGAGCAGCGCAAAAGTGACCCCGGGCGCAAAATCCAAGCTACCGAGGCTGATATTAAAGTCAGCCAGGTGCTTGAAGCAGTTGCCAAGCGAAAGAACACTCTCATCACAAGTATTGCTCAGGCCTATGTTTCCAGCAAGGCGCCCTACGTATTTCCCATCGTTGGTGGCCGTAATATCAACCACCTGAAGGGAAACATCGAGGCCCTGAATATCAAACTGTCTACGGAGGACATTAAGGAGATTGAGGCCGCGATTCCTTTTGATGTGGGATTCCCTAACAACTTCCTCTACGGAGCCGAAATGCCTGAAACTCCTGGCCAGCTATGGATCCTGGGTGTGGGTGGTACTATGGATTACGTGCCGGAGCCGAAGCCTCTTGGAAGAGAGTAAACATTCGTTGCTCTTCTACTAGTACTATATCCTTATTTCGTATGGATCTAGAAGTAGGATTATGTGCTGGGTAATAAAACTAAGGAGTCATCGTATTGGTCGATAGTTATACAAATTTAGTTTTCACCTACCTACCATAGTAGGGCTATATTGGTTCGTGGAACGATTACAACCTCCCTATAATTATGCCATGCATAGTAAGCGTTGAAATCAGACCTAATCACTCCAATATCGTGAAATGATTCCAAAATAAGGAACGATCTCGTAAAATGTAACGATTCCGCCATTCACGTGTAAAAGTAGGTCTAAGGTTAAAAAAAAACGCCCCATTAATATCTAGATTTAGCCAATCAGAGGCCTTAAATAGGTGGAGCGTTCCACCCCGGCCAACCGTTCCGACATTTTGGAATCATTCCACGAACCTACATTTTGCCGCTATGGCAAGTAACCTTATTACCGATATAAATCACAAGCAAACTCATTATTACTACCCATCCTCGTCGTGAATACTACCTATTCTCGTCGTGAATCATTCTTTATTCATTGCTCATTATTCTATTATTTACTTTCGACGACTAATGTTCCTTTTCAACCATTATTCCCGAGAATTGTGCTTTAGCTATATGTGTACTAACTTCCCTACGTAACGAGCGTTGATGGTCCTCTGTCCAAATGGGAGTGTGCCCCTATTACTAACCTAGCGGAGTAGCAGTAATAGCGAGTATCTTTCACCACTCTATAATGCTCCGCGACGAAGGACTTCAAGACAACTTCCCACGCTTTTCTCCGCCCCCCTGTTTCTTCTGCCATTCTTTGTAAGCATCAAGACCAATCTGACAGTCCATGAGCTCGCCGACTTCTGCTAGAGACATCATCGTATTTCCCTCTTCGGGGTCTGGCAGGTCTAAGCGTTCGCGGAACAACCTAAAATAGACCTCGTGGTTCCTGTCTTGGTCACGGATCCAATTCGCGAGTCTATACGTGAATGGGGGTGTGCGGGTATACCACAGGATCTGCTCTGCCAAGCGGTACACCAGGTCTCGCTGGTCTTCTCTCTGGGGATCAATGTACTTGCATAGCAATGCCTGCTCCTCGCCACTGAGGTAGTTTACGCCATTGTCTAGATACAGCTCAATCAATCGGCGGATAGGGTCGGGGCCGTCCTGGGAGGTTGTCTGCTGCTGCTCAAGTTAATACTGTAGTTCAGTTTGACGTTGGAGTTAGTGAAAAGGGGTGGGTGCGTTATATACCTGTGTAGCATTTACGGCTTTGGTGTATTCTGCTTTTAGATAAGATATTGTATCTGCATATTCTTTTAAATGTGTTGACCGTATGGTTCCATCGGGTGATGTTTGATGCTCGGACATGTTTTTCAAAGGCGTACGAGATTGCTCTGGGGCTTGGAACAGATTCAGGCTCGCATAAGCCCTACGTCGATCGATTCTCCAAGGAGGCGTTTTCCCCGTAAGACGTGGACGTGGACGTGGCGAGCGATAAGACGGCGAGCGTGTAGAAGGAATCATCCTCGAGTCGCGCTTTCTCTGATATCGTCGCTGGGCAACAGCGCCATTTGTAGGCGACTGAAGATGAGGCGACGGGGTTATGTTGCCCCAGGCAGCGACCCCGCCTAACGGAAGTACCGATGGCGAAGGCAGACCTTGAAGTGGTGAGAAGCTAAGAGGTGTCTGGTTCGAAAGGCTCGGGGATGGAGACAGCTGATAAGTTTCTAGAGTAGGAAACGGCACAGGGACCAAGTATCGCGCGAGGTTCTGAGAGTTGGGACGTATTGCTGATCTTGGAGGTGTTAAGTATTGAGGCTGGGATGCCGACGAAGGCCTCTGAGGAAGATATGAACGAATTGGAGAGCTGAAGTTAGGCACCGGCGGTTTGGGTGGGAGGGATAAGTCTAGGGCAGGCATCATAAATGTATGAAGCTGTGATAATGATAATAAATCAAAAGAAATTATATCGCATGAGGTTGTAGATTGAATAGTTTACAGAGGATGTTCTGGTGCGCAGGCTTTGCATGAAATATGGAATAAATTATGGTGCCGCTATCACCAAGATTGTCGTCGCAGGCTATCGGTCGAATCCGACTTAGTAATCAGTCGTATACCGCACACATAGCGGTATCATGATAAGAACATCGATTTTGGTATGATATAAATAGCCCAAAATATAGTTAGATTTCATCCATCTTAGAATATTACAACTTGATTGAATTTAGTATTGATATGAGGTAGCTTTGCAATACCGATCATTCTAAATTACCTTGGCACTTAAGCTGATATCCTTGGAAGCTTTGATCATTAATTTTACTAGGGCAAGCTTTCCCTTCCATTTGTCAACATGAATGATGTTGTATTTTCCTCTGAACTCTAGATAGCTTACTCCCTTAGATATCCATCGATGTTGGTAGGTACAACTAACGTGAGGCAGACCTAAAAGGCGTGGAAACAACTTCATTGTTCTGTTAGTAACCTTAAACTTAAGTTATGAAAGTTAATAGCTACCTCCTATGCATACTGAAAGTATCCTTTATCCTAGACGTCTTATCTAGAATATTAATAACTGAGCAGAGTTTTAGGAGTAAGTGACATGCGTCAGGGTATTGCAGCTATAAGGAAGGTGAAATTTGTGTAGTGAAGGGGAGGCATTTTATGATAATAAACATCACGATTAACACCAAAGAGTTTGACCTTTAGGACATAGCTTACGGAGAGAACTCCCCCCTGACGTCGTTAGCTATTTTCGTCCAGCTTTAGTTACGATTGTCCCAACACCTATAGTATATTTATGTGACAATTAGACCGTTCCTCACAGACTGCGACTATTCATGCGGAGATGAGGCCCTCAAAGCCCTTCAATACTCCTCATACTTTATTCAAGAAGAATATCCATTTAAGTTGCAAATTACTGGATCAGTACATAGGGACCGTATATTGGTTATACTGGACGTCATTATCATCCTACTACGAACAATATATTGGTTCCTAGCAGAATTATGCTTATATGTAATTTATCTAACTACTTGTCAATAATGGAAGTCCCATCAACTCATGTTAGGTAGTATCCTTGTCTTCGATCGCTGTCGCTATCGAGAAAGTTAATAGAATAAAACCAGAATAGTAAGATATTTATGTATATTTTTACCTCAGAGTATAGATGTTAAACCTCGTTGGTGTGTTTGCTAGCAGTATGTTTTATATAGACTTAGGTTGGTTTAAAGAATCAACTACATAATTCTACGATAACAAACCTTAACAACTAAAGAATTCATATGCTAGGTTATTAGGTTTTAGGGCTTGGTAAAAGATAATATAACTTTTTCATCATTATTTTTTGGAATTTATATAGGTGTTTGGCTTATATGCATACATCCATGGAAACCGTTTTTTTTTTGGTTATGGTTAAGATAATTCAAACGGAGGCATAAGAGAGGCTGTCGATTATAAGAAATTAAGAATAGATGCATTAGACGCAATAATAATTCTAATGCGATGGATCATTAACATGTGAGTCGGTATTGTTAAGCAAACAGGAAGACTGAAATCGTGCTAAGGTAAAGACTTCCTATATTGATTACATGAGTATACCACTGGAGGGCACCCCAGAGGGCTGCCACAATAGCCCGAGTTTACAGAGGTTATATAGTTAAATATATTGAATATTTTAAAAGAGGACTCGGCACCCAAGAGAAGGGCTCGGCACCCTAACCTCAATACCCTTACCCTCGATACCCTCACCCACCCAAAAGGAGGGCTCGGCACCCTGACCTTGATACCCTCACTCTCAATACCCTCACTCTCAATACCCTCACTCTCAATACCCTCACTCTCAATACCCTCACTCACCCAAAAGGAGGACTCGACACTCAAAAGAAGGGCTCGGCACCCTGACCTTGATACTTTCACCCTCGATACCCTCACCCACGGCTCGCCACCCAAAAGGAGGGCTCGGCACCCTGACCTCGATACCCTCACCTTTGATACCCTTACCCACCCAAAAGGAGGACTCGGCACCCAGGGATTCGGAAGCAAAAAGATACGTATTTTAAGAAAAAGATGAAAGTGGGGACTTTGGAAAATTCCACTTATTTTAGGGATGCACCCAATAAAAATGCCTAAAATTCGCGCACAGACGAACTTCCTACTTCGTAAACCAGACCCTAAGACAATATCCCTCGTAAACTCGGGCATCCCTCGTAAACTCGGGCACTCGGGCAATTATCGTGTTAACTTAAAGGGTTCCGCAATGTTAATAGTGATCAACTACTCCTAGAATGATGTCAGCTAGTTCCAAGTTATGAGGTCAATTTCTTAATTTATTCCATTTAAAGGCTAGTCCCGCTTTTTGAAATATAAAGACTTGTAAATCATGGTTATCCTTTCATCTAGAAAAGAGCTAAAATATATAGAGAAAAATACACTAGACACTAATGACGACACTAAATCATGTACCTTTAACGATATGTAATGTATCCAAGTCTAGTACCTGTACCTCTCAAGGCCGGTATCGGTCCGAGAAATATTTATCAGATCCGTGTCCACCCCACAACATTTCTTAGACGCGCTATTAAATTCCCAGCTAAATTTTTTATCTGATCCGCCGTTAGCCGTGACACACCATTTCCAAAGCTAACATGGTTCATGTCTTCCAATCCATCCGCTTAAAGTTATCTGATCCGTTTCTGCAGACCGCCAAGAGCCATGGCCTCGGTTCGTTGCTACCCCCCAGTACACAACCCTCCCAATCTCCGCAGTCCCTGTTAGATCATGGATGGCAGCATGTCAGGATGGGCTGGCTAATTCTTGAGACACGTTGACGTTGGCCGCACGATTTATTGCATTAGTGTGTAAAAAAAAAAAAAATTGAGCATGGTAGCCTACGACTTATACACTTATACGGAGATGGAAAGTGGAAATCAAGGATGCTTACCTATTAGGAACTATCGAACAAGGTATTGTACTTCAGGGTACTTGGCAGATGAGAATGATTTACTTATAGGAAGAGAAATTCACTGGTTGACCAGGGTTCTGGCGGAATAACTCGGTAGACTAATGAATTTACTCCATTTACTTTTGCTGGTACGCCTTGTCCGGGAAGGGAACAATCATGGATTTTTACTGCAAATAAGAAATTTCCTTTCTGGTAGTTTTTTTCTCGAGTAATCAAGTAATTGTTCCTAAGAAACATCGAAAAACGCCTCCAATTGATACCCATTAGATACCCAATCGCAACTGTAGATCACGTTACACCCCATCCCTTCCTTAGCAATGGCGACACCCTCTACCAACGAGCCGGTGCTCAAGCTCCCACATCCTTACCTTACGTCCTACACTCTCGTTAAGACATCGCGCCCTTCAGACTCTACTCCTTGGCTCCAAGTGAAGCCCCAAGAAGATGCTGCTAGCGAGGTGAAAGCAAAAACGAAACCGTTACCAGAACGCCTTGACAACGACACGCTCTTCTTCACTGAGCCTACGGACCTTAAGTCGAGCGAGCGGCCGGCCGAATCCAACAACACACCATGGGGTCGCGCCCGCCGCTCTCCAAGCTCGACAATTGCATGGGACGTCGCAACACCACCCACATTAGCTCAGGCCTGGCTCGTGATATACGTGCTATTCACGGTACGGCCGTCGACGGAAGGGCTCCGCCTCACACTCGAGGGACCTGGCCGTGAAGCTCTCGTGGCGCAACTCAAGGCTGTTCTACTAGCCATTGACCACCCTACAGCAGCTGGATTAAGCGACGAGCTACTTATCTTGCGCAGCACATTCTGGCAGGGCGCCGGCTCGCCGTTCGGACCACGTAGTGTCTGGGTCCCCGACTCCGGCAGTGATCCCCAAGATAATGGCAATTCGTTGCCAAAACCACTCTCCACATATCCCCTAACGCCACTCCAACATGCGATGACATCCGAGGCCAGCGGATCTCCAGCGTGGCACCCGCGGCGCCCTGCGAAGCCGCGCCCGGGCTCCGTGGTATATAGTCGGTGGATCCCTCACCTACGCGAGAACTTCAGCATGGTTGCGCTCGACTGGGAAAACCCGGAACACCTAGAGCTATTCCACAACTGGCAGAACGACCCGCGCGTCTCGCAGGGGTGGAATGAGACAGGTTCCCTTGAGCAGCATCGCGAGTATCTGCGTCGCGCTCACGTCGATCCCCACCAGATTACGCTGCTGGCCGCTTTCGACGACACGTTTTTTGCCTATTTTGAAGTGTACTGGGCCAAGGTACGTAAGATAAAGCTTAGTGCGACTTGACGATCATATCACATACCCATTGGCGCCCATATGCTCAAGCGCTAACTATTTTTTCTACTTATAGGAAGACCGACTTGGCGCGTACTACAGCGCGGGAGATTTCGACCGAGGACGACACTCACTGGTGGGGGACATACGATTCCGTGGCCCGCACCGTGTGACGGCGTGGTGGTCTAGCTTGATGCATTATTTATTCCTGGACGACCCGCGCACGATGTACGTAGTGGGTGAACCGAAATATACCAATAGCTCGGTCCTAGCGTACGATTTCATGCACGGCTTCGGACTTGACAAGTTCGTCGACTTACCGCATAAGCGTTCGGCATTTGTACGGTGCTCCCGTGAGCGCTTCTTCCAGCTCTCGCCGCTTGGGGAAAGTGAAAAGGTTGTTGGTGGTACTTTAGTTGGATTACTCCCTAAATTGTAAGATTTAAAGTTGTTGTAGAGATGTTGTCACGTGGTATGGCGACGTGGAAGGAAGAAAGGGGAAAAGAAAAAGCCTCGAGCTGATTACGCTTATCATTTTTAGGGGGCGTCGATGTGGATTTACCTGCCTAACCTAACCTAACTTTCTACATATCACCTCATATTTATCATTAATGGAGATTCATTCAGGTTATCACAAATAAACCATATAAACCAAATAAACACATATATACATTTTAACGGAATGAGAACTATACTCATATTAATAACTAACTAACAAGAACTATCTAATTTATGTGATGCAGTCGTAAGATAGCCGCGAAAATTGCGTCTTAAATCGTCAAATCATTTTACCCCGGAACCCCAATGACGCCAATATACCCCAATTAAAGCAAGACGCGGAAAGAAAGTTTTCGGTCTATTCACGCCTTAATACCACCTAGGCGAAGATGATCCCAGACGACTAAATGAGGAAAATGTTAGTTATCGACTAAGAAGGCACTGGAGCTTCAAGGTGAGATATGCTTGTGGTGGGTTAACTTACTTCTGAAGCCTAGGTCTTCCTCGAAGAACCATTCCATTACCTGCTTTCCGTGCTTCATGCCATCCCCACCGTATGAAAGGGCATTCTTGCCGACTGCGAGGCCGATCATGGGCGGAACCTCGCCTAGTTCATTGAACACAGGTTCCTTTCCTTGTATGTCCTGCAGCATGAGCTGGTGGATATTTAACCCCGCATAGCGGCCTTGATGCATGGCTGAGCCGCAGCGCTTGATGCCCGACCAATGGATCAGATCACCAACAGCAAAGTGAGACTCGGCGTTAGGGACCTTATCCGAAGAGAACTGAAGATTTGGCTTGATGTTGACGTAACGGTCCTCGCTGAGTGAATCCTCGGGGAGATAAGTGGTTGACGGTACGCTGCGGGAGATAGCCATGACAACTTGGCTCGCAATCATCTTGTGGCCGTTTTCGAACTCAACCTCGAATACCTCGGTGCCGTTTTCATTTTTGATGGGAGTCTTACTCTTCAACCGGTGGTTCAAGAGCACATCGACGCCGGCTTCCTCTGTTAGATCTAGAGCACAGTCCTTGACATTATCAGGGAGCGGCTCGGCCGACAGTAACTTAGCCCGGGAGTGCGCTAGTGAAACCTTGACGTTGGGTTGAACCTCTTTCAATTCAGCCGCCATCTCAATACCCACAGCACCTATTTGCACGTTAGAAAGAGGTTTTAAAAATCGACATGCTAGGAATAGGTGAACTAACCTCCACCAACAATGAGCACCGGTGCGGTGCTGTTAGTTACGGCATCGATGTGTCGACGGGCCTCTTCAAGATAGTCATCTCTCCTCGCTGATTGCGGTACTACAGGCCAGACACGTCGGAGTCCAGTGGCAGCAACAAAGAAATCATACACTTCATCTCGCGATACTTGGTCTGGTTGCTCAACAATCGTTGCTGTCTTATTCTCGCAATCGACCTTACTGATAGTACCGTGGACGAACCGTACGTCCGGTCTTTGCAGCACAGGGATATTTTTAAAGTTTACCCAGGCCTTCTCGGCATAGCTATTCGACGCCAAAGCAAGAGGTGAACCAATTACATGGTCTACAAGATTACCAGTCAGTTGGAATTCCAGAGTCTAACAATAATTGAAGGGGAGACAAAATTGGAGTAATTGGTGCATGCATGAGATGTAGGGAAGCGGGAGGCGGAAAGGTTCTACGTACAGAAGCCATCGCGCTCATCAACAATGGTGATCTCGACTGGGATAGGAGACTCGATAGTGTCGCACTTTTCGAGTAGATTGACGGCCACAGCTAGGCCACCATAGCAGCCACCGGCAATCAAAACCCTATAGGGGTTGGCGTTAGATCGGGCGCCGCTGATGCTAGCAAAATGAGAAGCCATTGCGAATGTTTGGGTCGGAGAATTGATTGCAGTGGAGTGTAACTTTGGAGTCGCTGCGGTTGCGGCGAAGGAGAGAATACAAGAGTATGTTAAAGGTCGAATTGAGAATCTAGTATTCAGGTGTCGAAAGCAATTGACAATTGTTGAACGCCACAACATCAAAAATTTTGGTTCTCCTTTTCTACCTCACACGCGGACGGCTAGCTGCGTTATAAATTGAGCGAGGGAATATGAAAAAGGAGAACAAATTCAAGGAACAACCAGTGCCAATGGTAGCTTGTCGGTACACGGAACAGGGTCTAAAAAAATAGGCTGATAGGTGAAACAAACATCTGAAAAAAGTATAGACGAGGTAAAGAAACTAAACTTCGAAGAAAAGTAATAACAGGCCGAACCCTAGTCATATGTATGTACCCAGACAGGCCGAATAAATTTAGTAAACTTGGGGAGTTAGGGGGTTAAGCCAAACGAGCAGCTTACTTGGAACGATAATCACGATTGGATCCATTCTATTCCGTAGCAAATGCCAAGGAGGACACATGATCCCTTTCTATCTAAAGAGTTGCACTTTATACATCTAGGTGCCCATTGCATGGTATAAGTTACAATGTTAAGTTAGGTACTTCTTAAACGAACTTGTAACTTTTTAATTCCCTTCGTCCCTGATATTTCAAAGCTTAGGTACCTACCAAATCAATAAGAATCTACATATTTCCCGAGAAAATAATGCGTGATTCCCAGCTTCGGTTAGTAGGGCCTAGTTTAGGTAAATGCATGTATGTGTGTGTGCGTGTGTCCGGTTCGGTTTCGATGTTTCATTTCCACTAGGTTAGATCTGATAAGAAGCGAAAAGAGCGGTGATCACGTCAACAAGCTTCCCCCGCCAAAGAACCGATACGTACCTGGGTACCTTCGACCCGGCGGGGCGGCAGGGGGACAAAGTTATCAGATCCGCTGCTTGCAGGGGTTGAGTGTCGAGCTAGCTGCGAAACCGGCATCGAACTCGGCCAATGTGATCCGAGGATTGAGTCCACGTACCTCGGCGTACCTCAACTCGTACTCGCTTGTACATAAGGTACATATATTTCGGTACGGTGCGTTTTATTCCTTCGAATCCACTTTTGTCTTTCTGCCGGAGGAGCTTAGAGATGTACCCGGATGGGCTTATAATATTCCTGTTTGCATTAATTGGTATAGTTCTTAATACAATAAGAGATTATGTTGTTGGTGTTTTGTTTTGAATAAGAAGAGGTAGGTAGTCAACTACTATTGTGGTTAATACAATATCGTGTACCGGCATCTCTCCGTACCTTTACCGAAGAACTTTCGTTGGCGCCGAAGGCTTAACCGCATTCAGCTAATATTTGATGGGGTATGATGGCGGACATAAGCAATGATAGATCGCATGTAAGCGGCATTTAGGAGGCTTGTACGGGGCGGGTACATACGTGATAATTCAAGCGGTGAAATAACAGGGTAAAAACTGCGAGGATTTACACTTCGGTAAGACTCCGTCATATAGGAGGTATGGATTTCTTAAGGCTTCTAACGCCACTGACACATTGGGCAGGGAGCCTCATGTTGCCCTTTTTAGCAGTGGTGGATTGCAATCCGGTTAACCGGTAATTATTCAAGATGCCGGATTTAGAAGAACTGCAGGTACGGTGGATTATTAGTCCAACTGTGCCAAAATCAAGAAAATGGATGGGAGCTATCCAAAAAGGGTAATTTAATAAGTAACGCTAGGTGCACAGTATTCTAAAATACCTAAAATATAAGATTTATGATTATTTTATTAATTTTATAGCCATATATTTAAATAACTTTATAAATATTACGTTTTAAATATTGTAATTGGTACCATTTTATAGCTTTTATTAATGCGAAAATAATGGTTTAATTTACATATTTATAAGACACGTATTAGATAATTTATTTGTTATTAAAATATCTGCGGCCTTTTCAAAAGGTTGGTTTTAAAGGGTATCACGTGCTAGCCTCTCAATACAATACCTATTTGATATTAATATTAATATAATTTATCTCAGCTAGCTTAGACTAGAAATTTGAAAATGGTTCGGGGGGAAGTACCTCCCCCAGCCACATGACTTTTCAGCCAATCACACCCCGGCACACCCCCCTAAACCATTTTCCAATCTCTAATCTAAGGTGATTTTAAACATTTTCCCCTCACTTGGTATAGCAATAATTAAATCAATTAAAAACATCAATTTCAACGCGTTTATAATAAGTAAAATCTTTATATAAGAAGCAAGTACTAATTTGATTATTTAAATAGGTAGATACGTACGCGTTTCGGGCCGAAATTAGCTATAGCACCGGTCGCAACACCGGTCGCAACGCAATAGCCGCAATAAATGTCAAAGCCTATAACATTACAACGCGATGTCGTATAAGCATGCAAAAAAGACGAGAAGGTAGCGAAAGCAAAGGACTAGCCCCGAATGATTAGAATATAAGGTATTTTAAACGTGGTTGTGGGTGGTTGTGGGTGGTTGTGGGTGGTTGTGGGTGGATGTGGGTATAGGCGCGTGGGTGCAGGCGCATGAATATAGCGTTTTGAGGTTATTTAAACGTTGAGGCCTGCGATATTACAACGCGATGCCGTATAAATATGTAAAAAAGACAAGAAGGTAGCGAAAGCAAAAGATTAGCCCCGAGTGATTAAAATAGAGGATATTTTAAACGTTGTTGTTGCCTATTGTGTTGTCGTTGATATAGTCTTATTAAATGTGTACCAGGTATGGCTAAAATGTTAAATAGCGGCTAAGACTAGAATTCGAGGAACGCCTCCCCCAAGACCCACAGATACATACACACAGACCAAGGGTTTCGTGGCGCCTGTGGCGCCAACGAGGGGGAGGCGTTCCTCGAATCTCTAGTCTTAGCACACTAAGATAAAATATAATACGCCAGCATAAAAACATATAAAAATGCATTTAAATCATTATTTTCGCATTAATTAAAGTTATAAAATAATACCAATTATAATATTTAAAATAATATTTTCGTGAAATTATTGCAATGTATAAATTATATTTTATATATTTACGTTTTTATAAATATTTAAAGTTAAAATAAAAGTTAAATTTTATTGGTTATTATTTTTAATTTGTGGAGAAAGGAAAAATAACCTACAATATATTAAATAATGCTTATATTTTTTTAATATCTTTACAAATTTAAAATCGATTTATATAAAATCTAAATTAAAATTTTTATCTTTTTTTAATAAAAATACTAATACCAATTTTAAATAATTTAAACGTATATTAATAAAATTATCCCTATATAAAAAGTATATATTACCTTATAAATTATGTATATAGTAGAAATAGCCAAACTTATACTATAATCTTAATGTTACTAATACCTTATTTGATATAATACGACTGACTTTTTTGATTTTGGCACAGTTGGACTAATAGTCCACCGTAGCAGGGAAAAAACGCCACTTGATTTGCAAGTTGTGTCACGGCCTAAGATGCAGCCGCCCTGTAAGCTATTGCTCGTGACATGTGTAACCAGCCAAAGTATAAAGTATGCATCCCCTATTCTCCAATCAAGGGTCGAGTCTCATAATAACACATAGTTACAAGTAGTTTAGAACCGAGACCTTCACCCGTTCTTGGGAAAAGAATATGTGATCAAATCTGACTATTGGAACTCAACCGGCGTTAAGCTGATATATTTCAGAATCAGCGATATCCTATGCCATTTATATATTTATAGAGACCTCTTTCTTATACCATACGATGGTTATTAGTTCATTCACCCTCGAAGCATTAGGTATAGGGGCTTCCGAGAGGATTCAAGGTAAAGCTAAGATATAATTAGAATAAATATTGTCGTGGAATCCTTTGAAGGCCGGGACAGAAGGCAAAGGCGAGAACCATTTTGAAGACCTTGATTATTGCTCCACCTTATGACAAAAGGGTAGATGTTTGGAGAAAAGGAGAGGAACCCAACATATAAATCAGACGATATACTGGATTATAGGATAGGGGATAACGACAAACAGCTATTGTATTTTAAATTTTTTTTTTTTACTTATAGCTCCCGACAGCGTGGGTTTAATTTTAACAGGTGACCAACACTTTCAATAGGTTTGGTCTAGGACTTGTATAAATCAGAACTTGCCAACGACGTTGATTTTTATGCTATCACTATTATGGCACAGGGAACTAGAAACTTTAGATATGACAACACGGGGAAGCAAACTACAAATCACGTCGTGAGTCTTCTTATTGTGGGGGGGTATCATCCATTCTCATTTCGCCGTCAGTGCTAAATACAACGCTATGATAACCTTCCGAAATATGACTCCGATATGCCATGATGATGATGATGATGATGATATGATATGATATGATGATGAGAACGTCAACAGCTGCGCATCTATGGCGCTTCTTAGACATCTAGAGTACCTCCCTCGAGGGAGACAGAGCTAGAATTCTCCTCCACTTCCTGCCTATAGCATTCCCAGCCCCAACCTGCCTACAGCATTACTCTACCTGGTTAGCGCAGACGCCAGGTAGCCGACTTTTGACCAGGGAAAAAGCCGTTGAACACGCTTTCTTATAACAGAGATAGAATCATCATAGAATCATCCTCAGCATCCAGCGATATCCAAGGAAAAAAAACCTGAGCCGGGACATTGTTGATTTTAACCACAGTGGGATTCGAACCCACTTCCTTGTGTTGCGGCACATGGGCGCGGACCAACACACATCTAGACGTTTGACTGCGACATGTCAAACGTCCTCTTCCTCCATAGCCCATCCGATGAGCTTCTCCCTCATAGCATCGTCCTCCCCGTAGCATCTCCAGACGAACAACTCGTTTGTCACTTGTTCCTCCTCATTTATGTCGAACGGGTTTCTCTCCTGCGGGCCAGCGAAAGGATTGCAAACCGGTGCTTGCCGTATCCTTCTCAAGTATGCCCGCAGCTGGTCCGACTCTTGGCACTTGGGGTTTCTCAAGAAGGACTCGGTGTCCTCCGTGAAGAACTCCAGGCGCTCCATGACGCGCTCAAAGTCGCCCGAGCGTGCGTACCCGAAGTAGTCGTCGCCTATCGAGTGGAGCTCAAAACAGTGGTGTGCGAAGTCGAATAGGGCCCTGTGGCCAAGATAGTGTCTTTGCCTATGTAGACCATTCTGGACGGGGGGGTGGCGGTAATAAGAAGTCCGTCGACGACCGGGCTCCAAGTCAAAGTGGATATTTACAACGGGCTCCTCGGTATATGATACTAGAGGAAGCAACAAGCACTCGTAGAAGAAAGGGTACATGTCTCTATCCTGGTCTGACTTTTTGGTATTCGGCTTTGCCCATACCTCCTGACGCGTTATCGCTTTCGGGAAATTGCATCGTGGCCGCATCTCCCAGAAGGGCGTGCGGGCCATGGTAGGGCGATCCGGGTCTCTTCCTCCGCAGAATCGTATATTCAAAGCCTCGGTGGCGACGTACGAGGAGTTGGATTCTACATTCATCAGAATTCGGCATATGTCAAACAATTTTGTCCGTAGGATCATCAAGGCGATTAGATGATAGCCTTTAGTAGGTGCCTGAAATGTGATTGAAATGTCGTTGGGCCAATATAGATATATGAACTGTGCCATCGGCGACGATAGGTCGCGGATGGTCCAGTATGATGTCCTCCAGCGTGTAAAGTAGTCCTGGCTCCTTGGTCTCCAGGTAACTCCTATTTTCAGTGCTGATCCAGAAGAGTACCATGGTTCGGCGATAAGATCGAGGTTCTCGACTTCGATGCTTTGGTCGATTTGGCGTCTTAGTTCTAAGCGGTTATGAACTCTTCCAAAATCGATAAAGTTACCTCCTGGCATGCGAGACAAGACTTCATGACGTATCTCCTTGCAAGTCTGTGCCAGAGGTGTGAGATCCTCGTCTTCAAGGTTGTTATATATGATACTTCTTACTTCTCTTGGGATAGTTGGTAAGTAAGATGGGGAGGTGAGTTTCGATGCCATCTTGGTGTCGGTAGTAAGTTATTATTAGTAGTTGACGTGGTGTTAGTGTTGGTGTAAGCGAGTTATTGATGGCGAATAGTTCGTAATTATCACAGATTTAGCTGTATAGATTGAGCTAACTGTGTTGTCGATGTATTAGCTGAGTGTCTATATAAGACGAGTTCTCAACTATGCGTAGGAAAGGTTAAACTGCGTAAAACCTGGTAGCGAGTGATTGAAAGTGAATTATTAGTTGGGGATAAGTCGTAGTCGACAGCTGGTGCTGAATGATTGTAGGTAAATTATCCGTAGTGAATAACTCGAAATTAATAAAAGGTAGGGGATAATTGATGGCAAATTATTCGATAAGAATAATTCGAAGTAGGTAGTTGGTCAAGGATGATCCGTAATGTATAGTTGGTGAATGGTTAATAGTAAGTAGTAGGTAGGCAGTTATTCGTAGTGGATTGTTGATAGCGAATAACTGATAGTAAATTGTCTATAGGCAGTTCTTTGCAGTGGGTTGTCTGATGAATTATTGGTAGTAGAAGATTTGCAATGAGTTATTGGCAGTGAGGTGTTGGGAGTGAGGTATTGATAGTAAGTTGGTGATGAATTTGGTTTCAAATATTTGGCAAGTCAGGTAGGTAGGAGTAAAATTAGGATAGGAGTCGTATGCTATATACCGTTTTACTCAACGAAGAGCACGATACGCATTGACATTAGGTAGTCGTATAGATTTTTTTTGAATTAGAGGTCCAAGGTAGCTTACGAGGCATAGGTTGCTCATTTTTAAAGTTGAAATATAGAAAAAACTAATATCTTTCTATAAAGTATACCCAATATGTTTATTAGCACGGTTACTAGCTAGGAGGTAAGCTTTAACGTCTATCGGATACTTTTAATATGCATCATCAAAGCTCATCATAACTGCCACACAAGCCTTTAGATACCTTTATCGCCCTCCCTTCAAAAACCGAGATTCGTTACTATCAACGGTCTTCAGGTAGTCCCTTTCCCCAAAGTCCTTATAGCCACTTCCTATGGTATATGTATACAACCAAGGAAGTTGCTCTGGTGCCTCAGCAATTTTGAGATACTCTTTCCCAGCTACGAGCCCATCAATATCTCGCATTACGGGTAGCCCTTCCTCCGAGCGTTCGTCAGCATAGTAGAACCTATAAGATTTCGTTAATATAGATCCAAGCTAAACTCTTATCGGACTATAAAGTTTACAACGGCTATAAATATGCCAATAATATAAAAATTAAGAAAAACTCACTTAAAACCTTCTTTTGCATAGGCCACTGACGCATATCTAACTCCATAGGCAGACACGGTCTTTCCAACTCCAAAGCACAGACGATTCTTAAACTGGCTGTGGTTGAGTATATTCCCGGTAAAAATGAAGGACTTCCCGGGCGTGCCAGTGGGAAGAGACCTGAAAGCCTGAATTGCGTGTTCAATTGCAATGAGTGGAGTAGTGCCATTTACAGCGACAGCGGAATGAAATCGTGAGACATTCTCTGGCGCAAGGGAGGCGAAAGGGTCTTCCGGGTCATCGAGTGTATATTGCACAGCTATAATTATATGTTTATCAGACTATATTCCCAAACTAGTAATAAATCAACATACCGTTGTACACGACAACAGTCGGGATCCCGACGTTCTCTCGGACCTTGGCAAAGACCTCTGGGATACTCTCGGGGTCATTGAAGTCAGCTTGGACCTGGTAATATCCGCGCTTCTCGAACTCTTCCTTAGGTGTCCGGGCTACGACAGCAATCTTGTATCCGGCTTCGGCGAATATAGCAGGAACTTGGGTGCCGAGTTTCTTCCCGGCGCCAAGGAAAAGGAGGACTGGTGGTGCAGACATGATTGTAATTGAGTTTACAGTTACTAGTTTAATAAGTTAAGTAGGGATGTAGTTGGCCGTTATCCTAATAATTAGCGTTTATTATAGATCAGTTTCATCATTTTTTATATTCAACGAACTTGTTGTCTAATATACTCATCATAAATGCATTTAGGACTTGCGAGACTCGCTTTGAAGCCCGAGACTCGCGACTTAACACTTGATGTGAGATCTATCGTTGTCAGCACTACTAAATACTTCAATATATCTGTATTAGAAATATACAAATGATTCAAAGGGATTTACTAACATTTAAAGATATACCCCTATTTGATTTGTTATGTTACACGACGTGATACTCAGGATTAATACATTATTAAGACGCATCACAGAGAAAAAAGTCGGATTTAATACACCGCCACGACCAATTAACTAATACCGCGGCAAGATGTATTTGATATTTCATCATTCTTTAATAGTGACATGCTTACGTTATTTGCTACATGCGCTTTGCTAATTCCTATATGCTTGAATTTATGAAAAGCCCTACGGCTGGTTGACCAAAACTCCGTATCCGGCCGTCTACCCAAACGTCAACAAATATTACTTAGTAATAACTCTAACCCTAGAATTACCCAAAGACTCGATGCCACTTTTTGATTATCGTTTTTATCCTTCATTTAAGTTTCAGAAGCTTACGACACCCCATAAAGCGCATGGGTTACCAACTCGTATTTGCGATGTAAGGTTCCATAATGTTTGTCAAGGCTCTGGAGTCATAGCCTCCTAATTCTGACTCAAACCCAGTCATAACACTGTCCCAATCTTGCCGCGCCATCGGAAACCCGTATTCGAAGGTATTCGGAAGCGTACGACTATGTATATCGGACTCGTCGGTTGAGTCATTGAAAGGCAAACCGGAATTAGGGGTTTGTTCTTGGTACTCTTTGAGATTCAAAGAGGCTTCGTTTGAACTTGATACTAGGGCGGTAGCGATACGATTTAATCTCTCGCAAGCATTATAAACCTTTCGAGCAGTTTGAGACTTCGCTGCTGGTGGTTCTAGAACCGATAGGACTGAGGAGAGTAGAGCTAGGTCGGCGCTGGAGGATGTAGATATGGCATTTCCAGCCAGTACGATAAAAGGTACAAATGGTACAAGGGATAAGATCCTATATTACAATGTTAAACACAACAATGATATTTGGGAGCCGGGGGGGGACTTACACATTCAAAAACATACACCATCCATAAGGGTCTCTTTGTAGCATACGCTCACCCGCGTCTACAACCTTAGATAATGCCGTACGTGCAGCGTCTACACACTCATCTGAGCACTGTAGCGGGTGTGATTGTATAGAACTAGGCGGAAGTATTCTATATACGATAGTAAGAAGGCAGTACATCTTAATATCAAGCAAGACCGCGGCAGCGAAAAACAGCCGGTCCCAAATTGGACCATCTTCAGGTATCTAGTGGCGTTAGTAATAGACCACGAGTAAGTTACGTAGAATTCATACAGTTGCAGCGGACTCTTGGATTTTCAGAAGTTTGCTAGCAAATTCTCTAGCATACTGGACACGATTCTGCTGTGGAGCATGCAGTGCTGATGCAGAAAATAACTTTCTCTGGATTTCGCCCGCAACGATGGAATAATCAAGGAGACCGGTATATATCCTAATAGAGTTAGTATCGTTATTATATTAAGCATTGGAGCAACTAACCGGCCCGGAGTCGTACGTAAATAGTCTGAATTGACCGGATAACCATTTGCTACATCGTAATGATGGATAACAGGTGTCCTCCCACAGGTCATAGCCAATCCTTTATCCCATAAATATGTATGCCAAAAAATGATGCTTTGCTGAAGTATCTCCTCGTTTTCTGGATTGCCAGGCAGACGATGGAAGCCTAAGTCTAAACATGCCCTTGCAGCAGCGCTTATCAGTCTCCATGCAATCGTACTATGGCCTTCCTTGACATAGAAGGTCCCCTGACCAGTCAGAATCATCTTCACATTTGAGTCGCTGGAACACTTACGAGAAGAACCAAAGCGCGACATGATTCCATCGACGGTTCCGAGCATAGGCGGAGACTTTGCATCGCCGTTTCGGCATTTGCTTTCATTTTCCTAGTGTGGAAATGCAATATCTCTACGGTTGTGCCTATGTGTTCACAATCGGCTTCTTTAGCACCTAGAAAGATGTAGTAGAGACCGACATTAACGCATATCCATTTCCAAATTGAGACTGGCTCAGTTGCGAAGTAGACGCCGCGGCACAGGTCAATGAACTCATCCTCTTTGAATGTGGGAACGTCGATGAAGAACCGTTGCTTCGAGGTTTTGCTCATACGTAAAAGCTTAAGAACAATATCTATTGGTGGTAGTGGAATATCCCCGGAAGGCGGATCATATGGCTGAGGAAGAGATTTGGGAGTTGCCTGATCTGACGCAACACCTTCACCTGTATCTGCATCGCGAAGTAGTTCGGCAATCCTCCGCGGGGAGAGTAATGGGGAAATTAGTGAGGAAGTATCTAGAGCTTCTTCGTTTACGAACTCGGCGACTGCAAAGGTCGCTCCTAAAGCATTTTCGACTAGATGAGCGTGTGACAAAAACGAAGGATCGCCATTATAGCCTTCATTAACACCAGACAGAGTAGGTACTTGTTCATCAATCATTGGTGGTGGTGGGGTATAATGTGTACTCTCTGATGATGTCGCGGTTGAATTAGGACCAGGACCAGGACCAGGACCTCTATTCAATAGGAGCGTCTGAAGCATTTCTTTGACGTCGCCAAGCTGACGACTAACATCTTGCACGGCCTCATCATATTTTGATGATAGGAGAACGCGTTGTCGTTTTTCAGTTGCCCGACGAGTTGTACGACAAATAACGTTGAGTGTTACGCAGCTCGCACATGGCGACCTTCTATCACATTTCGTCTACTAAAATAGTTAATATTTAGGTAGTTATGTTATAAGTTATCTTAGATAAGGGGTTATTGATGTTGGTCATACCTTTCGGGATTTACAATTATCGCACTAAATATTACGTAATATTAGTATCTATCAATTCTCAACTAGTTATCAACAATAAATAAAAAAATAAAAAGGAAAAAAGGAAAAAAGATACAATGAATTTAGAATCCTTACCGCAGGCCTCCGCTCTAAGGGAACACCATTTTCTGTTTCGTCCATTTTCTTAAAATCCGCTGCATCATAGTCAGAACGGAAAAGGGATGTTGGATTACCTCTCCAAAACCCCGGCTCCATGTGGTACTTTAGACTTTACCGCATCCCGAGGCCCCCGACCACTTACAACAATCTTGCTTAGTAAAGCAGGTTGCCTCTTAAGATAATATGAGGCTGAGCAAAGTGATGACGATTCAGGACTTAGAGCCAAGCATCTAAGCCACACAGATAGCCACAAAATCTATAAAATCTGGGGTAAAAAAAGGGGGTTAAGATGACATGTAAAGGAGATAATGCAACATTAGTCTAAAATAATTATATTATAACCAAATAAATCGAAGAAAACTTTAGCGAGCTCAACATATCCGCTCTTATCACCGCCCCAATACACACCTTATAGGTGTTCCTAAAAGGGTTCACCGATAACTCATCTTATTTCTAAGATTGAATCATACCACCCTCGAAATCTTGAAACCTCCGGGGATGCGCCTCTGGAATACTGCAGTAGGATCATATTTCGCGGCCACATCCCGCATATGCTGGATATTCTTGGCGCCATAGCTTCCAAGAGGATCCTGGTTTGATTCCGCATAGTTTAAGTAAAGGAAGTCTAGATCTCCATTCACTGACTTGGAAAATTCTTTAACTTGGGCCGTTAACACGGCTAGTTCTGCCTTCGCAATAGCAAAGTCTTTATCATTGGAGGTAACAGCAACACCAGCGTTGAACAAAACAGAGTTACCCTCGATATTTTCTAGCCCAAGCATGTTACCGCCTTGCTGCTCGGCGATGGTTCCCATATAAGAAGGAATAGGCTGCAATATTAATATTGATGTGAACTGCTTGGGGTCGACTAGATTGCTGAGCCTCTTGACTAAATCTTCGTGGAGTTCAACACAGCGACGAAGTATCTGGGGATCGTTGCGGAAAGTCAATGTCGTTCCAGAACCCCTATACCCGATTAGTTAATCAATTCATAGGTAACCCATTCCAAATAAACCTAAGATAATAAACTTACCTATAACCACCAGGAAGCTGGGAGCCATCAGCAGCTACTGCCATGTTTTTGAGAGACGTAGACTTAGTTAAGGTCGGAAGACCCTTAACTTTATCAAATGCGGACGTAGCGTTACCATTACCCTGTGTATTGACGTAAATTGTCTCGATAAGTGTCTCGGGACTGCTTGACGCGTTGTGGCTCCAAAGAGCTATAAGGGCGTTGTCGGCGAAGGATTGGTCTTGGTTGGCATATCCAACTACCGCATCAACCACGGATTCCGTATAATTTAAACCTAAGGTGCGAATATCGTAATACAAATCTCGCGTCGGGAGTGCTTCCATGTCGAATCGCGTGACAATGCCGTAGTTGCTACCACCTCCCTTGAGGGCTCGCCACAGATCCGAATTCGCCGTGCTGTTGGCGTTGATGACAGTGCCATTGGCTAGTACAACCTCGAAGTTCTTGACAGAATCACAGCCGAATCCCATTCGTCCCGAAAAGAAGGAATTACCGCCTCCTAGGAGGAACCCTCCCACACCAACATCGCCGTCCCGGCCCCCTGTTACAACTACACCAGCTTTCTGCAAGTCCGCGTATACGTTTCGCCATCGGCCTCCTGTATGGATCTTGGCGAGTTTCGTCTCCGGATCATAGCTCGATGAATTCATCATTGTCAAGTCGATAGTCACGCCGTTGGCAATGTTGTTGCTTCCGGGAAAGCTGTGTCCACCGCTACGCACAGCGATGTGCCAATCACCTCCGCCATTGTTGACCTTAACCAGTGCTGTTAATGCCGTTGCTACCTCGTCGGTGTTATGAGGAAGAACAAGGCAGTCGGGTCTCATACGGGCGTTCTCCGAATACCAAGACTGTATCTGAGGTTCGTAACCTGCGTCCGTCGCGAAAAGAAGGCGATCGCTAAGACCGGCTTCTTTTAGAGCGTCGCACTAGGAAGAGTAAGCAACCGACGACTATATCATTATCCATTAAGCCCCGTAGGTGTCGCTACTTACAGGTGCAATTCCACTACTGTTCGATGTTATTTCGCTGCCAGCAACCTTAGGAACAAGTGAAGGGGGGTTCCAAGGTAACTCAGATGCAGCTGCTAGCCTGGCGACCAAGGCTGCAGCGCCGATACAAGTTTTCAACATGACGAGTGATTTAGATAGCGAAGCCGTTCTTACACGAAATTAGAATACCAAGAAGCTGTGTGATTTCAAGAAGACCAAGCCTGGAGCGGCTCTGATTTATATACAGGTTTAACATTTTCTAGTTCATTGCTACTCGTCGAGTTGCTTATTCACAACATTGTTACGGTTTCTATAGCCGATCGATCTATCAATGTCGGTGATTCCGCGTCAATACCCAATCGCCATGTTTCCTGAGTGCAAAAGCTCCTGCGGTGGATGCCTGTCGGAAGCCTAGGGCCCCGAGGCCCAAAGGAGCCTCCATTTCGAGCCGAGAAATGCTGTATTTGGTGTCATAGCATTCGGTGTACAGGAAATTAAAAGATTCATTTGCATTATGATGTTCACGTACCGCGTAATTAGCATAGGCAGCAGCATAAAATCTATCCTAAAGGGGGTTATTCATGTATTAACGTATATAACATTTTCGATAGTGGGTTGCTAATCGGAAGTTAGGATATATACAAAAGTAGAGCAACAAAACAGCATCGATAACCCCGATAACCCCGATACCTAGGCGCTGTCAACTCCACGTGCTAAAACAATCTGATCTTACGATAAACTCGCGATTGGCGAGCGCGCTAAGGACATGATACGTCTTAGTGTGCTGCGATAGGAGACGGGCTGCGCAATGCTGAGACATGAAACGTCGCGGAGACGCTTGGGGTCACAGAGTCTAACCCATCTGATCTCTTGACATTTAGACTTTATCTTTTAATATTCTCTTTTGAAATAATTCAATTCATCTTATTTCTACTTGTTTCTTCAATTTTCCATTCATTCATCCCGTTATCTATCGGGTCTTTCTTTTTTCTATTCTTTTCTTACCGGGCCGGGATCCCGTATTCTTATTCGGTTTTAATACGTCTCGCTTGCGAGTCGGGCAGCAGGACTGTATAGAAGATTTTATTAAAGAAAAAAAAAGGCTAGGATTCAACGAATATGAAGGACCATCGGAAACCCAAGGACTTGTATCGCAAGCTTAGCAGGACTCGCGATGAGGATCGCGACGACTCTAGTAGCACGGACGTTGATCTAGAGGCGCTTGACTTAAACGAGAAAGATTACATGCACGAAGCAACATCACGGACAGGATCGAGCGAGAAGAGCGGGTTTCTCGCTATACTTAAGGAGCACAGATGGTTAATTGACACATTCTTATTGGTGGTCATTGTCCTGTTGCTTTTAGGAGGTGATTTTCGACGGCACGGGAGAGAACATTTCTTCGAAGGAGGTGGCGACTTGACGGGGTTTGCGCCGGAGTTTGGGCAGAAGGTCACAACTTTCTCTCCGGACCCTTCCTTTGTGCCGGAAAACACGTCCGAATTCTTCTCAGAAGAGACTCGGAAGAAGTGGTTAAGTCTAGTGCCGAGTATGTAGATGCACATTTCCCGGCCCGTCCCTAAACAATCGGCTATTAAGAGCGAAAAGCTAACCCGGAGTGCGTATTGACAGAGGGCCTCGGCTACCTTGAAATCAAGGATCCGCAAGAATATGACAATTTACCGGCGCAGTTAAACTCGTTCCCGGATCAGTTCGTCGTCACATCGTCCATGACGCACCAACTTCACTGTCTGGTAAATATCTCTGTCCCGTCCCCTCTCCTATCCGTGTGGTGACACTAACATGAAACGGCAGTATGCCATTGCCGAGGCCTATTCAGCACTTACTTCCGACACGAGCCGAGTGCCTCGGGAGACGCCATGGCACTTAACTCACTGCTTCGATTACTTGCGACAGAGCATCATGTGTTGTGGAGACGTCGCATTGGAAGGCGAACAAACCACCTTCCCTGAGGGCTTTGACGGCAGTGATGGATGGGATGCGAAGCACGTATGCAAGAATTACGGAGAGGTATATGATTACCTTGAGAAGAATCGAGCCGACGACAAAGTTTGGATATAGATTCAATACAAGCGAAATAAAGGAAGCCCAACGGTCATATGCTATGGTGTTTAAATGAATTGAATGATATACCCTAGGAACTTCTCCTGCTGAATATATGCCCCTATTTAGATGAATCAGTGCTGCCCTCAGCTAGTGTGGGTTGGTTGTAATCGTCCGCCTTGATCTTGGCCTCATACTCTTGGAAATTGTTGATGCCCTTCGGCATGCCGTTCCACATTAAACCCTGTTCGTCCATCAACTTGTCTCTCACCTCCATAATAGCTTTCCATGAGTCTCGTGACGTCATACGCTCGTGCCATGCTTTCACGTTAGAGAACCCGTTGAACTTCTCTGATGCAGGTAGTCCTAAGACGGCGTCCACCCTTTCGTTCCATGGAACAAAGGCCATGTCGGCGTAGGTCATCTTGTCACCCACGAGCCACTGCTTACCCTCGAGCCAGCCGTCTAAGACACCAAGGACACGCGTGACCTGGTTAGCATATCGCTCGATAGCTGATGGGAACTTTTCGGAGTGGTTGTTTCTGAACCTGTGTTGACAAGAGTTAGCGAAGCAACATCTTCAAGGCAGTTCTACCGACCATCCTGCGGTGCCCCAGTAAGGGCCTTGCCCACTCATTTGGAAGTGTAACCATTGATCTAAATGGTGCACTTCCGGAAAGGTAGTATAGCTCAGCTTGTGTTCAATATCATATTGCTTGATGAGGTAGGTAATGATAGCGCCAGACTCCCATAGCGTCAAGCCGTTATTGGGGTCCTCTATCGCCGGAACACGGCCGTTAGGGTTAACGTCAATTAGAGGCTTCTTTTTGACATCGGCGAATTTTATGGTTTTTAGTTCATACGGCACTCCTAATTCTTGGAGCACAAAGACGACCTGGTGAGGGGTTAACGTGAAGATCTTTAAGGTACCTCATTTGAATAAACTTGCCTTCCAAGGGTTAGGTCCGGGAGCTAGTCGCTGGATGGTTAATAGGAGTCGTAGAAAGGAGGCTTGCAGCGGCTTATAATAGACTTACGAGTTATCCATACACGAATAGGCAACGCCATGTTGACGGATAAAAGGTTAAGCAGCTATAATTTGAGATGAGGTTTGATTCTTTCGGATCTCATATTATCTCGGCATTTAAAGGTTCAAGCCTCGTCCTGTTGTGTAACAGTTATATGTCTTAGGTTAGGTCCATACCTAGTACCTTGAGGCGTTCTGCTGGGCAGTGAAGATCGGAGGGGTTATCAAAGCATCATCCTGCAAGCCGAATTGGTAGAAGATAGATAATGTTATGACAACAACAAGTGCGATAAGTCTCACAACAGTCGACGAACCCTGGGCATAATCATTGCAACCCCATTGGACTACTAAAAGCAACATGGCTAATGATCCAACAAAAAGAAGGAATTCAAGGAAATCTAAGTTCTTAAGCTTATCAGAAAGTATGGGTTGCTCGCCTTGAGCGGGCTTGATGCGATCAAGGACGAGGAAGAGTACAGCCGCGAAACCCCTAATTGGGAGGTTGATATAGAAAAACTATCTCTACGTAACTTGTTGCATCAGAGCTTCCCCTAAAGGATGGCCGATGATGCTAGCTATGTCAAAGGTTGTGCTGAATATTCCATTCCGGATAACGCGCTTGTAGAGCGGTATGATTATAGTCAAGATAGCAACCTTTGTTTAGGTAACATTTACTTAGTATTAATATACGTACCTTTTACACTCGGCATGTATAGGTTAGAAGGTACCTACCTAACCTATGTAGCTAGCCCCTTAAAAAATTCGATAGAAATTAGTTATTGACATTATAAAACCCAAGATGGAATTGAATAACTAGGATCCTATGGCAGAATTTCGGTAGTCTTTCTATATTGCTAGAAACTTATTCATAGTATTGTAATAGACGATCTATATGCTCACTTGTAAAGAAATGCAGAAACCTTTATACGTCAGTGTCAGGGTATAAGTGGGTAGGGGTATTTATGGGGATATATCTACTACATATATAAGAGGCGCACAGCGCCCTCGTATTAGAGTAGAAGGCCAGGCGCCACTATGTATGATATCAATCAACGGGTATAAGCCCTTAAAGTGAGGACTCCAGATGACGTAACTATCTACAACAAAGAACATGTTCAATATATATAGACGTGGACCCCCATAGATAGGTTGTGGAACAAAGGAGTTGTTTACATGCTGTTTGGTTCCACTTCATGAAACACCATACTACAAACTTACTAACTATCGAATTTGTTCTTTTCTTCTAAGTTACTTGTTGTCTATTATTATGGTATACGCTTAGCTAATTCGTTACGATGATCGAAATTACTTTATTCTCGGCGTCGTTGCTATGGATTATACTTATAATATTGTTCGTTTATTATGTGGCTGATTCACTATTGACACAAAGAGATGTGAAAAAAGGCAAACACCCCCTTGTGGGTAGCCCGTTATTTGTAACGCCACGATTTATCCTCAATCTCATATTTGCTAGTAGAGCTAGTAGAATAGTCAATCAAGGCTATCAAAAGGTCAGTCCTCCTTATCTAGATAACCTACGTAAAGATAGCCTCTAATAGTTGTATCATATAGTTCAAGACTCGGGCTTTCCAAGTAGTGAGGGGAGAGGGGAATCTCATCATCCTACCAAATTCTTTAGTTGAAGAGCTGGCAACTCTCCCAACCACAGTGGCAAGCCCCCATGGCGCTTTAGAGCACGACCTACTAGGTTCTTATACAGGCCTAGATGTAATTTTGGAGAGCCGTCTACATCACTCTATTGTACAGCGTAGACTTACACCTCGTCTCGGTTTGATCACGCCGCGTCTAGAGAAAGAGCTTATCCCACTATTCGAAGAACTCTTACCACCTTCTAAGGGAGAATGGGTTGAATTTCAACCCTACCAAGTCTTCTGCCAGTTGGCCGCACGCCTTACCGCGCATGCTATTGTCGGCCCCTCCTTTTGTAACGACCCAGTCTGGCTAGATATTGCTATTAATTACACTGAGAACTGTAAGTCCACTATGGTGCCAGTCTTCTATCGTCTATCACTAACCTCCTGCGCTGCCAGTGTTTAGAACAATCGTGATTCTACGGTTGCTTCCTTCTTGGACACATCCTATAGTGTCTCGGTTACTTCCATCATACTGGAAAATTCAGGGGTATATCCGATCATCCAAAGCATTACTGGGTCCAAAGATTGGAGAACTTCTTGAGCGAAGCGAAGATGGCTCCCTCGCTCCGGATTCAAATGAAGACGAGTTCAATATTCTGACGTGGCTTGCCGTCCTAGCAAAGGGAGCAGAACGAAAACCCGATAACATCGCACATACCGAAGTACTCCTTTCCCTTGCCTCCATACATACGACCCTTCTCAGGATGCTTAATGTGCTGTATGACCTTACAGCTCATCCTGAGTTATTTGAAAAGCTACGTGCGGAGATATACCAAGTAGCTTCCAGTCCGGAAGGTTGGAACAAGCCTTACGATCGACTTTATAAGCTGGATAGCGTGCTACGCGAATCACAACGCATATCGCCGCCAACCACCCTTGGATTGAAGCGACTCTTCAAAACATCGTACACATTTCAGAATGGGCTGCACATACCTAAAGGGACATACGTCTGCATGCCGGTCTACGCCATTGAGAATGACCCCGAAAATACCCCTAATCCTGATGGGTATGACGGATTGAGAAGCTATCGAGCTTACATGCAGAGCCAATCTACTCCAGGAAACTCTAACAACTCCAAGGAGTTCCAGTTTTCATATGCTTATGACCCAAATGTTCTAAATTTTGGGTATGGGAAGTATGCCTGTCCCGGGAGGTTTTTTGCGAGTTTGATCATCAAGATGGTCTTTTCCAAGTTAATTGTCGAATATGACTTCCAGTTCTTACCAGGTACTGGGAGGCCGGCAAATCTAGAGGCCCACGAGTTTCTATTCTCGTGGCCATGGAATAAAATGTTATTAAGGAGGAGGGAGGGTAGTACTTTTTCTTTCTAAGATTACCTATATTGGTCTACACAGGTTAATATATCACTCATTTTTAAGGGATTAACAATTGAGGCTAAAACTCGAAAGGTTGCTGCATCGATCGTAGTATAAGTGATAGTTGATTTTGAGTGCGTTTTTAACCGACTTTTACTTATTGTGTTACGGTTGATTTAGTATTATTGAAAATGAATTTTTAACGAAGAATATTAATAATAATTGATAACCAGGTATTTAATTACATTACGACTGTAAAAGTGAACGCTGGTTATTATTAATTATTTATTTGATTTTATATGAGAAGTATATAGCTCCTATTAAGCATCGGAATTCAGTGCCGTAGAAATCCCATCTGAAGAGGATCCCAAGCGCCTGCTTCTTATGGACCTCGGAGACAAGACAGTTCGGATGCTACCGATGATCGATTCGGGTGCCCTACCACCAGCCACTAAGGGTCCATAACATGGCAAACAAGCGGCGACGATAGAGCAATTAGGCTCGAGTATCATGAAAATAAATTGGATGGATTGTGTGTCTGTTGCTGTTAATAATGTTTTCTTAGAGCCTTATAATTATCGATATGACTTACACACTGCGCTTCGGGATTTATTAACCTGATCGAGAGACTGAGATACAAGCACCATCCTAACAGTAGCAGCGACACAGCAGCTTCAAAGGGTAAGTGAATGAAGTATTAAGTGACAATAGATAGAATAACATACAAGGCACCAAGCCAGAAAATGAAGCTGATGAAAATCTTTCTCCTAGTAGGCATGTGGAGCTTGTAAATAACAGGTAACGGAAAACAGAGGACAGCAACGTCAAGACCTATGCTCGTTCCGACTTGAGCGAGAGCTAAGGGCGTTGGACTAAATCGTGAGTGACCTTTCCCGGTCCATGACCCAGATACCGGATCGGTCTCAAGCAGTACCAGCTTGAATAATATCAGCTCTAGACCTGGAAATTCGCAACTAGATAACCTACAAAGAAGAAAAGAATACCCCAACAGCTAACAACGACAATCGCAATCCATACAGCAACTCTAAACTTTTTGTTGCTGCCGAAAATCCTTTTATAAAACAGCAGGATGGCGATTTTCACGACCGTTAGGGCCGGCTGGACGAGACATGACGAGATTAAGATGCACCGTATTCATAATATGTTAGCCATGGAAACGTATCGATTGCCTTCTAGAGGATACTAACCTTTAATGAGTCCGTAGTGCCAATCACCGGGTCAATTTTATAGTAATCAATGCCTGTAATTGCCCCAAATACCCACGAGTTTATACTAAGCGAGAGAGCGAAAATCTAGGTGCCATCAGCGTATCGTACATATGTCAGCTATGTCATGGGAATGGACAAGCTACCCAGGAAGCTATAATCCACCAGTCGTCCGCTTGGAGTAAAATCCGAGCCATCCTTCGAGCTTTGAAGCGAAGGTAGATTGCGCCAAGAGATAAGAGAGGCATTATAGCAGAGACGATGATGAGCGGTTTGGTAATTAGAGTGTGCACTCGTTCCGCCATTTTGTTGGTAGATTCGATTGCTCACATTAGAACTTATCTCAGACAGCAAGAAGACGCCGTCTTAGCGGCTGAATCAGTTCACAAGAACTAAATGTTGGCTTCTTGTACTTGTTGAAGCTATATTAATGCCAAGCACAATATTGTAAAGTGAGGAAATCAACGGGGCTGGTATCAATGTTCTTTAAGTACCCCCGTTAGTACAGCATGTACCTGTTGGGTGTATTACATTTCATTTTACATGAAATAGGTACAAAATTAGAACCGCAATGCCGATCCTGGTATTGTTACCAAGTAGTATAGCATATAACTTGACGTCATAGACACAAGCCCAAGTCGTAATGGTATTTGATATAAAACAAAGACTTGGTGGTATAAGAGTCTTGAGTTAAATAGCTAATATGCAAGCGGTTATCCAGGCCATTGGTAAATTTAACACCAGTATCAAGTCTTATATAAGTTGCATTAATACAGGATGGTTGGCAAGGCTTTTCTAGGTCTTTGGGGTCTATAACAATATCTTGTCTTTACTCAAGTCTTTCTGTATGTATCTGCCGATGTACACTAAAATTTAGCTACCATATCTATAGCTTTATTTATACCGGCTACAATATATCTCATATAATCAAAGACGTACAAAGAGCGGCTTCCCACTGTTAACCCAACATTTAGACTTGAGTGACGTTGGTTTGCTAGGACGCGTTAGGGGCTAGGGTCAAAGCAAACCCTAGAAGACACGCATACAAAGGTAAGACTTCAATACCAAGCTATAACTCACGATGCCTAAGAAATATTAGGTTCAAGGTGACGTGTTTAAGTTTGTTGAAGGTAGGTTACTTCAGAAGCTCGTATGTCACGAACTTGTGTTGTTCAACCTAGTTAGTAAAATAATGGTTCGGAAAGGGAACACTCGCTAGGTATCAAATTTAAATAACCACCCAAGTAGATAGCATGCAGGATCTTGCGTATATGTGAGGTTCATAATAGGTAGCTCAAGAAATAAATGAGTTCTCATTATCACCTCTTCTCATTAGCTATCTAGATATCTTCTAGATACAGCTTGCTGTTACGTCATACCCCTATTTTACACTTGAGACATAATTTCCCATTCTCCCTTGCAAGCATAGAGTAAGGGCCGCCAGTAAACTAACAAGCAATAGCTATAGCTCACTTTGTCGGATATATTTTGCCTTCGAAAATTCGGGCGTAATGCATATGTGCCATGGACAGGATACACGATCCAAACTATTGAGTTGCATGTATAGCCCTAACATTAAGTATGCGACCTTGACCCCTATCTGACCTGGCATGCCTATTCATCTCGGAAGGATCAAGCCCTGCCAGATACGACAAGTCCAAACTGGTCATCACGGCTACTATTGTTTGTCGACCGTAGGAATGGCAACACGGTTTTTTTGGTGCTATCCTCAACCGCACTGCGCCTGTTATTACGTAGCACTTTGGTATAGAGTACCTATCCCAAAGAAGACCAATGTATCATAAAGTATTCTACACAAGAATGTTACATTCAGAGGCCCAGCCAATAGGGTTACGCTCGGCTTAGAATCATTTACGTCACTATATTGAGTTTACAGATGATTATTTCTTTGTTGGTAAAATATGTAGGTAGCTGAATCTAGCTGTAGTTGTATGGCAGTATGAGGATAAGTAATCCTCGCGGTTATAGCACAAATGTCATAGAATTTCGTACAAACATGCGTCCTGGTATACAGTTGAATAATACAGACTTGTTAAATTCCACTCTAATCCTGATCCCTATCATCTGAGCAATAACTATGAATACCTCGTTATACAGTCAGTCTCAATCGCTACTTGCCCAGGTCGCAGCACAATGTACGACAGACAAAGCACATGGCTTCATGTCATCATCTATTTACGATACGGCTTGGCTATCCATGTTGCAGAAGCCTAGTGATTCAAAAAGCTGGTTGTTTCCCGAATGCTTCAATTTCATACTCCAGAACCAAATGCCGGATGGTGCCTGGGAGTCTTACGCATCGGAAATAGACGGCATATTAAATACGGCCGCTTCTCTTTTGGCCTTGATTAAGCATTTAAGAGAGTCGCCTGATAATGAAGACTTGATACTTAGGAGTCAGAAGGCAGAAGCTGCGCTTACACGGATGCTCAGAAGCTGGGATGTGGGGGTTACAGATCAAGTTGGATTCGAGATTCTTGTCATAAAAAATCTCTCTTTGCTTGAAGGCGAAGGGATCTTCTTTGATTACCCTGGATTAGCAAGCCTAAGAGCTCTTCATAATGCCAAATTAGCAAAGCTTCCTGTGTCTAGCGGTATGAATCATATTATCTCATCTGAAACTCAAACCTCCCTTTTCAAAATCTGTTTGAATTCGTTCATAGCTAACGCTCGTATAGTACGTATAGTCAATTAGATATTTTATAATTCCATATTTAATCTCAAGAAACGAGAGACTTTTATAATACAATACGTTGAACTAACATATTATAGGTATACAAAGCACCGACGACCCTTCTTCACTCCCTTGAAGCATTGATTGGACATATTGACTTTGACAAGGTAAAGTGTCAGAGGAGCACTGATGGCTCAATGTTCAATTCCCCGTCATCAACTGCCGCATATCTGATGTATTCATCTACTTGGGATCCGATGGCTGAATCATATCTCGAAGATGCCCTCATGTACAGCACGGGTAAAAGAGATGGATCCGTAGCTTCTGCTTGGCCAACAACAGTGTTTGAAGTCTCTTGGGTACGAATTTTTAGGTAAAGACGTAGATTTTTAGATCAAGCTAATTTATGTAAATCAGGTCACCACAATACTTGCTGAAGCCGGAGCCCCTATCGGCGTGGTGGAGTCCTCTGCTATTGGGAAATTTCTTGAGGGAGCTTTGACAGCGCACAACGGGATTGTTGGGTTTGGTAAGAATCATCTATCAAATTTATACTAAGAATTCACATCTAACAGTTATTCCATAGCTCCTTCAATTCTTCCAGATGCAGATGATACGGCCAAAACGATAGCGGCATTACGTTATCTGGGTAGATCCGTTGACGTTGCACCTCTATTAAAGGCGTTTGAGGCAGATGATCATTTCAAAACTTATCAAGGCGAACGAAACCCAAGTTTCAGTGCAAACTGTAATATTCTTACATGCTTGCTAATTCTGGATGACCCAACACCTTACATGGCCCAGATAACGAAGGCGACTAGATTTCTCTGCATGCAAGCATTTAGCGGAGACGTGAGAGAGAAGTGGGTAAGTTAATCGAGTAACGGGTGAACGTTATTATATAAGACTCACCAATGACGATTTTTAGCACACTCATGAGCTATACTGGATGATGCTCCTATCCCAAGCTTTTGTACGAATCTGGCATCACATGAAGAGTGAAGTTGGAGGTCTCTACGATGGGCTTTTTTCCAGAGAACCACAGCTGAGACAGCATATTCCTCTGGTATCACTACACATTCTAGTGAAAACACTTGGTTCTCAGATGACCAATGGCTCATGGGGTGACATATGTGAAGTTACGGCATATGCCGTCTTGACACTATCGTCGCTAGCGCAGCTCCCGTGGATCCAGGAGCTTCAGGATGACAGAATTATAGCCAGTATCAACAGAGGACAGTTGTTTCTCAAACTTCGCAGAACTCAATGGGACAAGGGGCATTATCTGTGGGTCGAAAAAGTGACTTATTCATCTAACATTCTGTCTGAGGCATATTGCCTAGCAGCTGCTATGGCTCCGGCTACTTTGACTTACCAAAGTAAGACATCTCACGCATTTTCATTGCCAGAAAAACTCGATATCGGAGTTAAGAAGGCGATGGGCCTTATCAAGGGAACTCCGCTACTCGCCCACACCGAATCACAAGTCCTCCGAGAAGCAGAGTTGGCAGCTAGTTATGCTCTCTGCTCTCTACAACAAAAACACATCGAGATATTTCCGCAACCGGAATGTGAAAAAAGAGATCATAAATATCAGATATTCACACCAGTTATATGGGCTGTTTGCAATGCAACGCACGGTAATGCCATTAGCTTGTCAGCGATGTGTGAGATGGTAACATTTTCCATGCTGATATACCAGGTGGATGAATACATGGAAACTGTCATTGAAAAAGACTTCAGAAAGCATCTTCCTGTAGTCACTAGGCTCATTTCGCAACTATGTCAAGATGCTAGCAACACCTCTAATGTCAAATATACACACGGAGAGGAAACGACAAGTTCGTCTTATAGTCTGGTAAATGGTGAGAGTGTTGCCCTCGAGGAGGCAAAGCACGTCCTCGGTCGTTTTATCGGATACGTTTTGAAGCACCAGGCAGTTCTTGCTAGCCACAAGAGCGTACAGCAAAGACTTGCTTACGAGCTGGAGATATTCCTCACTGCCCATATTACTCAGGCGACGGATAATCAACAGCTTTCTATTCAACAAGAGACCAATGCGACGTCTCCTTCTACGCTTCGCAAATACTCTAGTCCTGGACAGACTTTTTACAGCTGGGTACGAAGCACGTCAGCGAATCACACTTCATGTCCCTTTTCTTTCGTTTTCTTCAATTGTCTAGTTCCAAAACTATCATCCAGAGTCTTCAAAACAGCAAGATCATCGTACCTTGCTGAAGACATGTGCCGCCACCTTGCTAGTCTATGCCGTATGTATAACGACTACGGGTCAGTTGCGCGAGACAGAGATGAGGGTAACTTGAATTCGGTGAACTTTCCCGAATTCCACCTTGATGTTGGAGAAGGGCCTGATGCAGAGCAAGACATTAAACAAGAACTAATAGGGATAGCTGAGTATGAAAGGGAGGGTCTTGGGAGAGTAATGGGTGCGGTAGAGAGCGAGCTAGGCAATAGTGACCTGATGGATGCTTTGAAAGTATTCATTGATGTCACAGATCTTTACGGTCAGATATATGTTCAAAGGGATCTTACAGCCCGAAACAAGTAGTTCTCGTTAATAGGGGTTGAGAAAGGGGCTCTCAAGGTGCATAGGTAGTTAGAAGGGCTTAATCGCTTAATGACTTTCTATTACTCTTCCACGTATATCTTTATTTTGGAGATATAGAATTGTTTGATTTGGATAACTGGTCCGTCTTATAAGTGAAGCGCGTCACAATATGACCATATTGAATTTACGTTAGCAAAGCCCCCTATGTTAGGTCGAGTACGACATTAGGTAGCCCCACACTTTTTACAGCTCACCTAGACAATTAGGTAATCTCGACACTCGCCTTAACAAGAGGGCAAGCCCTAATCTCCGCCAAGACTTTCCAACCGCCCCACACTCACCCACTACGCTCTCCAACAACCAACCTACTCGTAAATTTCACCCAAAAAAGAAGTTTTTCCAAAACCACACCTCTCCTCCGCACACAGCCAACTTCTTGCGCGAAACGCCAAAGCCTCAACGACAACCTAGTCGACCAACCAACATATCTCCGACGAGAACCTTCCCCCGAATTTCAATACCGCAAAAATGACTGGCGGAGTCTCCGTTCGCGATGTCGATGTAGGTTCCTCCACCTTTCACAAATCCCCCTGCCCGCCGTGAGCGGAAGCGGATCGCAATCCCTCCTCCTCCTCGCGCCTCTCCAACAGACGCTTGCAATAAAAAAATAAATATCACGGCAAATGCTATATACATACACATATATTAGTATTTACTATGAGACCCAAAAATTCTTTTTTTATTTGCCAAAATACAATATGAAAAAAGAAATTTTTGCCAGACGCAACAGGGACATGAGAGAAAACACCACAAAAATCTCGTTTCATTGCTGTCGGGAGCAGGCGCGAGGGGGTCGCAAGACTTCTGATGACGGAATATTTGCTGATGGGTTTTTGGGTCCCCCACACTACAGGCGCAGAAGTTCATCGACGCGTACGCTAGCTTCTTGAAGCGACAGGGCAAGCTCCCCATTCCCGGTATGTCTACTCTCTCTCTCTATTTCAACTGCATTTGTTTTTCTCGGAGCTAACACGACCTCCCCGCCAGGTTGGGTCGATACCGTCAAGACCGGTCCCTCGCGCGAGCTACCCCCCCAGAACATCGACTGGTTCTACGTCCGCGCCGCCAGCGTCGCCCGCCACGTCTACCTACGCAAGACCGTCGGTGTCGGCCGTCTCCGCAAGGTCCACGGTACCGCCAAGAACCGCGGCACCCGCCCCTCCAAGCACGTCGACGGCTCCGGCTCCGTCGACCGCAAGATCCTCCAGGCCCTTGAGAAGATCGGTGTCCTTGAGCAGGACGAGGAACAGGGTGGCCGACGCATCACCCAGTCCGGCCAGCGAGATCTGGACCGTAAGCTAACCACACTACGTTCTTGCTAGGGATAAGAAGATGCTGACTGTTTATAGGAATTGCCCAGACTACTGCTGAGGCTGAGGAGGAAGAGGATGAAGAGTAAATGTTGATACCATGCGGGAATGATTCTACTACTACGGTCTAGGTAGCAAAGGTCTATGGGCACGGCGTCTGAAAATGGCTAAATGAATTGATTTGGCGAACTTCGCTTTCGCACTTCCCCATGGCACATTATTCGTCTCTAAAACGCGTGAATGCCATGTTTTTTTATTTTATTTTTTAAGAGCAATAGAGCTGGGTAGGCCAAAGGAGCATAGAAATGACCGAATGACTGCGATAGCCAGATTCTAATTACAAAATTCCAGCATGTCTAGCAACTGCGAAATCAGCATAGTGTTTCCTCCTATCACCACATATTGACTCCTTTCGATCGTCCTTCGTCCTTTTTTTTCCTTAGAATGCATCGAATTACTTTCAAAAAATATAACTTTTTCCTCCTAGACTGTTAATTTGCTCATGAAATTTATTTCATAAGCTACAAGCAAGCCACTTAAAGCATCTCCAAATTTTGCTCGGATTTTATCAAGTGCTCACAAGCGCGATAGAGCGGGGTCCTAACCCTTACTTCCATGTGTCTGTTCACGCTTCTCTCTAGAAATTCCCTTGGTGAGATCAGAGTCGAAATAAACCGGTTCTGGGATAGGGTTGTTAGGGTATATATAAGGCTGGATCGTCTGCCCCTCGCTACGCCATGGCTGTAGTAGTTGGCGGCGGACTCGTGGTTGCGGCTGGTAGCGCCACTGCTGAAGTTTGGCTATTCCAGAGACCGGGCACGGGGTTATCTCTCTCTCTTTTCGCTGCTCCTTAACGGGACTATCCTCATCGTTAGAACGAGATCGTTGAGACACTTGTCTTGGCACGTAGTAGTAATCTTCTTCGTCGTCGCTTTCCGAGTGGACATTGGCATAGCGTCCTAGATCTCTTTGATTCTCTCCTTCAGAAATACCTCCGTTCTTGTGGGCGGCAATCGGCTCAAAGCTAGAGTACGAAAAGTTTGCTTCATTAGGTCGAGGAGTGCTGCTATCGCTATCCTTTTTCCCGGCTCTGACATCGACCACGGAATGTCCAAGAGTCGACTCGCTATCGCTGCTTGTGGATGAACACATAATAGTGTCGCTATCGTCTGCCACATCAACAAGTACGACATCTTCCTCTGCCACAGAAGATGGCCTTCGATTTTCCGGCGGGAGAATGAAAGGCTTCACAAGCGGTTGCTGCTGGCGCGGATGATGGTCCGTCATGATGGACTCATACCCAGGGAACTCGTATACCGGTGTCTTCTTCTTATATTCAGCTAAAATTTCGAAATGATTCGGTGGTCGGCGAGATGGTATATCAGAGAATGGATCTTCGAAGAAACGTGATCTGTGTTCGGGTATAGGCCATTGCATCCTCGGCCTAGCGGGTGTGATGGGTATAGCTCGCTCCATGGCTGTGGCAGGGTTCGTAGCAGGAATAATTATATCAGCGTCATTGTTAAGGATAGGAGACAATTGTTGTCTCTCGATTGGCATCCCTATAAATGGTTGGCACGCTGCACCTGCGGTAACGCCGCCTAAACCTTGAACTAGGTCCTCCACGACAGCAGACTCTTCACCATCAGATTCCGGAAATGTGTCACCAAATGTATCGCATCTTGCGCCGCTTCGCTTGTCTTTTGTTGCAAGAGTCGGGCCAATACCAATCGCGCCTCTAACGGAAAAGTGTACGCCCGTATACTGGAAGATTCTATTGATGAATTTCAAGCATGTAGCACATGGCTGTGAATCGATCATAATCACAGCCGAACGTGCATTGCCAAGTTTCGCATGCTTCAGCATATGCAAATTGGCAAGAAGCCAATCCTTGTCTGCCTCTAGATTCCCGCTTGACTTTCGGGTCATCTCGAGCACATACCATGCCGCGAGTAGAACTTCGACATGTCCAGCGTGTGCACGGCCTCGATGTTCGTCTTCGGCGGGTTTATTCCCATTGTCACGCTGATTTCCGGGGAACTGAAACTTGAGTAGGGCAGCAATGTGATGGAGGGCGATATAATTCCACTTATTCGTGTCGAGGCATTTCTCACCACGGTCGCCTCCAGGCTTATAACCACTATGAGCAGTCATCAGTACTTCGCTGTTACCCTTAGCTGTAATAAGACCAATAGTCTTGCTTCTGTCCAGAGGGATGTCGGTTTTTACTCGATAGACCGGCGCATATACGACAATCTGGCTTCCTTGCTTTGCCAGTCTATAATCAGGGAATCCTATGTCAGCCCTTGGGCCTCTCACTATAATAATTCATCAGTTACTAGTTCCTCAAGCAAGCTATATGGCAACTTTTTAGTTTTTTTGCTTTTTTGCTCACTTGATTTAAGAACGCTTCGGCGGCCTTGAGAAGTCAGAAGATCGTAGATGGCCTTGCGTGCATTATGAGCGTCGAGATGCTCACGTCCTACTTTGGCCGTCTTAAGAAAGAATTCTCGTCTACGCATTGCGAAGCCTTCATCTTTAGTATATGACGAGGCATATAGACCATCGGACACTAAGTTTACACCTTTCTGAATGAAGAACTCGACTATGTCAAGATGTCCCATAAGGGCAGCGAGCTTGCTGTAATACGGCTAGTCAGTATTTCTCTACCCGAGAGGATATGATAGCGAAAGAAACTGGGAGTGGCGATAGGCAAGTAAACTCTAGAGATAGAGACCTACATAGGTGTTTCACGAAGTCCCCATTCCGTACCAATTTTCGGCTCGGTGATCGTTTCGAGGACATCTTCAGATTGTGAAACCAGCTTGATGACCCCTTCAAAGTCGCCTTGAAGACAAGCTAGGTGGATTGGCTTGAGACCGAGATCCGCGACCACAATGTAGTTGTTTCCCTCCATATCACCCGACTATGAAAAGAGGAGATAATCGAAGGAGGGGGTGGCGTCAGGTTGGAATAGGTATAGGAATCGGAAAGAAATGGACGTTAAACACTCAGAAGCTAACTAGGGAGTACTCAATGAAATAGGGAAAGATGGCTTTCCAAGTTTAAATTAAAAGGACTCAATAATTAACAGCTTCAAACAAGGGATTCAAGTCCGAGTTGTTGACGATGGTGTATTGGTTTCAGGATCGCAATATCTCCAGTATTAGGCAGGGAGTTATCACCACCGGGTTCACGCAATAGCCATGTAAGAGCCTCGGAAGGGTGAAAGGGGTATTGGTGATTACAAGGGTTAGATGAGATGAGATATTGGAGTGTCAGTTGATCACCAGGTTAAACTGACGGGCACGTAGAAAGGAGGAGAGGTATGAGTAGGTAGTCAGAGGTGGTGGCGGGGGGGATTTATAAGTACATGTATGCAGGAAGCAGCATAAAGCCCAATTGCTGCCGATATATAGGAAGGTGCGTTTATGTGGCCCGATATTGTATCTACTTCGGGACGGCAAGCACATATTGCGGACCTACTATAACTGCTGGAAACACGTACCTACCTGTCACTTAAGGCGCATCGTAGCTGCATGTGTAACCTAGGAGGTATAAGCAATGACGCCTCGATTATAATTAGCAAATAAATGTCAAACCGCCAACGTATGTAATCCACCATATATGATAGGTTAGCAGTTAGCGAATCCTATATGATATGACCAATATATAAGGTCCGGGTGCCGAGCTCTTTTCTTTTTCTGATAGAAGATGGTGTAGTAGATAAGAGTACGAGATGTTGATTTGACACATCTTATTGTGGCGTGCGGGGAGAATATGTTTGTGTGTGTAAGAGACGAAAATAAATGTCAGAGGTTGTAATCACTGTTTGCTGTCTTCGGAGATTTAACTTGGGGGGTTATAGGCACGGAGGAGTGCTTAATAGGGGTCATCTATTAAGGAAATAATTTACGACGAAATACATACACGGGGGCTCACGGATTAAACATGCCGTAGGAAAACTCTGCCTTTCATTAATGTTGTATTAATTTTATTGGCGATTCAGTGCCATTTTTACATTCCCTCTCAGTACAATATGTAAGTTGTACATCAGTATGAAAAGTTCCTATGTGCATTTGTACAATTGATGGCTCATTCGGGTCCGATTAACTTGGGAAAATCTAATATTCGAAGGTGTGACAAGGCACAGGCCTATAGCGTAGCGGAACTGTCGTTAATATCCTCTCTCACCCACTAACTAAAGCCTCCGGACTTCCGGGCCAATCTTAAGCCCATTCCGCAAGCACGGCCATTAGCCCGCAGCCCAGTGCAACACATCCTAACGCGTAAAGCTGAACTTTTAGTCCTGCATTGCGCATGTATGAGTTAAACATGAACTCGTGAGCGAGTAACTCGACGAGACCTGTGTAGATAAGTATACCGGCACTGATAGAGTCGAAGACACCATTGATAACCAAGCTCTTCGGGCTGCCCGGCTGAAGAGTTGATCGCACTCCTAGGCCGATGGCGATAGATATCGGGGTACTAAGGGCATAGCCAACTGCTAATGCATATGGCATCCATGCCTTAGATCTGGGCCATTGTGCCGTAGCCAATCGTGACCCGAGACCGAGACCTTCGAATGTCTGATGGAAGACGAGCACGATATATAGAACCGTGAATTCTTCGCCGGCAACCGCAAGTGTCAGGCCAATAAAGATACTATGGAATACGACACCGAACTCGAGGATGAAAAGCGCTGTCATTTGTGCGGCGAAAGCAGAATGACTATCGCTATCATGGTGTTCGCGTTGGTGACCTAGATGATCTTCGCCACCGGGAGGATAGCTAAGGTCTGTAGGTAAACTTGAGCCATTCTCGGTTGCATCCCCAGTTTTGTTCTCATTAGTTGCTGAGCCAGCTTCGAGGTCTCGGATTGGTGACGGCGAGATCTGGTTTCCCTTCCTAAGGATATCCAGGGACGGGTCGGCACCCTTCGCGTCATCATGGTCGTGGCCGAAGAAGTCAAAGCGGCTCGCAATAAGCTCGATGGTGAACATAACGAAGACCGTCATTAAACAAATTCCAGCCGCCCAGTCGTAGTCATTAATGGGGCCATCCGGAAGACACGGGGATTTTAAAGCTTCGAATGCCGGAGAGAGGAGATGCATGAATGCTGTTCCGATAATAACACCGGAGCCGAAGTATTTCGCGATGAAGAATGCCGTTCCGTTCACCTTCACTTTTGCACCGCGGGCTAAGAAGACGGGCAAGACAGCACCGAGTAGCGAACCAACCAAGATAACGAAGATAGAGGATATGCGTACTCCCATTCGGCCATCGTATTCGTTACCAGTGCTGCAGTCGACCTCGACGGTGAAGCCGGATTCGGGGGCCGCATCGGAAGAACCGTCCTCTTGTCGTATACGAAGTACAGCATCTAGAGCTGTATGTAACACCGACATCTTGAAAATTTTTCTCGTCAAGATATAGAGTATCTGTCTCTGTCTCTGTATCTTAGAAAAGGGCAAAGCCTAGTAAGGCTGACGCCAAGATATAACTCAGGGGGTAAAGATATAATAATCTTGATGACCCTTTAAGAGTGAACCTATCTCTAACTTGCTGTTAGAAAAAGACCAACGAAAGAGGGCAAGGATGGTATATATACCAGCTTGATATTCGCAAAGTTCTGAGGCTGAAGACTAAGTTAGCGGGATGATGCAGGTAATAAATTGCTTCTCTGCAGCCGCAAAGACAAGGGAGAGGGGTGAAAATATAATAAGATAAGAAGTGTCCAGCAAGGTACAACGACTCCTTTGAAGTGAATAAAGACCAAAGAACAACAATATGGTTGTATATCTAAGGTGAAGAAATTTCAAAGAATTTAGTGCCTTTTAGGGTCCAAAGTCTAGTGGAGGAGAGGACCTTGATGGCATATGCACGCCAACAAGCCTTGAAATCTTTTACGTATCTGATCCAGGGGTTTTACCAGATCGTAAAGCAACGGAAATAACTGACAGAACGGCGTCCCGAAATTGAAAAGAAGGAAATAGACCTTACCTATTGGGAAAATACTTCGTATCCTGTCGTTTCAAGCCGGAGGAACCCCAGGACTTGTCAGAATACGGCGTCAGTTCGGTGAATAGAGTCGGTCCTCTTTTTTTCTTCTCGTGCTCCAGGCGCGTATAAGTAAATACAGGCGACAGAGGAAAAAGGCAACAGCGCCGATAACAATCAATGCGCAATTTTGAGTTGACAATATGCGCGTCCTATCGGCGCAAAATCAACGTCTTCTTATTGGTAGATATTTGTGTTCCGGGATATTCTAGAAGGTCTCGACGATGCTACTCCTAGAAACTGCGCGATCTTAGAGTGACGTCCTCGCTTGATTTTCGTATATTTTCTAGGAAGCGTACTATCGCGTACTAGAAGTGAGAGGTTGTATGGAAATATCACCTAGGAGATAGCGTTATCCTCGTTCAACGAGCAGATGAGACACAAATCCGCGTGGGCAAGTGACCGTTAGCAGCGTGGGGTGATTGGAACGAAGAGTGCGACAACCTTCAGGTTTAGCTGAATAGGAATGGAGTGTGAATCATGTCCGGGTGGGTGATCACGAAAATTACGTATGGGTATAACCCTCCTTGTCTATTGATAGGTTTTGATGGGATGGGATGGAATGACATAACATGCTTCAAATTTATTATGTACAACGTTTATTACCGTTCAGCTCCTCTATTTACAAAGTACTTCTCAAGCCTATTTGGGTATATTATGTGGGCAAGCAAGGGCGGGCGACGAGGGATTTAGGAAAAGACAAACGGTGGGAAGTATCATTATCATGGAAAAACGAGAACCTTGATGGTCAACGGCCGAGTTTGGCACCGCACAAAGTTGATATAAATGTCAGCAGAACCGGCTAGGTTCCTACGTTAGACTGCCCGTTAGACTGGTTTAAACAAGTACGTATCGTCGGGCGAGTAAGCCTTTTTAGGGAAAGAAGCCTCTAGATATGGAGTGGGTCTAACGAATTAGTTCGATTCATTGGTCAGTAATGCGCGTATGTGCTCTGTATGGGCTAGCTAAATGCATACAAACATCACTTAGTGTTTTTGTAGGAAATAACATGGAAATTCCAGGTATTATACTATCATGTAGGTTTTAAGAAATAAGCTTTTTTCTATATGCACTGCACTGATGCAGATATCCTTTTTAGATTTATTACTGTACCTTCATTACCATCCGGACTAAAGAGCCCTACGGAAGTAACGTATTACCATACGTTCGGGCCTTGATAAAAGGCAAAATCAACCTTTGCCCAGAATAATATGTAGTATCTCTGTAACATACCTAACGTCATCTGACAGGGCTGATGGCCGATATATTAATTAAGCCTTGTATTTCTACCTAAAATAGTTCAAGGTTCATTCCGTACATACCAACACATAGCAGAAACCAGATGAAAAATCTGCTTTGTCCCAACCCCCAAGATCCAATGTTCTTCGGCGGTATTTCTTTCATTGAATGGGTTCCCATACTAAAGACCCTTTTATTCATTATCTGTATTGTACTAGATCGTCCAATTAGATACAAGTATACAGTCATGACTAAGCCCTTTCCAGATTCACGGTTCGTGATACGTCGGTTGGTACCGATACTAGGCATTTTTAGAGGGTCCTGTGCATTAGCCTATCCATCAGGGTTCTCATGCCGAGATCCTATGTATCTCAGCTGGCCATCAAGGTTCTCAGCCTCCAGTACGTACCCCACAGCTGAACTTCAACTTTGCACATCAATCATTTGTATCTTAAGTTGATTATCAAAACTTACAGCATATCATGAATCGACGCCTTATCATAGCTGAAGAAATAAAATGATACGATAATCTAGACTTTCATATTTCTATCTCATCTCCTCAGGTTCTATGGTGCAGAGTTTGCTATGTATATACATGACATTTTCTAGTCGATTTAAGCTAGCATCATTAAGCCAGCATCTAATCATGATCAAGAGTCATGTCTATCATACCATACACTAAGTTTGTTCTTAGCATGCAAGCAAAGCCAAGGCGCAGCAAATCCCAGGTAGCTCGTGTTGCACCACAACATGCGGATAGATTAGGTTAATATAGCTTAGACCAGTAGCCTCTCAACAAGCTTCTTCCAAGACGGCCCCTTTCTCGGCGCAGGGCGACGCTGTCAATGGTAGCAGAGGGAGCTTAAACCCATGACTACAGCAGGCAGGTAATTATCCTTGAGACAGCATAGTGGCGTGCCTAGTTGCAAGATTCTAAAGCGACGCCGTATGTGGTTCGAGTATCCGTGGAGATATTTCAATTAGACTGCCCGGTCTCCTGGGTCGCATCACTGCATGCAACAATAACAAGGGTGTTCGTTAGTTAGGAACATATTTGGAAGCCGTTAGGGACGCATAAGGGGTCTGGTCGAATCAGCCTACATACCTAGGTAGACATCAAGGTATTTTAACCCCGGAGTCACCGAGAAAGGTATTATGACCCGACAAATACCATATAATCCGCATCCCTTCTCATCGTTACAAATTTCCTTCCCACAATACAACTATAGTATAGGTCCCTCGTACAGGAAGAATGCCTCGGGGAGGATGCTACCAATAAACGTCGGCTTAGGAGATTGGTTGGGGGTACTATTAGGGGCGTAATTGCGACCGTGCCACCAATCCACCGTCAAGCAATGATATCGCACATTCAGGTTGAACGGCAGTATGGACACGCAGATTAATCGCCGCGATAGCCATGTTCGAGGGTCTAGGCTTATTTTATTGGTATCTTTATGCCGAGAATTGTACTTCGAGTCCAAGTGTGCGGAAAGGCGAGTCAAGTCGCCGTAGGTCAATACTACTGCCAAGACTAAAAAGTAAAGACTTGACTCGGCCCTCCCATAAAAGACCAACCCTGAGATGCTGGTCTAGGCGCGCCTTCAAAACGCCCGAATACTGATCATCATTTTCATCATCATTCTCATTGGTAGTTGGTACTGTCGAATCCACATCAGGATCGTCTAGCCTCCACTCCATCTTAGCTTGGAAGCTTCTCTCCTTCTTCTTTGGCTGGGCGACTGGTTCCAGTGGTGGCAGAACCTCAGCCGTGTCCAAGGGCAAGGGAGGGCTATCCAACTCCCATTCCAATTTTTCCTGGAAACTCCTCTCGGGCGTGGTGTTCACTGACGTTGGCACTTCTTCTAATTCTTGGTTGATAGACCAGGTCGTTCTCTTTCTCCAGAGCTCCATACCCACAGCCCAGTCACTTTCATAACTGTAAACATTGAAATCCATTCTCGATGCAAGCGAACAATAGCTACCAGCCATGACCGCGTAGCTCCAACTAATAGTTCCCATCAGGGGGTTAACCGTCATTGTCGCAGTGAGGGGAGTACCTTTGTGCGTAGGCAGCGTCGCAAATCGTGTTCCAACACTCATCCCTCCTGACTTGTTTAGCGTTCCGTAGTAGAACTCGGCACCAGCGCTGAACCGGCCAAAAATGCGTTCTCTCTCGCCGTTACCCGTTCCATTCCCATTAGTAGTCGTCGGTTGCGTTTGCGTATCTAGATGGGCCACATCGCCGCCGAAATTGTATAACGCGCGCGCTCCAAGCAAACCGCCGTCGGTTGATGCGAGACCCTCAACCGCATAGCGACCCTCGTCATACTGTACCATTCCCAGCATAGTACCTCCATTCCGTAGTTTTCGGTCGGACACAGCACTTAACTGGAATTGTAACGCACGCGAAATCCTCCTAACCACCAGGGCCTCTAACATAGACGCAGGGAGGTACAGTCTCCCATATGCAAGTCCGTCTTTGATCAACCCTCCCTCTAGCTGTCCTCCTTCCTCAGCTCGGCGAGGTAACTCGGCAAGCGGGCGGTAGCTTCGCAAAAGATCTGGTAAGGGTATCTTCTCACTTTCAGCGATGGCATTATTGAGAGACACAGTTGAGTATAAGTATGATACAGAGCCGTCGACAACACCCACGGTGCCAAGCTGGTACGAAGTAGCGAATTGAGATGTTGCAAGAGAGGATAGGGTTAGGCGAAGACCACGAGGAGTCGGAAAGTTTAGAAGGGCATCGGACGTCGCATTGAGCGAAGAATAGCTATTATCACGGTTCCAGCCTGTTGCAGCATAAAAGACCGACTGGATATAATCCATAAATTCCCGCATCGTCGCGGAGGCCTGCCCATCTAGCCAGTAGTAGGCAAGCTAGAGATCAGTGTCACCGTATGAGCATCGGAGAGAAGACTTGACGTAATGTTGCTAATATTGGGTATTAGGAACTCAAGAACATTTGGCGATTATCTACAAAAACTCTCCCAAGAAATTAGTTGTAAGTACAATTCGCCCTAAGATACCTAAATTTCAAGTACCAAAGTATATCACCGGGTTTCAACCGATAGGAAGTTTTAGACGTCAAACGCTCTTGGGGAGGGAAGGATTAGAGAAATTGCTAAGATAGTAACAAAAGTGGGGCTAAATTTCTCATTATATTTCATTTTCGGGATAACGAAATATCTACTCTTAGACTCTTAGAACACTAACAGTTCAACATGATCAAGTGGCTTTTCATACATCGCAATATCCTATCAACTAAGATATTCCTTGTTCAAAATCAAAGGATCAAATCTAAAACGTCAAATAATAAAAATTACTTGGTAGAATCTAATTACTAATTGATTTGAGTCTTAATAATAGGTAAAGCTGTGCCTCATACGGTGCTTCACGTCCCCGACGGACAAAACCTCTCCCCGGGTCTTTACCTATCCTAGTCACAATTAAAAAAGAGGATTATAACAACTACCAACAGACAATTACCACCAAGGCCAAATTAGGGACTCTTCTATACTTATTGTGGAAATGATACAACATTTCTGGGCTGCTCGGATAGATCAGATGCTTGACCTTGGGAATAGACGGATAAACCTTTAGCATATCCCGCTGTTATCGTATTAGTCCGGGATAAGGACACCTTGGTCAATATGAAGAAAGGTATACGAATATATGCGGTTCTAATACTAGGGTTCCCAGTATCATCAAAACACTATCGTTCGGATTATAGACTTTCCCATCGGGTTAAGTTAGACATCGCCAACCTAATGGAGAAACAACCATGCTGATTTCTGTAATTCCGACGTATATCGTAAGCGAACCCATAGGCATCTATAGTCAAGTACGTAATGGGAGTCTATAGTAGTTATAGAAGTAGATGGAGTAAATGTCTATATAAACCAATTCATGGTTTCTCAAGTTGAGCTGGATATTGACAGATCACTTCACCCTCAAATCTCAATATCATATTATTATCTACTATAACCAATACCTTTTAATCATCATGTCTGAGAAACAAGTCTGGCTCGTGACGGGGGCTTCCCGTGGCCTTGGGCTCGACATAGCCAGAACTGCCCTAAAATCCGGACACACGGTCATCGCAGGCTATCGTAACAAGGCCAAAACTCCCGCCTTCGCAGAAATCGAGGCCCTCGGCGGAACATGGCTCCAGCTCGACATGGTTGGGGATGACGTGGAATCACAGGTCCAATCTGTCATTGCGCTTCATGGGAAAATAGACGTTTTAGTTAACAACGCCGGATGGATTATGCTTGGAAGCATTGAAGACACGGAGTAAGCCAACACCTAGAAATCATTGTCTTGGAGAAAAACACAGCTAATACTACGAAACAGCTTCGAGCATATTGATAGCATATTCAAGACCAACTTCCTAGGTCCTCTACGTACGATCAAGGCTGTTCTACCTTCTATGAGGGCACGTCGTTCCGGAACCATCGTCAACGTTAGCAGCTCGGCAACTTTGGAGATGGTCCCGGGTCTAGGTATTTACGCAGCAACCAAGTTTGCTCTTGGAGGTAAAGCGTTCTCTTCCTACCCCCCTACCGAGTTCGGTGTTTGTCCTGGACTGACCACGTAAAGGTATCACCGAGACGCTCCAGGCGGAAGTCGCCGCGTTCAACATTCGCGCGTTACTCGTCATCCCCGGAAACATGGATACCGAGGCACGAGATGCCGACGCCGCAGGCGTCCACAGTACGTATCAAGTCACTCACTCAGACCTCTCCCATTTCGAGGTGGTTGCTAACTCGCTCGCCACAGTTCCCTTGAGCGAAGCTTACAAAGGCACGGTTCTCGAGCAGGTAGAGCAGTTCCTCCTTTCGCCTGCATCTCTCGCTTCGGCTTCGAAACCAGCCGCTGTCGCGCAGCGGATCGTCGAGGCGGTTGACGGCACGGGAATCTTCGTCGGGAAGAAGTTGGGCCTTGTTCTCCCCCTTGGGAAAGATACTAGCTCTAATCTGGAGAAACGGGCTGCCACGTATCAGGATCTTGTAAAGGACACGAAGGAGGTGTCTGAAAGCGTCTAAGGATATTGTGTTAGGAAAACAGCACCGAGACATTAATCCAGCTCATCAGCTTTACGAAAACATTCACTGTCAAGTATCATCACAAGAAGAGTAGTTGTTATATAGAAAATCTAGCCAATCGATGTTATTTACGTATGGCTACCTTACGTAGTTAAGGTGGCAATATACAACGTGAATAGAATGATGGATGGCCAGTATACTGACTGGGTATCTTAAAACCCGAGCACATAAATCCGTGCTTAATCCCCAACTCCAAATGTCCTAAAACGTAGTGTCTGATATCCCTCATCAGAGAAGATCCCTCCCTAGCCCCTAATGGGCAAACCGATGACCATGACCACGTGGTTTTACAACCCGTCTGCGCAAGTTCTCCTTGCCACTCTTATTCTGGATAGCAATCGGCTTGCTAAAGACCCTAGCCGCCCTCGCGACGGTCCCGACATGCTCCCAGCTATCGCTGTCCTCGCCCAGACTCCAAGCCATCACGCCACCCAGTTTCATAGGCGCGACGATCTCACGGACCTTCTGGACAATCAACACCGGCGAGTCCCAGGTCCAGAACAGCTTGCTGTCCGCGTCCCAGTACCACATGCCGCCCTCCTTATCGTCGAGCTGGCCGTTCGCAAGCGCCTTGCCGAACGAAGCGACTACGTCCGGAGCCTTGCACATGCCGTATGCGGACTGGCATCCCATGCCGCAGTACTCGGTCGTGGAGCCGCAGGATCCGTATTGAGAGCAGCAAGTTCCCTCGGGGCACTTGAAGCTCGTACCAGCGCCGCAGGTGCCGTCGTTAGACGTGGCCATGTTCGGAGGTGGTGGCGGCGGATGAACGTGCGCCTTCTCGAAAGTCATGGCTCCTGAAGTACCGGCATCAGAGCCGTCGCCGTTCTCGGCCGAGACAACAGGACAACCGATGGGCTGGGTGCAGTTCGCGTCAGGTGGCGTCATGAAGTATTTCGCGTAGTATGCGAAGCCGAGGTTGAGCTTGGAGGGCGGTAGGCCTAGGTCCAGGTACATTTTGGTGGCATTAACTGCTCCCTTGACGGATGTATGGTGTGAAGTAGTGCCATCGCGACGGTTCATCATGTCGTAAGACATAAGGTTGACCATGTCCACAGCAGCGAAAATCGACGATGCCTGGGGCCCTGAGTATGCGATTATATCGCGTTGCATGGCAGGGACGGCAATCGAGAGTTGCTTGGGGGAGATAGCGTTCTTGATCTGTTGCAAAAACAGCGGGAAGGTCGTGATCTCACTTGCTTTATCCGAATTGGGAGTCTGTTTGTAGTCGGCGCCGTTGCCGCCTGGATACTCCCAGTCGATATCTACGAAGTCGAAGCCGTGGGTCTCTATCATCGTCGCGACGTTCTTTGCGAACATGCCGCGGCTCTCTTCTGACACGGCCCCTTTCGAGAAGCCGGCCGTGTCACCCCATCCGCCGATCGCGATGCCGACCTGAGTTCCGTTGTCGAACATGGCGCGAACCTTGTCGAGAGGCATGAATGGCTCGTAAGTTCCTACCGTCTCGGAGGCGAAGAGAGATGAATTGGCGAAGGCCATGATAACGTGGGTAATACCTGCCGTTACGTCTCTGCCTGGAAGGATAGCAGTGTGATATCTTGAAATCATGTTAGTTTATCATAGCATTAAGTGTGAAAGAGAAACGTACTGGTCGAAGTATACGACATTCCGAAAAGGTACCGTGCTGTTGGTTATCGTGCCGTTGGTCAGAGTACCGTTAGCTGGAGTGCTGCTAGCTGAAGTGCTACTGGCTGGGGCGCTGGTGGTTGGAGTGCTAACAGTCGCCGTATCGCTTCCGCATGCAGTAGCGAGCCCAGCCATGGCTAGGCCGCTTAGAATGTTCTTGATCATATGCATGATGAAGGTGGTGAAGGTGGTGCAGTTTGATGAAGGTTATACGATAGATGAAAATATGGTAGTGTTGCCATAATTTGTTGTTGAAGAATGGTTATGGTCTGCAGAATTGGAAGGAGAGGTTTGGTTTATGTAGTAAGGCTGAAGCCATTTTCGTATGCTTGTGGTCCTTTTGAAGACTCACTGTCCCTCGCAAGCCCACCTGACTGTCACTCAAACCGTGATCCGCGGGGTTCAACAAAGGTACGTATTGCAATGATTCAGCCCTGAATTACTTGGCAGTTGCAGTTATGAGAATTAGTGATCGAGCAAGGACGGGGAATGACGTGGAAAGAACTCAGAAGACACGTTGCCATGATAGTGTTTGGATTGCTGACTGGCTAGTTGTTTATCGTATTCAAGTATACCCATCGCAAAATTACGACCTCTCGAGCTATCTGGGGACGATGGATCTATTCCATGAACAATTCACCTTACTAGGTACGTAACGATATGTCATCGACCCTACTAACTTCAAACCTCTTAATGTCGTCATTACCAACATAGGTTGAAGTAACATAAGGGTTGCTATTTAAATTGTGAATCTAGCAAACCAGCATATATCAGTTGTTATTACTATTTGTGAAACTCGGTAAGAACAACAAAGCTCAACGCAGTAAAGAACCTTCAATACGGATTGCTCTAATTTATCGAACAAGCAGTCACTGATAGCTCGTAGCTCGGAATATTTCAAGGTCGTATGAAAAACGCAGCCGCTCAGGTCTGTAAGCTCTAATAACCAATATTTAATAGAGTAAATTTATAAGTATTTCTTGGATTAAATTAATTATGCTAAAGTGTAAGTCTAAGCGATAGATACAACGTAACAAGGAATCTCTAACAGCGTTAACTAAGTAGTTATATAAACCGGCAGATCATGAAATAACTTGTTGATCAGCATGTAATCCTTTAATATTGGCTTTTACTCTAAACTTCTCTTACAGATGTTGCAAATACTTGTGATTTAGTTAGCATCAATAATATAAGTCAACAACTTCACCTAGAGACTACCAATGTATGGTGAATCACTCTTATATTATCCCGTAGATTACGATACCAACAACTTAACTTACCCCATCCTATTACAAATTCTGTTTTAGCTAACTCTATCCATGTCACTGGTATACTATTTACATGTAAGAAAACAGAGTGTAGTATGACGTTGGTTGTTTTCACCAAAGCTTCTATGTTACATCTACGAAAGCCTTAGCATGCCACTTGGTTCCTATGAATAAACTTGGGGAATTAAGAAAATTCGGGATACATAACTCTTGGAAGGGCCATTGCTGTATTTATTCGTAGTTTTGTGTAACATACTAATCGATATAATAACATCATAGGGGTTGCTGTTAGTTAGTACAAAGTGGAAGATTACGTAAAGACATACAGGCGGCTCTTATTAAAAATGCATATTGTGTAGCACACGTAAACAAAGAGTTGGGATACAAACAAGTAATCTTAGGCGAGGCTGCAACGGGCCGAGATATATTGGTAATAAATGTTATATTATAATTCAAACTTGGCTTGAAAAGGGAGAGTACTATGAACTGTCTCGGTAAAATAAAGGCCAGGCTAAGTTATACTTTTAATCCACCAAATATGTCTTCTTCTCTGCGCGGAGTTTGGGTATATCCATATGTAGAGATAATCGGCTAAGCGCATTCGTATATGCAGTCTAGTTTTTTTGTTTTGTTTTGTTTGAATATTAGGCCCTCGATACCTACACATACGAAAGACTTATGCGCCGCCAACCTTGTCGTGATCCACAGGAAAAAAGGAAAAAGCAGGATATGGGATTGTTTTTACTGGATGTTTGTGGCTTAATATGTTGTATACTCTGTAGGTTGCATAGGAGACGGGCTAGGTCCGAGACATGCGGGTAGAATCCTTCGCCTCGACGCGTGCATGCAGATGAGATTCCTCGCAGGACTAAAAAAGCCCTAAAAAGATGTGATGGGATCGAATTTGCCTGCATTTGGAAACCAACGTTTGTTTTGATTGGAGACAGTCGATACTTATCGATAGGGCTACACAGGGAATCTTGATTTCTAAGTGGGGCAAAACTGAAACGACAGCTGCTGCATTGGGCTAAATAGAGTAGTTGCTGTGGTGATAACCCATGTAACAATAGTGGAGATATCTAGTGGGAAACTGGCAAATAATAACTTGCGCTTGATTGTTGATCTGCCTGAATGGGTTTACCTTCATCTTCCCCTCCATATTACTTTTCTTAGACAACGTCTCGACCGGCCTCTAAAAGCAAGACACATCATCTTATCAACTATCAACACTACGAAATCACTTGCATCACTTGCATTCGCATTTGATCCTTTGCGAAAAATATTCCCCGAAGGCCACTTGTGCATGCAAAACGCACGAAATCGCTTTGGCGTAACTTGATCGCCTGGGATGCGCCGACTGACCTCATCCAGCTTCTAGGTTGCTTAACCAGAAAATACTCATTCGTTAACTTGACCAAAATTTTCTAATATCGAACCACAATCTGCAGTAAGGCCAGTGCGTCACCGCTTGCAAGCTTGAAATCTGCTTGACCTTCCTAACAAAATTTCGATACAATTCATGAATACAAACAATCAGGCATTTTGACCACCTTCTATTGGTATCGCATTCAAGATGGACGCGAGCTACCTTTCCCAGCAAGTTAATACCATAATCGGTCAGCTTCATGGCCTCTTCGACGAGATTGGCGTTGCTAGCCATGATCGCGAAACCAGAGAATCGGAGGTGAGCTACACTATATCGATTGCGTCGACGAAAAACTAATAGGAGAAACCCAAAGCTCTTCGCAGCGCTCTCTGAGACTTTGAACAATCAGGTAAAACAGGTGACAGTAGAAAAGAAGGAATTAGTCGAAGAGGCGCAAAAACTTATTACTATAATCCGCCAAATGGAAGCGTCCCTTGACGGTTCTAGGTCACAACGCAGCTACACACCCGAGAGTGACGATCTTCGGGTCACTTTTCCACTCACAAGATGCTTAACGATGCTAAAAGAGAAGCATATGCAGATAAGCAAGCTGCACCGTGAGCGATTCGAGCAAGTTAAGAGTAAGTCGGACTCAACTATCGCGGAAGATCTCGAAGAGAGCATTTCGTTCTAATCTACTTGCAGAACTCGTACAGGCATTGGAGTCTTACTCTTCCCATCTCGAGCCTACATTCATAAATATTACTTTACCACCCACGGGCCCGAACCAGTCAATTCCCCCGAATTTCGATCTTTCCCCTTCATACGTTAATAAATTAGATGACGAATTTACCCGAGTCTACGAAGAATACACCCGACGTGTAAATACAGTTAAGTCTCTATCGGAGCACATTATCCAGCTATGGGCAGAGCTTGGTACGCCTCAAGCTCAAACCGACGGCGCGATTGTAAAGTATTATCGCGATGCCCCTGAGCAGCTCGGCCTACACGAAGAAGATCTGTCTAGACTTCGTAATAAGAGAGACAAGTTGGCGGAGGAGAAGAAGAATCGCGAAAAGTGCCTCAAAGATCTCAAGGTGTCCGTTGCGGCGCTTTGGGAGAAGCTCGGTGTCGATGAAGCGGAGCGTAAGGCGTTCCTGAATGGCAACCGCGGCTGTGGAGTCCGACAAATCAATGAGTTTGAGGACGAATTAGCTAGGCTAAACGAGCTTAAGCGACAGAACTTGCACTTGTTTGTGGAAGATGCGCGGTGCAAGCTCCAGGAGCTATGGGATACGCTATACTTCTCAGAGGATGAGATGCTCGAATTTACGCCGGCTTTCTCTGACGTCTATAGTGACGCGCTACTAGAAGCTCACGAGCGCGAGATCACTCGGCTTGAGACTTTAAGGGAACAGCGAGCGCCCACCCTAGCTTTAGTTGACAAGCATCGTACTCTTGTTCACGATCGAGATGAGCTTGCAGCATCTAGTCAAGACGCATCCCGACTTATGATGCGTGGTCAAAAGGGAGAAAGACGAGACCCAGGAAAGCTATTGCGCGAGGAAAAGATGCGAAAGAGAATTGCCAAGGAGCTTCCTAAAGTCGCGGCAGAGCTTGTCAAGTTGCTAGAAGAGTGGGAGGATGAATACGGCCGCCCATTCCTTGTGTATGGGGAGAGGTACCTCGATATTCTAGAACCTGAAGCTCCCAGACAGGTTCCAGGCCCAAGATCGAAGACCCCTGCAGGCCCTCCGCCATCAGCAAACAAGGTACAGAAATCAGCGCCGCCACCTAGCCGCACCAACAGTAATGCTAGCAAAGCGGGTACTTTTCCAAGATCGAAAACGCCGATAGTGAACGGCAACGGCAATGGCACAATTAGGAGAGCGCCTCCTGGTATGCAACCACCCAAGGACCCGAAGGGTAGCCCATCCAGGATACCAGCCCGTGCTCCTTTGTCTAATCTAAAGCATGGTAACAATTCCCCCGAAAGACCTCGGCCAGAATCGCGGGCCCAAGGCGTACTACGACCTGGACACCCACTCGCGCGCGCTCCTCCGCCTAAGATGAGAGACTTAAACTCTCCTCCCGAGCTAGAGACCCCGGTAAATCCCTACCGAAATGTCGGACTTGATTCAAGCACCCATATCCGAGCTGTTGAGCCGGACGATGTGTATGATGATCGGGCATACGAGCGAGACTCGTACCAAGCTTATGCAAGATCTCACTCACATCAGGATCCGCACATGTCTATACAAAGTGAGCGACTTGCACAGTCATCCTACCCTCAAGCACCTCCTCCGAGACAGATTTCAAATACGTCTACGGTGGTAACTGGATCTGAAAACTGGGAGACGTACGACGATAATTCGGAGCCGGAGGCGGACGCGTCCGATGCATACTATGCCAAGGTACGAGCAGCAAGAGGAAAGCGGTTCACACCGGAAGACCCATACTCACGGCAGCAAGCAAATGTACCGAAGCGATATCGAGGCATTCCCCCTCAAATGCAACCCGGGCACGGTACGATAGATGCTGAAGGCAATCGTATCATTTCGGGCAGTGAGTGGACTGATGAAGATGCCTACTAAGCATTTCACATTTCACCATTCTTCCTACTGGACCATTAACGAGCGATAACGAGCAATTACGAGCTTTGAAAAGTTACGCAACTCGACGTTACGATTTATGTGACGCTTCTCACAACCTGTCAGCGATGGCGCTCTTCCGGATTCTTTCATATAATATTCTTGACCACGTTTTGGTACTGTTTCCGATTTACACACACCGGTTTTTGCTTCCTGCCTCTTATTCCGCTTCTTGTATTTGTCTTTAATTGCATTATGATGTCGTTCGCCGCGAGGCCACCTAGGTAGGGTCCTGACTTGGCGAACTTGACGTTTGTCAAAGCTGGTCGATAGCACATAGCACCCGAATCGTGGTACTTATGATAGCTGTAACTTGCCTAGAATTACATACTCTCTGTTGGAACATAATCGGAAAGGGGGCGGAAGGCGGAGGGTAAGCAAGCAGCTAAGGGGGGTGAGGAACATTGGAATCGGCGTCGGTTCATAAGGCGTTCAAGGTGGAGAGCGAATAGCTTTCGTTGTAGCTGAAATTAAAAAGCTGGCTTGAAGCCGGTATTTCCTCTTAAACATGAAATCACTGTATTCTTAGTGAATGTGAAAGTATATTTTATTTACCATTGGTAAAGTTGAGCCTGTCGACGATACACATACATGTAATATACATACATGTATGCAGTAGCACTGCAGATTAAAGCACAGCAAGGTTTATTAGGTGCATGTACATACATAGTGTACCCCTGATGCAAGTCCCCAGACATCGGGAGTCGGGGTCCTTTAGCGTATTATTTTAGAATACGAAACCTTATCAGATGGTCTTGTTTCAGCCTTCAGCCCTACTATGTATTTCCCAACCCTTTCGTAACTTTACTCCATTAGCCCCTGCTTCGAAATGGTTAACTGCCTAATCCTTCTATCCTACAACTACTATGTAGGATTTTCTCATTATTCCAATGTCATTCGTTGCGCAACAATATATTGACAATATCATTATATCCTACCTATAAACGGCTTGCCTATAAATGAAACCCCTTTCCTCTTTCCTCCAACCTAGGCGGTCTCCTCCTATCAACGGGCCTCATGAATGGATCAGGGGCCCTTAATCGGAGCCGATTGCCGCCGAACCCATCGGAAAACAATGACGATACTTCCTATAATGCCGCCTTAAAAGGTGCTTCACTCGCTTTCCAAAAGTCTACGCCGAGACAATTGCCTACGACCACTGCCCCTTCTCGAAATGTCGATAACCGAGCTCTTATCGCAGCCACCTCGGCTTCACGAGATCATTCCCGGGCAGCTAGCCGACAGAACACGGGTAGCAACAGCACCCACGGTGCAAACAGCAGTCTTGACCACGAACAACGGTTAAAAACTCAGTCTTCGGTACAACACTTACAACCACCCTTAAATCGCAATCATGGTAGCTCCTCCTCCTTGGGGTTTGCGATCAAGCAAACTACGCCAGATCCTCGTTCTCCATCATTTATAGCTGCAACATTAGCCGCTAGTAGATCTACCAGTCCTACTCATCATCAACAGGCAGCTCAATCGAATCCACACGCCCAGCAGTCAGTTAGGAGACAACCGAAATATAGTCCTGATGCCAACAGCGCTGCCAGTTCGGTGACGAGCCTCGACTTAGCAACAGATATGACCTCAATTCCTCCCACGAATGCTCTTATATCGATGTTTGAGAAGAAAAGAGATGATACAGATCCGGTTAAGAAAGATGTAGAGGTACCGGGGAGTTCGAAGCCGCTTGGAACAAAATCTGTGACTCGACCTCTGACCCCACCAAGGACCTTGAGCTCTGTTTCTAAAAGCAGCCTATCACCATCAAGACTAGCTAGCAGTATAGCGTGGCAAAGAACACCATCTCCTTCGGTTTCAGCGATGAAGCCAGCCCAGGAGGGACATCGTCCGACTCAAAATATGATTATCGAAGTCAAGGCACGCCCCCCTACTCCTCCACCAGCGAGGATGAAGAACAAACCCTACACATCTTCGCAACCTAGAGCTCTAGATTCAAGTGGTAAACCACGCGCTTCTACACCACCAAAGCCTATTGTAAAGGCGGATACCGTTATTCTATCGCCTCGACCAAAGCGGTCTACTTCCCAGAAGTTTCTATTAAACGACATACAGGCACAAGATGCGGTGCAGCCAGGCCAAACGTTCGGGCCAAGGCCGCAATATCCGACTTCTTCGAATGAAGCTACAGTACCATCCCTCCGGGAGGATGATCTTCGTCGGAGTTCGATTTCATCTAATGACACCTTTGTCTCTGCGTCATCAGTCCCAACACCCCACCCTAGCTCTCCAGATAGAAGTAGATCTCGACCATCAACCCCTGTCACGCCGCGGCAAAGGCGGCCCCCGTCAACACGGGCTATATCTACAGAGACTACCTCCGCTAGTCGTCCACCGGTTCCCCCTCGGCGACAGCCGCACATGAGCTCTCCTAACCTACCCCTTGATTCACTTACTGATGCCATCGTAGCGGGCGCTCTCGCATCGTCCCGCATAACGCCATCAAAAACCCCGCCGCCAAAGCCGCCGTCCCGCAAGCAAACACCGCATATGCGCCAGACGCTACGCCATCCGCCTAGCAAATCAGACGACGAAGAAGTGGCTCGCTCACGTCACCGCAAGCCTCTCGGGAAACTAGGTGGCAACAAGCACATTCACCACGAAGGTCAGCGTCGCCGGTGGCGCGAAGAAATCACACTGCGCGAGCGCAAGCGGTACGAGGGCGTATGGGCGAGTAATCGAGGTTTACTGCTCGTTTCGCCAGACGCAAGGGACTCCCTATCCGTTCCTACCTCTACTCCTAACGAAATAGAAAGGGAAAGGGAACTAGAGCAAGTCGTAGCCAACGTGGTGGTACGTGATATCTGGGCACGCAGCCGGCTACCGCCGGACGAGCTGGCGGAGGTGTGGGACCTAGTGGATAGACGTGGGCGTGGATACCTAGACCGCACAGAGTTTGTGGTTGGGATGTGGCTTATTGATCAGAGGCTTCGTGGGCGCAAAATCCCGCGCAAGGTCTCGGAAAGTGTTTGGGGAAGCGCTAGAGGCGTGAGGGTTGCGGTACCAAAGGGGGGGAAGTAAGCTTTTACTTATACATCTACTTGTAGTGGTGGCTAGTGGTGCTATTATTTCGAACAACCGTGCTTTTTAGCGGTGCGAGTAGACAAATAGATGGGAACATGAGAAGGCGGGCAGGTTGTGTATAGACTGGAGATTGGATAAGCGCATGGGATAAGAGGATTGATACCCCCGTATAAGTTTAGAATAGAGTTATTGGTGGCACTAGTTGCCTATAGTATTTATAATGACCTGTCTTCATTTGCTATGGTGTGTATAAGGTATTCTAATGCTATTTTCGGTGCTTTTATGAAGAATTCAAGTTATAAATACGTTTTTGCTTGATTTTTATTATTTTATATTACGAATAGCATAGTGTTTTGTTAGTTGATATCAACATATATATTAACTAGGTACTCTCTATAAAGATACAATTAAGGAACAAGTGAGAGTACAACTTTGTTAAGGGAAGTAGAATTATGAACCTAGGTAGGTAGGTATAAGCTACTTTCCCCGAATATCTTAGTAGTTTACCTCTAATGGTTTCGTTATATTAGTACTGAAGCAAGTTCCACTAGTTAACCACAATAAAGTTAAAGAGACGGAGCTTTCTACATATATAGGTCAGAAGAAGTTAGAGTGCTTGAATAAAGTCATGACGTAGGAATTACAGAATAGCCCGTTCTTCTAGGACTTCCCTAATGAGCCTCATTGACTTCATCCGAATACCTCTAAATTCTAAAGATCCCATAAATTCTAACATTTTCTCACTAATAAATACCAGATAAAAACGATGCATAAACTTTCTCAATTAAATCTATATCGAACGAGTCGGAATTTGGTTTACCTTAGGGGTGGAATCATTCCTAAACAATCCTACTACGCACCATTCACGACATGTCCAGTACGCTTTAAAGTACTGGTAGACCAAACCAAGAAATCAAATGACCCCGAAGAGGAACAGAGGGAAGAGCATCACGAACAGGCAACAAAAGCAACATCAGGAAAAGACAGAGACCACCCCGCCAAGCAGCCAGATCCGCAACCAAGCCCTAGCAAATCCACAGGTATCAGATCCGAAGGTCCCGGGTCGAAATCTGGAGAAGGACCAGAACCGGACGTACATAAAGAGAAGGGAGCTGGAGCAGGTCAGCATACGGGATGACTGAGGACCATTAGTCTTATAACTACCTAGCTTATTTACTAATAGTTATAGGCAATCATAAAAGAAGCATTTTAGGCAATCTATTCTTCAAAGTACTTTATTGGACACGTTCTAGAAATATTCGGGAGATACGGGGTGGGAGTTTGTCATCTGTAAGATCCACCTACGTAATGGCGCATTTGATAAAGTTGTAGGACTAAGAGCAATGATTGGATAATAAAGCCACAATAATAGTTACTAACCTTGTCACGAGGATCCCTTCAGTGGCTAGTTAGCTTTATTTAGGACCTTAGCGTCCGGCAGTTCCTGAAACACCTGGTTCCCGACACAGCTGGCGTTACGTTTGGAGCTTAATTTACAGGTAAGCAAGGTCAGCAAGGTAAGGGTGGTGTAGGGGTGGTAGGGGATCCAGTTTCCAGAAAGGCGGCGCTTGTGTGACAATCTGCGGTAGAAACGTAGGAGACTTTTTATTATTATTATTACACGAAAACAACTCCACGGACTTCTTTCTATTTTTACACAATCCAAAGGGTCCTTCTTACACACTTTACAACCAACTCACTTCTGACTAACTGAATTTCTTTTGTGGCAGCTCTCAATTCTTACCTTCTTTGCGACTTTACAATCTTCTAAACTTACAAAACAATTCGCACGCTGATTTGCTAATGTTTGACGATTACTGCCGCAATTCATTCCTAAGCACTTGCTTAAACGTTAATTGCATTGAGCAATAACCCTGAATCTTGTTGATCTGTTGAGGGGCATTCCGACGCCCTTTTAACCTTATTGGTTATTGACTACGGCTGCTTCTACATACATACTTCCTCTACTGACTACCTTCTCTTTCGCATATTCTCTCTAATCTTCAACTAAGAGGCTTCAATTGATACTTGTCCGGTCCCATTCTTAATTGGCTTTCCACCATTTTTTTGTCGGGTTAATATTTTGTGGTGTCCAGCTGCTCAGTAATGAATCGCGTTGACAACCTTGAGCTACTCTGACTTTAATCCACTTTACCCCTTGACATTACGATTCAGATACGATATTTTGGCGTCAACAACACGTTATTCTCATTCGTAATTATACCGAGGTCGACTCAACTAATCTAATAACTTGAAGACAACAAACCTACCTATCCGGAGTTCGGAGACCGGTCTTATTTCACGCGTTCCCAAGAGCTTACGATGGCCGAGACGGCGACCCAATCTCCTCTCGACCTACCCACGAATATATCAAACCGAGGTGCAACCATTAGCATTCCTCCCTCATCCGCGATGGCAGCGCCCGCAAATCCCTCCCAAATCAATCGTCTACGAAACCAATTCGCTGTACCCATGGCTAGCCCAGTCAATCAGAACGGAAGCTTCGAGTTCGACCGCGTGCTAAAGTCCGGCTACGTCCAGAAGCGAACCCAGAAGACCAAGGTGAGTAGCCGCGTTATACTATACTTCGACCTCGAAGATCCTAGTTGCCCGGGTACTAAACTGTGACGTTTAACAGACTTGGAAATCCGTTTATCTTGTTCTTCGACCCAGCGCTCTCTCAATATACAAAACGGACAAGGAGAGCAAGCTTCGACATAAGCTCTGGACTTCGGAGCTATCCGCCGTCACGCTCCTCAAAGACCCTAAGAACAAGCGTCATAACCTCTTCGGTCTATTCTCACCATCGAGAAACTACCACTTTGAGGCCCCGAATGCGAAGGATGCGCAGGAGTGGGTAGATCTAATTAAGATAGATGCTAAGATCGAGGAAGAGGAAGAAGAGATGTTCTTAGCAAGCCCTATTATTCGCCGACAGACATTTGCTCCCGTTGGTACGTTGCAAAATGGGTCAGGAACGACGCGGATCTTACCTCCAGATCACGAAAGGTTGATCTCCAGTTCACCCGAGCCTATCGATCCAAGATCGTCGCGATCTGCACCATCTACGAGAAGACTTTCGCACAACGATTATTCGGGGCTATCTGGAAACGAACTTGCTTCGCATTCAGATATATCCGACAATGAAGGACGAGCCCAAGGTGCATCTATCGAGAGTCTCAGTGCTCGATCGCCCGCTACATCGGGAACGCAAATAGAAACTAGCTCAAACAATCGTCCAATTTTAGGAGATAGGAATGCAAGTCAGCTTAGCGGCCTTAATCTCGAAAACGATCCGGATCGCATCGTCTGGCAAGGCTGGCTTTGGTTGCTAAACAGCAAACGCGGCGTTAAGCAGTGGAAGAATCGCTGGGCAGTTCTTCGACCTCGGAATCTCATCCTCTACAAAGATGAATCCGAGTACAAGGCTTCCTTCATACTATCCCTATCTGGAATAGTTAACGTCGTGGATATCAATCCGATCAGCAAGACGAAGTCGCACTGCTTTCAGGTCATCACGGACGAAAAGACGTACCGCTACTGCGCCCACGACGAGGAGACGCTAGTGCATTGTCTAGGCGCCTTCAAGAGCTTGCTCTCCAAGCGGAGAGAGTTGGAAGCGCGGGCAGCTGCCTCGGGGAACGTGGCACCCCCTAACCCAACAGTAGCATGATGTTATCATGCAAAGCATTGTTTTTCGTGATACCCCTAGGAGCAATATGGTGAGACTGCATTTGGAACGTGGTATGGTCAGGTACACAGACGAGGGGCGTAATACCGTCTCGGTGCTACGAGCTAAGAGTAAATCTCGCATAAGAGGGGAGGTGTTACCCTTAACGAAGTGTTACGATACAGAAGCATTCAGGCGTACGCATGCTCTGCAGCATGATAATGACAAGAGTTGTACAACTTAATACTGCTACTGCTGCCCATCAGCATTGCAATGCAATAATACCGTGTGCTACTATATTAGCTAATATAATATAGACAGTTTTATTTCCAAAGGGGGGGATTCTGCTTGTGATAAATTCCCGTGTAGCCTTTATGAAGCGATTCGAAATGTTGCGCCGCACTTGGCTCAGCTCGGCAGTTCGGCTTGTGTCCAGTTAGAATTTACGTGTTTCCCGTAGGAAGCTGGGCTATAGCAAAACCAAGCGACACATAGGACCCATTTTACGAGGACTTGATAGCAAATCCTATGCTAAACTCAACTCGTCATGTATCAGCAAACAAACTACTTGTCTAGCCAGGGAGATATAGAAGTGGACTAACAAGAATCGAAACTAAATACACCGATATAGCCGGCTCTTCCCACGTAGCTACGGACCTACCTAAAATAGCCTCGTCGATCCGAAAGGCAGACGGAGTTAGCCTGGCGGCATACATATGTAGTTCCACACCGTGGCCCTAGTCTAGACGCAGGAACGATGTGCGAAAATCGCCGCAAGCTAGGGATCGTCGAGATCTTTACTCGGGTAGGTAGTTAGTTAGCTGTCACGGGAAGATAAGGAAGGAAAAGGGAAAATGAAGATTTTGGGATGGGGTTGGTTGATGATTGTTGATTCTTACGAATATTCACTATGTACCAACGGTCCCTTTTCACGATGATAATAATAATAATAACTTAACCTAGGTAGGTAGATTATATAATTTCACATAGGGAAAACGACGAAGAGGGTTGGAATTAAGTTATCACCCGCCAAGCTCGTTCGAAGGCAGGTCACCCGGGGACGGGCGAGCAGGTGATTGCGGTAGTGGCTGGCTACGTGCCGGGTTAGGATCAGGTTCGGTGGAGGAAGATGAGGATGAGGCACGACATCAACGGCAGGTCGAATTATTAATGCTGCGATGCAACCTGCCATCGAACCAAAATTAAATCTCGGTTGGTTTTGGTTTATTTTTTATATTATGTACTTACACTCATATGAGGTTAGAGATAGGTACCTACAAAGAGGTAAGCTTTTATTAGGAGCTAGGTACCTATATTATGTGATGTATTCACCTACCTTATTTACAGTAATAGGTACCTAATATTAGCCAACTGTGGCGCTCTTCTCCCCCCCACAGCACGCCGGCGTTCCATCCCGTTCAGCTTGACCGGCGTCAAGCCACCACTCATGCGAGGCCATGCAACACAACCTACCTGCCTACTTACATACACTAACTATTACCAGAACTTCCTAGGTTAATGTTCTTGGAGACATCCATCCATCTCCAACAACTACGCAGCACATAACACATAATTCTTTTGCCCCTCCCCTCCCTGCTCTTCCCCGATTCTCCACCCCCAATCCTAGCTTCGCTATTCGACGGCCGCTCATCAGTAAACCGGCCAATCAGCCGCTGCCGTCATGCGGTCTACTATTATGATCACCCTTGTCTTGGTCGTGACGGCGTAACCTTGTCTATAGAATTGCCGTTGCCGCCATCTTGTTTTTTGGACCTTAACCCTTTTCTGATTTTTGGGGGCTCCCCCTTGCGTATCTAGCTAGTTAGCTAGCTAGGAAATTCTTGGGAATTTTATTATCCCCTGGTTCGACTTCTCGTTGGATGAGAGAGAGAGATGAGCGCGGTAATGTTATATGTCGACTAGCTAGCTGATTTCCCTAGCTCCACCGGTGCGTTGGGTATAGTATGTATGTATAGTATAGTAGACATGGTTTCTGCAGCGAATGCAGTAGGTATCGCATGTGCTTCTGTCTCTGATGAGGGGCACTTGTTCCTGATCTCCAAATAAGGTCCCCTATTGGGTCAGGGTCAGGCACGTCTTTTTTTTCTTCATCTCTTTCTCTTTCTCTTAATGTGCAACCCCTGGGTCTCGGCCTCGACCGATCTCGTGGCGAGAATATCCGTCCCTGGCTCGGGGGTGCGTTGGTCATTAATCTGTTGGATCGGGAAGGTCGGTGGGCTGCCAATGCAGGTAAGGCAGGGTAAGGGTCAGGTAGCGATGCGGAGAGCTGGCTACTCGGCTTGAGGGCGCGTCATCGTGGTTGTCGGTCTACCGTTTTTATGTGATACTGTCTTGGATCTAGGAGACCACGTTCTAGTTCACATTCTGGTTCTTGTCCTCTTTCGGCTGGACCTGCTGGTCGTTATATACAGCGGGAAATCCGCACTCCAGGTCGCTTTTTCCTCTGGTTTTTGTTGGTAGCTAGCTGTGTCGCCAGACTCGCCCACTTGAGAGACTGGTGTTGAAAACGCTTCGACGCCTAATAATATAGTAGTTAGCTGTACAGAGATAATCCCGTATCACGGCACACATACGCTCGAATCCCAGTATTTAATACCGACTGGGCAGATACTGTCAAGATGAAGCTGCTCTCGTTACTCACGGTCCTGGGGGCCACAGTGCTCCCGGCAGCCCTTACTTCCGCTCAGAAGCTACCTCTATCAACATCGTCGCGATGGATCCTGGACGCAGACGGCCAGCGCGTTAAGTTGCGCTGTGTTAACTGGGCCGGCCATCAGGAAGCCAACCTACCTGAAGGCTTGAACAAGCAATCGATCGACTACATCGCCGACTTCATCCACCAACAAGGCTTCAACTGTGTGCGCCTGACGTACTCGATCGACCACGCTCTCAACCCGGACGTCCTCGTCTCGGACTCCTTCGTCAACGCCGCTAGCGCAGCAAACGTCAGCGCCACCGATATGAACAGCATGTACTCTCAGGTCGCCGAGAAGAACCCCTTTGTGAACGGCGCTACTACACGCGCTGTCTTCGAGTCTGTCATCGCGGCGCTCTGGAAGAGGGGCGTTATGACTATTCTAGATAACCACGTCAGCAAGGCGAGTTGGTGCTGTAAGTAACCCCTTTCCTACTACATTCCTCTTACCCCCTAAAGAGATATGGAGAGGAAAAATCGAGATCTAATAAGCACCAGGCAACATCGATGATGGCAACGGCTGGTGGGACGAAGGCTTCGGATACAACGACTGGAACAGCCGCTTCTTCAAAACGCAGGACTGGCTCAACGGGCTCCAAGCCATGGCTACCTGGTCCGTCTCCCAGCCCGGCGTAATCGGCATGTCCCTCCGCAACGAGGTGCGCGAGTGGCTCCTCCAGGGCACCAACGGCCGCGCCGACTGGTACGACTACATGACGCAGGGCGCGCAGCGCGTACACGGCGCAAACCCAGACCTCCTGATCATCATCGGCGGAACGCAGAGCGCCACCGACCTAACACACCTGCGCGTCAACAAATCGCTCGACTTCAGCGGGTGGCAGGGCAAGCACGTGTGGGAATGGCACGCGTACTCGTTCACGGTGACGTTCGCGCTGGCCAAAGGGAACTGCGACCTGCTGAAGGAAACGTACGGGCTATTCGACGGGTTCGTGCTCGTGCAGGGCGAGGACTACACGGCGCCGCTCATCCTCTCCGAGTTCGGATTCGGGATGACGGGGGGTCCGAACGACGGGCTCTCGGACGAGGATAATAGCTACTTCCAGTGTCTGCGCGACTACGTCACGGGCAACGATGGCGAGTGGGCGCTGTGGGCGGTCCAGGGGTCGTATTATGTGCGGCAGGGGGCTGTGGGCGCGGAGGAGAGCTGGGGGCTGCTCGATGCCGATTGGAAGAATTTGAGGAATGCGAAATTGCCGGATTTGTTGAAGCCCATGTTCCAGGTTACTCAGGGGCCGTGAGGGGGGTCGTGAGATGTTAGAGAGATAGGGGATAGGGGTTGGGGAGGGTTCTAGGTATATATTTTTGAGTGTTATTTTTGGGTATATATAATCTGATCAGAAGTAAGGGCGAGGAGGATGATGATGACGATGATGTACTTGATAGTGGTTAGGTGGTTGCTCGGGTTGGCGTGTACTGGGCTTGGTTCTGATACCCTTTATTTCCATACTATTATAAAGCATAACTGCCTAAGTTATTGCTTACAATTTTATCTTGTCATTCGTGAGGAGAGGGATGGAAATGTTGTATTGCAGGCGTTCCGCGTATATAATGTAAATAATACGCGTATAACACCGCCCCTTTCTTATATAAGCCGTTCGTTATTCTGCTGCCTGGAGTCATATGATGCGGACTGTATGCGTGGTGATCTCGGTACGGAATTACATACATTAGGTACATATTTACAGATAAGTCGATGATGTGTATGTAGAAATACAAAGTGACTTATGGTAAAGCTTGCTAGAATGGATTGTACCTTAGGTATTTATTTATTACCTTGGTGGCGCTACTTAGGTACATACCTACGTGATACATATGTAACGAAATAGCAGCGCAGTTCAGCACTCGGAGCCGCGTAGCCGCTCTAGCTAGGTAGCTGTTCTGGTCATGCGGTTCTGACAGCAACAAACTTCCCGCAGGGTCATTGGGGTCGCTACCCAGTTTCTCCGGGAGGGTTTTTCGCGGTGCTGGGTTCGAGTCCTTTGGTTCACTCCGCCGTCTTTTTTTTTCTTCTTTTTTTTTATGTGACTCAGGATATTCTACTAATGTGCTACCTAAACTGAATGTTTTACTCTTCCATTGCAGGGACATTATGTTCTGGTAATTAATATGTAAATGAAATGATCATATTCTAGTCAAGCTAACACCATCACCGTCCATATATACCTACCTCCTCGGTAGATAGAAAAAGGGGATATCTTGAAATTATTTACGTAGGAGGAAGTGACTAAGTATCTACTTATCCAAAGCTCTTCGTTATTTTACAGCTTTAGAGTGTGGTTATGGTGTGCAAGAAATAGGGGGTAGCAAAGAATGTTTGCGATAGGTTACGTTCTCTTCAAATATCACGATTGTATAAAGCCATAGACACCACGAACTATTCTCATAAAGTTAGGTACCTAAGGTAGGTAATTTTGCTATGGCCAAGTACCAGATACCTACCAACCGTATCACAGCTCTCGTCGGCGCGCAGCAGGTGGCAAGAAATACGTACCTACCTAGATACATCCTCACCGTTGCCAGGCAGCCAGCTTCCCTGCCCCTCCGCAACATAGGTTTATAATGCGCACTAAGAGGTCCTTCCATCACCCCTGATCCGCAGCTGCGAGGTCAAAATGGCCATTGGCCGAGTTGTTGTGGAAGTAGGGATAGAAATAACTCCTCGAGGGGTTTTTCGTAGGGCTTGGGTTCGATTCCACAGCAGGGCGGCAAGAAGGTCAACTTGTTCTGGTCAAATGCCTAGGATAGGATCCCGGTTTCCGATCTTTTTTTGTTAATTATTTTTTTTTCTTATTTCTTTTTTTATCTATATAATTTTGAAATTTAGTAGGTATTGTTTATTTCCTTCTCTTTTCTTTGCTCCCACTCAAGAGACGTTCTTCAAGTAAATGCAAGCACCATATATACACACCGAGTCCCGTAGTCATATTATATATGTTGATTTTAAATAGTGATTTTTTACTAAGTTGATTTTATCTAGTATCGTCGATACGATGCTTTATTTTCTATTTATCAATCTATAAGAGGTAGATAGATATAAGGGACATAGAAACAGCTTCGTTGTTCTGTATGAAGTTCCAAACATGAGCTATAGGAAACTAGTGACTACACATACTAAGAACAAATTTTGCTCTAGACATTTTGTTTAGAGTCCTGACATTACCTCGTGATTTAGTTATGTCGATCTAAACAGAAAAGAAAAGGGGATGGCTAGTTATTGGTGGAAGTTGTTATTATATATACATAAATAAACCCCCCCCCCCTCGACCGAACGGGTGAAATTAGAACACTACTAAATATTATATCTGAGTACCAATACTTCCAGATGTTTGCACGCGAGTGAGATCCCTATAGTAGGAAAAGCATGGTGGTTCAAGGAATTATGTACATGCTTCTCAAATACTGACCATAAAATTATAATATATTGTACGCTAGTTAGGATCTTCTATCACTAATTATCCGTCGTCCAATATATTCTACTGATTATAATCCCGGCTAAGGCCATATCTAAGAAAGAGGTTGCTTGAAACGTCCCCCCTATCCTCCTGTGATGTGACGATATACCTTTTTCTAAACCTACCATCGTATGGTATTCAATCCTTTTTTCAAGAATTGTGATATAAACCATTAACCTGGCTTGTTACTGGAAGTTGAAGTATTCTTCGTCGAACTGTGCTAGATCCGCGTCGTTGTTGTTGTCAAAGTACATCATATCGTCAAAGGTACTATCATTGACACCTCCACCTCCCAAGTCAAACATGTTGTCCGTTCCGCCGTTAGTGTTGTCTAGGTTGAACAAGTCATCAAGGTTTGTATCAGTCTTGTCTTCTTCCTTTGGCTGCTGTGGGGGTACCGTGTTGTTCTGACTGGTCCCTGCAGCGGCCCCTGCAGTAGTATTACCAAGCTTAGAGGTATTTAGTGGTATGTCGTTACCCCCTTCCTGCGGAGCAAACGTCGTTAGATCAAATTCAGGCATTGGAGCCGGAGGTGCCCCCGATGCTTCGGTGTTCGATGGCGCAAGGGAGAATTGCATGTCCGTGAAACCCAGCGCATTGCTACCCCCTGCCGCATTAGTATCGCCACCTACGGCGTTAGCAGGCACCAGCGTAGCGTTCAGAGTCGCGTCCTGGGCGGCTTGTGCTGCTGGTGTAGTATGGACTTGTCTATTGGGTTGGGCACTCGGTGCTGTTGGCTGCGATTGGGTTGTAGCCGCTGGTCCCATGGCAGATGGTTGAGGAGGTTGCAGCCGGGGGATCTGCGGCGGAGGCACTGGAGTTACCTTAATAGGTTGAGCTAGCTTGGGCGAAGGCTTATGTAGCTGCTTTGGAGAGGGCTTCACTTCATTCTTTATCGGCGGAGTGGCTCTAACTGGCGGCCTAATAGCACTGGCTGAGACCCGTGGCGACGGCTTCTTGTCGCTAGACGTCAGATCAACTACGTCAGTAGACATGCTCATGCCCATACCCATGTCGGGGAATGGAGCTGTCGGTTTGTGCTGTTGCTTAGGAGCAAAGGCTGGGGCGCTTATGGTATGTGCCGCTGAGGACGGCAATTCCATCATTGGTGCCGGTGGTGCCACAGGCTGCGGAGCTGGAGCTGGAGCAGGCGCGGGAGCAGGAACAGGAGCTCGGGCTGCATGTAGCTTCTCTAGATCCCGCAGAATAACGGCCTTGGCCCTAATCTGTTGATGGAGTTAGTCCGAAGACTGGCGAGGGCTACACGACAGACAAGTACATACAATTTCGCTTTCAAGGTCGTCCAAAGCATAGTGATACGCCGTCATTGAATCTGACGTCTTTGCGCGTATCGCGTTGCTTGCACTGACGTTCCTTGGGCCATCCTTGGCATTTGCTTTGAGATGCTTTCCAGTTTGTACCAGCTGCGATGATATCGTTAATTAGGTCTCTTGGTCAGGATATATTTAGTAATGAACAACTTACAACTTCGTTGAACATCTTGTCTAAGATCTCAAGAGGATCATGCTTCGGAGCCGCCATTGTAGCCGATGTTCGTTGTGACGTATTCGTACCTCTTATAATGGATAGAGGATAAATGGTGGTGGTAAATAAGGTGGTAGGTAGTTGAGTGCTGACTAAGTATTCTGTAGAAAATATGGTGAAGCGTTACTAGGTTAATAATTTTATAGCAAGTGCTGCTATTAAGACCATAAACCCAAGTTTTAAATGAATAACTGTTACTCTTGCCCACGTACGTGTGTAGAATAAGGTTACTAATTCCGGACACTGTGCCCCACTAGTATTGGTTCATTCAACTGCGTAGGGCTGCCTTGGCCTGTGGCTGGTGGCATACTAAAGAGATACTTGAAGTACATGTATCTATCGGATCTGCTACTATTGATCTTGGGTAGTTATAATATAGGAACAAGTGGTAGGTAAGATAGGTATGTATAATTATATTTAACTAATCAGAATTATAAGTACTTGTTTGTTTAAAAGTCATGATATAAGGTACTTAGGTACATACACCAAGCTCTGATCTGTAGAAACAACCTGTCATCTCTCTCTATTATTTCAGCAAGAAAGGATGGTTACTTGGCAATGTCATTTCTGCATGCATTGATAAGGTACTGTAATTTCTATTTCTATCAAGAAGTTGAATGAGCAGTATCCTAATGAAACAAGTCATATAGTAAGATAATTAGCCCGACCATGCCCAAGTCTAATGGATACCCATCTTATCTAGGGATAATGATGAGGTGAAAAATATAAGCAATGTAAGTGATATGGACAGGTTGCATCAGGTACATGTAGATACTTACATTATGGGGCTGGGGGGGTCTATTGACATGGTGTCAGCAATCATGATAAGGGGTGGACATAATGTCGGCCATGCGCTTGTCAAATGACTGTTACTACTGTGATTGGCTAGTATATGTAACATAGTCACCCTTGGGGGTGGTCATATCTAAAATATAAGGATGACCAGGTCTGAAATACCTACCCTACGTACACGATTATACCTTCTTGTAATAGTATTGCTTTCAAAATACTGATATATTAGGAAAGAGTGGCTTTTTAGATATTGTCACCAAGGGTAGTCACGGTCACCTAATCGATATATGTCACGTACAAGACTATGTCAGGCCAAGACATAATGTCAGGCCAGGTAATATATAAAATAAAATAAAAGAATAGAAGGCCCTGTAATCTAATACAGGGCCTTCAACATATTATATATATCGCATACAGCACAGGCACATGTAAAAGTCAATTGAAAAGATTACGTTGAAATATCATCACGAGATTACGGGCTACGCGTTTTACCATTACACTACGAGGTTATCACGATTAAAGTTTATTTTATTGCAGTATATATGCATACTATGGGCCCTTATTTAACCTGTATATACCCGGGTATATACCCGGGGCTGACATTATGTTAAATACCTGATATCGTGTTGAATATTTGACATCGTGTTGAATTCCTGACATTGTTGTGGACATAATGGCTACCTGGACATCATCAACAGGCCTGGTAATTATGGCGAAATAGACAGTATCTCTGACATGATAAATACCTTGACATACTGTCGATTAATACTGACTTGTAAGTACCTGTAATAAAATCGGTACAACAAGCCTTGCAGACATCATATCGACCTGTTGACATGGTCTTGACATAATATCAGGGCCCTGTAATTATGTAACCACACCGACACCGTTGCTGACATAATGTCAGTAGACCCCCCCAGCCCCATAATGTATATATTGATGCATTTTAGTTACTTAGGTACCTAACAGTGTGGGGTACCTAAAGTAAGCGCACATGCAATTCAAAAGGTTGGCAGGTCGGATAGGTCAATCACCCCACGTTTGTGCATTATTACCTAAGCCTCTCAGATATGTAGGTACCTAAGAAACGTACATCTTTCTTAGATGCTTCATGTGGCTTAGCAACTCTACCCCACCACCTTTCAGTGTCTGGGTGAGAAGTAGCAATTAATATTTACCTAGGTATGGTACCAATCAAATACCTACCAGATTGCCCTGTAAACCTGTGTGTTCATAGGTACCTTTAGGGTAGTCATCTGGCGAACGAAACATTCTGCCATCTCCACATTTCTGAACAAGGCTTCTCCACTTATCCATCAAACTCGTCTGAAAAAAACCCAATCCAAAGACGCATCTGCTAGACCCCGTTTGCTTCCCTTTCCTTCCTCCATCTCCCGTATCGTGTGCAGAAATTCCTCACGTATCGTCGGTGCCGTGTGTTGAAAATCGGGGGACTCCTCCTTTTAAGGCAGTTTCCTTTTTCTCTTCCTTCTCATCTTTGTTCTCGTCTCGTCGCCGTCGTCGTATTTTTTCCAATCGGTAAAGGTTCACTTTTGTCATTTTCCTTACTGTCGTCGGTCGCTTGAGGCGTTGCATCTGCATACGTTCCTGCTCCGCCGCTATCACGTCCCGCCGACAGCAAAGTGAACGTCACTCTTGGTATCTCTTCAGTCTAGGCGGCCTTTCTCATCCTTGAGTTGCGAAAGACATTCTTCCTCTACACGTCTTCGTCTAGAATCGCATTGTATCGGCGTCTTTACTCTCGAACAAGTTCCTTTCGAGATTTCTCTCTTCGATAAGAAAAAGCTTGCCTTCGCCTTCTTCCGTCTCCTACTCGCCATTGCGCATTTCTGCATACTATTTGCACAATCCCGATAGATTCGCCAACCACGAGCGCGCCATTGTATTCAAGAAAAAAAATTCCTAGGACAATAAGATCGGATCTTCAATACCCCACCTTTTCCTCACCTTTTTTTGTTCACGACCTCAACTGAACGAAGCTACGACAATTTCCCAAGTTGATAAGAATTGGGAGCCTTTTTAATCCAGAAAACCACACCCCTCCTTTTTTTCGCAAATCAGCTTTTTCGCCTGCTCATTTCTGTCGCATTACAGCAACGAATTAATTTTGCACGACAATCTTACTACATCACTAAACAATATCTCAGTTAATTGTTAGTTCGCAATGGCTGATACTTCTGCCACTTTACCTCCGCCGCCGCAGCCTAATGCTGGCGCGCCTGGATTTGACAACCAGAATGGCCAGGCCAATCCTACCCACATGCCGCCGCCGCCTCTTCACATCCCGCCGAACACAAACCCTATCCCTACAGCCATCACCTCTCCTATGTCTGCTGTTGACAAGGGAGGCGTCATGTCTCCTAGTAGTGGAGGCCCATTCCCGCGACGTGCGGCACCTGAGCCTAACAAGCGCGCCTTGTATGTAGGTGGCCTTGACCCTCGCGTTACGGAAGATGTCTTGCGCCAGATTTTCGAAACCACCGGGCATGTTCAGAATGTCAAGATAATCCCAGACAAGAACGTACGTGATATTCCAGGGGCTGTATCGGTATTATAACTATAGACCCATTATGTGATAATTCACTTTCAGACATGCGCTAACTCTTTACAGCAAAAGGGATATAACTACGGTTTCGTCGAGTATGATGACCCTGGCGCGGCTGAGCGTGCTATGCAGACGTTGAATGGTCGACGTGTCCACCAAGCTGTAAGATTTCCCCTGTTCCTACTACAAAAACAAGATTAACGCGTGATTTAGGAGATTAGAGTCAATTGGGCCTATCAGTCCAATACTACCAACAAGGAGGACACATCGAGCCACTTTCACATCTTCGTCGGCGATTTATCTAACGAAGTCAACGATGAAGTCCTGCTACAAGCCTTTTCGGCTTTTGGAACCATCTCGGAAGCTCGTGTTATGTGGGACATGAAAACTGGACGTTCTCGCGGTTACGGCTTCGTTGCTTTCCGAGACCGTGCGGATGCTGAGAAAGCCTTGAGTTCGATGGATGGAGAGTGGTTGGGTTCTCGTGCAATTCGATGCAACTGGGCCAACCAGAAAGGGCAGCCTTCAATGGCTCAACAGCAGGCGATGCAAGCTATGGGCATGACTCCTACTACCCCTTATGGTCACCACCATTTCCCTACCCATGGAATTCAGAGCTACGACATGATTGTCAACCAGACGCCGGCTTGGCAGACTACCTGCTATGTCGGTAACTTGACCCCCTACACCACTCAGAATGACGTCGTCCCCCTCTTCCAAAATTTTGGCTATGTCACCGAATCCCGATTCCAAGCTGATCGAGGCTTTGCATTCATCAAGATGGACACCCACGAGAATGCTGCTATGGCTATCTGCCAATTAAACGGATACAATGTCAATGGACGACCTCTGAAGTGCAGCGTAAGTTGAATTTATCCTGTGATCCCTGGAAGATGATATTAACTATATGATAGTGGGGTAAAGACAAGACCCCTAATGCCCAGGGAAGTTTCGATCCTTCGCAACAAGCATTTAGCCCTCAAAGTGCCCAGGCGTCTGCGTACCCAGGCACCCCCTCGACCTTCTTCCCGCAATATGGAGGTATGTGATTTCTACCCCGCTTATTCTTGTCCCGACTGCCGTGCTCACATCTATATTAGCAGGTCAGTATGGTGGTCAGCAGCAACCCTACGGTGGACCGCCAGCTCAGTCGCCTGCTGGTTATGGAGCGCAGCCTATGGGCTATGGCGGTCCGCCGAGTGCTGGAGGTTACGGCCGCGGTCAGCAGCCGCCTAACCAGCCGTGGACGCAGCCGCCACCTGCTCAGAGTTTCAATAGTGGATATCCTGGATACCAGGGTTAGCGGTCCTAGGGGGGGTTGATTTCTTGGTGGAGCGTCTGGTTAACAAGTTCCCTTCGGATGTGCACGCTACTTACATTCCCCCCTATCTTAGTCTGGTTGCTCAGTAGATGGATGCGCGTTCGAGCATAGACCCTTTAGGTATTTCGATGGAACGTAAGCCACGCCAATTGGGGATTTTCTCTTTAGATGACACATTCCAGTTTTTGCTTGTTACTTTCTACTCTTAACATTTTTCTCTCTTTTGATATTTTCGTGGTTGTGATTCTGGCTCGGATTTTGAAAATCTAGGGCTTTGCTTGTTTGGTTCCGTTCTGAAAAGAAAAAAGTTTCTGGCATTTCCTTAAACGCTTTTTTGATACCTCCGAGCATTTATTGATACAGGCGCAACGATTTTCCCGCGTTGAGCCTGACGAAGTTACGGCGCTATTATTATTACTATTCATCTTCTTCTCTTAAGTCCCCCCTTGAGGCTGTTGGAGCAGGCTTCTTGATGGCCCACGAGGAACAAAATTTCTCTTTTGATTATTAGGAGGAAAAAGATAACGTAGAGGTTTGTTATTACGATACCTCTTCATAGGGGCGGATGTATGTAGTCCCAATCGAGCGGACTGGTTGGAAAAGAATAGCCACCAGTTTGTAGAGCTCATGAACAAAGATGATAAGTTAAGTTGGACTACCTAGGCTAGTGTTTTCATATATTCCTATTCTAGTGTGGTACACAAGCGCAAGCAAACCTCACTCAGATTTAGAAGAACATTTAAGACCTTGATAGACTTAGGAGCTAAGAGGTAAGTTAGATTAGGAATATAAGAATCAGAGGCGTTGCAATATTTTCTAAACCCTACGATGTACAGAGAGTCTTGATGCGACACCAGTTTAACGATCTTCGATTTAAGGGGTGAGATGTGACAATTGAATAGGTAATAAGAATCCTTGCTGGTTTGGCATCATTTAGGCTTACAGCTTTGTAATCATGCCCAACCTCAACTGTTATTGCTGTAAATAAGAAAAACTTTTCTTAATGCCCGGTTTGATATTATCTCCGGAAGATCTTCATAATATTATATGCCTAATTTCATTACAGCCAAGTTATTACAACGGCAGCTTAAGGACATGATAGTGGTTCGGTGGTTCGGTGGACGGGTTGCTCCAAAAGCTAGAACGTTTTGGAGTGCCACGACCGGCCGGACCGGCAAACATAAAAGGTAGTATCGCGGTTAGATCGACGAATTATGTACAATGCAGCACAAGGGGGAAAGCTGTCGAACGAGCTAATCTAAGAAAGCTACCTCTGGTCTGACTTTCTCACCGTATCATATCTTATAGACCGGTACTACTCATTGTTGATTATGTTGATTTAGGTACATACACCATCATAAGATCTAGGAGAAGTTCTAGATGAAACTAGGAATGGCTTGGGAGAAGCGTAAGAGAAGAAGTTCAAAGTAGAAACGTAAAAAAAGGCCGATAGTCGACTCTTGCTTTGATTATGTGCTTGGTTACCTATAGGAGATAGGTATGTATATGTATATGTAGGTTACAAGTCATGTTATTGATGTCTCCACTCCCATGTGTTTGTTTCGAACGATCTCGAGCAGTATATATGGATCTTACAGCTCTTTTTTCTTATTCTTATTCTTCGAACACATGCTCGAATATATTAGAAAAAAGCGGTATGTGCCCGACACAAAGACAAGTCTTAAAACGAGGTAGTTTCTTGTCTCTTCTTAGGTAGGTACCTAACATACGTAACTTTCGGCTTTCCAAGAAAAAAGCTTCTCGAGGACGGACCGTGCTTTGTTTGCTAGTTCCAGATGGTTTCGTTACGTCGTTTTGTCGAGGCGCGCCGGTTAATAACGCCTTTGTGGCGAGGATTCCTGGTGCTATCACACGGCCTTTTATCAAGGCTCTCTCCCCTTTTTCGTTTTCGTCGCCGTTATTTGGAGGCGTTACTCATTGATATTATTGAGTAGGTAAGTGGTTGAAAATATCGTGTAGATAGTAGATTGCCGGTTTAGATGTTGCAATCCTAATTCTAATCCTGATGCCAGTCCCGCAATCTCAATTGCACATGCATCTGATTCCGTTTGTATGTGACCCTCCCACCTGCCCACCCTTCCAGCCCTCGCACAGGGAATAGGCTACTGTAACTATACACGCAACGTGAACTACTGTTTGTTTTGAAATCGCTTAGGCGTGTTCTTAATGTATTTGGAAGATGATAGGATATAGAAAACTATGGTTCGACTAGTTGAAAAGCCATGGAAATATTGAATTATTATTAATATGTACCTAAGGTACCTTACATATGTATGTATCTTTTCGGCCATTAAGTTTGTATACGGTTGGTGGATACCTATAAACATCAATTGAAACGGACATGTATCTACCAAAGCTAATTTATTTAGTTGTACTGCTGTATGCATTATTGTACCTATTACCGTGTTAATGTAAAGAAGTAGGTACCTAACGTACCTCCTGACATTAATGTTGGTAAAGGGCAGGTAAAGAAGAAGGAACGTTCAAAGAGGCTGTTATTACCGTAATGGTAAGTCCCAAAATTCGTTGAACGTCTCAGGCGATGCCCTTTGTGCTTTTGTGCTACGTGAAGGTGGGTATATGGCAATCTAGTTCCCCCGCCGTATTGCCCTCACTTTACAGATACATACCTAAGACACCTAGACAACCCCGGTGGTTCAGTGCCTTAATTAGTACCCAATCCACCCCCATCCCCCTCCAATGACAATACTTTAGATACACAACAATATACCTAGGATATGTAAGAGATACTAGCAAAATAGCGCAAACTTACGCGTATTTGCAAGTACCTTAATTATATTTTATTTGTAGGTTCAAGGTTAGGTACACTTTAGTCCAGCTTTGCTGCAGGTCACCAACCTACCCATGGCCTTATCTTATGTTGTCCCTCCACTCTTTTCAGATTCTCACTTTCTTGTCCTGACTGACGTACCCGCCATCCAATCCCAAAACCTCACGACACAAATCTGCATCTAACGTATCCTCTTCCCTCCTCTTCTCTTTTTTTTTATTTTCTTCCCTCTGCATCCTCAATCTAAAGAAAATAAAGGCGCTGTTTAAAGTAAATAACTACTTTACTTACCTTACAGCACCGAGATACCTAATCGCCTTCTATTTAGATTTTCGCATCATGAATACCTAAATCCTACCGTTGTACCAGACTAAACCTCTCCCGTATATCGCATTTGGGTACGAACCGTAGCCCTCGCCCATTCGTCATCCTTGTTTTCCCCATTTTCGGCCAACCTTTTTTTTTGTCTCTTGGTCCAAACACCTTGAACAAGTCAGCAATATCAAGCCCGGTTAGCCAAGCCCGCATTCTAGTGAGCCCTTTGCTCACTCCCAACTTTTGCTAATGCGCGTGTTATGACTTAGGAAGACTTATCCGACGACAATAATATTTTGGCCTGAATTGGCCATATCCTTTTACCCCAATTCATATTTACTCGAGCCAACTTATTCATCGCCACAACCCCCGCTGAACCTGTCGCCTCTCTTTTCCTTGCCGCCCGGACGCCATGGATCAATGGCAGGGCTATTCCGACGCCGCTGGCGGTTCTCGAAGATATAACGGTGGTAGTCAAATGACTCCTGGTAGGGAATATGCTCAGCAACCTGCTCAAGTCCAGCCTCCCGTCGGCTTCAAGTATGATCAGTACCAAGGTGCGATAAATTCGCATGCTCCTCAGCAGAGCGCGACTTCGCCTATCAACACCCCGCAGTTACGCGATGGCAATGGTGACGTCCCTATGCAAGATGTTCACGACCCTTACGGGAGCATGAAGTATCCCATGCGCCCGCACCATCAGTCGCACCTCTCTGGTGGCCGATCCGCGACCCTCCACTCGCCCTCCGAGCCATCGGCCGCTGCTCAGCGATATTCGCCTATGGAAGTACTGTCGCCAACATCACCGTATGCATCCAAGTCGGCAGCAAATCAGGCTCAGTTCTCCGCGCCCCACACTCAGCGCCAGTCACCCACCCGAGCTGAATATCAGTCTCAGAGCGGTTACTACAACCGACAGAACTCTCAGCTTCCTTCCATTACGCCATACGCAAATACTCAGGATAACTATCCATCAGCTACTGTTTCAGCTCTTGATGGCGCCTATGCTAATGACCCAAAATCACCAAGGAGGGTGCTCCAGCCCACCGCCACCATGCCTGTCGAGAAAAAGCCCGTGCCCCAGTTTAAGAAGATCGGGGCCGTAACAGACTTGCGACCCAAGGTCAATGCTCAACCGCCGTTCCGCCGCGCAAACCCCGAGGGAGGGTTTATAAGTGTATGAAGACTTACTATCGAGTATTACTCCAGGCGTAGCAATTCTAACGATTTTTCTTTTATAGCCTCTCCAAGCCCTTACCGTTCATCTGCCCGCAACGTATCGCATATGCAACCCCAACTTCAAATACGAGTCTTCCCGCAATCCCCGTCGGGTGCTGACTAAACCAAGCAAGGGAACCAAGAACGATGGGTATGATAATGAGGACAGCGATTATATTCTTTATGTCAACGACATCCTAGGTTCGGAGGAGGCCGGTCACAAGTACGGTTTTTTCTTTTGTAATCTTCCCTTTGTAGGTGATTGGCTAATGACTCTTACAGGAACCGATATCTCATCCTAGATGTGCTTGGACAAGGAACCTTTGGGCAGGTCGTCAAGTGCCAGAACTTGAAGACCCAAGAGGTCGTTGCTGTCAAGGTCATTAAAAATAGGACGGCATACTTCAACCAAAGCATGATGGAGGTGTCTGTGTTGGACTTGGTAAGATTTAAGATTAAGCTATCTTCATTGAGCTTCACTAATGACTACCTAGTTGAACACGAAACTTGACAAGAACGATGATCACCATCTACTACGACTTAAGGACACATTTATCCATCGACAGCATCTTTGTTTAGTATTCGAACTTCTGAGCGTCAATTTGTACGAGCTCATAAAGCAGAACCAATTCCGAGGTCTCAGTACGACACTCGTCCGAGTATTTGCCCAGCAGCTCCTTAACGGTCTCGCCCTGCTCAACAAGGCGCGACTAATACATTGTGATCTAAAACCTGAGAATATCCTGCTAAAGAACCTCGAGAGCCCCATCATCAAGATTATCGATTTTGGCTCGGCCTGTGACGAGCGACAGACAGTGTATACATACATTCAGTCACGATTCTACCGGTCACCAGAAGTATTATTAGGTCTTCCCTATTCCTCGGCAATCGACATGTGGTCGCTCGGCTGTATTGTAGTCGAGCTATTTTTAGGCTTGCCGCTATTCCCGGGCTCGTCCGAGTACAACCAGGTCTCGAGAATCGTCGAGATGCTTGGAAACCCCCCGAACTGGATGATCGAGGTCGGTAAACAGGCCGGTGATTTCTTCGAGAAGAGGCAGGATGAATTCGGCCGTAAAACATACCATCTAAAGAGTATGGAACAATACTCTCGGGAACGTGGGACGAAGGAACAACCTAGCAAGAAGTACTTTCAAGCGAGCACGCTACCAGAGATTATTAAATCATACCCAATGCCGCGAAAGAACATGAAGCCGAACGAGGTTGAACGAGGTAAGAATTGTCTTCCAGCTAGACAAACTTTTGGCCTAGCTAACCTTTATATCTAGAAATGAACAACAGAATTGCTTTCATCGATTTTGTACGAGGGTTACTAACTATCAGTCCTCTGGAGAGGTGGTCGCCGCAGCAGGCAAAGCTTCACCCATTCATCACTCAGCAGAAATTCACGGGCCCCTTTGTACCACCGATGAACCTGAAGTCGAGTTCTCTGAATCGGTCTCCAGCTCCTGGAACCCAACAACAGCAGCAAGCTGCCGAACTTAGCAAGCAAAGAGCACAACAGGCGCAAGCTCAGGCTCAAGCGGCTGCTCAGGGAGCTTATATCATGCAAAACCCCCAATATCCAGCCACGCCACATGGTCAGCCTTCGATGTACCAGACTAACGGCTTGTATACCCCTAGCGGTAGCCACTCGGGTGCACCGCCGCCTTATTCCGCTCAGCAGTCTCCTTACGGTCAAATGCCCATGGGTCAAGCACCTGCACAAATGGTACCCGGGGGTTACGCTGCCGTCCCGCAACCGAACCTATACCAACAAGCTACGGTTCGAGCGGGCCGCCAACGCGCGTCAACGATGGATCAGCAGCAGAGTGGTATACCTGCAGCAATTCAAAGAGTCGCTAGCCACCTTGATCCAAGCCAACCCATCAGACTGCAACCGAGTCCTGCATACTACCCACCACCCGCTGAAGGCATTGGTCTCACAGATCCTGGAGCAGGTAGGGTAGCCGGCAGGAGAGACAGTAGATCGCAAAGAGGGGGTGCTACTAGAAGTAACCGTGACTTTATCCGTAACCTGGAAGAAAGGACACTCGAGGAGGGATTCATGGGGGGTGGAGGCCAAAATCCGTGGGCTTGAGGAATGCCCTATGCGATTTAAGTCCCACAAGAGCAGAACCGCATATGTCAATCGATGTTGAGGCTATCGCAGTCAACCCCAGCCTGTTGACGATGATCTAAGTTCCTAGGATCGGCCCTCACCCCTAGCTAGATTGATAGCAACGACATTTTCGAAAGAGCCTGTCCTTCAGGCGCTGTTATAGCTTCGCGGTGGCCTACCGGCGCGAACTTTCACAGACGTGTATGATACCCAACAGAACATAGGGTGCAACCTAGATTGCCCAAAAGTTTACTTTTCTTTCCTCTTTTCCTTCGCTGCACACTACAGTTGGAGATTGATGATATTTCGGCTGCATATAGCATTGGGAGAGGTTTCTCGACGAGTAGCTCTGCTTTGACGAGGAGTGGATTATCAATGAGAAAATCGCTACGTTACGGCTCAGAAAATCCTAAGTAGGCTGTATAGGAGGAAGAGCCGCCTTCGCTTTTACGTTGCGGTTCGGGCTCGTAGGCGAAAGCTTAGATCCAATCCTCGTTTTAGTTCTGAGTGCTTGATTTGTACTACGTGGGAGATACTAAGGCTTGCCACAGAGATTCCGTTGCTGTTGTGAAGGCCAACGGCGGTAACGTATTACGTCAAGGGTAGATGATGCCGGTTGAGCGGTAAGAAAGGGGAATACAACATGAGGAATGAGGACGGTGGGCGGGTGAATGATAGGATGGAGGGGGAGCTTACTACTAGCTGGCTTTTTTTTATTTTTTTATTAAACCTGCGGGAAGCGAAGAGGGTTATGGAGGTCAAATATGACCGTATCGCGCTAAGAAGCGCGGTTTGCTGTACGTATACGGACCTAACTTAGGCTGCGTATAATACCTATAAATGCACATGGGCTATGTACCCTACCACGACTATGGTGATGATGGTGATTGTGATGAGTGCATGTTAGATGAGTGATTAAGTGGTGGGATTGGTTGGTAGCTAACTAAAATGCATAATGTCGGTAAGAAAGTCGGGATTGTGATTTGATGATGGAATAGGGGTAGGCTAGGGGGAAAGGAATGGATGATCGAGTAAGCGAGTGAATGTCTGGGTATGGGTATAGAAGATATAGTAGAGTTCCCAAGTGAAAGATTAATAAGAACAATACGAATGTATATAAATGTATAAACAGAAACTCTATACACTTGGTGGCATTGTCTTTTATAGGATTTTTTTAATGTAGTTAGTAGTTAAGCTTTTATAGAGATATGATTCTTTAATTGTCCCATTACCTATATTTATTAGACGTTACCTAAGCCTAATATTACCTTCCCCGTATCCTTTCGATATACGTATACATAGATGTAACTAAGTAACGGAGATAGAAATAAAGCGACATGATATTGATTTATTAGTAATTAACTGTAGTTGTAGCTAGCAATTACGTAATTCCATCACCTACACGGCGAACAAAACGATAAAGCTATAGCATTAAATTGTGTCCATAAAACTGGTTTCATAATCTAACCTATAAGTGACCCTAATTGTCTATAGCCCCTAAGTGCTTGCCTATTAGGTACCCGCAAAAGGTATATTAAGGAACTATATGAATATCTCGTCTCTCCGTTGGATCCAAGGCATTAATGGTGGTGCAAAAGTGTAGACGCGTGTGTTGTATTAGTACATGCCTAAGTAGGTAAAAAAGGAATAACTCGAAGACGTCCTATGCCATATCTATGCGTCCGGTACTCCGTCTCAGGATATCTCGTCTTCCTTTCATAGTTTGCGTCGTATTCGAAGACGAGGCTCTAATGGAAACGTCCATTTATTCAATGCTCGTCTTATCAAGGGAGTCTATTTTCTTGATCGGCTGCAAAATAGCCCTACTCGCGCGTCGTAATGGAGCCACATCCCCTAGGATTCCTCGGTTCACCATCGCCGGTATTGGCGGTTAGGTGAATACTCATTATAACTATCTGGGCAATAGTCGCTTTTCGTAGCGACATCCACTTCTGATCCGTGGTCCTACCTTCCGGTCCGGAAGTTTCTGCCCCTTCGACTATTGTTGCCACTAGCACCGTTAGTTTGGCTTTTGGGGACCATGGTATCGCTGTATAGGCCACCGCCGTTGCCGTTGCCGCCGCCGTTGGAGTAACCACTACCAAGCGAGTCCGTCTCCATCCGGTCATCAAACCCCATCGATCCATCAACTATAACGTTATTGCCGGCTGATCTAGTCTCGTGGTCACGCTGAGCGCGTGGCCCGGTAGGCGGTGTGGAGCGATAAGTGCCACCGGGCTTTAGATATACGTGAAGCGTTCTGCCGTCGGCCTACCACACTCATTAGCTTCCTGAACGGAATGTAGCTTAGTTAACTTCCGGGAGACTCACCGTCTGATTGTTAAAGGTCTGGATTACTCGGTCCGCGCCCTCCTTGCTCTCGAAGACTATCTCGGCTATCACAATAGGATGTGTCTTGATTAGTCGACAGCTGCTTACAAGGCCCCCGACTGGAGTCATAGCGCTCTCTATATCCGCGGCTGTGGTCCCCGGCGCAAAGTTTTGCGCCATGACAGCAAATGGTCCTGCGAGGCCTCGAATCGTTATGCCTTGTCCCGGGGGCTGTGTAGGTGCTGAACGCACGTTCAGTTGCTGCTGCGCCGTTGCAGGCGAGGAGGTTGTACGCTCGTAAGCATTTGCAAGCCGAGATGGGCGGTTTGGCCGGGCATTTCGCGGGGCATTTCTCGGTCGAGGCGCCGAAGTACCTGGTGCATGAATTCGGGATGCTAGCGAGTTCGGGTCTTGTTGCCCTCTAGGGTTCTTGGGCACATGGTGAAGGTCGTGGGTCCATTCACCATTGATATCACCACTTGAGAGACGCGCAACCGATGATACTCGCTTTACAAGGTGGCATGTTAGCAAAGTGTTTGGATTTTTCAGAACTGAGATGGCGAGTGTAGTGTTATCCATACCTTCTTCACACCGACTCTACTTGCAAGGGAACCAGCAGTAGGTGCGCTCGCCCGTCTTTGGCCATCTTTCTTCTTGAAGATACGTGCAGCAAGAGCTTCATTCTTCTTGCGCTCTCGGCCTAAACCAATTGAACATTAGTTGATGAGCTCTCCAGTTGTATTGATATAATAAGTTGGTAATTATTGTCCTAAGCTGCTTATACCACCAAGTTCAAGTAGCTTACCAGCATTAATGATCTTTTCAAATTCGGTGGCGTGTTCTTTCGCCATTGTGACTTGGTGATGTCTGAAGCCTTGTATCGGATAACGAGTGTGCGATATTGGCAAACGGGGAAAGGCGGAGGGATCTAATTAATTCGCGAAGGGGAATGTTCGCATAGAATTTAGGTAGATATGCTTTTAAAATGGCCGTGTGGGCTATCTCAAACAAAATATCGTTAGTTGGAGATAAAGCGACAGGAGAGGCGGTAGGAGATGTGAAAGGTCAAAAAGTTGTTTAATTATGCGCGGAGTTGAATGGAAGTTTGTAAGAGCGCGAAGTTGAACTTGATATAGCAGGGGTGGGCGCGTCGATTTCTCTCTATGGACATATTGGCTTTGAATCAGGGATGGGGGGAGATTTTAATATGTGGGGCATTATAAGTACGTAGCTATGTGGCCGTGCAAAAGATGTCTGTGGCTACCTATATACCTAGGTACATGTAATCTTCCAAGTTGCTTAGGTAAGTTGTGGACCTAACGGGCTTTAGGTAACATAATCAGCTGTAAAAAGGTACGTACTCGAAGCGATTAGGGTCAAGCAGCTAGCCCGCAACCCACCTGCCCACACAATCAACTTCTGCAATCGAGGGAAAATTATCGGCTCTCTAATTTCGGGTGTCTCTTCCAAATTTCTTCAATTACCCAAACAACCCAAACATCCATTCTCTCTTCAACATCACGAATTACGCAAATTAGACCGGCACCATGGGTCGCGTGGTATGTTCGCCATTGCTTTCTAATTAATTGGTATTATCGCGACTAACGAAATTCCTTAAATAGATTCGTAACCAGAGAAAGGGTAACGGCGGTATCTTTAGTAAGTATTCGACGCCAACTTTCTCTCTCAACATCCTTTAGCGCTCGCCACGATTGCGATCGATTTAATATCTTCCGATATGCTTTAATACGAACTATTTCGGCTTACCTTTGATTTCTTCTAGCCGCCAACACCCGCCTGCGCAAGGCCCCGGCCAAGTTCCGTTCCCTCGATTTCGCTGAGCGACATGGCTACGTACGAGGTGTCATCAAGGAGATAATCCACGACCCGGGTCGTGGTGCTCCCCTCGCCCGAGTTGTCTTCCGATCCCCCTACAAGTTCAAGCAGATCACCGAGACCTTCATCGCCAACGAGGGTATGTACACCGGCCAATTCATCTACGCCGGCAAGAACGCCGCCCTTACCGTCGGAAACGTCCTCCCCCTCTCTTCTATGCCCGAAGGTACCGTCATCTCCAACGTGGAGGAGAAGGTTGGTGATCGAGGAACTCTTGGTCGCACCTCTGGCAACTATATCACCGTTGTCGGCCACAACCCCGATGAGGGCAAGACCCGAATCAAGCTCCCCTCTGGTGCCAAGAAGGTTGTCTCTAGCAGCTCTCGAGGAATGATCGGTATTGTTGCTGGTGGTGGCCGAACAGACAAGCCTCTCCTGAAGGCTTCGCGCGCCAAGCATAAGTTCGCTGTCAAGCGCAACAGCTGGCCCAAGACTCGTGGTGTTGCCATGAACCCCGTCGACCATCCTCACGGTGGTGTAAGTAGAATTGGATATATTGTAATATTTTATTTGATACTAATACGGAATCTTAGGGTAACCATCAACATATCGGTAAAGCCTCTACAATTTCCCGATACGCGGCGCAAGGTCAAAAGGCGGGTCTCATCGCAGCCAGACGGACAGGTCTGCTGCGTGGTACCCAGAAGACGAAGGAGTAAAATGGGTTCTCCAGGTCATGGTTCATCACGGCGGTTGGAGTTTTACTTGTTTGCACTTTGCATCTCTCTAGGTACTTGGCGAGCTACGATATCAGATAGGCTCAATGGAAGTACCCGGCATCAGATTCTTTCTGCACTTCTACACATATTTTTCAGTTGTCACCCGTCCGTGAAATTAGTGAAAGCTGAGATAGAGCTATTACGGAGGATTTGCTGCATGGATGGTAATCCCCAGGCCAGACCAGACATACTTCGTATAATATAGGGTTAAGTGGAGATCCTATTACAAAAAAGATAAATTCCGATCAAAGTCTCGCGTGACGAGGGTCGACAGATGGAACCATACGTAGTCGTATGTACACTACTTAGATAACCTTCGTCTATCCTCGGTAGGGCATGATATCATACGATGGAGCTAGCCTTGATAAAGAAGTTAAAATACCTTTAAAAAAGTAATGGCCTTTTATATTTATTTATAAGAGTTGCATGAATACCTACCTAACCTAACCTTGAATATGTACGCTTGATGTTTTACCATCTACCGTTTCTTTAGGTTCTTTCCAAAGGATGCCGACATTATCTTATTTATTGTCTTATTAATAGCGCGTGAGATTTTAGATGTGAGTAGTAATACAACAGGAAGTACCTAACCTTTAAGAGAATGCCGTTCCCCACCTACTTTCACTCCGGGTTGATCCCTCGGACAATCTCGAAAGCGCTACGATTCTATAATAACCCCACCAACAGCGCCCACGTCGCTTCCTACGCTTGTTCCTGTACAGCTGTCCCGCTCTCTTATAAAATCTCACCCCGCCAAAAAAAGGGTCTTTCTACTTTAACACAACCACCGAATCTTTTACCTATATCAACATTATCTACCGTTGCACAACGACGCTTCAAATCTACAATGGCAGCTAACAAGGAATACGTACTCCTCGCTTTAGAGAACCCTCTTCTAGGTGAGTTAAATCTAAATTTTATTCAAGTGCAGCACAATTAGGTGTCTAAGAGGGGTGAGGGGTGAAAGTTGAGCTTCGGTCAACAAATACACTAGAAATAGTGTATAAGCCAGAGCAACGACAGAGTTACTCTTGAAGCTTTTAATTCTATGAGAAGCTTTACTAGAATTACAACTTCAATTTACTCAAGACAAGAAAATAGAACCATATAACACATATGGAATTCTCCATAGTGTCGAATTCTTCTCATGGACATTACCCATTACCCCCACGACCGCTTCGGCCGAGTTTACGCTGACATATTTCGGGGCCGATCTCAGATATCCAGGCCCAAGGCAATGAGGAGCTCCTCAAGAAGTACAACCTTAAGGCCAATGATGCGATCCTAGCCTCTCCCGAACACATCCCCATTTACGAAGAGCTACTAAACAACTATGATGCCAAGCTGATTGCTGGTGGTGCCGCCCAAAACACTGCCCGTGGAGCTGCATACATACTCCCGCCTAACAGCGTCGTCTACCTTGGTGGTGTCGGTAACGACAAGTATGCTGACATCCTCCGCGATGCCGTCAAACAGGTCGGCCTGAGGGTCGAGTACCGCGTCGACCCCGAGACCCCCACCGGCAGGTGCGGTGCCATCATCACCGGCCACAACAGGAGCTTGGTCACCGACCTTGCCGCCGCCAACCTATACGACATTGACCATCTCAAGAGCCCTAAGATATGGGAGCTCGTTAAGAACGCCGAGTTTTACTACGTCGGTGGTTTCCACTTCACCGGTATTTCCCTTCCCCTTCCCTAACGCTCGTATAGTCAGCGAGCAGATAGGCAGATGGAATTAACTAACAACCCGCAGTCTGTCCCCCTGCTATCCAGGCCCTCGGCGAAGAGGCTGCTGCCAACAACAAGACGTTCATTGTGAACATGAGCGCGCCCTTTATCGCCGAGTTCTTCAAGGACCCTCTAGACGCATCATCCCAGTACTGGGACTACGTGATCTGCAACGAGTCCGAGGCCGCCGCTTATGCGCGCTCGCACTCCCTGTCTGTTGCCGAGACCGACGTTGCAGGTATTGCAAAGGCCCTTGCCAACCTACCCAAGGCCAACACCAAGAAGCCTCGTGTCGCCGTTGTCACCCAGGGTACCCTACCTACCATTGTTGCTATTCAGGGCCAGGATGAGGTCAAGGAGTTCCCTGTCCACGCCATTGACACTTCCAAGATCACCGACACCAACGGCGCTGGTGATGCCTTCGCTGGTGGTTTCGTCGCTGGTCTCGTCCAGGGCAAGTCCCTCGAGGAGAGCGTCGATATTGGCCAGTGGCTCGCGCGCCTAAGCATCCAGGAACTAGGTCCTTCGTAAGTAATTTATATTTCCCCACTTCTTGTCCTCGTCCTTCGTTATATCACGTTTTCCTTGGTTATAATTCATAATGTAATTCATGTCTTTTCTGCTGGAAAATTCTTAGAGAGAATAATACTAGTAACAACCTTCCGCACACGCTAGAAAATAGCAAACACTTCCTTTCCTACCGTATTAGAAACCCATAGCTAACGAATGCTACAGATACCCCTTCCCCAAGCAGGTCTACCAACCCTCGTAAATCACCTTCCTCCTGAGACGGCAGTGAAAAAAAGAGCCTGCCAATACCAATAACACCTCGGTGGCAACACCAAACAGCTTTGTCGTTACTCAACTTGGCGCAAAGGACGGCGTTCTCGGGAAGAAAATTAGGATAAGGAAAGGGTAGGTAGGAAGATATATATTGCTTTTCAACAGGCGGTGGGGAGGGTCCATTTACTGCATTTGCAAGAGCGAAGCGAACTGAAAAAGAGATGGGATGCCTCTATCTTTTTTTATCTGCTGGGTTTCAACAACTAGAGGACATCATATTTTCTTGTCTTGTCTCTTGTTGTTTCTGTGCGTCGTCGTTAAATTTACTCCTACCGTATAGCTAGAGAGCTAGCTGTATGATTGGTGGTGGCTGGCATTGTCGTGCTGGCCCCTGGCCATGGAGATGTCGATAGTGGCCTTTCGTATACATACATTAGCTACTTGATAACTAAGCCATGTTCTACGATCAGATGATATGAATGTATGAATACGTAATGGATTGGTGCGAATGAGATTTGCTAGATGTTACGACATCATGGATAGAGAAGATTTCCCGTCTCGCTCCCACAGTCATTGACATTTATGTTCCTAGTATAAGTTATAGTAATAATAATAGAATTGACAAAACCTAATGCTTAGTGAGGTTTTATAAACTAAGTTGATATTCTCTTAATAGGCTATGTAATCTACCACAATTCCCTTTGGGAGGAGAGGAAAGAGAGGGTTACATAGCAACCATCACAATAATCATTACTAGGAATTGTTTTCAACACACGGCCAAGACCATTATATTCTCTATTATGCCAGGAAGGTCCCCACCTACGGTGAAGGATATGAAGCTAATCGCGAGGCAAGACTCGCTACAGACGGTGAAGTAATCAAATATGAAATTAAGCAGCCCTAGCGGGGGGACTGTATCACATTTCCTGCTGTGTAGAAAATACGGAAGTAACCAAGAACGACGTAGCAACATGGGTGTTTAATCGGGAAGAACATGTTGTGTGTATTACAAGAGCTTAGAATCTATAATCTATCAGAATGTCTGTTTTCAACATTTGCGTATACGGAATAGCACTTACCCAGCGATCACCATAGTGAAGTCGTCAGCTTCCCAAACACTTTTTTTGTGCTCGAGGGTTTAGTACGTTCCACCCTCGAGTTCCTCGTCTTCGACTCTGGCTGATTTCCCCGTAACTGGATTCTGAATATTACAGAGAATAGTTTTAGTCGTAAGGAGGATGTGACATGCTGGGAAAGCTGTACTGGATCTCAAGCAGACGTAGAAGGGTACCGAAAAAGAAGACATGTAAGAGCGCTGAACTCATTCTTTGCTCGCTTAATCATTAATGACCATAAAAAAAAGGGTATGTCGCTGACGACATCATGTTTCTCACGTTTGTCGCCTACCATTCTTCATAGGAGATATTAGGCCTCCCGCCCTCAAGCTGGAAAACGCCTGCCGTTTCACTCTGTTCGTTAGGCCCATTGTTCGCTCCTTTGGGGTGGCATTCTTCTTAGCAATATCGTACCTGGAAGGTAAGATGTCACGGGGAAATGCCCGTCTCATTCTATACCACCTACTAGATATTTCAATGTGCTACCCGTAATAGCACAAATACTATGGTCGTTGACTCTTCCCAATTATACCAACTTATTGCCAAGGTGGTTGAAGGATGCTAGTCAACATACCCTTGCAACCATCGGCGAGGATGCATGAACAAGGTATGTCTTAGAATTGACAGAGATCCTATTACATAAACAAGACTCTTGACCTACGGTCGAGTCCGGGAACATGGAGTTTAAAGTGATAAGGCGTGGAAGAGATGATAAGATTGAGCTTATTCTTTCGTAAAGTTTCCTAGGAAATTCTCACTAATTATAGTCCGCTTTGGTTATTAAAAGTGGATATGATGATATATCACTTAGGGCGCTGTTTCTGATGTTTAAGCATTGCAGACCCCAAGGGTTGGCGGTCATAATCATAAGAATCACCTTCGGTGCCTAGAGCATTCTTAGCTTAATTTCAGTAGTGCATAGAGTCATCCCTACTGTTGGATCCAGCACCAAGACGACCGAATGGGATACCGGCATTATAGCTGCCGTTGGACAAGACCATGTTAGGGGGGCCACCCGGAGGCGCAGCAGGAGTACCACCATAAAGGCTACTCGGGTGTGAAAAGGCGAAAGTCGATCCGCTTCTTGTAGGTTCCTGGATCCAAGGAGATTTTGGTTGCTGGACTGGGGTAGGAGGGCCAGGTGCCTTACGTCTGGATACTGGGCCCTGGGCTCCTATAGCTAAAACTGCCACCGGCTCGATGTTAGCGGGGCTCGAGGCATTCGGGGGATAGCCGCGAGGATCTTGAAATCCACCATATGTTCCAATTGACTTGCCGGACCAGTTTGGTCCAGGTGAGCTTTGCAGATTAGACATAGCCGCAAGTTGACTAGCAGAACGTTCCATGGAACTTGAGCCAATGTTAAGTCCAAGATTGCTCAAATAAGGCGAGTTGGGCCCTGGGGCAAATGGCGAACCTGACGTTCCGGGTGTAGATCCCCGGGCCCCTAAATAGGGGCTAGGAGCCACGCGGCTCGTAAAATTATCCGACGGCTGCATATCATTGGGAACTAACCCGTGTTGTGCATAAAGAGTAGATGTCAAACTATCAAGAACGGCAGCTCGCGATGCTTCGAGCGAGTCGCGAGAGCCTTTTGCTTCATGACGATGGAGAGCCGGCGAAGGTGCCGTGGTTATTCCTAGCTTGCCATAAACTTGAGCTTGGTGTGTACCAGTAGCTAGACCATTGAGGTAAGAAGATGATTCGAGGCTATCCGATTGACCGTGAGCACTCCTGGGTATATAATCGCCATCAGGGGGCAACTGGTTATTAGATTGACTGCCAGAACGGTGCGGAGTCGGCTTATAAAAATAACCCCATGGAAGACTAGGGATAGTCTTAGATGCCGGAGAAGGTTGTGCAGAAGTATGTTCGGAATTAGCGCCTAATTGACCGAAGACCTCATTTGCTGTTGTAGTATTCATGCCGTAGCTTGTATCAGCCTGTGTCTGACTCGATTGAGGCCTGCTGTCTTCAGTGGGATCCAGAAGCTTATTTACCATGTTGACCATTTCACTATCTCCACTCAAATCTGTATCTAGAAGTGAAAAGGGGGCTCGTTCGTCGACCGACTTCCCTTTATCAAGTCGATGCTGTGTCTTGAGGTCTTTATCACTATCATCGCCGCAAGAGTGTTTTTCATCCGCCGCAACGATACTTGGGGCTGAAAACTCTAAGTCTTTCTTTGCTAGATCCTCAGGCTTGGCTTTCGTGTTGCCAAGCTTAAGCTTGTTCACCATACGTAACATGATCGCTTCGCTGACAGGAACTCGCTGAGAAGGTTCATCAATAAAATCCCAGCATTCAACATCTCGTCCCTCGTGCTGTTTAAGAGACATGGCGAGTGAGCAACCCGAACCCTCTGCCAACAGCACACCACAATACACGATGTCTCTAATACGCCAAACCGCTTCCGTATCAGATCGGTATTGGCAGCCAGAGGCCCTTTGACGGGGCTTACGAGACTTGGGCTTTTTTGGTGAGCTTGGGCCCAGCAAGTCTTCCAATCGTGTAAATAGTGGCAAATTCTCATTGGCAAATGGTCTAAGCCCAAGAGCCTCGACATCTTCCGGTAGTAGATATTTAGACGTGGCCGTGGCCGCAACTTGATCGATGATCGCGTTGAGTAAAGTCAGTGTATCACTGAGGAGTCCGTATACGTCACTGGCATATGGTTCTAAGAATTCTCGGTAGCTGTTAATATCGGCCTGAGAAACGTAAATCCATGAGATGTAAAGACGGATAAAAGGGAGAAGCCGCGTTAAAAGCTGACTAAAGTAAAAAGGACTCTCAGCACTGTCACGGTTCTCGCTTTGCTTCTCGGAAACCGGAGACGTTGCAGATTCATTCAGCAAACCCGCCTTTAGAACTCGAAGGAGAACCACAAATGTGCGGATATTGAATCTCAATAGAAATTGGGCAGATTGGGAGCCTTGTATGGTCCAAGCAGCTTTTAGTTGTAGTCAGCATATAAGTCAACAATAATCGAAAGATCGTCCCGGCAAACTCACCCCTTACTTTCTCTAGAGCAACATCATATGCAGCGATGTTGATGAATGTCATTCTGCGTAAGATGGTGTCGTCGGGGTTAGATTTGATTGTCATCTCTATACGATGTAGCACTTCCTCTTCTAACTCAGACTGCTGAGAAAAGGGCTCTCCTTGGAAGAAATACGCATGTAGTCGGAGGAACCAAGTAATCATAGTCTCATTTGGATCTTTTGGTCCCTTACGAGCAGTAGAAGGATTTTCCAAGCCCTTGAATTCTCGCTCAAGGTTGGTAATCCCCAGTTGGTGCGGCCTCGCAATGCAGATAGAACGGTGAAAGTGATAGACAATGTCAAGATGCCGGGCTTGAAGTTGATATAGTACGGCCAATTGGTGGTGAGCAGAGCCGTCATCAGGATCAATGGCGTTTGCTAGACCGTAATACTCCAAGGCTTTATCAAAATTCGTACTGGAATTCGAAAGCTTCTCAGTCATTTGGCATCGATACCTGACCAAGTCACCAAGGTGAACCAGAGTGATCTGACATGATTTCAGAATCATTGCGCGAAGCCGAGACGGGGGTGTTGAATCGGGAGGAGGAATCGCTTCCGGCTCGATATCCGTACCATATGCAACTTGGTGAAGTTGCGGGATATAGAATCGCCCAGATAATCTTTGAATATAGACACGGTAAAACGATTGGGATGTCCTTAGAAATCCTCGGTACTGTTTCTCTAGCTTCCGTCTCACAACAACTTGATTCTGTGCCAAGAGGCGGCTCATAACTTTTCGGTACTCTCCATTAAGAAAGGTGTGAGCATGCCATAGAAAGTGCTCAACATTCTTACCGGCAGCATACTCGAAATCATGGTTGATGACGTTCATACAAGCTAGACGGAATCTAGAGTAAGGATGGTGTTAATATCTTCCGGTAGTAGTAGTAGTAGTAACACGGAAGGGGGGTTCATACTCAGCCATAGTCAGCTCAACTTCATCGAAAGCAGATGTAGTGTTCGTAGTTCCGCGTTCTTTCTTCAGGCTTGATATTTTTGCCATTATATCAGTGCGGATCTTCTGGGCGTCCCTGCCACGGATGTTAATGCAAAAACCAAAACTGGCGCATCTGACAAACATAGACATACCCCCAGCTCGCTCTGGCTTTGTCTCGCGGGTTCTCCATTGTGAACGAAGACAGCTTACGATCGTAACGTATATGCGATGTCGAAGCGTAGTATAATAGCGCTATTAAGTCACCGTCGCTCTAGGGCGCGGGGTTTGGGTTTGACTGGGAAACTGTTGCGACAGCTCACAGCCGGGAAGCAGGATCACACGAACTCGAACCGGGCATGAGGATGCGGCGGATATCCATAATTTGAGGCGTGCGACAAGAGGCAACTGAGGCGCGCCGTACAAGATTGGGTAAAGGTAGCTTTCTCGGAGTATGATATCGGGTACATTTGCGGTTAGTTGTTAAGAGAAGGGAAACCTCGTAGAAGAGATGTCCAACACTAAGAATTAGACGATCAAATAGTAGAATTAAAGTTAGGAAATCGTAGGCGCAGACAGAAGCACGGGTAAATACTATTGTCTGCGACTAGGGACAAAAGCGTCTTATAGACTAGGGCGTCTATTTGGTACAGGAACCTATAGTAAGGTTAAGGGGAAAGGCGTGAAGGTGAGGAATGAATGAATGGAGGGTGAGGCGACTGAATGGGCTCATAAAGTTGTAGTGTAGATGGTAAAAAAACGCTGGGAGGGTCGGCGCTCGCCAATGATGTGCTAAAATCTGCGAGCCTGCCCAAGGACCGATGTAGTACAGACAGGCAGGGCTACATAATTCCAGACGTACATATACCTATGTAGGTACCTAAGTAAGGTATGTATATGTACCCAGTAAATATTAGTAAATATTGAAACCTTAAAAATGTTAGGTATAATAGCGTACAAATAGCACCTACATGTAGGCAGACCCCTCGTTGCTAACCCCGGATTAGTTTAGGGGTCCTTTTGGCACATTTACATTTGAAGGTACCTACCTTGTACGCTTGCAGCCACTGAGCTTGGATTCACACGCCGTAAACCCTGTCCTTGAGTCCATGCGGTAGATCAATCAGATCAATCGTCTCCAACTTGCTGCATTCAGTCGCTAGTAAACCTTTTTTAAGTTTTGAATTTCCCACTTGGCATTTTATGGAATCAACGAGTTACAGTTCAAACTCACTGACCGCCTCCGTCGAGGTGGACTGGTGGCCCAAGTCTCTTTCCATTGTTCACATTCGTCACCAAACTTTGTAACTTAGACTTTAATATATTGTGTGCTAATAACTTTATTATGCCTTTGATTATGTCTCTTTGGCTTTGAGTAACCATTGTTGCTATTTTAATATCATTCATTATCTATCTACAAGGACCCACGAGTGATAAAGAATTATCTATTCAAACCGTCAAGTCTCTTTCATGTATAGTACATCGCTTTTGAAACCCCACCAAGTGACTTTAATACTTACACAGACTTGACCTCATCTTCAAGACCGTCGACGACCAACCAAACGAAATTTCGCACTTAACTGCTACCAAATTTCTTGGGTCACTAGCAACAGTCTCTGTTAATGTAAATTTACCCCAAATTTCTATATTAAGTCCACAACACAGATATGAAGCGCTCACGCGAGCCTGAAGAAGACGAATTATCGTCACCGGAACCTGAAGCTAGCTCGGAGAAGATCTCGAATAGCGCAAGTCCACGAGAAGTAGAAAAGCTTCCGCCGACGAAAATCACAGAGCTTGACGAATCCGCCGTTGACGACGACGATAACAAAACCTTCATAATGAAGTGCTCCCTACCCCCGCACCGAGATGTGCTGTCGTTCAGGACGTATACGGAATATGAAGCACACCACAACAGGACGCATATGAACCGATGCGTAGAATGCGGAAAGAACTTTCCGTCCGAGCACTTATTAAATGTTCATATCGAAGAGTGGCATGACGTCTTCGCCGCTGTGAAGAGAGAGAAAGGCGAGCACACGGTAAGGATGCTCCCGGAATCAACCCGGTTTATACTTATGAAACTAACTGTACTTTGGGTAGTATTCGTGTTTTGTCGAGGGTTGTGATCGGAAGTGTAGAACTCCTCAAAAAAGACGGAGCCACCTCATTGATAAGCACATGTACCCGAAGAATTACTTCTTTGGGATTACTAGGGACGGTGTCGACGGAAGGCAGTCGTTACTGATCGAATACGGGCATCATCGACGAAGGTCCTCTACGGCAACCAACGGTAGTGGACCAAAAACAACAGGACGAAGACAAAGTCTTCGACAAACGGACTCGGCGAAGCCGGAGGCGCAAGAGCCGAAAACAGAATCATCGAAAGTGACCCCTCCTCAGGCTGAAGTCCCAGATATGGAGATGGAAGATCTGGCCGGCGCTATGTCCGCACTCCAGTTTGTCCCCACAAGCATACGCTTTGGCCACAGGAAAGGAATAGCGGGATTCGCAAGACGATGATGTGACAAAAACACCTATGAATGAGGACACGAGAGCACGAAATTATGAGCATGAGCATGAACCCAACAACACCAACAGTAGCATGACATACGAATGATATTCTAGCCCATGATAAATGATGCTTTCTGAATTGAGCCTTTAGTCTACTCCATTATCTTCCCTAGAAGCTCGTGATATCATGCAGTGAAACGGATCGCCCGCAACTCCAATAGGTATAGCAATGCCGGAAACCAGTATGTAGAATGAACCCTAACGCCGTTATGCCACGAAGCCTGACCAGTGCATGAACTCAAAGACAATAATTTAATCGCTCGAGGCGCAACCTCGGCAGCCGCAGCTGACACATTGGACGTCCTGCTCATCCTTCAACTGGGCTTTGGGTACTCGGCAGACGCACGTCGACTGGAAGTTCGTCTCCTTGGTCTGGACGCAACGGAGACAGCATAGCTGCCAAAATTAGCAAGATATTCCAGTTTAAAACTTTGCAACGTCGTGCTATACATACCTTCTCGTAACCCTGCTTCTTCCATTTAGCAATCAGCATAGCGTCCGCGTACCCGTTCTTGAGCAGCCAGTCGTACAGCTGCTTGCTGATAGCCTCCTTCTCGTAGTAGAGCTCGTAGACATATCGGCTTCGCTGATGGGAGATCTGGAAAATGGGCCATTGCGCCTGGTGCTTGGGGATGTTGTTTGTAGGCAAGTTCTGCGCGTCCTTCATCTTGATGTTGAAGATCTCGAGGTCGTCGCGGATGTCGTCGAATCCGGCTGGCGGCTTCTTGGATCGTGACGAACCGAGGGATCTAACCGGTGGCATATTGTAATAATTGTATCGGATTCGGCGTCGGCGTCGGAAGGAAACTTGAGAGTCGTGTTCGTAAACTAGGTAGGTAGCTGTTCAATTGCCCGATTTCTAACTCCTGGGAGAAGTAAACAGTTCAATAGGGTAGTGGGGCAAGGCTGAGAATTACAAGAACGAAGCCTTCTTAAAAGTGATGTTGACCACCTCGAAATGGTACATGTACCTGACGCCACGGGATTATGCAAGATGACTAACAGAAGAAAAAAAACCACCACAGGATACTTAGGTACTTCTAATATAAGTGTGGCTAATGTGGCTAATGCAGCCCAACTTCCAAGGCTCAGTTCCCACCTCCAATGTTCGCTTGAGAGACAATTGGAAGCTAAGAAGTCCGAATGAACTTCAACGCTAAGTCAAGGAGCATATCTCACCTATCATGCCGATAGCACCTACACAATTCGCGCGAACGACGCGGACGTGTTAGTATATACCTTCCGTTTCCATTTTCCCCAACTAATATAGTCCATAGCGGCCAATTGGAACGACGCAAGACGACGAGTCCTGGCGGCTTATCGAGAATGGATACGAGCGGTACGGATCTCCCCGGAGGGAATGCTTCATACCTATCCACTGCTAGAACGAAACGCAGGATGGTTTCTTTATAGGAGGAAGGCTTATACGAGTTATTTTCTAGGCACCTGAAATACAGACGATGTACTCGGTCCCCTTCCCAGTCTCCGTCATCCGCACACGAATGCGACAGGAGTTCGAGCGCCATAGATTCGTCGACAAGCTACCGGTAGTCGATGTGCTCCTTGTGCAGAACAACGCAGAATATCAGGTTAGTCGATATATGGCTTGATACATAGCTACGGGAGCCGAGCGGGCTGGATATAAAATGAGGGGCGCAATAAGTTTATATTACGAGCATTACTGATGCGTTTATACATTAGGAAACCATGAACTTCTGGAAGCAGACTACACATGTCATGTCCTATTTCAACTCTGAACACTTCCGGGGAGCCAACAGACTGCCGAACAGCTTCATGCAAGGTTTCTTAGAGGCAAGTCTCTGTTACGATATCCCTGATAGGGGAGCCTTCCCGCTAACAATGCCTTAGGGTCGCAACTAGATATGGGTATCGTCCCGCTGTATTGTACATAGCAAGACCCGAAATCAAATCCTAGACCTGAGAAAGTTGTTTTTCTATCATACTCCGAACGCCGCAAATGCCATATCCTCTATGTTGTGCCAAGATACTCTTAACTAGTCTGTGCTGCCTGTCTTCTCCTCTCTGCTTCTTCTTGCCTCTTGCGAGCCTGCTCCGGGGTTGCTTCGAACTTTTCTCGCTCGGTCCAGAATTCGTCGGCAACGACATCACAGAGGTCCTCTATGTCCTGGAGGCCCTTTGCCAACGCAGCAGCGGCAGTTGTCGTATCTACAAGCAGTTAATACTGAATGAACGGGAATTAGTTTATGGGATATCTCCTACCATATGTTTGGATTCTCAGGTTCATCTTGTCTTCGGAAGGATGGGGAATGGCGTACGCGCAGAATTCGACGTCGGGGCTATGATCATATTTAGTTAGTCGCTTTACTCCCGACAGGACAGAATATTAACATACTTCTTCATGATTATATATCGCAGAGCATTGCCAAGTGTGTGACCCTCCTTCAGGAATTCAAAAGAAGCTGCCGTTTCAGATGATCCAGGTAGCTATGTGCAACATTTCGTTAGTGACTTATTCCCTTCAAACCAGTATATAGGCATTCGAACGCACGATTCTAACTCGCTGAGGTTCCTCCTCCTCTTCTTCTTCTTCCTCGGCAGGTTCCTCATCGCCTCCCGATCCGTCCTCCTGCATGGCATCTCCGTTTTCCTCTTCTACAGGCTGTTGCGCCGAGGTAGGAGCATCGTCCATGGAGGTATCTACCTCCTCGGGCGCATCGTCGCGAGTCTTCGTTCTTCCAGGCATGGCGTACGATATTGTATCGGGGGCAATTGATATTTACGGGAGTGGTAAAAATGGTCGACGACTTATACCGACTAGACGCAATTTGACTGGTGAAAGTGTAGCGCTCAAGAATTTTGGTGGGGTCCGTTATTGGTCGAGCTCGGACGATAAAATTTAAGGTTAGCTATCACAAGGAAGACTTTGATTGGCTGACTAATAGAATTGGGTCCGATGATTATCCGGCCGTCTAGTTTATAAGAGGTATAGATCTAGCCTATGGAACCCAAGAGAGGTAGCTTCAATCTTTTCCTCAGCCTCTATAACAAAATAGATAAATGTGCTTAATTCTACTAGTTCTACCGTTCAAGGGAATATTCTACCGAGTTGTATGCACGTATACATTATTTTCACGTTCATTCTCAAGATCCCGTTGAAATGAGGTCAATTTTATCTCAATTAATATTCAAGGAAAAGAAATTGACACTTAATTAATACTCTTTCTAGCTATCAGAATGGATAGTCCAATTTGCATACAACTTCAATTCATTATCAATATAATGGATTTAAATAATGATGCTCATGTATCAACATATTCTAAGTTATTAGATATTAGTTATGTTCATCACAAACACTCGTACAAGCAAAAACATCTTCATATGTTTGATCAGATATCACCTTTTCAATAGTCGGTGGGAGACAACTATCCGGAGGGGTATCCAGGGGCAATTCCGCTTTTACGACCACTTTGATATGGATAGATCCGAAAAGACGACATCCGGCATATGTGTGGTCATAGTGAATGCCGTGGCAGACGAAGGTGAGTTGTTCAAGGTTCATCAAGTGATGCTGGATAATAAATAATAGCTCCTGAAGCGCCAATCGGAATGTCAGCCCATGATACGAAAAGTGCCACGTGAGCACCGAATTGCTAACAGCGATATGGCGAATGGAGACCATATCTTCCGGACGAAACTGAGTCATGAAAGTACTGAACCAGTCTTTCGGGCATCCAAATGCCAGATTTGGTCCAAAATAGAGCACATCTCTTATGGGATCAACAAGGCCTCCAATACCTAAACGTAGGCTGTATCGTTTCAGTGCTTCCTGTCGCGATTCTCTACATACGTGCAGATTGGCAGGGGTTTTGCACGTGTACGTATAGTGATTTTCTTGTCTACGTAGTTTCAGCTCGGGTTTAACAATCTGTGTAGCGTGAATTTCTATACAACGAGATAATAAGTTATATTCCCATATCATCAGCCGGAGTTCGGTGGGAAGTTGAGGGAAGAAATGCTTGAACGTATTAGCGTTTATTTATATTTGAGTTTCTTTAAGACTTACGAAGATTTTGGATCTGTTTCTCGGTGTTGACTTCACGTTACGGGCCCTCGTGAACCGGGGTTTAATGGAAGATAATATTTCTTGCATTGCTGATGAATATGAGATTCTCAAGTAGCGAGAGACGTCGAAACTGAGCCGAGTAAAAGATAGAAATGTATAAGCTAAAAAGGACGACCGACACAAGAGGCTATTATAGGTACTAATAAGTGCCAAATTTATAAAACCTAACTCTTAACGTTTAATTATACAGTCAGCTCATAAAAGAGATAGAAGGTATTAACAAAGCGAATACAATAGACACTAAGTTGGAAGAATAAGATCCTATGTCCTTTCAACATGTAACAATTCCTAATAATATGAGTTTAATTAAGGGGAATGTTCAAAGTTTAGTGGGACTAGTGTAGAAGGTAGAAGGATCCACCAAACCCGACAATTCGGATACGGCAGTTTGAAGATTATCAGACAGGCTGCAAACCCCTCCTTTTTGTGATATCATAAGCTTACAGGCTCAGGATACAAGCAGTCTTGACTATAAAGAATGATTGAAATATAACGCATCATAGAACCACAGGGCTTAAATACTACGTTACCTAATTAAAACTGTACTAAGAGACAAGTATACGAGACTATAAAGCTGGAAATATAACCATTTCTCTCGTCAACTACAGCTATTACTTATTCGAAGAACCAATGGAGACGAATAATTTGCAAATGTAAAACTTACATGCATTTATACAAACAAGGCGGTAGAAAAAAACCTTCAACACATTTAAATCTAGCATTCCTACAATTTCAATAGAGGTATTGTGAATGGCATTCCTAACAACTCAATTCCTAGGAATCTCACATATCAAACCTAATATGATAAATAGATCGCGGCGTAATCTACGGGTTTACATATTAGGGCTTATGTCTCACGCAACCATTCAAGTTAATACTTCGCCTGTAATGTCGCAGAATGTGGTTGGTCTACGCCGCGTCGCGCTGAGGTAGAACGTGATACTAATCCACCCTTAAAAATAATATTGGTAAGACGGGGGGGAATAAGAGGCCAACAATATCTCTAAATCGCTACAAAAACCCCTAAGGGAAGCGGGACGGCGCAGAACTCTATAGATCCTTCCGAATACCCATACCCCTTACCCCCGCAGAATTCCCTCCGAATGTTCTGCATTGGCCCCATCCAGACGGCCGGCCGGTCCAGGACTTTTACCACAGCAAATAATTATCTTAAGCGCAGCACTTGAAGAGAATTGATGTCCTCCAGCCAATTCCGTTCTCGACCCAAAGAACACTCCGCAGGGGTAGATTCCCGTGGTAGTAGCGAACGGTGACATACATTGGCGCCAGCCCTTATGATTGGCTATACTGATGCCGGACCTCCACTTCCCCGAGCTTGTAAGCGCCCGCGAAGGTCTAAATTTGGGTGTCTCTGGTCCAATCTACGATGGCCCGAACCCAAGTATGCCTCTTAGGCCCCGGCCTCAGGTCAATCACACGCGTCTAGCGTGTGCGTGGGCGCATCGCCTTCCACGATTAATCTCCCGGGAAGAGCTAGATATGTATGAAGGTATCACCCGAAGTACTATCCTTAGCATTGCGCATGGCTACAAGCGCTCAGAGGGTCCACGAGACTAGGTCTAGATGGGATGGCTTCATCGACTATAGTCGAATAGCTGAAGGTGTATATTCATTCATATTCGTCGCATTTCGCCTTCTCATCAGGTTTGTTAAGTTGTCTCTTTTCGACATCTCATTGAAGTTGCTCGTCTTTGGATCTCCCATTTCCTTTTTTGGTCACTTATTTCCCTTTCTCTATCTTGTTTCGCTTCGTTTGATCATATTTACATTCATATTTCTCCTTATTCCATAGTCAACATTCTGTGAAGGTTGAAAACGGATAATCGTCTATACTTTCCTCGCTCTCTCTCCATCTCTATATATCGTCACCATGTCTTCCGATAACAAGGGCCGTATCCCCACGCCTTACTCGGACGTGGATCCTCAAGATCATCAGTACCAGAGTCATGTGAAGAAACTTCGCCTTGTTGATAGTGCTCGTATCGGTCTCACTGGACTGGCCCTCCTCTGCGGCCTGACTATCCTCGGAACTGCCGCCGATACCCTGGCTGTATATAATGCAACACACCTCTCGAGCGATTACCACTTACCGCTATGGCCTGACCAATTCGATCTCCGGCCTACGGTGGCTCTTGTCGTTGGCAGCACTATCGTGGCCATTTCCAATATCATATCTTTATTATGTAGCAAAGTCAGGGTGGTAAGTACAGCTTCATTGGTAGATCCTTTTCATCGTAAAATTGGGGTCGTGCTAAGAATCTTCAAGCTTCGCAACCAGACCACGGTTCACACGTCTCTTACTTTTGCTGCGCCCTTTGTTGGTTTTACGGCTGTTATGATCAGCATGATTTTCTTCTACGCTGTCAATACATCAGCCACAAATGATACGCTACAGAGCTGGAGCTGTCAGTGGGGATTTGCGAGCATGGGCGCGAAGCCGCACTTTGGCACTCTATGCAACGAAAGCCGGGTAGCCCTGTACCTGTCCGTTATATTAATTCCTGTCGAGTTGATCGTCTTTACCGTTGCTGGCTATCAGTCGATCTTGGAGAGGAAGGCAATCGGTTTCATCCCGTCTCACAAGACTGGCAGTCCTGTACCATCAGCGTGAGACTCAGTGTGAGACACTACCAGGCAAGGAATGGATATAACTGGTTCTCGACCTGCACGGAACCGCGGGCTAATGTCCTGCAATATGGAGATAACCCATGCATAGTTATCGGAGACCGAGCTTGATAATAGATAAGGTGTGCAAGGAAGATGACTTACGAACGACCAGTGCAGAAGAGCTATGGTGGTAATCTGTATAACAGTTGTAATGGGCCGTCACCGAGAAGTGGCGATACAATAAACATTGTCTGAATCGATGCTGCGGGTTGACGTTCTAGGTCATCTTGATTTGTATATCGGGGATAGACTAATTGGTGTGTGATATCTCGGTTCTCGGTAGCCCACAATAACAAATTAATTCGGATTTGACCGCTGCCACTTGAGTTAGGTGATAAAAAGGGTCTCGGATATGCAAGCGATAGATTAATACGGCCATCATGTGGGCGGAAAGCTGCGGCTCTAGTTCTGCAACGTGTTTGTTTGCGATAAGACCCCAACTATAGACGACCCAACCCTCACTTATATAGATAGGCATCGTCATCCTAATATAATTGCGAGAATCAGTGATACTGAACGAGGGGTGGTCCGTGGGGATTCAAAGTTACGGACCACCCTGATTTACGAGCTTCCACCAAGGAATTCTCTCGGCCGCTGGATGCAATGTCGCTTTCCTAATTGCTATCATCGATGGATAAGCGAATGCAAGCGACTAGAACGGGTTGCAGCGTTGCACGGGAATGTTGTGCTCCCATTGGCGTCGATTGTAGCCTTCCATGTCCTACCTAGATCCAGCCTGTCTGTCGTGTGCACCGTGTTACAATGGTCTGATAAGGGTTCAAACGAATATAGCGATGGTAGATGGAATTTCGAAGGTTGAGACGGTGGGGGGGAAAGATAGGAATATGAAGAGCCGGAGGTCATTTATGAATAAAAAGAGAACCTCAGATAGATATCCGGGTATAGGAAGTATATGTACCTACCTACCTTACCTAACCTTACCTAATGTATTAATGATGTATAAGGTTAATATTAATACATCATATTGGAATGTAAGTAAGCAATGTTGGTGCATACCTAACCTCATAATAGTAGAAGGGAGGTGCCACTAATTCAACCACTCGGTACCTGCCTCATGCATCCTGACGACAACCTGCCTTTACCTGCCTTTACCTAACTTTAGGTAACCTTTCTTTAAGTAACCTTCCAAACGTTCCAACACAGGTAAGTTTTTTTTTTTTTTTTTTTACAAAAACGACCTCTATTAGGTTATTCCATGTTGCTTTTCTTTTCATCAGCATTACTCCGTCGGAGTTCCAAGGTTCCTATGTGCCACTAGACCTTCGATTCGGCCGAATCAACTCAAACTTGTCAAAGAATATCAACCCTTTATGACATCTACCACACCAACTTACGATAAAAATAGGATCTAAGCTAACTGGAGGCCACCCACTCAGTTTTTATCATACTATATTGTAGTACTGCTCCACGCTTACGGTCTACTTACGAGAGGAAAGATAAGACCCAGATCGGTATCCCCTTCCCCAAACAGGGAGAACCAGTCCCCACGTCTTGTACAGCTCACCGTCCAATACGAACATCACATGCACTAGATCAATGCAAGACAATCCGCCCTACAAGCTGACAGGACACTATCTCAACTAGGAGACCCAGATTTACCTATAAGGCGTCTCACTTGGCAATACGCAAGACAAGATCTGACAAGACTTAAAAAGACTTATGCGCACTATTGAACACTCCAACCCTTGTACAACAATGGTTCGACCAGATTCTTTACCAGCTAGGCTACCTCGTATAAACCCGCCCTCGACGGGTAATAATTATCCTCCAGCTATTTCCGATGCCTCTTCCACGCAGCGAAAAGGCCATTCCTCACGTTCTTCGAGAACAAATATCGTCGAAGGTAACAAAATGATGCGCAATATTGATCGGCCCCCACCAGGCGACCCAACTGGCAGTCGCAAGTCTCAAGTACATCCAGATCTTAGCAAGAAACGAAGCGCCTATTTTGAGAGTGAATTCGCAGCAGCTAATCGGGGTCCGGACCCGGTCAAGACTCGAATACAGAATGAAGCTATTGTAATGGCAGATCTAAGGACAAACGTAATCGTGAGTTTATATGCCTACTCCATCAACGTGACCTACTAATACGGACCCGTAGATCAAGGATGAATTTTCTTTTATAACCGATCTCTCATATAACCTGTCCAACAGGTATCAGCGACCAATATCTTCAATCGTCATCAACTTGACCCACGGTTGCTGCATGATGTTCGGGGGCTCCTTTGACCCAGCGTACACCTTAACTATTCACGCGCTTCCGAGTCTCGTCCAGCCTACCACGAATAAGAGGAATGCGGCGCTTATTCAGCGACATATTCAAGAGACCCTAGGTGTCATAGCGTCGAGGGGCTATGTACGCTTCGTTGCTACCCCCGAGGAAAATGTTGCCATTGGGGGCAAGACGATTGCTGCTGAAATAAACGAATCTGGTAATGCCATGGCCGATGACAAGCCTGCCGAGACCAGAAAAAGTGCCAAGTCAAATCGGAGGCTTGGTGTTAAGGTATACTTTTATTTCCTCTTCCTTAGCTGCGGAGCTCAAAGTTGGCTTATAGGACCAATAACTAATATATTTGTAGTCTTTCGGGGGCTTCAGATCCGCCTCTATGACTGATCTTGCTCGGGTTCCTACGCCACCCCCTAGTACCTCAGACGAGACTACACCCATCACGACCATTCCCGAAGTGCCACCTACGCCGCCCGAGGACGACAGGTTGGGTGACTTAATCGAGCACAAGCCGGTCAAGACTGCACCACGTCGCAGAAGCCTAAGATTTGGTCTGTTTAGTGGGAAGACAGCGGTGTAATAGAGTAAAGGTCACAACCGCTTATCACTGTTGTGTGACGCTAAATATTTTGGTTGAGATGGCCTCATTATGTTGCAGCACCTGGTTGAATATTTTAGTTGCGTCGCAACTTTCACAATGCGATGATATCAAATACGGGCCGGCGTACATTGCATCGCATCGCTTGGGGAAAGCGTTGCGCTGGAGTTTGGGAGGGAAGAACAAGAATTATATCCTATGGGACGTGATATTATTGCTATGTTGTATGCTCGCGTGACGAATTGCGATGGGTGTATGATTTATTGAGAAGCGAGTCCTAATAAGTCGATAGTCTAATGAGTATATTCTGCGGCAAAACATACTAACTTACCGAACCATTTAGATTTTGTTAAACCCCTTTACCAGAAGATTAGAGGCTCTTGTGTATTAGGATACACTTTTGAGGCGTGTATGTTGAATACCTACCTAACCTAGGTAGTGAGTGAATAGTGAGTGGATGCGAGCGTCACTATTAGATCGTACCTTAGCTTAGGTACATAAAATGAAATTGAGCTTACTAAGGTTGGATTAGGTTGTGGTTTATTGCTTGCCGGCTGAAATCGCATAGCTTCGGTCAGCTGATAACTGTCAAAGCGAAATTGCCAGCTGATAGTAACTTCGTGCTCGTTCTCTCTTAACTCCACCTTATGTTCTATCTCTCACATTCGACACTATTATTCCCGCTTAGAGTGAAATGAAACTATATCTAAGCTCTATATCTTGAACGCGACAGGAATTTCCTCCATCCGCATCAATGATTTATAACTATCCGGACTTTATTTATTAATGATAATTCGACGCGAAACAACCTTCATATAATAAGTTCAATTCATTTCGTATTCAGAATTACAGCTGTTCCCTGTTCCTTCGGAAGCTATCGACGTCGGCGGAACAGAGGTAGCTGAAAAAGAATAACCTGACATCTACCCGGTCTACCGAAACATCTTGCCGACGCTGTGCACAGCCGTGTTGCCTGATGATTCTCGTCGCTATTTATTGCAGCCACTAAAGAATCAGTGCTACATAAAAGTTATCATTAGCGGTGCAACTGTTAAAGGTGAGTCAGCCCGTGCCAGCCTGTTGGTTTATGTTGATTTAATAACTAAGCGAGTCTATTCGTCGCTATTCGTCGTTATATAGAAGCTGACTCAGAATCTCTCATTCCATAGGCTAGGGGAGAAGCTCGAAGCGGACAGACAACCCGCTTGCCGTCAGTACGCACGGGTCATCTCTTTCTTCATCTCGTCCATGTCGCCGGGGAAGAGGGGAGGTTAGGGTTACCGTGCGTTCATTGCCCAGCGTAACAGCTAGATCCCGGTATCTTATCTAGTTTCGTCCTCATTATGGAGGTGAGACATTGTCTTTTCTTTTCTTCAAACCTCTTTTTCCTAGTTATTTCCTTGCTTACGAATTAAAACACCATCCGAGCTGGTATTGCCTAGTGGCACAGGAACACCGCCGTGTATCATCGCCGTCCCTTTTTCTTTTCCTCCTTCTCTAGTTTGAGCAGGGTCATCGATCCATCGACAGGTGCTCGTAACCAGTCAGCTTCTCTACCATTAGATTCTCTTTTTCTTCCTCTCTTTCTTACCAATGCCGCCTCTGACACGCAGTCATGATGTGCAGTGGTCATACCGGTTCCAGATATATCACCCCTATTGTTATTTTTGTTGTCGTTAGGCAGGCGTCAGGTATAGAGCCGGATTTGCGGACGGGGAGATTATTATGACCTGATTACCACTTATCCGAGCTCTCTGAGCGGAATCCCCGAGTTGTTTAATTTGTACCACGGTGAGATCAGCAATGAAATCATCTCGCTCTTTATAGATTGTCAGGAGCGATATGCCCTGTTTCGATCGAGCTGAACGTTCCGCGTCCGTGACCTTTTTCCCGTTATGAAATTTGACGTATCCCCTGGTCGAAGCTGCCTACATGCAGCCACCCAGCCGTTGCTGTTTTTTATCACTATTACGACCTTGCATTCCCGTCTCCTTGGATTCGGCAACCTCGTTTGCAGACTGGACTGGCTCTCAGGTCCCCTTTAAACGTATCAACAAACGACGAGCAATGAACTTCTGCCTGTTCGAATTTTGAGATTCACTAGAGATAGCTACCCTCTTCGTGTCGTTCAGCAGAGATGTACTTGGAAAAAATAATATGCCCGTACGAGGAGCGCATCCACTCCAGCCAGCTTGGTCCTTGATGTATCCAAGCCATTATCATTCGCTCTAAAGCTTCACTTCATACCTCTTTGTTCTTGTTTGGCTCTTTTTGTTATCGTTATGTCTTCCCGGCTTCGCGGTTTAGACGCGTTCGACCCCGATGTTGCCGGGGAACAACCATATGGTGTACCGTCTAGTCTTGCGCAGCAGGCTCTAACACGTGTATATGAACAGGACCAAAGGCTACGGAAAAATGGATCGAGGGTGTCCGATCAGCCCCCGGATCTGTCATCGAAAGGGAAACCTAGGTTGCTCCTAATGGGGCAGAGAAGGTAGGCTATCGTATATTAAATGCCAGATGGACTAGGCTAATACTTTCTTTAGGAGTGGTAAATCGTCGATATCAAGCGTAGTTTTTCACAAATTACCACCGAGCGAGACTCTATTTTTGGAGTCAACTGCGCGTATCCAAAAGGATACCATGCCGTAAGAAGCTACTTGCTTGATACACGTGATTTCTTCTTCTAATATAACTCTATAGGTCTTTTATGGATTTCCAGGTGTGGGATTTCCCAGGTCAGATCGACATCTTTGATAATCCAACCTTCGACATCGATGCCATGTTTGGCGAGATAGGTGCCTTGATTTGGGTCATAGACGCCCAGGATGATTATCTAGAAGCAGTAGCCCGCTTGAATGTGACTATACTAAACCTCCAACGAACGTATCCGAACATCAAAATCGAGGTGTTCATTCACAAAGTTGATGGATTATCAGACGACTACAAGTTAGATATCCAAAGAGACATTACTATTCGGATCCAGGACGAACTCTGCGATCACGGGTTTGAAAACGCGCCGGTCACTTTTCACTTGACTAGCATATACAATCATAGTATTTTCGAGGCCTTCAGCAAGGTGATTCAGAAGCTTATTCCTCGACTTGGTATACTCGAAGCGATGCTTACTAACCTCTGTCGCACTTGTCGTTTCGAAAAAGCCTACCTGTTTGATGTCTTGTCTAAGATATATATTGCGACTGACAGCGAACCCGCAGACATGGCAAGCTACGAAATCTGCTCTGACTATATCGACGTCATAATAGACGTCACAGAAGTATACGGAAGCTGGCCCCGTACTCAGAAGTACCGCGAAGCTCTGGAAGGTCCGCCTTGGAACCAGAAGATAGAGGATCAGGTGGCCTCGGGATGTGCCGAAAGCTGCATGGTATTGAGCGACGGGAACAAACCGATAATTCTACGTGAGGTCGACAAGTACCTCGCCCTAGTTGCGATTATGAAGGAAGACAGTTATGACAAGATGCCACTTGTCAACATGAATGTCGAGGTTGTCGTGCAGGGTGTGAAGGAATTCTTCGAAATTACGAAGCCAAAATGAGCAAAAGCTCAGCCATCGGGTTGGGTTAGCTTTATAGCTTGAGATAAGGCAATTTGTTGCAGGAGCAGTGCCTAGGGATATTCATATTCCACGGGGTGGGCAATCATTAAACAAAGAATGAGCCACTGCTATAGGCTCGAGACGAGCTATTCTACGGACCATGTTAGTCTAGCAGGAGTAAAAGCTAAACTCCATGAGTGCGTATTACAGGATGATCAGATTTGTGATATCAGTCACAATTTGAATATAAAAGATAGTCTGCGAATAGCGTACCAATTTGATATGCTTACTAAATGTGAGACTTGTGAAAACCGCTATCTTCTCTTCAAAACAGTTAAGCTATTTGTGTAACTATTACATGGTAAGTTAGGTACTTTGTGAATTGTGTTGTGCTGACGCCATCTGGAACGCGTGGGCATAATTGGGACAGTGCTTTACAGAATAAGGCAAGATACTGCGTTCATCAATTTAAGATGGACACAACACAGCCTCACAACCTAACAACAACATAAAATCCCATTTCGTAAAAAGGGGAAAGTTTAGGCCCAGCCTAATTGACCACCTAAAGTTTAGAACATTCTACGGACGTTCTAAAGGTGGGAGAGCAAGACAGAACTTAAACCTAATAAGCAGAATTCCCAATATGTGCCGTCCGTTCGTTCTACTACTAAGCTGCACAGCGGCCTTAGCTGTCGCGGACTCAAGCGGCGCTACTACTCTCGGCCAGCTCGCGTTACAGAAAGTCCTGCAGGATAGCCGAGAGGTGTTCGGCGTGGAAAGCGATAATTCATCCCAGCCGTACGCGAATTGGATGTCCAGCGTCCCCGACGACACGCCCCTCGCGCATCTAAACATCCCCGGCACCCACGATGCTGCGACCTGGAACTACAGCCAGGCGACACAGGACGCGCTCGCCTACGCCACGCGCTGCGACGGCGGATCCGGGCCCGCTCCGGCTCAGGTCTACCGCACTCAGCGGTTCGGGGCGGCTGCCGCTCTGGACGCCGGGGTGCGGTTCTTCGATCTAAGATTCGCGTTTGATCCGCTAGACCGCGATCTAGTCTTCTGGCACGGGGCCGCGCTGCTCTCGGCGCGCGCTACGGTGGACGATGTGCTTTTTGCGTTTTACGCGTGGCTGGACGCGCATCCGAGCGAGGCTGTGCTGCTGAGCTTCCAGTACGAGGGGGGCACTAAGGACGGCGCGGAATTCGACGACGCGGCGAAGGATAAGCTGAGGAGCGCGCTGGAGTCGGATGCTGCGAAGAGGTTCGTTAGGCAGGATAGTGGGAGACTGGGGACGGTGGGGGAGAGCCGCGGCAAGATTGTGCTGGTGAGACGGTTTGATATGGGTGGTGTGGAGGACGATATGTTGCCGGGTCTGCATTTGGGCCCGGGCTTGTGGTTGGATAATGACCCGGATGGGTTCGAGTTGGTGTATAATAGCACGAGCAATGAGACGGCGTATATAGAGGATTACTACGAGCCTTCGGGTTTGGGGGCTAATTCTACGGTGGCGGAGAATATTCAGGCGAAGATGGGTGCGGTGAAGGCGCATCTGGAGAAAGCTGCTGCTGCTGCTGCTACTGCTACTGGGGATGGTGCGGATAGCTTGTTCATCACGTTTGCGTCGGGCGAGAACGATGCTAATGTCCCGCACGTGTTCCCGCAGACGATGGCGCTTGGGAATGGCACGGAGGTGACGCCGGATGGGGGCGTGAATCACCAGTTGGTCGGGCTGCTGCGGGAGATGCGTGGGAGCAGGCTGGGTGTTGTGGTTTTGGATTTCTTTGACGAGCCGGCTGAGTTGGTTGGGCTTGTGCTGGGTTCTTAGATGGACAGGCATAGGGGCTGGGAGCCTGGTGGTATCTCTGGTCGAGCGTTGCTTGATTTGAGGTTTGTATTAAGGGTTGGCTCTCTGTTTAGTCGTTGAGGAAGCTGTTGATTATGGAGTGTTATGCTATGGGCTTCTAATTACATAGAATAGGCAGTATAGGAAATAATGTTAATCGACCACGTCTTCTGGCTCTTTCCTATTCTTATGAAGGTCATTGTAGATGAATGTTCTATGTGCAGCTAAAGGTTGAATTCTAATATTGAGCTTCATAATTTCCGCAGGCTCTTATGTCTATCTAGTATAGAGCATCATTATAGATCATGCCATAAGGCGTAGGTATGTTTATATACATGGAGAGCTGAAGCATCAAAGAATACATAAAATGAGTTTACAACGACCATATATTACCTTTCAATGTTAAACTATTACCATAAGCTGCCTAGGCGAAGACATGGTAAAATAGCTGAACACGAAAAACGCACTTTATGATTATCTAGCCTACCCAGGACTGATAGTTTACCAAACAGAAAGTTTGTTCCATGGTATAAAGTGTCCTATACGAAAAGTATGATAATATGTTGGGCGATAGTTGTGAAATTCTCTAGAGCAAAGTTCCGTTGAGGCATTAACCAAACTACCTAGATGGTACTAAGTCCACTCATAAGATAATCATTTCCGCCGGTATCCTCAGCGATATAGGAGCGAGATCAACACCCGGTGGAACAAAGCCGAATATATTCTGCCTCGAATAGACCATCACGACAAGTCAGGCATGTCGCTAGGCAATCGGTGTCTGACATGACAAGACAACCCCTGAATTTCCAACCTAACCAGTCAAGCAACTAGGACCTAACAAGGAGTAAACGACCCGCTCATTCCCGAAAATGAGGCAAAATTATCGTAACGGGAACCGAGTGTAGCATGCCGGCGTGGGTAGCTGATCGCTCCTGACGAAAGGGATACATCCGCGCTCGCGGTTGAACGCCGGAAAGTCGAAGCTAGTTCTAACAGGGCCGACGTAGATCAGGTACGCAAAACGGTTCAGAACGAATAGTATCGAAGCATGACGATTTGTTGGGAAGTTCTCGACCCCGGCCTAGTTGTGCAGTTTTCATCTTAAATCGTACTGCCCGATCCCTTGCAGTCCACCGGAGCTGACAGGCTATGTATGAGATGACAGCTCTATGCCCAAAACTGCCCGGCTACTGCGAATCGATGCATTTTTCTCCCCTAGTATCCACCAGCCCACTCGAGCAGACATCAATTGTCATCCTCGCCCTCGTATTGATAAGCATATAGTCAGAAGCTACGTCGTCATAATCGAGAATTGATGTTGCAAGATCGAGCTCCTTGTGCCACCGGCTCGGTCCGTTTAAAGATTGACTTTTTCAGGGGAGGGTATCAAGCTTTTATATTAAATGTCTCGATGCGTCCGCGGTATTTGGAATTCAGCCAGCGGGCCTGCTATAGGCCCGGGAGTTATCAGCGGCCCGGTTCACCGGCTCCGGTGAGCTGGGGCCGGGTAAATTCAGCCCTCTGCAAGCGCCGCTAAACCCGCGGCGTATATGCGAGATCCCTCCCGGCCGTAGACGTAATGATTGATTTCCTCGTCGTCGAATCTTAAGCGAGACCTCAGGTGCCAAGCATCTGCACTGCCGCTCCCGTATGTATGTATGTATGTATGTCCTGCTTCGAGAATATGTCTATAAATTGGGGCGCCAAGATTACGCCGTAAGCAGCCGATATATATACTACATATTGGTGCAGCAAGTAGAATAAGATAAAGTTGTGATCTACATTAGGCGAATGTGCGAAACGGATCCTCTCATCCTGTTAGCGACAATACTTTCATTTACATAGCTATTTGAGAAATCCTTTGGATGACGTAGAGTTCTATGTTGGAAATAGAAAGATGAGCTTACAAAGCTATCTGTAATGTGTTCAAGTGGCAGTAGATTTTATGTTTAGAAAATTGGCAGGTGAGTTGGATGTTTGATCCATAGGGACGGATTCCTTCAAGAACTAGCTGAGTGAGAGAAAGCTGTAGGGGAGCGTTCTCATCCCAATGGACATAGTGAACTATGCTACTTTAAGACGAAGAAAAGTGATAAGCGGCAGGGTAGTATTGAATGTGTATTCGCTCATTGGCGTGGTCAGACGATGATAATCCCTTATACCTATGTGATTACGCGCATTGCTCAAATCTACCTTATAATAAGATAACTAACTATACGGCGATATCTTTAATCTTGGATGACAAATATTACCACAATAATTTCGCCATGAACTTAATGCTAGAAGAGCCAGGGTTATAGCCGAGGATATTACCAACTCTTCATATGATAGAAACTTATTAGATCTGGTATTGTATTAAAGATAACTGACTGACTAGCCTCGAAAACTGACGGCCCAATCAAGGAAGAAATATTTATGTATTCCAAACCGTGCAGTAGTGGTCTGAAAAAGGAAAGAGACTAACTTATAATCCACAGTCCCTACTACCCTATGTAGATTCTATTCTATGGAGGTCTATGTTGATGCTACCCGACAGGCCAGAACTAACCATTGGCGATGACACCCTTAAAATACATCAAGTAATATTCAAGATGCTTACATAGCTACAACAGAACAAAGGCATATGTGCGGCCCCAGTCCGCACTTCTAGTTAGGTCATTAAGGGTAGGTAGTTATTCATCTTGCAAACTTAAAGTTAAGAACTGTCATCGGTGACGGTAACATTTGGTATGTTGCGGGGAATTTAGGAATTAAGATACTAGACTAGTCCTAGCGTAAATGTAAAAGTCATTGACTTGGAGTTGGGATAGAGGTAATTCGGGGTTATCGGTGATGTTAGTTTTGGGTGAGGCTGCGCCGTAGAAATACTCCTAAAAAATAGACCGGTCCCTGGGGTAAGCGCTAAGAGTCCGGACCTACATTAGGTACTGTTCGGACCTATCCGGACCTACCTCCCAGGTTAACATATTCAATTAGGTACGGCCCTTCCTTTTTCTATAGGCAAAGTATATTAGGTTAGGTATATTATGTAATCAAAATAGATAGGATTTACACAAGATATGCTTTAACTAGTAATAATATTCCAAATGTTCCATAAAATTTCCTTTTCCACAATCCATAATGCAGCATGCCTTTGAACTTCCTCAATGCACAAAGTCACTTATCACAAAGATAAATGTGTTAGACGCGCATGCACGTGATGGAAATCCGATCTTGGCAATCAGCTCATCAATACTCAGTCGTTTACCACATACATACAACATTCTGTGTTCACCGTCACTGTTGTGGGATGGAAACAGATTATGCCAAGCATACCGAGCGAGCCGAGCTTTCATAATCACTGCAATTATATAGCAACTATGTCCCACCGGGAGTAGCCAAGATCTAAGATCCGGCCTTTTTTGCGTCATCTAAGGCCACAATTCGGTCTACCCTTCAAATGTCTCCAATAAAGAGATAAATAGGTCAATCTGCTTAACCTTCTCGGGTTACTTTCTCCCGCTCATTTTCTAGTGCTAATCCATTGCTAGTTATCTAGTGAGTTAAACACGTGAGAATCATTACCTCAAGGAGTACTCCTTCAAGCGGCGGCACTGCATTACCGTGGACCGCCCGGAGTTGCCTCGAACGGCATTGGTCTGTTGGTCTTACCTCTAGGTCTCCATTTTAATTTCATGCAAGTGCCGGCTTTTCACCATGCTTGCAAGGATCTTGGCCTTCTTCGCTGCGACCATACCCGGGAGCTTTATGAGGTAGATTTAACTTCCTTGACCCTTGGAAAACCATCAATCCATACCTACAGGACATACAGGACCTACAGGACCTACAGGCAGGTAACGGACTAACAGTCTGTAATTTTCCCGAATTGTAACACATAAAACCGCCACTTCAATACCACCATGCATAGCTACCTCATAGTAGTATGGCCGTTCTCAGATAGGAGCCCCATCTAAATATCAAATTGGGGCTACCTGATGACATTACTAAACTACACTCCGTATCTCTATCCGTTTCGTATGATTTTCATATATCGGTGCAACACAATAACGTTGCCATACCTATTCTCCAGCTCTCTGTTTGGTCACACAGCTTGTTGTTAAACCAATTGAGCTCGTTGATTGGGTTCGGTCGAGTTCGGCCAAGACGATTATGTCTTGGCTCCAGTCTTCGTTTTCTTTTTTTAGCTTTGTAAACCATTGATGGTAGGCGGGTTGCATGCATCATCTCTCAAAGACCCCCACACCCGGATCACGTCCATGCAAAATTTCTTGTACCTGACAGTTGTGATTAAGTTTGCAGACGACTGCTTGATACAACGATAATATACCGCTCCTGTTACGATAAATTTCAAATTTGGCAGGTGTCTTTCTCTTGCGGATAGGAATTCGAGTAGGAGTAAGGAATCAATATCCTTCACCTCAAGTTTAGGTCTGTTTAACAGTAGTCTTTACTTCTTACTGCCGATCTCTATTCGACTATCAACCGTTAGTACGAGGAATCTGGATATTACTACTGGGCGCTTTACTTTTAGTGGAAACCTTCCAATGAAGTCTAGTACTATGTCATCATATTCAATAGCGCTCTTTGACTGGTATAAATCTTGCGAGACTCCAAGACCTTTGTTAAGCACACGCGCACATGATAAACAGGAATGGCGCCAGCCAAACTTTGTCGGCGGGATAAAGCTATCCCATGATATATCACACCAACGCCAAGTGGCGCCTCTGGCCTGTCACGCACGAGATAACTGTTTGTCAACCAGCTTACATTCTGTTGCAAGCGCCTATGATTCCCGCCCCTGTGGCACCGTTGAACTTCCCTGAACTACTTCACTTACCTTCGGGTTTTACGTACCATCGAATGAGTGTTTCTGTTCTTGGCATCTACCTCCGAGTATAAGATATACATACCTATCATATGTACCTTTTGGCCCTCTCATCTCGTCACACCTCAAAGCATGGGGTCCGGGCATATTAACTATA